ATCTGGTGAAGCTAAAATGAATGTGAGTGGGTAGGCTCTACTGCACTACTAAAAGCTACTTACTATCTGTTACCTAATGATAACTGATGATTGGGTAGAGATAGTAGGTCCACCTAGCATCTGGTGAAGCTAAAATGATGCGAGTGGGTAGGCTCCACTGCACTACTAAAGGCTACTCCACCTAGTGGTCCAATAATAACTAATAATTGGGTGACTAAGTGGGGCGCCAATTCAGGGGAATGGATTTGAAAACCACCTGACAAGGGCACCCCTGGTTATCTCTTGAGATAGTCAACTATCTCTTGAGATAATTGATTAGTCATTAATGGCGAGACCGCGACGGCTAATTGGTAGGCTGGGATGCTGAGATTAGCAACTGGAAGGTGGGTTTAGTAGCTAGTAGACTAGCTAGCTTCTAGAACTAGTTACTAGATCAGTAGGCTGGGCAGTAGTGGCTTAACTAGAATCAGAATGGTTAATGCTGGCTTGAGAGAACAGTTCGCAGCAGTCAGTTATTATAGGTGCATGTATAATAGCTTAAGGTGTATCCCTCTGCATTTGCATTTCCTACAGGCCTGGTTGACCCCTGAATAGGCCTTAGGGACTCCAGAGCTAGGGCGGCTGTAGGGCCAGGGGCTGGCTTATATTATCTTCAATCTATAAGAAAAACTGCTAAGTCTATTAAAAATCAGCAAATTAATCTACATCTTCATTGGGTTCCTGCACATGTAAATATACATGGAAATGAAGAAGCTGATCTAGCAGCAAAGAAAGATACAGAATTGAATCAAGTTTGTTCTGAAAGATATATATCTCTTACTTATATAAAAAGACAAATAAAAGAACAAGCAATGATAAAGTGGTTTGAAGATCTTTTTAATAGAGAAAGTTCTACAAATCACTACTCTCAATTCAAAATAAAACCCAGATGGAAAGCATCTACTCTTTCTATATCTAAGAAGATATGATCAACTATTTGTCAATTAAAGCTTGGTTATGGATATTTCAGATCTTATCTAATAAGATTATCTGACTACTCTTCCAATTTATACTACTTCTGTAATTGTGTTGAAAATCCAAAGCATCTACTATTAGACTGCTCAGCTTATTATACTGAAAGAAGAAAAATTCAACAAGAACTTGATATTTCTCAACTATCTTTAAATTTTATTTTTGAAACTGAATTAGGCTCAAAATGGCTAGTTTTATTTCTAAAATATACTGGAATAGCTACTAGACAGTGGCTTTCTCAAATATGTTAATTTTATTTCTTTTTGATTTATATCACATTGCTACAAGAATTATTATTTTCCTTTAAAATTAATATTATGCTCTATCTGCTATTTGACTTTTGTGGAGAAAGAACATCTCATATTGTCTTGAAATACTTTGAATTTTTTTCTTTATTCAGTTTTTACAATGTATACTAAGTAAATTCTAACAGAGAAGCTGTTAGGTAGTCTTCATAGTCACTAACTGCATAAGACTATAATAAATAATAATAATAATAATAATAATAAGAAAGAAAGATAGATATGACATGAAACAAACATAAAGATTATAACATATCTACAAAATCAAGAATTTAACAGTAAGAAGATGTACTGTGAGAGCATCTGAGATATAGCTGTAATAGTAGTAAACCAGCTATAGATAAGCAAGACTTGAGAGTTGCAGATATGTTTAATATAATGATGTGAGAATTGTACATGTGGATCAGTGTGACAATGAATCTCTAGAAGAAATATACATGGAAAAAGAGTATGTGAGGTAAAAAGTCTGTATTCTGGCAACTATATACAACTTGTAAACAAGATTGCTACTGACTTTCAGCAAGAGATTTGTGCAGTAATAGTCTTTTATATGTGCTTATAAGTGCATGACTTAGTGCTTCACAAGAACACATACAACTTCCAGCAGCTCACAAGTCAAGCTCTTTAGCTCTTGTAGGTGCTGTTTGTCTGTGTAAGGGGTTCACAGTGAATCCTTACAAATAATGGATAAAACTATAATAGAAGATGCAGTTACAGAGAAAAGCATTACAGATAAAGAACTATAAAAAAAATAAAGTATTTCTACAATACTCTGAAAACCAGAAGAAATAATATTGGTTAGATAATTAATAGAAGATGTAAGATTAGTCTAAGCAGAAGTTAGTCTGAGAACAAGTAAAATAGTACAGAAAATCTACAAGACTGATTTCTATACTATCTTAAAAAGCTTTAGTTTTACTTGTCAAACAAGTTATAAGATAGTTAAGTAAGACTTGGATATTTGCAACTTTATTTTCAACTCAAGAAAGAATAATACAAACTGGGCTTGATGAATAAGAAAACTCAGATAAGCTATCTTTAATAAATTTGATTTTGGACATGAGGTCCACAGTCTTAGCTATATAATGTGAGGCAGAATAATAATATTTCATGAAAAATTCTTTAACAGTAGAAGTAATCTAATAGTAGTAATATTTGGCAGCTTCTGAGTTAAGCTCACAAAATTCACACACAAGTATACTCATGTACTTAATATTGTACAGATAATACAGATTAGCTGTATTAAAACTATAGTATTCTTCTTAAAGTTACAAGAGCCAACAAACTAGTTTGATAGTGGATTCTGAAATCTATAGCTATATCAGAATAACAAAAAGAACAGACAAAGACATACTAATATTATAATAGATACAGATTTGATATTCTAAATAATAAGAACAAGATTTCTTCTTGATATTCTATAGACAAGACTTATTTTTATCTAGACAGTCTGTAAATATTAAGTAAATACAGATGAAGTACAGAAGAGTGTCTTCTTTATTATATATAATAGAGTTTTTTAATAACAATATTATAACAAGTTATAAAATAAACAAGAAACAACATCTAAGCTTAAATAAAGTAGAAGAAAAAGAAGAAAGAAAAAAGTTAAAAACTCTCTATTTATACTTATATTACAATACACTAAAATTACTAGTTTTATAACTTGTTAATAGATAATATAACAATAAACAACAGATAATATAGTAATCAGACAAGCAAATAAATAAAGAAATAAGTATGTGACAAAATACTAAATGTTTGTAATAAAATAATTACCATTCTACAACAAAGAATGTCTACTGCAACTGGTAGTGATATACATGTGAGATATTTATATAGACAAGCAGTAGTAATACAGAAGCTTGCACATTCAAGAATCTACAATACTTCATCAATAACAGAGAAGCTGCAACAATATATGAAAAATCACTTCAGTAGCTCTATGTCTCAGAGTTCAAGATCTCTGGAAGGGGGGGGGAGATAGTGTTACAAATATAGATCTAGACCAACCAAGCATCAGACAATGTTGGATGTTCAGAGGTATTTACATGACCCCAACTCTGAACATATAAGAATCACATAATTTGCATGGATTGTGGGAACCTCAGTGTTTAGTCTTCTAGTTAGAGGACCTTTATGTTCTATGCATGACTCCCTTCCATCAGTTGCAGGCATTGTACCTACTTAGCTCTTTCATACCCCCTAATCCTGGGAAAACCTACATGACCTACAACCGGTTCTCCTAACAATATTATAGACTCTAGCAGCTTTATAAATAGAGGTAATTTCTTGATTTTTAATAGATTTTATTCTGAGTTCAAGTCTTCCCTCTCTCTCAATTAAATTTGAAGAATTTTTATTGTGAATTGGTGGCATAATTGTGTGTTGAAGTGGAAGAGTTCTTTAATTGAGTGGAATTTTGAAATGGTGATCGGTTCGCTTGGGTGATCGGTTCGCTTGGGTGATCGGGTTCGCTTGGGTGATCGGTTCGCTTGGGTGATCGGCTCGCTTGGGAATTATGTTAGTTAGTTAACTAGTCGGATTACCTAAGTTAAGAGAAATGCGATTTTCTTCTCTTCTTCGACTTTTCTTCTTCTCTCCCTTCCAGCTTTTGGCCTCCCGCTTACCCTCGCGTGCCACGATCGGACTCGGGCGATGGGTGTGTACCTCCATCGCGAAGCTACCCGATCAATCGGTTCAATGCCACCGCACCCGAGAGCTCAAGCCTGGAATCGACTTGGATGACGAGAGCCCGGTTGCTCTCTCTCTCTCTCGCGGAGGATCTCAATTATCCGGTTACTGACAACATGTGAACTTTGAGCAATAGAATCGTGAACCCGTTCTTTGTGACCGTCAGTCTGGTCACTGCGACCGTCTTAGAAGCATCGGCTCCCTGATGAGTATCTGCCGCCAAGGACCTGGTCGAAAATCGGAGGAACGAATGCTACACGTCAAGGCGCAGTAAGGTGATCCAAGTGATGTTCTGCTGGCTTGTTGGCTTGTCCTTACTCACCCGTGCAAACGCCTCATCACGCCCTTGCACATCTACATGCACACCCTTCCCGAGCCGGTCAACAACTTCGTGGAAAAAGTGTTACAGAGCGTCAAGAGACTAAGCACAGCGCAAGTGATCTAATGTTGACTTGAGGGACACATCTTTCTTCAAAATCCTGCAGTTTACCCATCCCGCTGCATATGAGCAGCGGAATTCCAGATTGTAACAGCTTGGATGAAGAAGAGACTTTATTTTCTTTATTTCTTTTCCTTTTCCTTTTTTTTTATGCCGCAGGTTACCATGCACACATTAACGAGTCCTGTCTTGTCAATCATTCATGGATTGGTTAAGTGCAAGCTCTTTTCTTGGCTTCCTGCCAGATCAATTTTAACCAGCAAGTTTGAGGGGATAAATCCTACTTTGTTTTAACAAGTTCGCCGTGGAATGCATCCCCATAGGAACCCTGGGACATCTTTTCTTTTTCTATTTTTATTTCTTATTTTCTCTCTCTGTTGATGCTGTATCTTAGTATTGACAGCACAATCAGAATCCCCTTTATTGCTTCTTTTTATTATTGGTCAATTTCGTTCCGTACACTCTCATCGATAAGCCAACTGTAAGCTCTATCACTACCCCAAACAAAGTGAAATCTTTGTTTTCACAATCTAGCCAGCTATCCACCTGTTTATCTACGACCACATGCTCCCATTCCTCCGCCCTTGCTCTTCCAGCTCGGGAGCCGTGGGGATCCGCTGGACTATCTTTCGCGCCCAGCCATCTTGCCCAACAACGGATTCCTCGCCAAGTCGATATTCACCCATCCAAGGAAGAATCTTGGCCCAGAAGAGCCAGTACAAAGCGCCAAGCGCAAAGATCGTGAGCCCAGCAAGACAATGAGTATAATACGGCAAACGCTCATAGACATTACCCACCCTTCTTGGCGGAGGCAGGAACGGTGCTACGGCCAAATACACATTGGAGAAGAAGAAGAAAAAGGTCACCGGCAAGGTAGCACGAATACCAGGAGACCAGGTGGGATAGCGCTCAGGACAAAAGTAGATATGAAGAAGCCCACCGGAGACCAGGACATTCACGGTCGAAAGTGGATATCCGATGAGACTTTGAAAACTGCATGTCAGGCCAATACAGGCAGGGTTGATAGAAGGGATAGGCTCACTTGAGCAAGAAGTTATAAGCATCTCCTGGCGGCGGCGCCAGCATGACAACCACAGAGACGATATAGTGCTGGAATAGTCCAGCTGCAGGAGAGTTAAAGGGTTTATTACTCGCCCAGAACCGCGAAAACGGCAGAACTCCCTCTCTTCCAAGTGCTTGGACGACTGGAACATGGTTAGCCATTATCTATGTCCAGATGCATAGGCACGTACTTCGGCCCTGGGAGAACAAAACAGCCAGGACGTTGCCAAACGCGCAAAAAGCAACGAATGTTGATAGCGCTCGTTCGGCCTTGAACCCAAAAACGTTCCGAAAAAAAGATGCCGCGAGGATGCGCCCGGATAGAAGCATCTCTTCCTTTGGGACAGCAGCAAAATATGCAACATTAACAAGGAAATACAGAATCCCAACCATCGCTACGCCAATAGGTGCTGCTATTTTCAACGTTCGAACCGGATTACGAGTCTCACTCAAGCACTGGCAGATGGTTAGCGAAACGATACGCTGTTGCAAAAACGATGCTGAGCACCATACATAATTCGCATTCGAATAGCCAACGTATGACCAGATGACATTGTACAGGCCCATAACTATGCCATACACCGTGGGTGGCCCTTCACCCCAGGGATGTTCGAAGTTACGAGGCCTGTCTATATTCACGAAGCCGGCACAAGCCAAGAGCCCGCCAACGGCAATGATAAGAATGACAACCAATTTCAAGACACCCAGTGTGTTTTGAATACGGAGCCCCCATTTCACTGCGGTAGCGTGGATAATGAAGGCGACGGTGATGCAGACCAACCCGATGCCGCGTTGATTCCACCGATTGACCTGTACCCCAAAAGCATGAAGAAGGTATTCTCCAAATATAACGCTATTTCCTGCCGCCCAACCAAGGAACAGCGCATATGAAGCGTATATCGCGGTTGCTAGGAACTTTGGTTTTGTATACACATACTCCAGGTAATTCTTTTCCCCACCGTTCCTGTCAGTGGTCCCTCAAGTCAGATATGTCGATGACAGGTTACGAATAAGAAAGGGGACCGGACCGCCTCCTCCACTTACACTGGAATTGCCGTTCCAAACTCCAAATATACAGCCGTACCCGCCATGGCGATGATCATTCCAACGAACCAAACGGTCAACGACATGCCAACGCTCCCAGTCAAAGCCAGGATAGTGCTCGGGGTAGCAAATATCCCCGTCCCAATTATCCTATTAAACACCAAGAACGTCGCAGTGAGCACTCCGATCTGCCTTCGATTGCCCGGAATATCATCGGACACGCACGTCCTCGCCGTGTCTATGGTTTTCCCCCCAAAAAAAAAGGATCAGCAACGTTCCCATCGTCAGAGGACCTGATTACCAAAAAGCTCTCAATTCTACTGGTCGTCAGTGCATACATACCCAATTTCTCCAGAGCATGAGGACTTATCTCCTGGGACAACTGGCTCTTTCCAATCCGATTGGATGGGATATCCGCGGAGGCTAGAGTAGACACGTCGCTCCCGTTCCCGGGAGAGGAGATAGGCTCGATATCAGCGTTCTCGACATGCGCCATAGGGGGAGGTTCCAAAGGAGGGACTCGTCAGATGCTGTTTAGCTTTTGATTCCATATATTCATCGTGCGATCGGCAAGCAAGAAAAAGAGAAGACAAGAAAATGTTTTTGGGCACCAATTGGCATAGAAACCACACACGGCAAGAGGTGTAGAGGATGCAACTCCCATTTTTGACACGGCCTTATCCAGGAAGGAACAGCGGCAGAAGGAAAGGGCGCCTCCAGAAGCCGGTTTTGCCCGGGAAAGATCGCCGCGAGAGAGACAAACCGATATCTCTGGCGAAGGTCAGAGATAGAGCAGCCTTCAAGAGATATATCTACGGCAGTGCATTCTCCCATACAATCAAATTTCCATAAGAGCAGGGAAAGTCAAGGATCATAGTAAGAATAATAATAATAATAATATAATGATGTTCATAAATATATAATATCTTAGCTGCTCGAGGCAGACTCCAATCCCACTTAGCAAAGCATAGATGCAAAAATCACACAGATCCATATCGCCCCCCGCCCATCAGTCATTGAATAGATTTGATCAACACTCGAAGCCAGGGCTGCCAGCCATCCCAAACAGTACCTGTATATCTCTCCCATCCTCATACTCCCAGTGAAGTTTCCCGCCCATAGACTTCCACAGCATGCCGACCAAATCCAGCCTATCTCGCCGAAACCGGAAATCAGAATCGTCGCTAACATAAAAACACAAAGGTAGCTCTCAGGTTCCAAGCAGATCAATACCGACTGAGAAGAAGACAGTAGAGTCGAAAGGATAAAAGAGGCTGAAAAAAAAAGAAGAAGATAAAATAAAATAGAAGGAAAGAAAGAAAGAAAGAGAGAAAGAGAGAAAGAACCATAAAATGCTAGGTTCACACTTTCAAAAACACTTCAATGTTCTTCCTTCCCAGAGCTCATTACTAAACTCCTCAAAGGCCCCCAATTCTGTAAACTCCAAGTCCCAGAAATAGTTGAAAGATGATAAAATGCGAGCAATTGCCTCCAGGTTCACTTTAGACCCTCTTTGTTTTGAAAAACTCACAGGAGGAAAAGAGTGCACACCAAACGCCAAATGAAAGTTGTAATCCAAAAGGAATGCAATCAGTCTTCCGTTAAGAGGTGCAGTCATTGCGTCATGCCACAGTATATGCAGCATAGAAATCGAATCAAAAGAATCTCAGCACAGCTCCATCTGTGCCGTTTTGAGATAAAGAGGTCATGCTGATGGATGCCCAATGCGAAATAGAGGAGAGCGCTGGCTCGAACCCTGAAAAAAAATTCACAAACGTGCAGGAGAGGAGGCATTAGACTCTCAATCAAGCACTACTCAGTAGGCTGTTTTGTTCGACGCTTGCCCAGTATTTTCAAATGCAGTATTGTACGGGATCCAATAGTCACAAACTTCATGGCGAGAGGACTATCGGAATTCAGGTGAAAATAGGCGAAACCTTCGGAGCCGTAAAAGGAACGGTATAAGTATCTTTGGATATTCACTTGGGAAAGGGCCACAGAATGGAGCAGCCAACTCTCTACCGATTAAAGATCTTACACCCCCACGAGGCTGCAAAGCAGCTCTCTTATTTAGCAGCGCTTGTTTGGCGTGCTTTTACCGAGACGATGCTTGAGGTACAACTGGCGACGCCGCTGGGGGTTGACAGGCTGGAGTTCTCGCAGGAGATACCATAGCAGGAGCCGAGGTCCTCTTCGTCATCAGCGCAATTTTCTTTTTCAGCGCTGTGAGCCTAATGCGTATGCTAGCAACCACTTTAGATTTGTTAGTAAAAACAATACTTCATGTATGCATGCAAATTCCAAGGACACATACGTTTTGCCACAATCTCCCGGTCTTCGCCTTGAAGGCCATTAACCTCTCCGTTCTCTTCGTTCGATACCGTATTCGCGGCTTCGCCCGCGCGCTCGCCACTTAATTGATGATCCTCGTCGCTGTCCAACACGGCCTCAAGCATCCTTATCGCCGTCATGTATGCAATTTCACAGCCAGGAAGGTCCTCCCCAGTAAGTTCGTTAATGGCAGCTGTTCTGGACATCTCGAGCGCCCTGTCGTACATTAACTTTTCCGCAGTGATGCCCGAACTGATAACAACTTGATCAGAGGAATGAGCAAGAGCACCGACGGACACCCGTCCAACCTGACTGGCATGGTGTGCATGATCGTAGGGAAGCTGTCTCTGAGCATCCAACAGCTTGAGCCGGGAATATTCGGCTTTTTGGAGTACTTCATTGAACCGGTTTCGGACCCATTGCACCACGTTATTTACGCGGCACCCAACATTGACATTTGGTGAGTTTCCTATGGTCTCCCCACGGTTTTTGCGAGCCCACCAGGCTCCAGCAATATCCATCGACTTAGCCAGCAACGAGAGAGCTTTCACGTAGAGTACAAGAGCTTCTTCCGATAGTGTGAAAATTGCGTCTACTGTTAAGCCGGTATCGTTCGCTTCAGGTGTGTCCACTACTTCCGGGCTAACCACTGGTTTGATAGCAGTGTCGGCTTGCATAGAAGGTGTCAGAGGAGCCAGTTGTTTGTACTTCACTTCGGCAAATCCATAGACCACATCGCTGCGGGTGGCAATCTCCTCAATGATGTGTAAGACCTTGGTATCCTCATCCAGCGGAGGTTGAATTTTAGCTCCATCTCCGACAACGGCAAGGTTCCCTTCAGCTAGGGGGTAGGCTGGAAACGCATTGTAGCCTATGGGTGGAGACCTTCCAGCTTTGGTTAACGCTAGAGGAGGCGAGAAGCTGACACCAAAAAGTCGTCCGCTGGCCTTGTTGAGCGCCTTGGATATAGCCGAAGTTGCAGATGTTGGGCTGGGGCCATATCTTCGGTCATAGGAATTATGACGATTGTGAGTAGATCCTGTACGTGGTCGATTGTAAGCGGTGGCCACTGCCCGGGACATAGCGTCACGAGGAGAACTAGATAATTGAGGAGTGGCAGTAGTTGTGGCACGACGAACAATTGCTCCAGCTTGCTTCGGTATCAGTTGTTGCTGCTGCTGCTGCTGGAAACGGGGGCTTGCAGCCAGCTCGTCAGCGAAGGCATTAACCTCTACTGCTCGTTTCTCCACCACCACATAGTCCCGTTCAAATGCCACATCCTGTGCTGCGCGCTCTCTTTCTGAGTCCAAAATGTCGTCAATCCGCTGATCAGACGAGTTTTTCCTGGTTGTGGCCCTCTCTTTAGCTGGGCTAGTAGGCCCTGGCTGCTCCGTAACGGGTCCCTTTGCATTGTGGTCGCGAAGTTCCTCCTTGCTCGGGGAACCAGTCACTGAGGCAACACTGGCTTTCCGGGCCTTGACTGCCACACGCTGTAAATCAGGATTTTCTCGGCTCCCAACGTGACGCACAGCAGGACTAGTAGCTGGGCGAGTAAAATTGCTTGGGGGCGGTCGAGGAGAAGAAGCGCTGCTAGGGGGGCGATCTTCTAGTTTTCCGTCGCTGGTACGCGAGGGCAAAGAATCTCGCCGGGCAGCGTGCGCAGCGAGACGAGAATCTCTCTCCCTCTGCGCCTGCAGGTCTTCGTCGACAAGCCCCGGAATATTACCCTTAACCACGGATGACTCGAAGAAGTCCTTGAAGCTGAGACGCTCCACCGGGTTCCGTTTCAGCAGGCTCCGGATCAGTTTCTTTAACGGGGGGGAGGCTTCAGTTTGAATTGGGAACCTGATGTTGTCCTCTCCCTGTTCAATCTTCCGAAGCAAGTCGACATGGTTACCGGCTCTAAACGGAGACTTTCCTACCACCATTTCAAACAAGACCGTCCCAACGGACCAGAGGTCGGCCTTCGCATCGTACTTTTCGTATCTCAGAATCTCAGGAGCCATGTAGAGCGGGGAACCACAGAGGGTTTCGGCAAGAGACGTGGCGGGCAATGACCGAGCGAATCCAAAATCGGCAATCTTCAGCATCGGCAGCGACTCTACTCCTACCAACGGGGTGAAGGAATCCTCCCTAGTCTTGTAAGGAACTATTCTAAGTAGACCTTTTGCATACGTGCTCGGCGGTGGATTAAGAAGGAGGTTCTGGGGCTTTAGATCACGATGGATAAGATCTTTGGTACGGAGAAACTGCAGGGCACTGGCAAGTTGCTTTAAAAAATGACGAACGATCACCTCGTTTAAGCCTCCCGCGGGAGGATTAGGGTATTTGGCTATCATGTCCCTTGTAAGTTCATGCTTGCTCAACGTATCGCGCTTCCGGATGAAGAGGGAGAGGTCCCCGAGAGCGCAGTATTCCATGACCAGGTGGATGCATGATGTTGACTCGTCGCAATCTATAAGCGCAACGATGTGAGGATGCTGAAGGCCCTTTAAAATCTCAATCTCCAGTTTCAAGTTGTCCTTCAGCTTCGGATTGAGCGAGCTTATATTTACTGCTTTGATCGCCACACAGGACCGATATTTCTAAGGTGGACACTGTCAGCAAACAAGATACCCAAAAGTCCATAGACAAGATAAAACCAAACACGTCATATACAACCCTCCCCCTTTTCCCCCAAGTAACGCATCGTATATTCAAAGACTAGCACCAAGTGAAGCCGGAAGGATGAGGGCACTCACGTTATGGATACCCTGGTAGACAGTTGCAAAGCTGCCACGCCCTATCTCCTCTATCTTGGTATACTTGCCAAGGATCACGTCCCTCGTGTCTCCATCTCCATCCCCTTTCGATCGTCTCGAGCTCGTCTTTGGTGACTGAAGGGCGGCCATCGTCACGGCCAGGTCCTTGACGCGGTGTCTATGAACCCAACAACCCCTGTTACGCCTGCAGCTACGGCACTGGTCGTAGTGTCCCGATGCACGGGCCCATCAGGGGCGAGCGGATACGTTTAGATGGGAGATAGGTAAAACGATGTCGAAGCTATATTCGTGGGCCAGGCGGGATGGGAAAAACAATGGGTGGAGGTGGCCGTATAACTGATGCCAGGCAGCAGAGACGTTAGCGACAGACAGCAAGATGCGGTGTGCCTTCCCTCAGAACAAACAGCCCAACAATGGAAGCTTCCATGAGCTGTGGTTGACCGCTGACGCAAGGAGAATCGTCGGGCAGCACGAGATAAGACAGGAGATGGCGAGAAAACAACCTCAAACAAGGATGTAAAAAAGCATCAAGGAATGATAGAGGGCCTTCTAAGGATGACAGATGACTGGCACATACCAAGAAATCAAGCAGTTCAGGAACGGGTGGTGCTGGAACTCCCAAGGTACGGCGATGATGTATGGCGGATACAATACAATACAGAGATGGGAGCAGGATGATAAGCAGCAGATGAACAACGTGATACAGATCAGATAGATTAGATACCGCCCAAGAGAGTTAGTTGGGTTTAAAAAAAACGTAGACGTTATGTATATATGTGAGAGTTAAAAAAAATACACACACACACATATATAAATATATATACGGAGATAAATTGTCAGGGCGACAACGGGTGTTGTTGGAGGATGATAGAATGCAGAGGTTAATGACTAGACTAACATGCGATGGGCAGAACGAAGGTTGGGGGGAATTCACTGCATGACCTCAATCAGGGATTCACATGTACCGGTACCTGGTTAACTCATAATCCTCACCTCAGACCGAAGTACATGGGGAACCACCAGCCCGCTGCCGCCTCTGATTGGGGAAGTCGGAAGAACAAGATGTACATGGGTCGAAGCAGGCTTACATGTCTACGTGTGACAGGTCAACGGGCGGGAGAGCATTCCCCGGCCAAGCTGCGAGCCGGATCGCTGTGTTGCTCCTGGCAGAAGAGCAACAGCCGCCTGGGCAGGTTAAGCCCCAAGGCAGCGAGCAGAGGGCGAGAGGTACCGGTACATTCGTCAGTGCATGGGCCCAGGCCGCTTCGGGTTTAGTGGCTGCCGAAACCGCTGGGGGACTGGGCCACGGTGGCTTGGCACGCTAGCACCACGCTCCCCGTGACTCAATCCTCCGCCGCCCAAGTACCGGTACTTCGCTGCCCGCGCGAATCAGCGCACCGGGCGAGGTAGCTACATGTAACGACATCACCCAAGTACTCGACTTTGTACCTCCTCGCAGCAGCACGCCATCCCCCATCGGGAATCGTCACCAGGGGTTCCACAGCAACACCGCGCCGTCTGCTTCGTCCATCCGCCGTCTGCAACGGTTTCGCCATTCCCCAATCGACAGCCGGCTGATGTGCGCTGTTTCATGCCTGGGTGATCTGTCCTGTTCCACTCCAGGAAAACGCGCTTGGGTGTCGTCACCCGGTTGTACTGTCACCCGCGACGCCCTCACCGCCCAGACCGGTCTCGAAGCCACGCATGGCAGAGCGCCTCACCGTCCAAAATTTAAAAGAAAAAAAAAACAATAAAAATAAAATATAAAATATAAAATATAAAATATAAAATATAAAAATTCAAGGGAAAGGAATATAGGGTGCACAACAACGGTCCAACAACTGCAGATGCTGGATTCCGTTAACCGTCCATCCAGCACGTCGTACAGAAATAAGACTGCTCTCGAATAACCGCTGGGTCGAGGAGCCTGAGCCGAAACTTACCGGGAGGATAGCCACTCCACAACCTGAAGACACCACGCCCGCCGACCGAATTTATATCGCCATCATACTCCCAAGTTGGTGTGATCCAAGTCTCACGGCTCTACGAGGGAGTACTCTCTGTCTGGGATCCGGATATCGGCCTACAGACCCAGGCATCGCAGGGACCCGGCCCATCTCACTAATGCTCCGTACGGCCCAACGGCTTCCTGTCAGGCATCATTGATTTCGGCATCAAAGTGAAGTTACTCTATTCTGGTAAACTGGGCACTGGTTCCGGAGCCGCCATGGCTGCCTTTCGTCACTCAACGGTTTTTTTTTGGAGGATAAAAGAGGCTGATCTGTAATCCATAGCCATCGAATGTAGGTAACCAACACAGGCTCCACGTCTCCGATAAAACACAACAAGTCTATCATCTTTTAAAAAATGTACTGACCAGGAAGACTTCATCCTACCATAATCATCATATTCTCATCCCCCGTACAAGCAGCCACAGCACCAGCGGGACAACAACATTATCATTCCCACCCGTCAGCACAGCCTCCGTAAAACTTGACCCGGCCGCCGCCAGCATCGCCTTAACCAGCGTATCCAGCGCCGATATCTCGGGCAACCAGCCCCCGACGACCAGCCAAACCCTCGCCGCAACGATACCGACAAAGACAGCTACGGCGAACGCAAAGCTGCCTTCCAGGCTTTTGTCTCCTCCCCAAAACCACTTTTTCTGTCCATACCTCCGGCCAACCAACGATGCTGCTGCGTCGCCCATCCCCACACATATCACGCCGCTGACCATGCTGATATCTCGCCCTTCGATCTCCCAACCAATCCACGGCCAGTCTCCCCCGTGTCGTGCCCCGGCAAGGGTGAGCCAGAGCGGTATACCGCAGCCAATCAGAAGAAAAATGTGCGAGATGATCACAGGACCGCGGTAGTCCCTCCCGTCGATGTACGGGGCAAGAAAGTACGTAATCGGCTTAGAAATAGGCGGGACCTGCGATGCTCTGAAGAGCTCCAGAAGCAAGAAGATCGCAAGGATCAGCGTCATGGCCAGTGCAGTGAAGGCCGGATCCACGAAGGTCGTAGGGAGAAACATGGCCACCATCATGCCGTGGAAGATCTTGCGCCGGGTGTCTACCTCGACGATGGTGCTCAGTCGGATTACCAGCGCCATGCCCACGACGAGAACGAGCATGCAGTAAGCGCAGATGACGAGCCGGGTGTTGGCTTCACCAAAGGTATCGCGTCGGAGATGCTCAATCCATCCCAATCGGCAGAATTCAGCGACCTTGTCGGACCAAGGGGGTAAACTTGCCCAACCGTCGAAACCGGACATCACAAGCCAAAATCTGAGCGAAGGGATATTTCCAAACAGGTAACCAACAGCCCATCCAAAGGGCTCCTGGCCCTGGAGGGCGTTTTGACTAATATACGATCGGACCGGGACCAGGATTATAAGTAGGATAATGAGATACACGAACATGGCGTATGCCCATTTTCGAACTCTGGCTTGGACCAAGGTCAATGACAAGAACGGCCGAAGGGTAGGAGGCAAGGATCGCTTCCGGCGACCGCTGGGTGTAGTTCTGGCATCGCCCACCGTAGAGAACGTATGTCGTCGTCGTCGTCGGTGGCTGCACAGACCGCTAGTCGCGTCGAAAGAAGGCTCATGGACGTCCATCGTGTCCACGACAGAAAACGATTGTTGGCGTTTCGACCTAGGCGGTGTCCATCGTACTTCATGCCCAAGTCGAGCATTCGCAGAAACAAACCATCCGTCAGCATCGTCAGACTGAGACTGGTATCCGTCTTTCAAAGAATCATATACTTTGTCACAGACCTGACGGTCAATCGAATTCCAACGCCCCTCCGATTGGCTTTGGCTGAGTGACGGTCTTCGAAACTTCCATGAAGGGATCCTCGCCAATACAATCTCCCAGCAGAGGACATCCTTGCATGATATATATACACTCAGCCCGCCAAGCCACAGAAGTGCCTTGAAAATCTCAGCCTGGGGCGATTCGGCGAATAGGAGGATATTTATCAACCCAGTAGCCAGAAGAGGAATTTCAGCTGGCAATAGGCTAGTCGTGACAAGGGACTGTAAAACGGAAGCCACAGCCTGATGAAGCGGAAAAAGCAGAACCAGTATTTCCGGGTTTATGTTGAGCAAAGTCAGGACCTTGGGTGGATTTTCTCCCTTAAATGAGAATTCAGCCACAATCGACGGGACGATCGTGATGGCCCAGTGAGTGAGGCTGTATCCATGGGCCATATAATGAAGAGGGACAACATATGGTGGTAGAGAAGATATGCAGAGTATTATATTCGGTAGGAGTAGGGTATGTGCGGTCTTTCCCAGCGATAACGCCACCAGCACGGGCAGATATATGGGGTATATTAACGGAGCGGGATCAAGGTCGCGGGAAAACGGGAAAAAGGCGATTGCTCTTAAAACTGACCAATGCAGCCTGCGAAGGTATATCCGTAGGGGAAGTATAGCGTATAAGGTTGCGGAAAGGATTAAATATGCCCATAGCTCTAACACGTTAAGATCAGCACTAAAATCAAGGCATCTTGTTCTTGAAAGAGTATACCTCTCCTCCAGTCTCGGACGACAGAGCGGACTTCCTGTGGTAAAAGCGCAGCGGCGGCAACTGTAAGAATCCAAACAGTCTCACAGAGCCTTCTTAGAACTTCCACCCTCCACCTTCTCCTACTTCTGCCCCGTTGCCGCAGAGACACCAGCTGGTCCTCCGTCGACTCCGCCGAGCGTTTCCTCCTGCCTCTCCGAATGGCTCTCAATCTGTCCGAAATCTCCGAACCTTCATCCTCATCCGTCCCAACCGTAACCCTCCGCGACGGTGGAGCAGGTAGCCCCTTCAAGACGCCATTCCCTTCGTCGTCCGCGTCCGTCCCGCTATCACTTGAAGTCCTCCGGCTCTTCACCCATACAGAACTATACTCACTCGACCCAGTCTCCGAGCCGAATTGTTCTGTCCGTCGCCGGCGGTACGGGTGCGGAGATCTTGAGAGCCTGCGGAGGGATTGATTCCGGGCGACAATCTGGATATGAGAAGGGTGAGGGGCTGCATCTTCGTTGGGGCTGTTGTCGGCGTCGTTGGATGCCATGCGATCTATATGCGGAGATAGGAGAAGGGGATTGCGTAACGCGGGGGGTGTTTTGTGCTATGATGGTCGTACTGGGTGACTCCGGGCTGCCATGCTGAGGAGCATGAGCGAGAGATGGCGTGGAGCTGCGGGCAAGGTGACGTTCCAGTAAACCGGCAGGATATTGTGATAGGAGCACTTTGGAGAGTCTAAAGAAATAGAGAGATAGCCCTTCATTCGATTCAGGATCGACTGGCAGCTGGAATTTGTATGTTTGTGGCTGTCAGGCGATCAAGCTCCAGATTGAGTTTCACATGCCAGAGCCACGGACCACGTAACAGCGGGATCTTTCTTCACGCAAGGCTTACATGATCTTCAGCTGGCTATGGCCAGTCTGTCCTGTTTTATGCTTCCGTGGGTACTTTAATATATTTGTAAGTATCTACGGAGTACATACATACTATTGGGATCCTTGCGAGGATCTCGAATGCAGGACAAGTGCTGCAGAGAGCTCCCTTCCACCGCAACCCCAGACAGACCTGCAGGGCACAATTTGCGCTAGCAATTTCACGCACAATGCGGGCAAGGGAGTATATATGGTAGCTTGGTAATGCGTCCCGTCCTTCAAGCGCCTTCTTGCCAAATACATGGCCTGTTCTATGGATTTTTCGACATTTTCAGGTTTCACTTTTTCAATGCCGATGGCAAGATGTGTGCCAAACTCAGCACCCTCAGAATGACTAATGGAGATCCCTTCCGAGCTATCCTCGGTGATATCGACATGCGCAGACCGGACCCCTAGCCCCTGCCATTCAATGTCGCTACCGCGTGGGAGCTCATCGACTTCGACAGCCAGGAATGGCGGTATCTTGGATGGGGGTCCAACGATACCAAAATCAGGGAGCGCCCTGGTGGCTTTTTTGTTGCTGCCGAAATCTTGCTTGCGGCCATATTTGATATCCCACGCGTCCAGCATTGAGTCTTCTTCGTCATCCTCATCTCCCGATGGGCTGCTGCTGCCCGTGTTCATCCTCTCCCAGATATCTGATGCAACGGCGGCTTTTGACGATATGCCAGTATCTTGTGCGATAAAGGCTACAGCGCCCAGCCACCAATTAACGCCCATCGCACCCCCTATCCTCCACAGATGCTGTAGAGAAAGGACGGTATGATGAATAAATGACGAAAGCGGATCTGTGAAGGCAACATCTGGCCTCGCCAGCTCCATCGACGCTGGATCCAAGGGTATCTGACCTGCAATGTACACCAATCCCCCATCTTGCTCGAACCCAGATTGCTTCTCCCGCGGCACCCCAACGGCTTGCGAGTAAGGGCCAATATTCGCGGGCGCCCAATATGACCGTGATTGGACGTGCAGGCCTTTCCGGTGGACCGGTGATCCGAGATCTAAAATGAAAGATACGAGGATATCTATCCCTGGTGGGAGCCTATTCCCACAGGCGACAGTTGCCCGTGCTGGAGGGTTGGGCTTTGTGAATAATGATCCGTAGACGGAATTAATGGAAGCGAAATCATCCATAGATCGGAGAAGGATGGTGGTGTAAACGATATCATCTGGGGTGACGGCGCCGAGCTCCTGTTCGTGAGTACGGAGGGCATCCGTTAGCTTTGTCATAATGGATTTCATCTGCGTCGCGGAGTCGTGTCCGGCCTCGGGAGCCGACAGATTAGATATCACCCAGATGTTATCCATCTTTGATTGAAGCGTTTCGACGGCCCAGGTCTTGTCTGCCTCAGGATATGGTAGTTCACGGGATTCTTTTCTCAAGGCATATTCCCCTGTACTTGCCAGGATCCTTTCATACACCAGCTTGAACCCATCGTCAAACAGTTGCGGAATCCGTAGTTCATTTACACTTCCCATGTCGTCTGTTCCCATCTTTTCGACGCAGCTTGCGCTTTTTAGCTTCACAAAGGCAGCGCCTGCCTCTCCCCTCTCCCGTTCCACACTCTGGACCTGAATTCTCTTCTGCCACAGCTCCTTCGGCCCATCCAGAGCCAAACTCTCATACTCGCCCCCTTCACCCAGCACCGCTCCCTCCACTCCCTCCTCCAACAGCATCCCCATCCTCTTCACCAACTCCCTTCTCAGCCGACCATCTCCGGCCGAAACATTCTCCCACAGCATCCCCTCATCCATCCCACCGCTCGCAACCTTGATAATCCTCGCCTCACACCCACAAGCAGCCATATCCTCCAGTAACCCGGCAACGGCAGCGACTGGGCGCGCAGGCAGCCCAGCCCGCTGCACCGGTGGCGGCAGATACGGATACATCCACAACCAAGCCAGCGGCACCAACCCCAACCTCCCCGCCACATTCTCAATCCTAGTACGCTGGTACGTCGAGAGGATCGCACCCGCCGACACCGCGTTCACCTCTGGATGCGCCCTCATGACATCCTGCAGGAGATAAAGCAAACATTCCGTCTCATCCTCTTCCCCTCCTCCTCCTCCTCCTTCTTCTCCTCCTCCCTCCTGGCGCGACTGCGTCGCGGGAGTTTGATAGTCCCGCGCCGTATTCACCGCCGTGCCCCTGATTTCTCTTCGATAGAGTGGTACATCCAATGCTTCTTGATACAGAGGTATGATACTATGTCCGATCGTCTGGTACATGTAGCTATCCATATCCTCTTCCTCCCGTTCCGGCCTATCATCGTCATCATCGTCATTATTGTCGTCACCTCTACCTCTCCGCGTCAAGGGCGGATGCAGGTTCGCCAACGCCACCAGCCTATGCCCATTCTTCAGGCAATGTAAGATGGAATAGAGCGAATCCTTCCCGCCCGATATCAATGCCACGACGTTTAGCTGCTGTGGCATGGTGACTGAGATGTGGGGAAACGGGATTTCACGTTTAGATCACCCGGAACCGGTGTGAACATCGCAAAGCACAAGTAATACTAAAGTAATTAGGTACGTGACTGGAACAACTTGAAATATGTATGGTATTGTCAAAAAAAGAGGAGTTTTCAGGGGGCGGATACCTAATTTTCCAGTCCCCGAGAAGTGGTTTGAGAGTGCAGTCCAGCGGAGTTTGATGCGCGGGAAGTTCCCAAAAATAGCCTGCTGGAAATTGCGTGGGTTGCAAAAAAGAGGCAAAAAAGAAAATAAAGCGGCCAGTCTCGATTCCGCCCACTCCGTTGCTGGAGACGACTTGCGCCTTCATCTCCGAAGACCCAAAAGAAAAGAAAAAAAAAAAAAACAAAGGGAAAATCAATGGGGGTACTTGGTTACCGTCCGCATGTCTAGAACACCCGCTCATTTCCTCATCTACTCCGTAGATACTCCGTAGTTACAGCCATTCCGGGCCAAGTTGCACGGCATCTCGCCCGGCTCGCGCGTCACACCGAAAGCACAAACAATCCCATCGTCCTATCCTGTACTCCACCCTGCATGTAGCCGTCGAAGCTGCAGGGCGAGAAAATAAGAAAGGTATGCGCAAACCTATCACAAGCTATTTCACGGTGACGGGTTACATTTTATGCTAACTATTCTCACTTTGATATTTTTTTTTTTTTTTTTTTTTTTTTTTTTTTTTTGGGTATATCTAGATTTCTAATGACCTGGAGAGACACTCATCGGAAGCTCGAAACTGCTAGTAGTAAAAAGGGTGTTAAACAAGACGTGCAAAGATCGAAGAGTAATAACTAGGCAATAAGGCAAAGAAAAAAAAAGAGAAAAAGAAAAAAAATTCAGTTGAGAATAAGACAAAGTTGTCTTGACGAATTGAAGTGAAAGACAAAAAAAAAAAAAAGGAAAAGGAGGCCGTGGCCAGCCACATAAGAAGGTTCAGGATCAGACAAGCTTGATTGGGAATCAGGCCAGAGAGAAGAGAATACATAAAGAAAAGGCCAGAAGGGCAGGGCGGATTGGAATATTTTGGTACCAAGGACAAAAGTGATTAAAGGGGAATATTATACAACAGAAGTGAGAAGAAATGAAAGGGGAGTCCACAAAGTGGCAAAATAGTGAGAAGAGCAAAAAAAAATAAAGAAATAGAAAAATAAAAAAAAAAAAGTTAATAAAAAGATGAGGAGAGTCATCACAGATGTGAGGATCAACGGCTGGACACAAAAGAAAAGTAATAGATCTACAGGAAAAAACGCAACCATTAGCCAATCCAACGCAGATGCCAATAACAGTATCAACGCAAACACAGCAATGACAACGACGAGATTATGATGGAGGAGACAAAAACAATGGCTATTATGATTTGAGTAACTTGCTCCGTCGCTTTATCCCGTTTCCTAGTCCACCCGCCCATCAGTCGAGGATGGTGGTGTGTTTCGACTGACCAAAAAAAAAAAAAAATAAGGAATAATCCCAAGAACTCCTTTCCTCCAGCCCCTTGTCTATAGTGTAGAATGATGCAGCGTATATTATGACCCTTTCTTTCAAAACAAAGCACCAGTAGAGTTCCTCGAGAGGTAATGCCAAACAGCGCCCAACTCGCAACGGCAGAGTTGGGTCCAAGTAAAAACGATGCTCCAAATGCCCACACCTATGACGCCTGTATATCCCTGTCACCGAAAAAGGGGGACGGAGAGATGATTTCTTTCATTTCATGAGATGGCCTGGACCAGACAATTGCAGATAGACAGATATAGATATCAGTCTAGGGGATGCTAGTAACAGGGAAATATCATACAGAAGATGTGAAAAATCATCCAGACTGCTCCCGCTTGCGCTTCTTGATAGGCCGCTTGCGGTCGGACTCGACGCTTCGGGGAGAAGAGAGACTGCTATCAGACGATTCGCTCGTGGTCGACTGATATGCAGCCGCGCGTGCGGCTTCATAAAGCACAGCTCCCAGTGCGCCGGCGTCCTGTTCATACGTTGGAGGTGCGGGTGCAGGGCCCGCCGGGGCCGTAGGAGGCGGAGGGGGCGGGCGAGCTTCCCGCGGCTGTACAACATTCATAAGGACAGAAGTATTTCCATGGGTTCGCGCATGTTGAGCGAGATTGTCGCTGCGAGAGAACTTCTTCCCGCATTCTGTACATTCAAATGGCTTCTCCTCAGTATGGAGTGAACGATAGTGGCGCTTGAGATGTTCCTGGCGTCTGAAGCGACGAGAGCAGAGAGAACACACAAATGTTTTAGAAGGATCGTCTGTCAAGGATTGCTTGCGACCGCGACGGCTGACGGGGACAACTGGGGGATGTGCAGGAGCTCCGGGAGCATTGGCAGAGGGAGGTTTAGGTCCGGAATTCTCTTGGTTGGGGGAACCAGACTGTTGTTGAGGCTGGGTGGCCGATGCATCTCCGTTGGCATTGTCTGCGTTCATGTTACCTTCAGTCTCGTAGAGAATCGCATTGCGCTCGTTGCTCACGGACGACGTCGAGCGTTTCGTTGACTTCCGTGAATTTGAGCGTTTCTTTGCTTTCGTTGGCTCGACCTCGGTCGGGCTTGGCTGTGGCATTTCGGAATCGAGAATGTGCAAATCTGGATGAGCAAGAAGTTCGTTTTCCTCCAAATCTTCTAGACTTTGTTCGCTGATCAGGTCATCATCATCAGATGGATATAGAGCAATTCGTCGGCGCTTGTCCCCCACGTAGAATGTGTCGTCGGACACGGTGAAATTGACGATTCCGCTCACAAATTCGTCGTCGGAATCAAGGTCCGAAAGACTCTCAAATGAGGGCAAGGAGGGTACTGCGTGCACAGTGTTGATTGGATTGGTGAAGCTGTTGGCTGCGTTACCGTCCGAATTCTCCGAAGCGCCAACTACGCTGAGAAGGAATTTTTCACTGTCTTCGTCTTCGCTGGAGCTGAGGGACGGGAGTGGCGGGAAGTCGGAGCCAGAAAAGACTGATGATTCCACTGTCAATTGACGGGGATCACAGAAATCCGAGCTGCACTGGGGTGGTGGAAGAGAGGCTGATGTTGTCTCATTCAAAGTCAAGGACGTGAGGACCGGGGACGGGGATGGAGAAAGCGAGGGGCAAGAATTGTTTGTGGACACCTGGGAGAAACCCTCCTCGCTGTTGTGGCTAACGGTTTGGCTAGCTGGAGATGCAGACTTGACAGGAGGATGGATGTAAACTAAACATTGCGATAAATAAAAGTCAGCACCTGTCTGACAAGACGTTTTCACCGTTAATATTTTAGCAGTTCACGGAGAAATACTGGTGTTCGAGTACCCAGTGGATTAGTCACCAAAGTTTTGTTGGCTTGGCGCTGCCTTTCTTTTTTTTTTTTTTTTTTTTTTTTCCCCCAAACACCTCACCGAAGAAAAGATGCCGACGGAAAGATAATCCATATGCGCAACATTTTTCCTTTTTTTTTTTTTTTTTTTGTTTGGGACTTCTTCACACAAATTCAAAATGCAACTTACCAGGTGTCAATGGTGGGGAATGAGACCGTGTCCAGTCACCACTGGCTAAGATTTCCGTTGTCACATCTCCCTCGCATCCTTCTTTCACGCCCTCGATGCCTTCAATGCGGTAGAACCCACCGTTGACAGGGGTGTGCAACATCCCACAGCTCGACGGAGGGCTGCTGATCGTGCTTCCCGACGTGGACAACGGAGGTGTCGATGGGAACGTATGGAAATCCGTCATGCAGTTGGTGTCGATCGGGAGGATTCCCGGAGAACCGTGAAGCAGGATGCTTGGTTTGATATGAAGCGGTCGCGGCGACACGCTTGGGCTCAGCATCGCTTCGTCGTTGAGGAAGTTCTTCGGTGCGATGGGCTGCATTGGTCCTGGCTGGTGGAGCAGGTGGTGCTGTTCTGAGATCTGCGGTTGCTGGGGCGGGCAATACTGATCGTGGGTAAAGATTGGCTGGTTGTTTGCTGGGTGCATTTCGGCTGGGTGGGTTGAAAAATAGCCATGCTGTCCCGGGTGAGCATCGGGATCGGGGTTGTAATAGAAGAACGAAGGTTGGCCCCCTGCAGGACCAGGCTGGAGTGTGTATGCATCCATAGTGGTCAACGGCTTCTATATCTGGATCAGCCCCAGCCGAAGTAGAAAGAAGGAAAATAAAAAATAAATTAAAAAAAGAAGCAAACCGGTGAATGGGTCAGGGCCACGTTGTCCGTGGCGACTGCGAAACGTACCGTCAAAACTTGGGCCCTTTATTTTTCCTTTTCCTTTTTCTTTTGCCGTGCAACGGACGGCGAGAAAAGTTTGGCGGGAAAAGATAATCAGCGACCGTACGAGGATGCCTTTTTTTTTTTTTATTTTTCCTTTTCTTCCTGGTGGTGGCTCAAGTTATTACGACTAGATCGACAAGTTCCGCACGAATATCGGTGCTGAAAATGCCTGGGGTATATATTAATTTGCAAAGGAGTATTGCTGACTCTTTAAACGACGTTTGCGCGAGGGCTCAAGGAGCGTGAGGAATTTCAACAATGCAGCAGAGTGCTAAGGAGTGACTGTTTGAAGGAGAGAATCGATGGGTCGGCCCGAGGAAGGCATGCAAGAAGCTCGCAAGTATGTGGTTACCTGCGACCGGAGTAGCGTTTTGCGGGAGATGCGCTTGGTGGGCTTTCTTAATCTTTCTTTTTTTTCTTGATCGAGATCAGGAATCGTCAGAGACGCATTATCAGGGACGTATATCTGTGCTTGTCGTCTTTTGTGTTTCAAAAAATGAAGGACTGAGGTGCATCCGATAAGAGAGTCATGCCACGAGGGGAGGCAAACGGCAAGGGCCGCAATAGAGGAACGAAGTCGGGAGTTATAATGATTATCCGGGGCAAAAAAGAAAAAAAATAGATATATATGTATATAATATAATAAGAATGGTAATAACAGTGGTATTAGAAGGAGAGCAACATCAACAGAGAGCGACAAATGCGGGAGGAGACGAAGAGGGAAAGGAAAGACTCAGAAAAGAGAGGAATCTGGCACTTGGGTGGTAATATAGTGAAGAGAGCGAGAGGAACTATATTTCCGCCCAACGTTTAGTAGGCGAAGTGGAAGAGACGAATTAAAGCCAGGGAAAGGTGGATTACAACAGAATAGTTCAAGATGGGCAAAAAGATAAAAAAGAGCGAGCGGCAAAAAAACAAAAAGGGAGCGTGATGGTGGTGGTGTCTGGTCGGTTTAGTCGAGAGAGAGGAAACGGAGGAGGGAAGAGGCGACGCACGAATCCAAGCCCAAGCAAGCAGAATAAATTGCCTATCAGATGTTGCAGGACCCGGCGTGGCCATATTGTCCAGCATGAACGACCCAGGGCCTTCGCTTGGGCGGGGGGTTCCCTCCCTCGCAGCCTTTTTTTTTTCCCGCCCAGAGGGGTCAACGCGACTCACTAAGTGGACGCTACAGCGGTCCAAGACCCTGTCAGCGAGGTCTGGTACCCTAGTCCAAGGTGGCCTGGGGCCGTCTCTTCGGACGATAGCGCAGTGGGAGGCAGAGCCAATCCACCTAGACTGCTGATCCCCGGCGGCCTGCTCAACTCCTAGTGGCCAGAGATGGTTAACCAGTCACAGCGTTCCATAACTAACGAGCCACAGATTAGGGTCAGGCCGGCCGCTCATAAGTCAATTTTTTCTCCGCAGAAAATGGAGGTCCTTTCGCCACTAAGAGAGAGAGAGGGAGTCTCGGTGTGTGGTGTGAGTGTGAGTGTGAATGTGGTGTGTACGGAGTACGGAGTAAATGCATGCATTACAATAATGTCATGTATTGTAACTACGGGCATCGATACCCACAGGAATACCTTTCTTTTCCAATTTAATAAAAAAAAAAAAAAAGCCGTTTTCTTTCATCTTTATTAGTGTACTCCGTACGGAGTATTTGGTTTGACCGGAATTTTTTTTTTTTTTTTTTTTCTTTTCTCCATTTGAGTCTCAGAATATCGGTGGTGATGTTGTGGAGTGGGAGATGAGTGACTTCGCCCTCAACCGAGGCCAGCGTGGCCCGAAGACCGAAGAACGAAAGACGAAGCTGAATCTCTGGAAGTAACATGAGCGCACCGCAGGCCCTGAATGATGCCTCTTCGCATTCCCGCGTCTGGGAGAAGCCATCAAATGAATGGTTTCGAGCGGTGTGGGCCGAAGTTACCAGAAAAACCAACCCAGAGTGGGGTTTCTCTGGTGGAAGTGCGCCGGAGGACGATGGGCCAGAAGTCAAAAAAGGAGGTCAGCAAAAAAAATAAAAAATAAAAAAGGCGTCAGTCGTAATCAGGCGTGATGCATGGTGTGCGAGCAGGATCAACCGCGGGCCGGTATTGGTGGGCTCGCGGAGCCTGTGAGTCGTGCTTGTCCTCCTATTGCTGCGTCGAATCGGGTTCGGCCGCCAAGAGGGGCCCGCTGGGGAACAAATAATCATAATGAAATGCGGAGGTTGAACCGCGTTACAGGGGTGTCGACTGGCGTAACGCATGCCCTCCCGCCTGGCCATTCACACCACGTCGTCGCAGCTGGCCGTGAGCCCTTGGCGTGATTGGCCAGGCTTTAAATTGACGCCGGAACCCGGGCTCTGGCCAATCGTGGCATGGAGTACCTGGGATGCCCAAGGCAGACCATCAAGGTCCCTCGTGCTTCGAGCTTCCTGCGCTCGATTCCCACCGTCACGGAAAAAGGCCGTTGCCCACGGGTGAACCTTGCGACTCGCTCGCGGAGGCAAGGTGACTCGCGACCCCATATATCCGCTCTGTCGGTGATACAGTCCCATGCTTATGATTATCTCTGGGAGGGGGGAATATTAAAGAAAGAGTGAAAGAAAAAAGAAAAGAAAATGGCGAGATCGCCTTGGAGAAGGGCCGCTCAGCACTAAGAGCCTGAAAAAAATGTGAAATTTGACGCTCAGAGCAATATAACAACAGAGCGGGAATGAAGGAAAAGCAAAGAGCAGCCAGATTGCGTGCACCTGCATTAGCCCACGCATAAGGTTCTATCGGAATTTGTCCCAGGTTTCATTTCTAACCAGGCGGTTGAAGGCTTGGGAGACGAATTTCAGCAGTTACAGGCCAGACAACCGTTTCAGAGGAACCGATGGAGAAATACGACAAAACATCCGTCTTCAGTCTCTCTCTCACACTCTCTCTTTTCTCACTCCGTATCTAGGCTTGGTGAGGCGGTCTTCTCACGCGAATCAACGGCGGTGGTGGAGGCTTCTTGATCGACAATTTCCTTTGTTATGGTTGCTGTTGCTGAGACCTGTTGCTGGCACGTTCTGTTTTCATGGGAAAGGTACTGGTTGGTTTGGGTGGGTAGTTAGAGCTTGTTTGCTGTCGCGTGTCCGCGGGATTGGCTCCGGTTTGATGATGTCCTTGCCATAGAAAATTGAGACAGGCTGTCTGCCTTGGGGAATGGGAAAGCTTTCTGGCCGAGCGATCCGGAAGATTGAAACCGAGAGAGACGCAGGCGTCGATGCCTCATGCAGCACAACCTCGAGGTGAATTGTCCTTGGCAACACCGGGTACTTACTTCGTTCAAGTCCTCGTTGACCAGCCCTGGGAGGATACGTAGTATCTCGGTCTTTTGCTTTGTTCCACACCAGTGTGAAGCTCAACCCGAATGTCTGATATTCAACAGTTTTCGAGCCACTTTTGTTCTTGTTCCAGAAAGTACTCTGTAAATCTGAATACGACGCAATTCTCATCTGCAAGTCACTGGCAAACCTTGCACTACAGATTGTATTGAACCTTTTCTTTTTTCTTCTTTTGTTTTCTTTTTTTTCGCTCAAGAACATACGGTGCGGTGGACATTGGCTTTCCTCCGGGGATGCAGCCAGCCTATCTAACTATGCTTCTCAGAAGCCGACCACTTCGTTTGTCAAATAGCACGAGGAGTCATTTTTGAGAAGCTTTTGCGATGTGGACTTTGAGAAAAAGGTCACAGAATATCACACGAGTCTCTCCTCTTAGATCGTGGTGATCTGCATGGTCAATGCACCTTTTTATTTTTTTTAAACCACGAAAGTGTCCAAGCATCCTCCGGATTTTGTGCACTGCAAATCATCGATCAGCGAAGGACGCTTTGATACCTTCCGGCCAACGACTGGCTCCTGGGCGCAATTGGGTTAAAGTCGGCCGGTACCTGAACCAGTTACCGTTGTCCAGACTTTTTACAATTCAACAACGAAAGGGAAGTGGGCAGAAAAAAAAAATAAATAAATAAAATAGAGGCTGGCATACTCCGTCCTCCGTACACGTTCCGTACAAACCCCGTACATATGGACGGCAATCTTCTGACCGCGTTCTCCGTAGGCCCATGATTGGAACTGGGATAAGGATTAATACGACTCTCTAAGATGTGTCGATGGACACCCGCGATTAATCCGAGGAATATGAACAACTAACTAGTTCGGTGGGTAGTGTTTGAGCACTGGAAGTTTACCTTGGCTTCGGGGGGCGCCAACAGCCGAGAACGAGGCATGTGAAATCGTAAGTTTCAACGGGCCACCAAAGCAAAGCACATGAAATATTAATCCCAGCGCTCTGGGAATTGTGGACGAGCAGTGAAACAGGAACAACACGCATGTTGCAGATCTTAAACGGTCAAGATGGAAGAAAATACTTACATTTGGTTGTTGATATGTCAGAAAGCCTCTTCTTTTTCCAATGGGCGCAGTCTGCGGGTTCGTGGGAATCGATCCGTCTGGCTTTTCGCCTCCCAGAACACGTTCGACTTGACATGTCTCAGAACACGCCAGCAAAATCCCAAAAGTCTGGGAGGAGTTAGTTTAGCTCGAACGATATCGAGGCGAATATTTTTTTTTTTTAATTCTGGCGAACTCTTTCGATGCAACGCCAAATTCTCCGATTCTGATCAGGAACCCACTTCTAGTCTCAAAACCATCCCGTACGAGATACGGGGTTGCAAGGAACGTCCAAGGGCAAACCACCGCTTTGCAGCAGTAGCAACGCCTTGGAACTACAGTACGACATAACCTCGAAGAGCGGGAAGCGATCATCCTAATATCCCTTCCACCACCCGCGATATCGCTGTTGATGAGTCGTAAAGCAACAAGGATCGAATGGGAGTAATTAGCATCACTGACCTTGTCTTTTCCCTGCTCTCGATATCCTTCGAGAAATTCTGGGCAATTTCTATGTATAATCCTGGGTCTCTGTAACCCTCCCCCCCGTAAGCAGATGAAACACTCCAGAAGGCTTCCTTGCGTGTTCCTGCATGCCCACAGTGGAACATTTGACTCGGCAAAACTTGGCAATTGGACCTCGACTCTCAACTTTCAAGGATGACCAGCGAGTGGAGACGATTATTGGTTATATTTGGACTGATCCCACAGCCAGGATACCAAGGAAAAAAAAAAAGAAAAAGGGTTTCAAGATCAAGAAGACGTGATCAGGTTAACTTGCAAAAAACAGCGAAACCTGTTGGAGCTGCAAAACTGACGACCGAGACTACGAACTGAAATCATATACGAAGCAGAGGGTGAGCTTTCCCCTCACAGGACCATGGAACGCTTGTCTGGGGTTATCAAAATAAGACTCCTTGGGCGACGTGTCCAAGCGAAATCTTGACGGGCCGGGCTCCCAACCTTGCTCGCCTATCTCCCTAAAACCCACTGAATTGATAGTCTCCAGCGTGCGGAGCACCTCCAATCTTCGGAGTTTGAGACCCAAAGAAGGGTAAGGTTTCTGCGATGGAGCACTCTCCCGATTGCTAAAGGAAGCAGGATGGAAATATCAAATCGCTAAGCTACCGAGTATTTCTCAGCCGGCCTGGCTGACTAGCTCCAAGGGAAGGATTACCGGGTTGAAACCCCCGAGCTTCACCGTTAATTCTCATGCGAGTGACAACCGGGAAGGCATTGAATTACGCGATCAATGGCGTAAGCAAAAAGGTTCATCGTCTCCGCCACATTTTTCAACACGAAATCTTCTCTCGAGACAACAAAAGCACTTCGCGGGTGGATGTACCGAAATTCGACATCCATCAAGCTTTAAACTCGCTTTTTCTGCAATTTGCCTATTCCCCGCAATTGTTTTTCCCGTTCCCACAATCTCCACTGAACACAACGAGGCAATTGGCTAAAAGCACACCGGGACGCCATGAACTTCAATTCCCGGGACCCATCAAATAGATTCGACTCTGCAAAAGCGGCTTGCGGGAACGGGATCGCTCCAGCATGAAATTGCAGATTTCATCGCCATTGCAAAGGCCAGTGCGTCGTGAGCGGCAGAGCTGAGCTCTTCGGCAATGATAAACAGGCTTACTTTGCCTTCTTCGGTCATGGTGACATCCTCAACGCCAGTTGAAGGGAACGGCGCTGCTTGCGGGAAATTCGGTCAAAAGGCGCGACGGTGGGGGGTTTGTGTTTGCAGAATCTATCTGCCAGAGCTCCAAAACTCTCTTCTCTCGATTTGCGTATCGGCTGTTGTTGATACTTACCCACAGCGCGGTATTTTGTGGAGCTGCGTTTGTTTGCTATCTGCTCTCAGGATGGAGCCCGGCTTTGGGGATGAATGAGGTTCCTCTCAAGATTCCCGAGCTTGAGATAGGCTTCAGCTTTCTTAAGATTGTTATCACTTGGCGGGTCTCCAGCTGACGGGCGGGAAGGCTCCCGCTCCCGGCGTTAAGTCCACCGTCATCATCTCTTTGTCCGATGACAGCAGTTCCCAAATGCATTGAAAGATACGCCCCTGCTCTCGGCCCCAGACGTTCTGCCACCAAGACATGTGGCCGACGAGGATGGGAGTCAGGCTAAGATTAATACCGGTAAGTCATTTCTCCTCTTTAAAATCAAAGCATAATAATGGTGCTCCATTGAACAGGGGAAAGGGGCTTCGATTGTCGAGAAAGACTCGTAGTTAGCTTTGAGCGCCCTTTTCCATACCGGCAGCAGAATTCTTTATTCAGCCATGCTCTTCGAAACATAAGTTGCCTACCTGGCTACCAGCTACTTATTAAGGGACTAGACAACAAAACAGGGTAACTGACTGCCCATTTAGAGCCCTGGCAAATGCCACCATGATGGCGCTTTGCTGTTGACAAGGGGAAGAGACTATGTCGAGCACTTTCACTCGCGAACTCTTCTGCATCCTAACGCAGGCTATGTGTGAATGAACAAGGCACTAGCCACATTATGCTTTATATTTCTTTTCCTCTTCCTCTGTGGGTATCGGCATTCTCTCATTATTTCCATGTCCGCCGTGTGAATCCGCTTTAGAACAGTCTCAATAGCACAATTCTTCTAAGACAAAAAGCTCAGAACGTGACACCAAATCTCTCATAAGAATTTCTCATCACAAGCAAATGGCCAATTGACCATCAGGTACAAATCATCAGATTATTAATCCGTTGGATAGTGGAATGATTCACAATAATCACAGACCTGGGAACAGAGAAAATTATTCACAAATATTGGCTCTCTTAGTAGGCTGCTCAGCGAACCACAGCAGTCAAGTTTAGGCTTCAGAGGAAATGTCATATTGAGATCATCGCTCAACAGAGCTTCAGTCTCTTCCTATTAAAATTTCTCAGATACACAGAGTGTACCCCATCATAAGCCCTGATGAAAGAAAAAAAAGGAAGAGAAGAGGAGGAAGAAAACCAGAGCAGAAAACTCTGTCAGAGAGCTCCACAACAATCTGCTGACATAATCTAACTTATGATTATATAATACACAATGGGGCTAATCCTAATACAGCTTAGTCCATCTTCTTTAAATACCCCCAGCGCCCACAGCCGCTTTGAAAATTTTCTTCTTCTTTTCTTTTCCTCGTGCGGCGTACGCAGCCCAAATTTCACCCGTGTTGCCTATGCATCTGGCCCTTCTTCAGGACCACAATGATGAGATTATATTAGGTGTCGGCTGCGTTCCAGAGAAACGGAAATTGCACATCGATTCGTACTTTACTGGTCGTTTTTTGAGGGACCCCGAGGGAAGTTCTTCGTGACTTGTACTTGTGCGTCCTTATTGGGGAAATGGCCATTTGGTTTGGGATCGAACAAACTTGCTCGTCCTTCTTGACACTTGTGAGAAGGATGTTTGGTGGAATGAGCTCTACATAGCTTGTGTGAGAGAAATATAGTTGAGACATCCAGGTAGAATAGTTAATACAATACTCAGTCAAGCTTGACATGATATCCCCTCCATCTAGATTTCTGATGAAGCTGCCGATGAATGAATGGGACACAGGTTCCGTCAAGAAGTGTTTGTAGCAACCTTGCCTGGCTTCGTCATTGGATCTTTGGAGGTCAGAGATTTTCACGATGACCCTCCGGAGTCCCAATCAGTATTGTAGCTATCTGCTGCAGAGAGGTCTCGCGGCAGGCTGTTCAAGAAGCTGCTCTGTTTAGCCTACTCTCCTCCTGGTTCGCCAAATTTCTCCAGCTTTCCCATCTCCATCTTCTCTCCCGAATCACCAAAGAGTCGTATCCTATCAACTCTGATCTTTTCACCATCCCCGTCCCCGTCTACGAAGTATACGACTAAAGATGCAACTCGCTGGAACTTGACGAAGCGCAGGTCAACCTTCGCAGTTCCCGTTTTCGCATCCCAGTCTCTAGGCTCAATCGTAACCTCCTGCGTTGGCTGAACATCGTCGGCTTCGTCGAAACCGATAATGTGTGACCGATTCGTGTATAGCTTTATTGTCTTAGGGCGCATGGGGACTTCATCGTCTTCATCCTTTGGAGGAAGAGAGGTAATATGCAATGAATGAATCTTCAGCGAGGCGTTAAATGGCATGAACAGCATCAGCTGCTCGTCTGTGTCACTCTCCACCCAGTCCGGTTTGCTCTCCTCTTTGGCCTTTGGTTTGAGTGCCGAAGGCTGCGACCTCTCGAAAATGTTTTTTCCAGGTCCAATGTCGTTGTCGCAGTTTAATAAGTCTATGCCCTTGAGATCGACCTGGTCGGTGATGTCCTGGTAGCCCTTGGGAACAGCAGCTCCTAACCAATTGCTTCCACTTTCTGAGGATTCACCACCAGCCGCTGCGCCAGTGTCTCCGCCTTCACCACCCGCGGCGAATTTCCTGACTGCATCGGTGAGACCTCTTGAGTTTGCGCCTTGGATCGTTTGGACAACGTCGCCGTCCTTGAATATCAGGAATGTTGGCATTCTGTAGAACCCAAAGATATTACGCGTATCAGCGGGGGCCATCTCCCACAGCCGTTAGAGAGGGTTGATACCCGGATAACTCTATACTTACGCAGTAACACCAAAGGCCTGGGATATCTCCTGTTGCTCGTCAACATTGATCTTGACAAATGACACTTGGTTCGGACGCGATAGTTGAGTGGACAATTGCTCGAAAACCGGGGCGATGACTTTGCATGGCTGGCACCAATCGGCATAAACTGATCATGAAGAGAAAATTAGATTAGCAAATGTGATCCGTACAGGGCCTGCAAGGCCGAACTCAGTGCAGATGTTCTCCAAAAGGCTGCCGAATGAAACTTCGAGCGCGGGGTAGGGCGGGGATAACAGCTGATTTTGGAGGGTAAGGGGATCGACACTTGAACTTACAATCTGCGATAAGGATTTTGGTAGATGTGAGCAACTGAAAAAACTGCTCCGAGGACGTGATGGACACCGGTTTGGCCATTTTGACGGTGGTTGTTCGGTGGTTGGAAGAGAATGGAGGGACTGAGCGTGACGCTATAGGCAGCCAAAGTGCCTGGAATGCGTGGGTTGATTTTTAAGCACAGCAATCAAGTCCAGGCACACGAATCAAATGCTCGACCACCCACTCAATAGGTACTTCCACACAGCATATGGGTACATAATAAGTTCCTCTGGGATCACATTGGGCGACTCGGCGTGCATTTTGGATTTAAACAAAGACTTTGTAGCTGCTGCGTGGGATAACACCTGGCTGAGGTGCTGTCTCCATAGTCTTCAAAACTACATATAACCCTCCATATACGACCCTTCAGTTATGTACATACATCCTTCACTTCCCTCCTTTCACTTAGGATAGTAAGCTTTGCAAGGATGATAAGTCGTATTTGCTTCCGTCTTTTAACACTTCGCTCACTGCGCGATCCGGCATCTCTAGATCCATCCTAGTTCCCGCTAGAAATCACAGAATATCGGCGCTGCAAACTCTCAACCCGGTAAAAGTCGCTATTCACCTTCGTCGATATCGAAGATCTGGCGTTGACTTTCGACACTGAGGTAGTATTCTTGTGGGCCACTTAAGTCGTGGCATGCTTCGTCCGGCCGTTCGCGGCGAAGCCTTGCTTAAAAAGCGATGAAGCATGGACTCCCCGCCGATTTTGCACTCCCATAAACGAAAATAAGATCCCATAGGCTGTTTTTAGCTTTTCAAGACTTGCCGTCCACACAATTCTCGTCATTCCCCGCATCCGGCACATCTTCTTCATCCACCGCGAAAAGAACTTTGGCCCAGAGACTACACCCTTGACATCCGACCATTATTTCCCCCCTCTCCATCTCATTCTCTAGGTCTTCTTCGTGGACCAAAAAGCCCCTTTTGTCTCCGCATCTACAGCCCCGATACCAAAAGCCGGCACCTTCTGATTCCTCTCCGACCTCCATATCGTCTAAATCAAACACCTCTAATCCGGTGCGAAACGGCTGGCTTTCGCTATCCACGGCGTGCTGGCCGCCTGCACCGCTAGCGAGACATAATAGGGAACGATCGTATTCAGCTTTTGCGCGTGGGTTGGAGAGGACTTTATATGCCATGGTCACCTGGTCCACGGTGAAGGTTCGGGGGGCTTGGAAACCCGATTTGGCGACGGGAGTAGCAGTCCGCCCGGATGAAGTGTCCTCTGAGGGAGTCGAAGAGCCGGACTTATCTGGATGGTGTTTTAGTAGAGCGCGGTGGTAGGCCGCTTTCAAATCCGGTTGTCGGAGTAGGGCTGGAGGGCGCGGCAGCCCGAGGATGTCATAGTGAGTAGTAAGCAATACCCATTCTCCAAGTGGGGGAGTCATTGCTCAGATAGGACAGATTTGCGGATTGTTATGCAAGAGTCCATCCATACCGTTTTGCCATTTTGTAGCTGCCGATGGAGCAGGGGGGAACAGAGAAAAATTATGGCGGGGATACGGCAGTTGTGCCGCTCGGATCGGTGACTAAGCATGACACAAGGGCCGGGCTGATGGCATCCATCGACGACGTGTTCAAAGCATACCAAAATACCAGGGCTTTTTGAGCCTGAGTTACCATCAGGTAGACACATGGCGAGTGGAACCAGTGGCTGTTAACGGTCGGGCAGATGTTCGTACCCTTCCTTTTTTTTTTTTTGATTTTTTGGACTGGGCTAGCGGCGAAAAAATGCCGCAAGTTCCTGGACACATGAGAAGTGCACAACCTGATCTTATAAAGAGCTGCGATCTTTCTTCCCTATATTTGTTTCAGAATTTGCATGGACTCATAATTCGCCATCCCTTTTTGCAAAGGTTTGAGTTAAAATGCGAGAGTCGATCAAGAAAAGCCCCTTCTTTTACCCAAAGCCAAGGGACTTTAGCAGCACAGGATTTGGGGTACGCTGAATCTAGCATTCAACAATGAAAGGCAGGAACAATTAAAAAGAGCAGTAAGAAGTTCAAAACGAAGGAAAACTGAGAACCATCTGTTTGATTTTTAACTACAGGAACATGAATTAATCTGGGCATAAGACATTGGGTTAGAAGTCTGACCAAAAAAAGAAAAAAGGTACAGGACGCTCCTGATATGCGACTTTTTACTCGCTTCTCTTGAAGACGTAGCGGTCTTCAGCCTTGGAGGTGAAAGGCACGCCCAGCTCAAGGAGCTTGACGAATACATCGGAGAACTCCTTGAAGAAGACATCGCTATCCTTGGCGTATCGGTCGACGTGTTTCTTGAATTCTTTATCCTTAATCAAAGCCATATCCGTTGGAAGCATCATCAAGGTCTTGGTGGTGTTGTCGGTGAACTGTTTAGGGCCGTTCCACTGTTCATTGGGTTAGCTACAGCTTGAGCAGCGAAGGAAGGGAAGGGGCAGGAGAGCATACCTTTTTCTGGACCCATTTCTCGTCCAAAAGCAACTTGAAGAATTCATTGGTGAATACGGTAGGGCTGAAGTCCCATGGTCCATCATAGCCGGATCGGTCGCTGTGAGCACGGCCGAGAGCGTGAGCACCGCAAAGAGCGACCATCTCGCGATCATCGAAACCCATACGACCGAAGATAGCTCTGATGTGCTTCTGATCCTTGGAGGCATCTGGAAGACGACCATCAGGTGTGCAGGCAGTCATATCAGCGTCCTTGCGGCCGGGGCGCCATGGGATGTCAGGTCCTCCCAACTCCTGGATGGCACAAGAACCAGCAAGGGTCCAGAGATCGGAGTAAGAAATCCAAGGGAATTTCTCTGGAAGACAGGGACATAGAGTTAGTACGTGGTTCTGCAAAGATATACCCCAGCAAAGTGCCGTTTAATACTCACTCTTTACTGGTTCGAGGAAATCTCTAGCAGCCTTCAATCCAGCATTGGCACCGTGGTCAGACTCTGGGGCGAAGCGCATGGTAGCGCCATTGCTTCCTCCAGTCCCAGTTTCCTTATCGTAGGTACCACTGGCGTGCCAGGCGAGACGAACAAGGACCTGGGAGGGGGAAAAAAAAAATATACACATCAGCGAATCTGTGTTTTCAAGAAAACCGGGGGGGGAGGAGAAAAACAAACAACTTACAGGTCCGTAGCTTCCATCATCATAATCGTCCTTCTCTACAAGAAGTCTTGCAATTTCATCATAAACCTTCTGGAAGTCCTCCTTGGTTGGGTCGGAGATGATAGTAGGTTTCGCCGAATTCGACGACAGGTGGTCACCGTTCAAGTAGTAGAAAGCACCGGCACCACCAGCGGCAACGGCTGCAAGACCCCAGATGAGGCCAGAGGACGACTTTCCACCTTCAGCGCCGGAGGAGTAGCCCCTGCGAGACGACGCGCGGAAAGTATAGGCGGGAGCAGAGAAGCGAAGTGAGCTACGGGTGACTGAAGATCGAGCAGAAGAGGTTGCTGGGGTGGCTCGAGCAAAAGCTCTGGTGAGAGTTCGCGCAGCGGAAGCCATGTTTGCCTGAAGTCAACGGATGAACAGGGCCTGTATCCGGATGCTTTGATGACAGCGAGAGGAGAATTGAACAGATTGATGAGTCGGGAGGAGATGCTGGTGGAAGATTTATGATCCAGGATGTCTCTCTGAGAGCGGAACCGGGGAATGGGCGCGCTGTGATTGGCCCATCAGGAGCTGCTTGCTGCCCCGACAGGCCAATCAGAATTCATATGAAACGCTTGACCACTGCCTAATCCGGAATGTTGTCCCCGAGCTTAGCTAAGCCACGCCTCGGCCGACCGCGACCCGAAAGCCCAGAACGCGAGAGTCATCGTCAATTGTGTTCGCCGCCTGGGGGCAGAGAGCTTACCCAACACAGAAGCGCCAAACGTGCTTGCTGCCAACGTTCCTTCGTTCACAGCACGCAGCGTCCGTGGGAATGTGCTGAGGACCACCCCGGAACTTACCGCATGTGCCGCCCAATCCCGTCGGGAACCGTGGCGTAGGCGCTCCCGACGGTTGATGAGCCCAGCTGTCGCGGGAAAAGGCGCCGTCCCAGAGGACCTGAGTTGGGGGGGAACCGAGTTCACACTGAATTGAAGATTACGTATTTCAATCCAGCCTTTGTCACGGTGACCTTTTACCATGGTTATCTAGTAGTGGTTATCTTAGAACGGTGACGGCGTACTACCACCGTCCTGTGCACACAGGCCAGTTCCGGAGTTTTTGGAGGTATTGCCTCGTGAGAAGTTTGTTCCACTGATGTAGTTGTACCCACCAAGCAACTCTGGCTGAGGATGAGAATACCAAGGAATCACAGCTACGTAATTATATATTAAGGTACGGAGTATTAAGTCTCTACCTGGTCTGTAGGCTGTAACTTGGGTACCTTCGTAGCCACATGAGTGATGATGGAATCTTCAAGCTGCTTTCTTCATGACTGATTCTGTCGGCGTCTTCAAAATGTTTCAGGCCCAAACTTGAGAGTGTCTTGGGTATCATGTTACGGCTTTCGTTCTGTAAATCCCCAAATAAAGGTGGGCAAAGCAAAACTGATTCATTTTTCGTCGAAGAGTATATCTTTCGAGGTGAGGTATGCGGCGACTTGGGAAGGTCCTGGTTTCGGCTAACAAATGATAATGAGAGTACGGAGTAAACTGGATTGAATTGCTGATCATCTAAGATATGTATCGGTGTAACCACGAAGCATAAACATTGGCCTCCAGCCATCAACCAAATTGGAGAGTATAGACCGATGGATGTCCGTCCTTGATTTAGTCCTAACTGCAAAACGAAATATAAGCAGCAGGGTGGAGAAGACGACAGTTCCTGCTAAAAAACTGTTATGAATTTGATCTTCCACTACTTTTGAACGAAGTATGCATCAGTGGCCATTGAAAAGAGCTCAAGATGCTGGCAATGTTGTGGGTTTTCTTTTTCCAAGCACTTATAAGGTTTGCACGACGAGGAAAACAAGTAACAGAGCATTTGCTGCTGCTCCCGGAAATGGAACTGCATCGAAGGGATGGAGATCTTTTAAAGAACTCCGCACAAACTCATATCTCAGAAATCCCGAAGGCGGAGGCAGTATCCGTGGATCGACTCGGGATAAACATCACTAATCGTAATATGTGGTGGCATCACCTGGACATATAAGATCGAGACTGTGAATCTCATCTCTTCCAGCTGAACTGGGAGTTGACCATTCCCTTGAATCGACTTTTGAAAGGTGAAGGAAAATTTGCAGCAGGAGGAAATTTTTAGACAGTGGATCCATGGATGGCGCCAACGCTCGGCCCGTAAAAAGTCCGTAAATCACGTGAAACCCAGCTGCACAAAACCACCACCTTTTCGATTTCAACTTACCTTTTTTTCCCTCTCCTTTTTTCTTTCTTCACACTTTCAAAATACCTCTGAACGCATAATCAACCTCCAATTTCCTCTATCCCATAGGATGGCCAGGTCATATTGGCGTACTAGATGAAAATGGAGAGGGATGTACTTCATATGTTTCTCTCTGTTTAACGGGCATTTTAAATGGCTTCTTTGAACCCGAGCATAAGGCTTGTTTCAATGGTCGTGGGAGTCACCTGCTGTCCAGACATACCTTTTAAATATGTAAATGTGCTATTCTTCCCTGTAAGCTGCTGTGCTTTGGATCTGTGAATGTCTCAGTGGGGCTGGGTTTAATTGTTGATATTTATTATCGCCCAACTATCTGTTGAAAAGCTACTTTCGTGGAACAAACAGAAATACCACCAGGAAATCATTCGTATTGAAGGGTATCATGCTGTTACAAGAAGGATAACCATGCCCTATTTATCGCCGTACTCCGGGTTAAGCAAGAGGAAAAGATCGGTTTGGTGATGTGGCCTGACGCCGAAAACGGGGTCCCATCTCTAAATAGAACTATGACCTGTCAAAGATGTTAGTTACTGCATAAACCATAGACTAGAGGCAGTCCATACTCCTCTGTCATATCTGCCTCTGCAAACTCGAGCCATTTTCCTGAGACGGCCCGTTTCCAAAATCGAGCCATACCGTCATCCCCAGAGGACATAAGGCAGTCGCCTACAGCATCTTATCAATTTTTTGACCGCTCAGTCTTGGGTATTGTGGGATAGGGGCTGAATACCTGCATGAGAAAACTGAACCTGCCACACACATGCGTGCTTGCTATCGATAGATCCCACTTCTTTAAATGTATGCTCGAAGGCGCTTCTCCCGCTTCTTTGCTTATCCGCAATGGGCGCAGTGGTTCGACTCGCAAGGGCAGACCCGATTCCAGATTGAGTTGCGGGGCGCATTGGCGATGCCCTCTGAGAGTTGGTCGAACTTGCACCTTCACTAGCCCCGTTTGTAACATTATTGCTTGCAGTAGATGTATAAACCTCGAAGATTTTGATGGTGCCATCTTTAGAACCGCTCGCAATTAAATCATACCCGCGTACGGAACCGCGAGCCCAAGAGACATCGCGCACGAGAGAGGGATGCCCCGTAAGTTCGATAGCATGGTAGAACTGCCGATCGGCGCCCATCCTATAGACTTTCACAGTATCCATTGCTGCAACTACCAGAGAGAGGCTTTTGCTGTCCCACGACGGCATAACAAGATGTGTCATATCGAACGGATCATGATGGAATTGGACCTTGAAGCTGGTCTCCTCGCCACGTTGAGGTTCGGCGCAAACTCGGAACTGGTCAATTTGTTGCCATTCGGCCAAGGTGTCGCCTCCGACCGGCTCAAGGACTGTAAGAAGACCATCCCGGGTGATGACCGCAAGCCACGAGTCAAGGTCGATGTTACGGAAATCGAGGGAAACATAGGGGGTGCGAACGGGAGAGGTCAATCGAAAAATGCTGCGAAAACGGCGTCCGGAGTTGGGAGGCTGCGTAAGATCTTCCTGCCAGAGCTTGAACTTCATGTCATTGCCTACAGTGCCGATATGCTGGCCGGTAAACGGACCGTTCCATGCTGCCTGTTTGCGAAAGTCTCTTGTTAATATACCATGCGCGACACGACCCACCATGGTCAACAGCAAACCACCAGTCAACTGACATCGTAAATTTCAGCATCATGGGCGCGCCATGTATCTATTAGCTCCCAGCCGGCTTCGTTCTGGTCCCAAACCTTGACGCGATGATCGGAGGAAGCCGTGAGAATGCGATTACCGTAGAAATTGAATTTAATCACGTTCACCTGGTCGCGATGACCGATTTCAAATTCCGTGGCAACCGGCATCTCAAATCATCACTATCCCGGTTACTGAAAGGGTCTTCGGTATATTCACAAGTTGACGACGTCTTGGGAGTTGGTTATTCGCAGCCATTTCCGCGACCGGAGCCTTCTTCGACCAGCAGCCGCGCCCGAACCTAACCTTAACAGCGCGCTAAGTCGGTGGTGGAGCTGCAGACTTGTGCCAAGCAGCGGTGAGCCACGGCAGTAACCATATTCCTTCCAGCTTGAGAGAACAGCTTGCAACATCCCGGACGTGTACTGGCATGACATGTTTGCCTCCCAGCGCGAGAATTATACACAGTTTGACTATGTGCTTGTGTCGCACACCTGAAGATGATAACTACTCTTACTCACAGGGAAACATGGAGCCTCCTGACAGTTGTAGTAGCTTGTTTCGGGATCATCGTGAACACTTTTCAAGGTGATGGGGAGCCGTTGATTGCGTCCCTAGCCCTGAGCGGCATAGCATTTGCCGCGGCATTCGGCTTGATACGATGGTTGGGGGCTGTGTTTATGAAAGCCGGCTTGAAGGGCAAGGATATGTCCAAAGTGAAGCAAGCTGAGATGTACGTTTTCCAGAGAAAGACGAAAGCCACTGTGTGACTTGGCTAATGAGGCTATACTAGACCGGAGACAATGGGAGCTGTTTGTGCGATTGTATATATATTGGCAATCATTGTCTTCATTCCATTCCCTTTCTACAAAGACATTGTCGCTGCAACATCGGGAGGCGGGAATCGTGATGTTGTCTTGCCGGTTCACCATGTAGAGACTGGACGTTTGCTGCACCGATTCCCGCATAATAAGGTGAAGTGGTCTCAAGCACGGCTTATACGGCGATGATTCACTGATACATTCTATTTTGTTGCAACAGCTGGCATCTTATTTGTCCGGACTTCTGTCGTTACAATCTATCGTCATATTGGGTTTCGGAGATGATCTCCTTGATATTCGATGGCGCCATAAAGTGTTAATACCGGCGTTTGCCGCTATCCCAATGCTCATCGTGTACTTTGTGGACTTTGGTGTCACGCAGGTGGTCGTCCCGGTGCCCTTGCAGAGCTACTTGGGTCCTATGATTGACTTGGGGTGGATGTATTACGTGTACATGGCTGCTGTTGCGATCTTCTGCCCCAACAGCATCAACATGCTCGCGGGCATTAATGGAATTGAGGTATCGCAATCAATCGTCATCGCAATCCTTCTGATAGCCAATGATTCATTGTATCTGGCGCCAATCACACCATATCCTCACCCAGCCACTGATTCACACTTATTTTCGATCTACCTTCTCCTCCCATTTATCGCCGTCTCTCTAGCGTTGTGGTGGCACAATTGGTATCCAGCAAAGGTATTTGTTGGGGATACCTACTGTTACTTCGCGGGAATGGTGTTTGCTGTTGTGGGAATCCTAGGTCATTTCAGCAAGACACTTCTTCTCCTCTTCATTCCCCAGATTTTTAATTTCCTCTATTCCACGCCACAGCTATTTCATTTAATCCCATGCCCCAGGCACCGGCTACCCCGGTTCAGCATCCGAACAGGTCTCCTCGAGCCATCTGTCACCGAATGGCAACGCCCACCGACGAAGCTTATCGCTGTGGCACTTGAGATCTTGCATCGACTCCATCTTGTGCGGATTAAGAAGAACGAACAGGGAGAGATTGTCGAGTCTACAAATTTGACCTTACTGAATCTCTGGCTAATATGGTTTGGCCCTTTGCGGGAGGACAAGCTTGCGATGCACATCGTTGGGCTTCAATTCTTCTGTGGGTTCATTGGCTTGCTAGCTCGGCATAAACTTGCATTGTGGGTTTTTAGAGAGGATAATCGCGGGTTTGGTTCAAATTTAATGTAGATTTTAAAGATGTATGTATATCTGCCCGACAGCGTGATAAGTACTTAGAAGGAATTCAATTGGACATGAATGCGTCACTGTAAACAAAAAAGTCTCCCCCTGGTTTGCTTCTGCGCCATCGGCAAAGCTTCCCACACCCAAAGATGAAGCTTTCCGCTTAACTCAGGGCCGCCCCCAGAGCTCAACTCCGACCATCGGCCGCCGTTTTTCGCCGCCAATACCCGCCAGCGTCCAATCAACGAGTGTGCCATTACGATTACCCCCCGACTTCGGGCCGCGCCCCGCTGAGTCCTGCATCGCTATATCATTGACTTGATTCCTGGACAGCTCTGCTCCTTTGCCATCACATTCTCATTTTCCGTCGCTTTCTCAGCCGTTGCATATATATTTACCATTGTTTGGTTATTGGCGATTGATACCCCGAGCGCATAAGCCTTATTCATTATGCCGTCGGCAGAGAAGAGGCCAAAGACACTCTACGACAAGGTCTTTCAAGACCATGTAGTTAACGAGCAGGATGATGGCACGATACTGCTTTATATCGGTACAATACCTTTCTTTGTGTGTTATTCTGGTGCTGGCGTTAATGTACCTCAAGATAGGCACCTTGTACATGAAGTGACATCACCGGTAAGCTTCTTTCGCGAAATCCCTGTCACTAATCACGGGTGTCACGTTGGCTGACAAACCCCACAGCAAGCATTCGAGGGCCTGAAAAACGCTGGGCGTCGAGTCCGAAGGCCAGACTGCACCTTAGCTACGGTTGACCATGTACGAGCTTCATATTCTCTTTTAGCTTCTATCTCTAACGTCGTGTAGAATGTTCCCACCACGTCACGCAAGACTTTCAAGAACGTTGCCGATTTCGTTCAGGAGGCAGATTCTCGTCTTCAATGCTTGACCCTCGAAGAGAACGTGAAAGACTTCGGCCTCACGTACTTCGGCCTGGGAGACAAGAGACAAGGAATCGTTCACATCATTGGTCCGGAACAAGGCTTTACTTTGCCAGGTACAACGGTTGTGTGCGGAGATAGCCACACCTCGACCCATGGAGCTTTCGGAGCTTTGGCGTTCGGTATCGGTACTAGTGAAGTGGAACATGTCCTTGCGACGCAGACCTTGATCACTAAGCGGAGTAAAAACATGCGAGTACAGGTTGAGGGCGACCTTTTACCGGGTGTCACCAGTAAAGACGTTGTCCTACACGTTATTGGCGTGATTGGAACTGCAGGTGGCACAGGTTGCGTCATTGAATTCTGCGGCTCCGCGATCAGGGGACTTAGCATGGAGGCAAGAATGTCCATCTGCAACATGTCTATTGAAGCCGGTGCTAGAGCTGGTATGATCGCACCCGATGAGATTACTTTTGAATACTTGAAAGGAAGACCACTTGCGCCCAAGTACGACAGTGCGGAGTGGAAGAAAGCCGTCAAATATTGGTCGAGCTTGAAGTCCGACGAAGGTGCCAGCTACGATAAGGAAGTGTTCATTGATGCAAAGGATATCGCTCCCACAGTTTCGTGGGGTACCTCTCCCCAGGATGTTGTGGCAATTACTGGCGTCGTCCCAGGGCCAGACGACTTCGATGATGAAGTGAAGAAAGCAAGCGCCCGCAGAGCTCTTGAATACATGGGCCTCACTGCCGGAACCCGCATGCAAGATATTCCAATCGACAAAGTTTTCATTGGCTCATGCACAAATTCCCGTCTCGAAGATTTACGCAGTGCTGCCCACATTGTTCAAGGGAAAAAGGTGGCCCCGAACGTTAAGCGGGCCATGATTGTCCCTGGATCTGGCTTGGTCAAGGAGCAAGCTGAAGAAGAAGGCCTGGATAAGATTTTCCTCGATGCTGGGTTCGAGTGGAGAGAAGCCGGATGCTCAATGTGTCTCGGCATGAATCCAGATATCCTCTCACCGCGAGAGCGATGCGCGAGTACTTCGAATAGAAACTTCGAAGGTCGGCAAGGAGCAGGAGGACGGACACACCTTATGTCGCCCGTAATGGCTGCCGCTGCCGCTATCGTTGGAAAACTCGCTGATGTCAGAGACCTTACCCACGCTGTCCCAATATCGAAACGTGCATCACCAAAGGTTGAAGTCCAGCCAGAGGTTGATGATATTGACACAGATGATGACCTTGATCGTATCCTTGATTGCCCTAGTGATAGCGAGCCTCATACTAACTGCTCTGCTTCCAAATCTTCCTCCGGCCTTCCTAAATTCACTACACTCAAAGGTATCGCGGCTCACCTTGACCGTGCGAACGTTGACACCGACGCCATCATCCCCAAACAATTCCTCAAAACAATCAAGCGCACGGGACTTGGAAGTGCACTCTTCTACTCCCTTCGATATAATGAAGATGGCAGCGAAAACCCGGACTTTATTCTCAACAAGGAACCATACCGCCAGAGCAAGATCCTGGTTGGCGGAGAAAATTTTGGCTGTGGAAGTTCTCGAGAACATGCACCATGGGCCCTCCTCGATTTCGGTATCAAGTGTGTTATTGCACCGTCCTTTGCTGATATTTTCTTCAACAACACATTTAAAAACGGCATGCTTCCTGTTATAATACGGGACGAAGCGGCTCTGAAGAAGATCGCAGCAGAAGCGGAGCGTGGGAACGATATAGAAGTTGACTTGGTCAACCAACGCATAAACGATGCTACCGGCAGCAAGCTTGCGGACTTTGACGTCGAGCAATTTCGGAAGCACTGTCTCGTGAATGGCTTGGATGACATTGGCCTCACCATGCAGATGGAGGATCAAATCAAGGAATTCGAAAGGATCCGTTCGCAGGAGACCCCCTGGCTTGACGGAAGCGGATATTTGAAGCAGAAGAATGGAAGGAAGACTGGCCCGGTCATGGTTGAAGCTGCTCCTGTGCCCAAGACGAATAGAGGCGAAGTCAAGGGTGAGCCGCTGGAATGGTAAAAAGCATATCATATGTTCTTCTTCTACTAAAGTCCTTTTTATCTTCCTTTTCTTTTTTTTCCCTTATAACTTCCTTGCAACTTCTTAATTTACGATCTACGGGCTATTTTTCTTTTCTGGATATGATAGCGCTCGGGTTGCCACTAGCATCAAAATGCTTTACGTACCTCACGGGTTAATACATACAGTATGATGTGCATATTTGGTTGATAAAAAGAATATGATGATGCATACGGATTACATTTGACGTTTTAACTCTGGGAGTTTTCGTTTCTCTGCCCTATAAGATTTTATGACCATCTTGCTTCGCGACTGCATAAGTAGTTAGCTATCCTAGATCATGAAAACTCGGATATGGAATCTTTGCATGCATTTGCTTTTCGATTGAGCGCCAAATAACGTTATCTCGAAGATCTACCCAAAGAGTTTTCGTAAAGATGCAGGCGTGGAAACCCACAGGCTGGGATTTCTGGGGATTAAATCTTTGTTTGTCTTGAGTTGCTTTTCCCTCCCACCCTACCAAAGTGACCACCGACTCGCAGTCGACTCGTTCGGCAACACGTATGTCCTATGATTTTTAATTACTGGGATACACGAAGGAGTCTTTAAAGATGTGCATCCTGCCATTGTCGCATATCTGCGCTGCTAGGAGACGCGTCCCACTTTTAATGACATTGTCCGGGCTGGGCTGTCGCCATCCAGGCAATACGTGAACCCCGTTGGGCCAACGGTATTGACCCCCTCTACCATCTCTCCTACCTGGTGCCTAGATATGTGGCCTGGTGCAAAGGGAATGTTCCCGGGGGCTCGACTCCTTCTCCCATTAGTGAGGTCGAATGACTCGGTAATGTGTTCATAGCGATGCAGCGAGTCCAATTCCGAACAGACTGCCTGGGAGGAACCCGTGTGCTACAACCAGGGCAGAGGATGCTTGAATGGACACTTAATCGAAGGCTTCTTGTTTCGCCTCTTCGCTGGAGACGGCCTCGCCTGTGCTCGCTTGCAAATGGGTCGAATTGCTCTTTCCCTTGACGAGCCATCGGACTCCCCGGCAACACGGTGGCAGGAGAGTTTTCCCGGCTACATTCGTAAGGGCCGTCTCATCTCTCGACATATCTACGTCCCCTGACTTTGAAAATTCCTCCTGGATTCGCTTCCGAGCTCAGATGTCGAACACATGAAGCAAACTCACACCCGTATCACCTGCGGGATGCCGGCGAGGGCAGTGATTGTATCGATCCTTGTATTGGCTACGTTCGCAGGATGTTGGCCCTACGATCCTAACGAGGTTGGATACAATCTCAACGAAAACAAGAGTGCTGCGCATCCGGCGGAATATTGGGGCCAGTGGCCGGATCACGACTACTTCCCTTCGCCTGACAACTGGAGATTCCCATTCTATACCCTCTTCGTCGATAGATTCGTGAATGGTGACCCGGCCAATGATAATGCTAACGGTACAAGTTTTGAGCGGGATATTAATTCAAACCAGATGCGCCATGGGGGAGATGTTCTGGGGTTGGTTGATTCTTTGGATTATATTAGTGGTATGGGAATTAAGGTAAGGCCTGAGATTCTTTATTGGCTGAGCAAGGCAGCTAACATTCGCCGTATCTACAGGGCATATATATAGCTGGGACAATTTTGATTAACGAACCATGGGGTGCGGATGGATATTCTCCCCTCGATACAACGCTCCTTGATCGTCACTTCGGAGACATAGAGATGTGGCGGTATGCGGTCACAGAGATACATAAAAGAGGCATGTACATCGTCATGGACAGTACTCTAGCAACGTATGCACGCATTTTCTTACATTTGATTTCCTTTTACTCTTGAAACTCATACTAATTTATGCATAGGCTCGGAGACCTTTTGGGCTTCGAAGGTTATCTAAACACAACTACGCCCTTCGAGCGCGCAGAACATAAAGTTGTTTGGAAATCCAAAAGGAGATATCTTGATTTCCACCCTGGTAACTCGTATAATGAAACCTGTGACTACCCGAGATTTTGGGATGAGAGCGGGTATCAACTAGAACCATCGGAAACTGGGCTCAGGGGCTGTTATGATAGTGAATTCGATCAATATGGAGACGTTGAAGCATTCGGTGTTTATCCAGATTGGCAGCGACAGCTTGCCAAGTTCGCTTCAGTCCAAGATCGTCTGCGCGAGTGGCTGCCGTCAGTTAGAGAAAAGCTCATCAGACACTCTTGCCTGATTATTACACAGCTTGATATCGACGGCATTCGATATGACAAGGCCACTCAAGCTACGATAGATGCATTAGGCGATATAAGCTCGGCATACCGTGCTTGTGCCAGGAAGGTTGGAAAAACAAACTTCTTCCTTCCAGGAGAGATAACTGGTGGAAATACATTTGGTGCCATCTATATTGGCCGTGGGCGACAGACAGACATGCGACCAAGCAGCTTGAAAGATGCGGTTCGGCTGACTTACGACAACGACACCTACTTCATTCGGAAGAAGGGTAAATCTGCTTTGGATGCTGGTGCTTTTCACTACTCTATCTATCGCAGTTTGACCAGGTTTCTGGGAATGGATGGTAACTTGGAGGCCGGCTTCGATACTTCCCTCAATTGGGTCGAGGCTTGGAACGAAATGCTTCTCACCAACGACTTCATTAACACGAATACCGGTGAGCTTGATCCACGGCATATGTTTGGTGCAACAAACCAAGATGTTTTTCGCTGGCCCTCTCTTCAACAAGACACCCAAAGATCACTCATGGCCCTATATATTATCACATTGCACCTTCCTGGTATTCCCTTAGTTCTCTGGGGTGAAGAACAAGCATTTTATATCCTCGACAGTTCAGCGCAGAATTACATTTTTGGCCGGCAACCAATGTCCTCCTCAATAGCTTGGCAAACCCATGGATGTTACAGCTTGGGCTCTTCCCAGTACTATCAGTGGCCACTTGGACCTGCTATTGATGGCTGCCACGATGATGCTGTTAGCTATGATCATAGGGATCCATCTCACCCTGTGAGAAACATCCTAAAGGCCATGTTCCAAATGCGAGAAAATTACCCTACCCTAAACGACGGCTTCTATCTCCAACAATTGTCAAATTTGACTAGGACAATAATTTTTCCCGGTTCTAATGGGGTCGCAACCGAGATTGGCATGTGGTCAGTTTTTCGTGGTCGGCTTGATGGCGTGCAGGATTTGGAGGGTGAGAACCTGCCTGTATGGCTTGTCTATCAGAACGATAATCAAACTGTCGAGTATCATTTTGATTGCGAGAACAAAGCCAAAGCCCTTATCTCCGTTTTTGGCTCGGGCGCTACAGTGAAGAATTTATTCTATCCTTACGATGAGCATACTTTGCAACCCGGCCCTGTGAAACTTGGAATAGAAGGATCAACAGCTCTCAATGGATGCCTTGAGACTCTGCGAATGGATCCCTGGGATTTTAGGGCTTATGTTCCTAAAGCGAAGTTTATCCGACCAAAGCCCATGATCACGAAGTTCTTTCCCGGCCATGATGCTCGTTTAGAATCAAAAGTTGACGCCGATTTATATGAAACCGTGCTTTTGGAGGTCCATTTCTCAGACGACATGGATTGCAGCAGTGTTACTCAGAGTTTGTCGCTCAACTCAACAACACACAGCAACAAAATACCTCTGGTTGATTCTGCCAGTGTTCAATGCACCTCTTTTGAGCCCGAAAGGACAAAATTTCCCGGCGAAATACCCGGAACCTGGAAGTGGTCAGCGAATCTTACCAGGGTATACAACGGCATTCATCAGTTGCAGTTCGACAATCCAAGAGCAAAAGATGGGAAACAGAGTACTGATAACGTGGACCGATTTCTCTTTCGTATTGGACAAGCGAATAACCCGATGGTGTTCACTCGTGCCGCAAATTATTCACGCACTTTGTTACATAGGAATGAGAAGGGTCACCTGTATGTGGCTCACCACGCTGCTGGTGCAGACTCTTACCGATATTCCACTAATTGGGGCTCGACTTGGTCAGACTGGCTGCCTTATAAAGGTGGAAACGATACATTGAATAAGCAAGGATGGTCTGGAACCAAGAAGCAGCAGTGGATTGGAGAGCATGTGATTGTCGAATACTGGAACCGCATGGTAGGGAGCAGTAGCCATATGCAACACGGCGATGTTGACTGGGAAAGTGACCATCCACGAAGATTTCCTCATCTCTTTTGGAACGGTCCATACAATCAGTATGGCTATGATGCCGGCGTTCGCAACCAGATGCAGTTCAACGATAACGGACAATGGGCCATTCGTTTTATGACCGAGTGGCCGGCCTTGGCTCAGGTGAACGTCTGGGGTATGAATGCAGATGGTAACCCCGATAAGACGTACGTTTTCGGCGATTCTGACGGCAATTCTGTCTTGGACCGCCTTCCACCTTCGTCGTTGAAGAACGCCCTCGTAAATATAACCGAACACCCCCCTTCACCATACTTATCTTGGGAATTTTTATTGGACGATGGGACACTCTATTTCGAATTGGTTCCGCGTGGATCAATGTACCAGCAGATGGCTCTATTTTTCCTCTTGCTGATACTACCTCTTGCAACCGCCGGGGGTAGCCTGTATGCCTTCAAATGCTACTTTTGCCGGATTACATTCAACAACAAAGGCAGCGTGGGGGGTGGACAAGGGCTCTTGCTTCTGCCCGGAAGCAATGACTATGAAAGCTCTGGGCTGCTGAGAACATTGGCGGACAAGTGCAACCTTTTCCCAAGAAGCAAGGAGCTCGGTTTCTCCGCCAACACTCGACGTACTGTCCTTATTGCCACAATGGAATATGACATTATGGACTGGGAAATCAAGATAAAGATCGGCGGACTTGGAGTAATGGCGCAATTGATGGGACATCGCCTGGGACATGTGAATTTGGTCTGGGTCGTTCCCTGCGTCGAAGATGTAAGCTATCCGATTGACCAAAAAGCGCAACCGATGATTGTGAAGTCGCTCGGCAAGGATTGCATTGTCGGCGTCCAATACCACATCATGAAAAATATCACATATATACTCCTGGATGCCCCGATATTTCGGAAGCAAAAGAAGAATGACCCCTATCCCCCTCGGATGGACGATCTTGAGAGTGCTATATATTACTCTATTTGGAACCAATGCATTGCGCAAATTATGCGGAGATTTCAAATTGATATATACCACATCAACGATTATCACGGCGCGCTTGCTCCTCTATACATACTCCCAAAGACTGTACCAGTGTGCCTATCCCTCCACAACGCCGAGTTTCAGGGCCGCTGGCAAATTCGCAGTGATGATGATATGACAGAGTTGTGTAGTGTGTTCAATATTTCCGAGGATATTACACGACGTTATATTCAATTTGGGGAGGTGTTCAATTTACTGCACGCTGCTGCGAGCTATTTACGGATTCACCAAGGCGGTTTTGGGATAGTTGGCGTGTCCGAAAAATATGCCGAAAGGTCTTATAAAAGATATCCCATCTTTTGGGGGCTGAAGGCCGTGGGCAAATTACCCAACCCAGACCCTCAAGATGATAATGAAGTGGTCGAACTTGACCCTCGATTTGAGAGCATAAAAGCTCAATTGAAGAGGGAGTCACAAAAATGGGCTGGTCTTGACCAGGACCCCAACGCCCATCTGTTTGTCTTTGTCGGAAGGTGGTCGGACCAAAAAGGAATTGACCTTATTGCGGACGTCTTTCCCCATCTTCTCGAGACTCGACAGGACGTGCAGCTTATTTGTATGGGGCCAATTATTGATTTTTATGGGAGATTCGCCGCGTTAAAGCTCCACAAGCTTATGGAGATGTATCCAACCCGAGTATATTCAAGACCGAAGTTCACAGTTTTTCCCAATTGCGTGCGGGAAGGGGCTGATTTCGTATTGATACCATCAAGGGATGAGCCTTTCGGCCTGGTAGCCGTCGAATTTGGTCGCAAAGGCGTCATTGGAATAGGCGCTAAAGTCGGGGGGCTCGGCAAAATGCCAGGATGGTGGTATTCGGTTGAATCTACTGCAACTCGTCACTTGCTACATCAGTTTGAGCGAGCCATCAATCAGGCGCTAAGGGCGAGGCCGGAAGTCCATGCTAAAATACGCGCTAGATCAATAACGCAGAGGTTCCCGGTCTCACAATGGGTGGAAAGGCTCGATATGTTACACATCAATGCCATGAGGATCCATGAGAGATATCGTAATCCGACTACTCCCAAGGCTCAGAATCCGAAGGACCAAAGGCGCAGAACTCAAAGCGACTTCCAAAATACCGACCACCCAGAGGCTGATTTGTTAAATTCTCTGCATCCCGTCTTTCCTCCCAGTGATCGACTTGTAGGACTACGCAGTGGCCATACCGTTTCCCTAGAATGGCTTGTGGGAAACAGAACGGATTTCTGCTTGCAAAATGTGGATCCTAGCTTCGACGATCAAAACGGCAAATTTACGGAAGAATTTATGATGAAACTCGAACTTTTGAATGGGAACAACTCCATGAAGTCCTTGTGTATCGAGGAGTTCATAGTCAAGAGCCAACGACAGTGGTATAAGAAACTCAGCAACGCCTTCTTGGGTAGAGCAAAGGATACCATTCCGTTAGAGAAATCTACCGTGGAAGATCTTCTGACTCTTCCACCTGCACTTAGCGAAGATTTAGAATCTGGCAGCATCGAGGATAGTAAAGGCGGCAAGTCCGCAACTGGTCTTAAGCGAATGATGCTGTATCGTGTTGGCTATTGGCCTGTTTATTCCTTCTTCCTTGCCTTCGGGCAGATAATTGCGGTAAACTCTTACCAGATAATGCTCCTCACTGGAGAGATTGGTGAAGCAGCCAAGAAGCTATACGCTATTGCATCGATATATCTTCTCGGCTCTATTTTGTGGTGGTTGATGTTTCGAAAATTCGAGCTAGCTACTACGCTCTCTAGTCCGTTTGCGGCATATAGTTTTGCCTTTCTTGTTGTCGGCTTTGCCCAGATTTGGTATGCCAAAGGACGTTTGCTTCAGAATATTGCTGCTGGTGTATATTCATTCGCTTCAGCGAGCGGATCTGTCTTCTTTGCCTTGAATTTCAATGATGAAGCAGGTAGCCAAGTGAGAGACTGGGTGTTTAGAGCTTGCATTATTCAAGGCACACAACAAATATTTGTGGTTGCCTTGTGGTACTGGGTTTCAAAGTTGTCGAAGAGTATGGCTGAAGGGATGAATCAGACCGAGAGATTGGGTTCATGGCAAATCCAGTAAGTATTAACTATGTAGTCCCTTTATTCCGAATTGTAGTGGGACTAGAACTAACACCGAAGCGATGAGGTCCATCGTATTTCCTGTTGCTTGTGTGCTGGGTGCCATCGGGGTCATTGTTTATCTTGGGCTTCCAGACTGCTACCGGGGCCGTAGCGGGAAAATTCCCTCGTTTTACACTTCTGTCTTCCGCCGCAATATTATCGTATGGTTTTTTGCCTCTGTGGTCATACAGAACTTCTTTCTCAGTCCGCCTTATGGTCGCAATTGGTGGTGTGAGTCTCGTCGACCCCCGGATGCCATTGCGTGGTCAATTATGTTCGGCTGATTAACGAAAGTATTATAGTCCTCTGGAGCTCCAAACATACGGAATCGTGGCAAGTCCTATTGCTTATCTTTGTGTTTTTCGTGTTTGTTTGGTTTACGATGCTTGGTATCTATATCTTGTGGGCTAGATTCTGGGGACCTTGACTGACGACGCAGATCAGCTCTTTTAAGAAAAATGTCCAAAAACCATACTTGGGCATTACCAGTATTTGCAGTTGGGCTTGGTGAGTTCACGCTCTTTGATTCGCTGTTGCCTTCATAACTGATATCTTTCAAGGCGCGCCAAGATGGGCGCAGATATGGTGGGCAACAAGTAATATTGGCCAATTCATCCCATGGGCAGGAAGCTACACAACAGGCGCTCTTGTTTCCCGAGCCTTATGGCTATGGCTCGGGGTATTAGATTCTGCGCAAGGCATTGGCTTTGGAACAACTCTTCTGCAAACATTAACCCGGGTCCATATATGCTTCACACTCCTGGCAGCGCAGATGTTTGGATCGGTGGCAACCATGCTAGGCCGTGCTATTTCTCCCAATAACATCGGTCCTGGAAATGTGCATCCTGACATTTCAGGTGGAGCGAATGCTATTCTGACTCCTTGGTTTTGGATCACGCTACTATTACAGCTTGCTATTCCGTAAGTTACGACCTCTTCCTTTTGCGGAACACAGTGCACTGATTCTTGGGACATAGGGTGGGCTTCTTTTTGTTTTTCCGTACAGAGCAGCTAAGTAAACCGTGAAACTGGAACCTTCTTTGTCAGATAGCAAGTCATGAGGATAACCCACCTGGGTATCTGACGTGCATGATGTTTTGCGTTTTCTTAGTCCACTTTTGAAAATCAGCCGGATTTATAAGGAGTTTTGGCCATGGCTGTCAGTTTTGCGCTTTTGTTATTGCGTTATGTCTTTGTCAATGTAGTAATGAAAGTGTCACCCGAGTTCCAAAGGGAGTGTTGTATCTTGGCTAGTCTGACCTGCAGATGGCCAAGGACGCTGGCAACGCGAGCATCGTGAATTGAAGGATGTTTTGTCTATTATGATTCGATGAATGTCTTTTTCTTCGGTGAATACACGTTTCGTAAGCTGTAAGCAAAATTTTCATTCTTCGGCGCCGTATTGCGCCCGATACTCCTTCAACCGTTTTAGATTCTCCTCGCCAATGTCATTTCCAAGCTTTTCGATAATATCACTTAAACTCAGCACCGCTTTCACAGGCACATTTTCTCCCAGGTCCCTCTGAGCGCAACCAACAGCGCTTTTCTTCTCGTTGTCGTTCACCCGCTCTTCTCTGTCCAAGAGCACCAAGACGCCCACAACTGTGCCGCCTTCCTTCTCAATGATGCCGACAGCCTCTCTCAGTGCTGTGCCGGCTGTGATGACATCGTCAATTATGACAATTTTCTTTCCCTTCAGTGGGGCACCGACTATGTTCCCACCTTCGCCGTGAGCCTTGGCTTCTTTCCGGTTGAACGAGTAGCTGATGTTGTTCCATGCGCCGGTTGTGTCGCGGACGCCCAGCTCGTTCAGGACGGCGGTGCAGAGCGGGATGCCCTTGTAAGCGGGGCCAAAGATGATGTCGAAGTTTGGGCGCGGGGTGCCATCGGGGGTAGAGGTGGTTACGAACGGAGGGGAGGAGAGGACACTGGCACAGGCGGATGCGGTTGCGTGTAGGAGAGGCGCAGTGTGCAGGAGGGTGGTGGTGAAGAAGTAGGGGGAGTTGCGGCCGGATTTGAGGGTGTAGGAGCCGAAGGAGAGGACTTTGTTGGAGATCAGATGGGAGAGGAGGTTGGTTTTGTAGTCAGGAGAGGCGCTCATTTTTGGAACTTGCGATTTTCTTAGGGATGGTTGGGTATGTGCAATGGGATTGTTAGATTTATTCGGGGGTAGGGTCCTTTTTTTCTTTTTTTTCTTTTTTTTTTTTTTTTTTTCCTGGCTCGTGTCTGCGCTTTCGCGGCGAGGGGTATGGCGGGGTCTAGGATTGAGGATGTGTTAGTGATCTGTACCACGAGAGACGGTAAATGCTCCGGGCGGTCTTACAGAGACGGTTCCTCCTGGAATTCTTCAATTCCGGGCTTCTTTGCTTCCGAGATTCGTCTCAGCCGTGGACTACAGAGGTTGTTGATACGCTTCTGGCCGGCTCGGTGATGTCGCCCTGAAGTTTGGCTCGCTCCACCCCTCGACGCTTGGCGGCCATCTCTGCTGCTTCAGCTTTGCTCGAGGCTCTTGAGGCCGGGGCTGTACATTGTTTTCCCATTTAGTTTCCGCGCATGTCGATGCAATTCGATCAGGGAATGAGTGACACTAGGGCACTACTCACGCCCGGCGCTTCTGGATCGACGTCGAACAATGCTTCCTGGTTGATCGCCATGGTCTGGTAATTATATTGGCGTCGTTTAGCCGTTGAAAAGCTTCATCTGCACGCCCAGGGAATGATCAGATGGCTGGGTTGAGGCATGATAATCTCCAGACCGTTATCCAATGGCTTCCTCGATGGTATCGGAGAGCGTATGCTGAGCTGCAGAGTGAATGAAACCTCAAAACTACAAGTTGTGAAGCTGATCTTATATTGGTTCACATTATCTGCAATTGAACAGTACAAATTTGTGTCTTTACCAAGAATTCTGGGGCATTTGCCTAGTTAACAGTTCCCGCCGGCAATTGACTGGCGCCGATCATCCGCGAATGAAGGGGGTCCGATCAAGCGCAGAAGCTGACGACGCAGCCGGCACAGTCCAAGGATAATTAACTGTGAGCTAATTTATTAGTTATCTGGGTCTCTGATAGGGACCCGACCTGGTGCGTCAAATGCCCATTCTCGGGCGGCTTAACTTGCCCGCCGCAAGATACTCCGTATATGTCTTCGGAGATCCAAACACCGAACGGATCGGGATGGCCACCAGCTAAGGATCGGCCACCGCTGGGGCCTGGTGAGACTATGTACGGAGTCCGGAGTAGCTCGCCACCGTTATCTGTCGCGCTGGCCTTCGTATCGCGGGAACGGCGCTATGGGGAGCATGAGTGCAAGGACGGTGAAGGAGTAGCGCCAGCTGTTGTTGTCATAGCGTTCCCTTGGCCTTTGCTGCCACTGGTCACAACCCCTGTGCCTGGTTATGATCCGGGGAGTGGATCACTTCCTGAATGTGTGCACGGATTGAACAAAGAGACAGGCCTCAAAACCCAAGAGATTGGATGTGCGAGTGAGTTGTCCGTATGTATGAATCAGCTGGACTCAACGGCAGCTCTCTCCTGTCACGCAGGCGTGCACAGGCTGCTTGTTTTTTTTTTTTTTTTTTTGTCGCTGCATGACAGATAATGTAGTTAGTTGGTTAGATAGTTTTGGAACCCAGGGCCGCCCCCAAATAGCTGTCTGTAGCCAACGACAGATGTATTAACTCTATCTCGGGGTCAATGACGGATTTTTGAGACCGTGATGCTGAGACCGGAACTGGTCGCCGCGGTTTGCTGCCGGAGACTTTGAGCAGAAGCCGACCCGCCTACGGAGCGCTGAGGAACTCAAGTTTGCGTTTCCGCCCGCCCAAAACTCTCCTTTCACCTTTGCACATCTCCAGCCAGAGCTCCGCTTCCGTCGAGACTGCAACTTCTTCTCTTCTCTGTAAGTCTTCCCAGCCCTTTCTCTGCAGCATACAGCCACCGGCGATTGAATTGAACTACATCTCTAACAGTGCACTCCAGCGCTTTCGGACCCTGCTGCCCCAGCATCCAGGTGCTCGAGCCAACAAAGCCCATTGAGAGCGTACGGACCACCGACCGCTCATTTCTTGCTGCTAACTCCTGCTCTTTTACCGAAAATCCCCTGAGGCCGTTTCTTGTAATCTTCTCTGCCTGCTGATCTGTTGTACATGTTGCGGGAGCTAGCAGACAGGTGGGCCCGCAAGAGATACCTTGGTTGAAGTGTGCTGTGAGCAAGTGTAACTGGGAAAAGCAACCGATTATCCGCTTGAGTGAACATTTGCAGTTTTCGTTCAAACGTCTCAAGCGTCGATTGGCTCTTTGAACCTGTGTCATTGGAGTGGAAAGGTATGTTCCCGGTCCTGTCTTCTCCCGTCTGGCTGTCTGGCGTCGTGAATGCGGGGCGAGAGTGAAGAGCGGGTGACAGTTGTGCATTTCCCTGCAATGCGAACTCCACCACCCTTGGTAGCATCTTCTTGAGTGCCTTGAGCTCTCTCTCCCCTTCTATTTCGCTGTGCCTTTTGAATTTTTCATTTCTGACTCGATCTTGGTTTCCTATTAGATACCCCAGGATGCACGTCAAGGAGAAGCTGGCCCATTCGGAGGCCTCCGGGCGCCCGAGTATTTCGTTTGAGTTTTTCCCACCCAAGACCGCGCAAGGTGTGCAGAATCTTTACGATCGTATGGATCGCATGCACGGACTGGGTCCTGCTTTCATAGATATAACGTGGGGTGCTGGAGGTCGACTGTCGGATTTAACATGCGAAATGGTCAACGTCGCCCAGTCGGTCTACGGCCTTGAAACATGTATGCACCTTACCTGCACCGATATGCCGCGAGAAAAAGTCGATTGGGCCCTACAGTGTGCCCACAAGGCCGGCTGTACCAACATCTTAGCGCTCCGTGGCGATCCTCCCCGAGAAAAAGAATCATGGGCTCCCACAGAAGGTGGGTTCCGGTATGCAAAGGATCTCGTCAAGTACATTCGGGAGAAATATGGCAACCACTTTGACATCGGAGTCGCAGGCTATCCGGAGGGTTGCGAGGATGAAGAAGACCCGGAGACTTTGATGAAGCATCTGAAGGAGAAAGTCGATGCTGGCGGAACGTTCATAATTACTCAGATGTTCTACGACGTTGATATCTTCCTTGACTGGGTGAAAAGGTGTCGTGAAAACGGAATTCAAGTTCCAATCCTTCCTGGGATCATGCCTATATCTACTTATGCCTCCTTCTTGAGAAGGTCGAACTGGGTGAAGTGTAAGGTCCCGGAATCATGGATGGAGGCCTTGGAACCTGTCAAGAACGACGACGCCGCTGTGAAGCAAATCGGCAAAAAGCTCGTCGCCAATATGTGCCAGAAGATTCTTGACTCGGGGATTCGCCATTTGCACTTGTAAGTTATCCGGTGTTACATTGTTAACGAAAACTTTTCCCTCCTCACTAACACTTGAAAACTTAGTTACACTATGAATCTGGCTCAAGCTACGAAAATGGTCCTTGAGGAGCTTAAGTTGATCCCATCGTATGAGACTCCTCTTCAAAAGCCTCTGCCATGGCGACAATCCCTCGGTCTTGGACGAAGAGACGAAGACGTTCGCCCAATCTTCTGGAGACACAGGCATCAGTCATACGTTGCTCGTACACAGACTTGGGATGAATTCCCCAACGGTCGCTGGACTGATTCTCGCTCTCCCGCCTTCGGTGAACTCGATGTCTACGGCATAGGCCTCAAGGGTACTAACGAGCAGAACATTAAACTCTGGGGAGAACCAAAGTCCATCAAAGACCTATCGGCAATCTTTATACGATTCCTTGAGGGTGGCCTCGACAGACTTCCCTGGAGCGAGAGTCCTATAACAGAGGAAACCGACGACATCAAACACGACCTGATTGATTTAAACAATCGAGGGTTCCTGACCATTAACTCTCAGCCAGCTGTTAATGGCATGTCCTCTTCCCACCCGGTCTACGGATGGGGACCGAAAAACGGTTACGTATATCAGAAAGCATACCTCGAACTGCTCATACCTCCAGAAGTGATCGGGGAAGTAATCCGTCGTATTGAGAAGAACCCCGATCTTACATACTACGCTATTAACAAAAATGGCGAATTGAAAACTAACACCAGCGATAGTCCCAATGCAGTGACTTGGGGTATTTTCGCATCTAAAGAGGTTATTCAACCCACGATTGTTGAAACAGTCAGCTTTTTGGCATGGAAAGACGAGGCATTTCGATTGGGAGATGATTGGGCAAAATGCCACGACGCTCGTAGCCCCAGCAGGCAGCTTATCCAACGTGTCATGGATGAGTGGTACCTTGTTAACATCGGTAAGATGGGCTGAACCTACTTTTTAAACGCACTCAAATTCTAACAGCATGTAGTCAACAATGATTTCCACAAAACGCACGACATCTTCAATCTCTTCAATGATATCGTGGTGAAGGATCTTGATGTGGAAGCTACCGGCATCGAGGAATCAACCTCGCAACCAGCCAACACCAATCCAGAGCGGCAGAATGGCGATGCTGCTCAGACCAAAGACATCTTAGTCGGTACCAATGGAACCTCGAACTGATTTTTGGACTTACGATCGAGTCCCGCGGCGTTCTGTATTACCCCTTCACCCCATTCCAAATCCTCTGGGTCAAGGAACCTTCGATGCCCACAACCACCATTCTTCTCACATATTCCACGAGTACAGAAACACAAAAAAACGAGATACACACTTAACAACGGCATGGTGTTCAAGGGATTTCTCTCATTCTCGAAACCGAACCAAGGGCAGTGTTCTCAAAACAAGGAGAAAGTTGGCAAAAAACTGATTCTACATACAACCCCGGAGATGAAAACAACAGGAAGGCCGGTCATGAAATTTTCAACACTTCAATTTAATTTTCAACAAAATAAGACCGTGATAACTTAATTCTAAAAGGGGGGAGGCCTTTTTTTTTTTCTTTTAACATATTAAAATGAATAGATGGATATACCTTTGGAGGGGCGAATGATGACAAAATGAAATCTTCAACACGATTATTGACTGAGCATTGGCGATCTGGAACGACTTTTGGGCATTGACCTTGTTTTCCCCCTTTCTAATAGACTTTCTACGTTTTCTTTTTTCTTAATGTTTTTCCTTCTCGGCTGCTGTCATGACTTTTTTCCCTTTTTCCTTTTTTTCTACTTCGGATACTGTGATTTCCTTGTTCTTGTAACTACAGGGCATCTCTTCGATCCAAGCTTCAACAATTGCTTTTGAAGAGAAAGGACAAATCTAGCATCAATGTGGACATGGAATGACCAGAAGCAGAGTTGTATTCAGTATGACTTTTCGTATTTATCAACAGGCACCTTGAGCTGAAGAGCACATCTATCCAAACGGATTAAATGACTTCAGAGGTTGATTAGGGTACTTCGGTCGGGCTTGGACATCCACCTATGTAGCAAAAGCAGACTGCTCATGTACATACCGTCCTGCATGATCAGTTTCACGACCCAGCTATTTTGAAGCCCGAATATAAAGATACAAATAAAACGGCTCGTTACATATGCCACCAAAGCGAGTGTAATGAAGCTAGTACACTGATACCTCGCATTCGACAACACTTCTTTTGCAACAGTTTTCCCTTCGAGATGCTTGGGGTTGGAGAGAAAATGCTCGCATGTTTCCAAGGAGATCTGGAAGCAGGATAGAAGGATATTCATAATACAGTGAAGAATCATACGGAGGCAGAAGGATGCACAAGCACAAGCGCAGTGCATGCTGTACGATGTAATATCACGGCTGCAGACCGCCGCCCTAGGGATAGGCCCATCCGTACCCATACCCTTGGCCTGGTCCACGGGATTGCGCGTAATTACTGTATGATTTTGGTAGCCGGCGGCGGCCGGCCCTTCGGCGGGTTTCTTTTGAGAGGAGAGGTAGGCAGATGCAGAACGCAGTTCTGTCTTTTCGGCGGGATTTGGATCTCCTTTTTGGTTTGGACTCGTGATTGCGCCATGGAGTCCGGTCATGTGAGGGGTAATGTTGGTCATAGTGGTAGTGATAGTGGATGCAGCCTCCTGGAAACTGGCCTTGGGACATAAGATCGTAAGGCTCTTGTGGTCTCTCCAGTCCAAAAGACCGCTCGAGCACATTCTGGAATGCAGGCCCTGAGCAGGTTCTACACCTCCCATTTGAATATTGTTTTTTGCCGAGGAAGCTTCTTGGTTCCGCCACCCTTTCAACGATGTAGCCGTCATCATCCGTGACGATGGGGCAGCGAGGTCGCCTGATTTTCTTCTCTCTGCGCCCTTCGCCCCGATGCTCCCTAAAAAATGCCTCTGTTCAGAAGGCAGAGCTGGGTGGCGGGTAATATCTATAGGTTCTTGGATGGAAGCACACCTTGCTGCGTGTCCAGTCACACCTCCTAGCCGGTCTTTGCTATAGTCTCGACTTGACAACGATTTGGGCGGTGTACCCGAACTATTTCGGACAGGCTCTAAAGGGGGATTATGATCCGGAAATGTTTCTCCGTTCTTGTAAATTTTGTCGATTGCCTTCTGAAACTCCCAGATCTGCTGAGTCGTCATGGTCGGCGGGCAGGGTTCCCTAGCAGACGGCATATTGACGACAAATCGGTCCTCAACTTGAGAGTGCGGAACACCGCTTTGGTGTAATCTGCGAACGTAAGACCGTGCTCTATCTTCGATATTGACTACCCGGTCTGCATCGAGATTTCCAGCACCTGGAGAAGGGAGTGGTGTCTCCTCGTTTCTATCGAGACTTATCCACTGATCACCCTTTAGACGCCATTTTTTGTTCTTTTTTTGGTCTTTTTGGTCGACCAGTTCCTCCAGCGAACCAGAAGTATCGGAATGGCTACTGCAGGTGGTAATGCTCGGGCTAATGACGCCGGTTCTTGGATTTGCACCGCGAGCGGTTAAATAATCATCGCGACTAACAGTGCGTTTATGTCCGTTTTGATCTGCCCAAGAGCTTGCAGTGATATTTGGAGGATTATACGTATCAAATAGCGTCTCATCCTTCAGCCTCCTTACTGTTTCCACGTCACTGGTGGTCTCCCGTGAGTTGATCTGCCCGGCCTCTCCGATACCACCTTTTTTTCCCTTCCTTTTGCGGCCCCTGAGCTTTAGAAGGTAGCTCCTATTAGGGCTAGCAGGGTCCGGTGGTCCATGCTCTCCGCGACCGTTTAACCCGGGTTTGTCTCTCGACTCGGATCCATAGAACAACGAACTCTTAACACGTCTTGTCCAAGAAGGACGCCCTTTGCTCTCGCGGTGGTGTTTAGTTGGCGGATTCTGGTGAGAAATGCGTGGAGAGGAAGAGGTGCTCGAACTTGACATCTCGGCAATCGCTGGCGACATGACTCATATTTTCGAAAAAAAAAAGGCCTGAAAATAGTAACAATACGTGTAGCAATATCAATTCAATGAATCCTTGAAACGAACGCAGGCCTCTCAAAGCGAGGAACAGGGCTGGTGGCACCCTTGAGGGACGAACGTTGCCAGCAGCAGCAGAGAAGCTCAACAGCGATGGAGACCGTGCACGTAGATATAGAAAAAGAAAATTTTTTCCAGGAGGCGCAATTGCCATCGGTTGTTCGGTGTAGCCAGGAAGGCGCATCTTCGCCCATAGCATCAATACGATAGAAGTTCAACGGCAAAACAGCAAGCAACGTAGCGTACAATGATTTTTCCGTTGTTGTTATGCCATATCTCACTGGGAAATATACATGTAAAAGCTCATGATTCATCTCAGATGAATAATAATAATCCTTCAAATCAAGAAATATATCGAGAATGAGAACGCCAAAGATGCAACTGTAGGAGCCAACCATAGGGACACGAACGCCATAAAAAAGGCCATAATGTAATATAGTTCAAGTGAATAAAACGGTAAATGTCATCAAACTCTGCCACTTTCTCTTCTTCCACTTGGAGTAGCCAAGTGACCCCATCTTTGAGCGGCTGCAGACGCGCTTATTCCCCCAGGAACACTGGATCTTTTCAGAGGACTGCTGGGCAATCTCGCAGGACTCTGGGCATGGTCTCTACTCTCATAATCACCACGGCGATGTGCACTGCGTTGGTCTAAATTTGTCGGTATATTTCTCTTCAATGGGGATTGCGCATGGGAATATACACCCAAGCTACCGCCGTCACCCATACTAGGCGTTGGACGGAAATGTGGCTGTCGAAGAGCGCTTTGCGATATCAGTGGAGAAGAATCAATTCCATACTTCGGTGTCTGTACGCTTGAAGCCTTCGTTGAGCCAGAGAAAGACGTCCTGGGAGTGGAAAATAACTGTCTGCGCGGGGTACCCTGTACACCTTTCGACTCGGGGTCAATATGTTGGAGATAATTGGGATTAGGATTAGTTTTAAATCCGTGACGCATCACAGTCGGTGTGTACGTCTCCACTTTGTTGTACTTCTCGTCTTTATGAGGCTGGTACGAGTCGGCGGTGTTGAACTGTGTTGCAACGTCACGCATCAAAGGCTGTGTCCGTGGATGGACATACTTGATGTCGTATTCATTCAGAACCTCTTTATGTATCAACATGGAGTCCTTCGACTGCTGCGTGAACGAAGATGAAAGGGTGGACAGCTGAACCGTGAAGAGGGTGGCCAGGAAAATGGTTGTCACAATAGTCATGCTCGGTCGGGGGTCAGACGGCGCGGTGGGAAGAAAGAGCCAATACACAAGAACGTGCCCAGGGCTAAACAGACAGAACAGCCTAATGGCCAAAGGATGAGGGTCCCAGACACCGATTTGCCAGACGTCCCGTTCTGGCCTGGGATGCGATCTGCTCTCTGCAGAACCGGATGATAACACGTTGGAAATGAGGCGCAATGGGGACGAAGAGCGCGGAGACGATGCCACTTTGACTCGCTGCGCAGAGGGAGTTGCGGGAGCATTATCGATGGGTGCCTCGAATAGTCGATAAGTCCGCTTTCGATTGAATGTGTATACTGCGTTCAAGACCGACAGAAGAGCGAGGAGGTGCACGATAAACGAGGCCTAACAGTCAACAGACCCCAGGTATCAGCAGCTTTGCCAAAACGCAATAAGTGAAGATGTCGACTCCGTTTCTTACCAACCAATTCAACCAGCTGATGCCGCCATTTTCTCCAAAAACATCATCGTACGCCTGGCTACGACTGCGACTGTTCGCACGCGCGAGCAGAAATAGACAGTTGATGCCAACGCCTAACGGTATAGCCCACTCCTTTTCCCACTGCGCCCAGTCATTCGAGTCAAATTCTTCCGATAACCACAGCAGAAAGTCGAGCGGGTTGAGGTATGCTTTCAGTCGCTCGAGGAACGGTCGTCGCCTGATTAGCCGGGGCATCACGAAGGGAAAATTTTCGATGGAGCTTCCACCAAGGGAGAAAGAAAGAAAGAGACGCCAAATTGGCAATACTGCAAGACACCAGAATGCTCTTATGCGCCCAGGTCTGCCGCCTTCATGATTAACACGCCGTCTGCGCCATATCCCTTGCGACAGGTTCTTCTCACCAGTGAAAACCGGGAAGATACGTAAACAAACAAAGTTCCGCTTTCTGGCCCACAATCAAACACAGTGCTTAGTCAGATAACTATGCACGGACCGCCAGCGCCCACCTGCACCATGAAACTGCACCGACCGCGGTCGTCCTTGGAGAGAACCAGCTTGCTCCTTTGTGGCCGCGGGAGCCGAGTCCGAGTTATTGCGAATAACACTGTTTTATTTACCTTGCTTTATACGTCTTCTGGCATTCTACGCTAGGCTTCTGTTAATTTTCACCCTATATCCTGCCAACATGGCCTCAGGCCCCAGTGTCTCAAAGGTACACCCATACATCCTTACTTCCGCCGTTGTGGAAAATACACGCATGTTAGCTAACCCGATCCTCTCCAGGAGCGCCAATTCCTCGCTGTCATAGGTGATGAAGAGTACGCTTAAGCCTTCCGAAACCTTGAAAATCGAGATCACATACTTACCGCCCAATCGAATCGCAGCTCCGTCACGGGTCTATTACTCGCCGGCATCGGTGTATGTTAGCTTCTGTCCTTGAAATCCCCGTTCAACTCCGTAAGAAAGAGGCAAAACAAAAAAAAGACTGACTTTTGAATAGCATGTAACCGACCCTCCAGATTCCCAACGTAATTTCGTCGTCGTAGACTCGAAGACCGAGACCTCTGCCATTGAAAAAGCATTCCACAACTTCACCCAAGAACGAAAGGACATTGGTGTTTTATTAATAAATCAGCATGTATGTCATGGGCTGAAGAGAGAAAAGAAGAGTTCCCGTCCCTTTTCCGACATATACTAAAGGTCATCAACAATCCACGTATAGATCGCGGAACGGATACGAAACAGCGTTGATAACTTCACGGAAGCATTCCCAGCGGTACTCGAAATCCCGAGCAAAGACCATCCCTATGACCCTGAGAAGGACAGTGTGCTCCGGCGCGTGAGGAGATTGTTTGGAGAGTAAATATTACCCGTTATATTCTAATGATGTTACGAAATTAGCACGGATATTCGATTCAGGGCCCAGGGATGTTGAAGCACGGTGCTCTTGGGTGCTACGCCACTGACGCTGACATGGGCGCTGCTGGATTCTTGGGGCCGAGGTTTCTAATCGTCAAATGTCCAGGGAGATATACGGCCATAACCTGTGCTCCCCCCTCTTTTTTTTTAGGAAATTGGGAATCACGCTGTGTATTTACAATTGGATACCCTCATGAAAGCATGCACTACACATATTGCAACCTTATGTATTTGCATTGTTGTGATTTAGGTTGATGACGTATAAGTATTTCTAGGGAGACACTCATAAACCATATGGCTTCTATTAGTTCTGGATCCAATGACGCAAGTGTAGAAACATAATCGCTTGTCTTGCAGTGAAAAAATTATCGCTTGAACCTGAAAGCTAAAATCATCATGATTGAACCGAGAAACAGACCCAGTGCGCCACGTCACTGCGTATCATCGATACATTAATTATCACGCAAAAAGGTGGGGGAAAACAAACTCTGGAGGGTACAGAAGACACCGAGTAGAATGGTGAAAAAACACATTGGCCATTAATCATTCATGAAACTAGAAGCGTCTTCCGGTGGTATAGCGGTAAGTGAGATAGAGTGTGGTATAGTGAAGTCGGCAGACGTTACAAGAGGATTATAGGTCGTGTGGAGATTGTGGAACTGTGATGAAGCCGGTCTCGAGGCAGGCAGGACGGACGGAGCAAGGGAAGCAGAGGCGAATCCCAAACTAGCGTCCAAATTCAAAGGTAACAGCAGCATGGAGACAAGTAACTTTCTCATCGTCCTTGGTGAGAACATCAGCATTGACGGTGTATGTGCCCTAATATACTCGTCAGCATTCCCACATTTGGCACAGCAAACAGAACAGGGATGCACATACTGGTGGAATTTCCTTTGGAAGATCGATGTTTTTGGTGAAGGTCATCTTTCCTTTCTCGAGAGGGCAGTGGAGATCAACGTTCTCAATTTGATCACACAGATCTGCGGTCTGGTTGATCAATCGGATAAGGCCGTATTTCACCTGGAGCAGGACCCTTGCGCCCCTGTCGACCTGCTTGGAGAAGGTACCGCTAGCCTTGATGGTGAGAGTCTTGCCTCTATGTCCGGCAGGTTAGCCCATCCAGAAGTAAACGCAACGACTATCAGTCAGGCCTTGGGGAAACTTACGGAAGTGGAGGATTTGGAAACAGGTCCACACGCTCGATGGTCAGGATATCAGTTGCGGGGGAAGAGCAGAAGCTTAAGGGATTTTCTCCAGGAACCGAGAGGTCATCGTCAATCTGGATAGGTGACTGGTCTTTCCACAGGGCAAGAGAAGGCGCCGCCAGAGCGACCGGGGAGAAGAGGAGAGTAAGAAACGCGGCAGCGCTGGAGACCTTCATCCTGCAATGAGTGTTCTTCGACGTAGAATGAGAAGAGAAAGGTTCCTCAGTGGACAGAGCGGACAGGATGAGGAAGACTCGTGGAGGCCTGACGTCGGCAATAGACGGGCGTCGTTGGCTGGTGGAGCTGACGACTGGGGAAACTTACAAGGTTGACGGTGGAACGGGAGAGGATGAGATCACATGGGGCCCAGCTGACGGGGGCGTCGATGCGCCTAACCCTAACCGGCACTAGCGCACTTGGCAGCCGCATGCAGCACAAACGCCAAGCCCTTCCGCGATCTCTCCGTCCGGAAGCGGTGCGCTAGCTCTTCCGCCTGCGTCGAAGGGAGGCCGCCGACTGGAGCGACGATGACCATGGTAAAAGTGTTACGGAGAGAAGATACAACATGGAGACGGCGCCTGAAAAAAAACCTTCCATGAATTAATCTGCGTTCTCCGTTATGTGGATTCGTTAATCGAAACCATGGTAATCCGGCACGCCGGCCTAGCTCTCGCTTCGTCCGCTGTTGCCCGTGTAAGGCCTTCGCGATGATCACTTAATGATGCTGAATCGCATTCATTGCGAAGAGTCATTTCAACAATGCCTGACATTGTAAGCCCCCCGGTGCAATTGCATAAGCTTGAGAAGCTGCGTCGTGTTGGCGAGTGTCCTCGGTATCCTACAAAATTGACATTACAAGCTGACTGCTCGCAGGTCTACTGGAGAAATATTCCACGACTCGTCATCACCTAGGGTTCTATCACAATGTTTCTGTTTCGGCGGCATATACGCTTCCACAGTCCCCCGAATACCCGCTGAAAGATTGTATCTATCATGCGTCCAGGGCACTGATCAACGAGCACCCTGCGCTATCCGCAGTTCCCGTGGATGAGGACACCAGCAAACCGTACTTTGTCCGCCTGCCTGAAATCGATTTGGCCAAGTCAATTTTCTTCGACGATTGGGGCTGCAGTTTCGCTCCAGATGGTGACAATCAGGATGGAGAGTTTCCCGTCGAGTCGTGGGATCATAAATTAGAACAATTCTTACAATCGCAGCACGACACTCCTTTTACACCAGGACTGCCGTTCTGGAGGCTGTATATCCTAGCTGATTATCATGACGAACGGCACTTTGTGGCTGTGTTCGTCTATCATCATGGAATTGGAGACGGGTCATCTGGAAAGGCCTTTCATGCAACCTTGCTACGGGCACTAGCAGATGCTCCCTCTGGGGGATCCAAACATCCAGAACTGGTCGTGAAGCCACCCGAAACGCCACTTCTTCCTGCCCTTGAATCACTTCATCCGCTCCCGTACTCCCTTCCCTTCCTTCTAAAAGCAGGATTGGACGCCAAACTCCCGTGTAGGCGTGACCCTCGATTATGGACAGGCGGGAAAATAAGACTTCCGCTGAGGACTAAAGTGCGCATCATGACCGTTTCAGAGTCGACAACCACAATACTGAAGCAGCTCTGTCGAGAACACGGCACAACGATCACTGCAGCGCTTCAGACTCTTCTCGCAAGTGCTTTATTCGCCTACCTGCCAAGGACATATACAAAGCTGCACTGCGCAGGTGCCGTATCCGCCAGGCGATGGCTCCCAAGAGATGTTGTCACAGACAACTCGATGGGTGTCTGGGTGCTGGATTTCTCAGAAATGTATACACGCGCGGCCGTCACCGAATCAGGATCGGGCTTTCCCTGGAACGAAGTACAACGGTCAAGGAAGAACATCGAACACTTCCTCCGCCGCCGGGGTAAAAATTCTCAGGTCGCCCTTTTGAGATATGTCAGCAACTATCACCGGGATTTATGTACCAGTATGATCGGGAAGGACAGGGATGCGAGTTTTGAAGTGTCTAACCTTGGCTGCTTTAAACCTACCTCATCACCTCAAGGTCTGAAACTAGACGAAAATAAATCGACTGACGATAAAGTATGCGAGATGAATGGACCTCGGATTGGCAAGATGGTATTCAGCCAATGTGCAAACGTGGCAGCTTGCGCGGTGAATCTTTCTGTTATCACCGGCGGCGATGGTCGTTTAGTTCTCATGTTCTGTTGGCAAGAGAGCATCGTGGAGCCAGAATTGATGGCGTCTGTAGTAGAACAGATGCAGAAAGATATCAGCAGGCTCGTCAAAGACGCTCATTAGAACCTATATGTAGCAAACAACAGTCCAGCCCAAGCCTACCAATATAGAATATCCAGTTCATTGTTTTGAGCTTACGAAATCTTACTTCCGGTGCTCCACGTGTATCGTTTGAATAGCTTGATATGATATTGTATTTTAGCTATTCGAATTATTACGTAACTAAGATGTGCAAACTGGCAGAATCCAATCCAAAGAATATGTGGATATGGGAGCTGCATTGGGATCAACTTTTGAAAACCCATATGAGAGAAAAGCATACAATCCTTTATGGCCCCAAAAAAGATCAGAAAGACGCCAACCAAACGCCACCATTTGGAAAGTCCCGGTATCATTTCATCATTGACCTGGAAAAGAAATAATAGCTTAACGTCGCTGCGTTTTGCCGACAGTACGTTTACCGGAGAACTACACAAAAAAGGGAGTATATAGTTAGTAGAAGCACCAGAAAGAGCAACTCATGAAAGGAGAACAAAACATACCAAATGTTTCGGCAGAGAAGCAACAGTATGACGATCAGCTTCTCCTTGTCTCGCCATCCGATTCATCTTCTTCTGGCCCAGTTTCGTTAACCGCTCTGCCTTCGATCTAGCCGTAGTACTAGTGACACCATCCACAAGACGATTGGTGGCCGCTTGGCTGCGGGCTCGACTCTTTGCTCTTTGCAGGGCAGCCTGGCGAGGATCATCCGCTGTATCGATGTCCATCGCGTCTTCATTGAAGTCAGCCTCGCTGCGGGTTGTAGTACGACCACGAGGCTGTTCCCGCGCACGAGCGGATGATGCAGTAGCGTCGTAGCCGATCGAATCGAGATGAGCTTCCATTTCGGACAACTTCTTGGCCTTGGCGCTTCGGGGGATGAGCGCACGGTTTTTGAGAGATTTTCGCATTTTGGCATCGTTGCGCAAAAGTACTCTCTTCTCTCGGATTAGATCGGCCTTCATACGGATCTCCGCATCCTCCGCCTCTTCGATACTCTCATCTGAGTCATAGTATCCTTCTGCCTCCAATTTCTCCTCCTCTTCCTCCAGCTGTCGGAGTTTCTCTTCGATATCAGGGTCCACAAAGTCATAGATGTTCTTTCCGTTCCACACTTCTGGAATCTTGTCGTGGTTCCAGTCGCTGTCGGCAAGTGTGTAATTCTTCTTCAAGTCAACGTTATACACACCAGCACCACCGTTCTCAACCTCGATATCCCGTTCAAGTTTCCGTCTTTCTGGGTCATTTTTATCGTATTTCTTGAGGTTCTGGACAGCCTCTGGGATAAATGTCTCGCGAACGCCGCCCAAAGGCTGAGCAACGTGAATGCGCGCCAGAACATCACCAAGTCTCCCACTTGGTGTACCGGAGCCGTTAGTCCCCGTCTTCAGCTTCTGCGCCACCCTTTCAGCAATCAACCTGTCACACGCGGCGTTTTTGACTGCCGTTACACCCTCTGTAGTAGTGCATGAGAGCTGAAGCATCTCAACACCGCTGATCGTCAGCAGCTTGTCCAGCTCCTCCTTAGTTGCCGGATCCAGATCCTCAGGCCGCATCACATCGATCTTGTTCACGACGATGAAAACCAGTTTATTCGAAAACAACGGTTTAATGCTGTTGAATAGCTTAATCTGGTCAGACACCGAATATCCACACTGCTCGGACAAATCCATAAAGTAGAGGATCGCAGATCTCAAGTGCGCAATGGCCGTGATCGACTGCATCTCGATGGTATTCATTTCTTCGAGAGGGTGATCTAAGATACCGGGGGTGTCGATCGCCTGGAATCGAAGATACTTATAATCAAAATGGCCGACAAACAAGCTCTTGGTTGTGAAGGCGTACGGCTGTACATCGACGTCCGCCCTTGTGATGCTCTTCAGGAAACTCGACTTCCCGACGTTGGGATATCCGCAGATAAGAAGCGTCCTGGTATTGGGATCGATTGATGGTAAACGACCGAGATGTTGTCGCACTTGTTCCAAGTACAGCAGTGGGTCCTTCAACCTCTTGCAGATGGTGGCCATGCGGCCTAAGGCAGCTCGCTTCAGCTGCTTGCACTGGAACAAAGACTGGGCATATTTGATGAGGCGGACGTAATCTCGAGAGACCGTTTCTACCAAACGCTTCGCCGTCGACAGCTGGCCGAGCGCAATTCTAAAATGATCCGCATCGTAAAGAGTGTTCAACAGATCCTTATCTGTGCGCAAACAAAGTGCAAATCAGCGAAACTGCAAATTGTCAAGGTATCTTTTTGCAAAACACCCTCGCATCAAGATTCGACCACCACTTACGGAAGGGGTGAATATCCTGCAACCTCGGAAATCCATCCAAAATAGCCTGGAACTTCTCGCAAAATGTCTCTTGGGTATATTTAACCTTTCGGGTGTAGAATGCTGTCGTTCAACCATCACATCAGCAGCTATACCAATTGCGCATGCAAAAACTTTTTCCAGAGCCTCTTCTTCCAAAACCACCGGTATCATCCGAAAGAGCAACCATACCTCTAATACGACTAATCTTGAACCCAGCCCTGATCTGCGTCGGCAGTCGTCTCTGTGTTCTACTAAGGACGATGTCGAGAAACTCCTGGCTTGTAGGCACAGGTTGGATCTAGAAGTAAATCTCTCATTAGACGAAACGACTCTACAACGAAGTAAGCAGAGTCGGTACTTACATCCTTCCACGTCGTCTTCATGATGGCCGAAGAACGCTCTCTCTCTGTCTCTCCCGCCGAGTTCGATGTCTGGCTGCGCTCGATCTCCTCCGGCCAGCAAATTTGATAAATTTGTTGTGGTCTTGGTGCAGCTCCCGATATAGTAGTTTTTCACGAGATAAGGATTTGCCAAGAGGCAACTTTACACGGAGAGCTTAGTCATGTTTCTGCCAAGGCGGCCGTATCTCGTCCTCCGTAGCTAGCTTATTTAATTAGTTTTCATAAATGCGCGATGCACGCGCCGTAGCATTATCAGGGCAGCAAACGCGTTCGGACGCTCGAAATAGTAACAGGGGGTTTTTCGAGATTCATTTGCTTATATTAATACAACTTTTTACCCGTTGCAGAGCTACCTGACAATCTACTAATAGTTAAGCTAAGTTCACGGTTACCATTATCGCCAAATTTACCCTTCCACCTTCTCCCGTCTCCCAACACCGTTTTGTCGTCATTAAAACTTTGAAGTTGATAATCGAGGAAAGGGTATGTATGTATGTACAGATGATACAACCACTGGCAAGGGCCGTACCGCAGCAAAGCTGTTAAGATGGGTAATTAAAATCCTCGGGCTTTCCACATGCAGACGTTAAAACTCAAGAATCTATTTCCAAAAGCCTGGTCAGCAACGAGACCTATTCCACGAAGCCCAACGCGAACTCAGGATTCGCAACCTACCAAACTGTGCCAACCACCACCTCCAAATGTACACTCGCTCGGTCCGCAGTTCTTAAAGCCCAGGCTCGTGTAAAAGGGAACTAAGTGGTCATGCGACAGTAGAGCGATTCGGTCGGCAATTTTTGCATCCCTAATCCGCTGAATGTATGCTTTCATCAGCGTTTTGCCGAGGCCTTTCCCCTGGTGCTCTGGAACTACAGCAAGTGAGTGGATCGCGATTGTTGATCCTTGATCTTGATGGCCCAAAGGCTCAACGCCAGATGCATTGGGAAGAGTCGATGACCTATGTCGCCAATTTTCTGGGAGTTCCATCGAAGCGTCAGTTACGGCCGGCGCCGGAGTTCTTGTAGCAAGAATATGGGCAACGAGGGTAGCTTTAGGCCTCTCCTGATGGGGCGCGATTCGCGGGCGGGAAAAGACTCCAAGCGAGAGTTCGGGACACTTGGTGAGACGATAAAGGATCTGATTATTTGTTAGAGCTGTCAACATCAAATTTGTTCAAATGCCATTGCTTCGGGCCGAATGGCAACCTAAACCCTGACGGAGAGGCCATGGGTCCTTCGAACTACTGCTGACCTCCGCAAGGAGAAAATGCGTCAAAGCATGGTAGAAGAAGCAACAAAGGCTAGGCGTAGAAGAATAAACTCCTAAGAATGGGCCGTGCACCCAACTATCCGGGATCGGGTACTGCTACCTACCTTCTCTCTCGAGCACCTTTCATTTTCCGGAAAGGCTGATTCAACTTGCACGCACTCATCTGCATTTGATACCGACAGTATCTGCACGAACGGATGGAGTTCATCGAGCTGCGTTGGCTTTGGAAGAGTCGGCTGACGGAAATACCAGGTGGAATCCGCAACGTCGTCATGGTCTACAGCCACGAAGTCATCGTCATCAGCTTCAAATACTCCATCAGTATGACCAGCGTTGTGATTCATGAGTCCATCAGCCTGGGCAATGGCGGAACGCTCCTCAAGCCTTGATTGCTGGATTGGTATCGGCTGCACTGAGACCGAGGTTGAGCTTGCACTGGGAATTGTACGGCTTTGAGGAGGAGAAGAGCCAACTTCGGGTTCAATATGAAAATCAGCCATAGGGGAGGTGCCCGTCGCCATGTTTGCGCTATGGAAAAGGACCTCGTTGATCAACACTCGAGATGACAGAAGCCAAGGACTTTCAATTATTCAGCGAGAAGAGACAAGGTGCCACGGGGCAAGAGAAGATCCGACGACTATATAAGATGGGAATGTTAGCAAGACTCGAGAGAGTCAAGGGAGCAGATCTCATGCCAGCGACGCGACCTGATGCGGGGTGTTCCTTTTGGCCCAAAAAGGAGCATGTAACTAGCAAGTGAAGAAACGAGACGTATGTCAAACAGAGGGCAAAGGGGGGTCGATTCAACGCTCAGGAACGTTCAGTGATATACATACATCTTGCCAGCCAGTCTTGTCGCGCAGTGCCAGTAGCTCTTGGTTTCAAACTCCCGTTAGTGCGGCTGGTTGGCTGTGCGGTGCGGAGGATTGATTGCTGATGACGTCGGCGAGCGCTTGTCCGGAGGCCAATGAGACGCAGTAGTGTAAGTAAGCGAAGGTTCTTCGATCAAACAGCGCACACAATCGGTCGAACGAGAACGAGACTGCTCTCGATAGGGAGTAGGGGAGCGTCAACCACGTCTGCTCGATCCAGCTCGGGCAGCTGGCTGGGCGTGGGAGAAACTGGCTTGTGTCTCTGGACTGCGGGGTTTCGTCGCTGCCACTTCCCCTGGTTAGTGCGCAAGCCAGCTAACTAAACTACGTAACCAACTAACTGGTCTAGTTATACCTGTGCTCTGTGGTTAACTACCTCGCCTTTGCTGGCGGAGCACACTCTATGGCAGGCACCTACAGTCATCCCACCATATGCCGGGTATCAAATGAGAAACACGAGATGCAGCCGGTTGCCACACAGGATTTGTTGCCAACAGGCCCGATGAAGATCGTGAAGATTTTCAGAGGCCGGTCTTGGCGTGTCGGCTTTTTTATAACTACTTATTCTGTACATACATACATACATACATACATAGGCTTGGATCCGAAGTAGTTCTGACACATGGCCGGCAATTCACAGGTTGCTCTCAAAGCAGCGTCGGAGAGCTAGCTGAGATTCATTCAAGGACTAGCTTGTACGATGTAAACGCTTCGACTCCTACGGCCCACATCTCCAGCAGTGTAAGATTCTACTGAAGCCGGAACTGTAGGACGCGGAGCAGATATCCGAAGTCACCCATATCATGCAGTATATCGAAAGAAGCTCCGTGTCATGTTTCAGTCAGTTAGGATGTCTAGGGGAAGCGATAAAGCCTTGACTGAGCGATAATATCTACCTCAAAAATTTCCGCCTTCTATTACGCAGTCGAGTTTGATCAATTTCCGGTATAAATTTGGACGTCTTTACGCATTGGACAACAGCAATTTCGGTGTCCTTGAGCTCTTTGAATTTGTGCTATCAAAGGGGGCTGTAAAATGCAAACGCCGATCGCATGAACTGTATAAATATCCCCGATCAAGCCCCCAGCATCACCCTAGTTACACAAAATATGGGAGATTCATCACTTCTGATATCCTATTCAGGACAGAGGCATAAAGAGATTTAGGTTTCCGCGCCGCTCTCAAATGACTAGGACTGAGGTTACTGGCTTGGAAGAGACTTGCGAGATGAATGCTACCCATTTTCAAAGGGCTGGTAGTAGGAATTTGCGCCAAGATTATAGAATGGCCTGTGTAACAGGCAGCGAAAAGCAGAAGAGAGAAGCGGGAATGCAAGGGGCGGCACAGACAGGGGATGCACGCAAGTCTGGAAAAGAAGAGATTGCCGCTGATAAGCCTGCGACACATTCATCCCATTCTGGAAACTTTCCGGTCGTCTGCGGGAGGAGAGATCACCACGTCACGGCGTGCACAGCAGAACGCTCGTTCCGGCTATTCGCAGCCGACACTTCGTGCTCCAGGCTCCAGTGTAGCAAAGAAGCAGCAGGCCAGGACGAGTTATTATGTAGTGAGGAATTGGGCGTGTAACATGTGGGAATAGATGCAGACGGCGTGCATTCTATCCAGGAGATTGAAGCCAAAGCGGTTGCTTCAAGGCATACGTTAACATACATCAGCAAACAGGAGATCCCACGGGCTAGTCGAAATGTGTATTCCTCCCGATTCAGGCGCAGCCTCGAGCAATTTTTCCCAGGCGCATCAGGCCCAAACCCGTGTGCAATTTTCGATGTCCCCAGAGCAGGGCGTTCCGGTAATCTGCCGCTCCGCAGCGCGATATCGCCAAATACGGTTAAGGCAGGCCTAAGACCCCTTTATTGGGGTTGGAAACGGGCTGCAATACTCTCGAAATCGCCCAGCTGCCACCAACGCGGCCGGGGGCAGTGCGACTTTGGTCCGCACAAACGCCTGCCTGTGCGTTTTAGCCAGCGTAACTCCAAAACAATTGGCTGCTCAACATTATGAACCAGGGATGAATGAGCTGCTTGAAATCACGGGAAACGCATTGGGATGTGACGAGCCGAAAGGACAAGAGTCGGACGGTCTGCATGTTTGAATGTCAACCCTTCTTTCAGTGCGCCGCAGCAGAGAGGACAGAAAGGCGTCCGGACAATTGAGCGGCAATAAAACGGGGCTTGATCTTCCTTCTTTATCATTCCACTCGATTCTCTCGGTAGATCCTCGTCTGGTCTGTTGAACACGGGAGACTTAGGTAACAGACCGCCGGCCGTTTGTGCGGACACAGACCCATCAAGCTGAATACAAAAAGCTCCCCAAGGCCCCAGGCAAACACAAATTGCGTGGACACCCTCTCATCGGCCCTCGCGACAAACACAGTTGGTGACCTCTATTCTCAAACTCAAGGCTGAACAAATATAAGGATTTAAAAAGGACGACCAGAGGGCATCGATAACTAACCAACTACGGAGGAACTAGTTAGTCTACCAGCCGCCATCTCCTCTCACGTCATCGCCGAACCGCCGTGTCTAAAATAGTTCCCCACGTCACTCCAACGAAACGGTCGATAACCCGAACACACAGTGATTACTAGCAGAAATGTATTTGAATCTCCATGACCTGACACACTGCGCCTGATATTCCTGGAATATTTGCTAACCTAACCTTACCTGGCAGGCGAATTTCCGTCTCCGTCGTGGCCTCCAATGTGGTCGTTGACAACGATCTGATATCCCTCGATGTCGGCGGGGAGATGACCCTCGCCGACCTCAAGGCTGTAATTCAAAGCGACATCAACATTGCGCCGGCCGCCCAGAGCCTCTTCCATAATAACCAACTCCTGACAGATGATTCGAAAACCTTGTCGCAGATTGGGGTTGTGCCGGGCGATATGCTCGGGATGCACATTCGGGTACCAGGACGAGAGCTCGCTGGGTCTCAGGGATCGGCGAACCCTTCCGCACGCACGACGCAAGAATCATTAGCCCGAAGACAACAGGCGCTACCAGACCCCGAGACACTACGGCTGCACATGTTGGGTGACCCGAGAGTGTATGAGACTGTCCGGATGCAAAATCCACAGCTCGCAGCTGCGGCTCGGGACTCTCGTCTATTCAGAGAGGTTCTTTCCGCCCAGCAGCGTGCTGAAGCGGATGCAGAAGCTGCCAAAGAGGCAAAGATAGCCATGTTGAATGCCGATCCGTTCAACCTTGATGCACAACGGGAGATCGAGGACATTATCCGCCAGAATGCTGTCTCAGAGAACCTACACAACGCAATGGAATTCAGTCCTGAAGGTTTGAAAACTCCCACTATCTTTGACTTGAACGAGTCTGACTATCTGTGATCTCAGTATTCGGTCGTGTCACCATGCTCTACATTCCGGCAGAAGTAAACAGTCACAAGGTCAAAGCGTTCGTGGACTCCGGCGCCCAAGTCACGATTATGTCTCCCGAGTGTGCGGCGGCGTGCAACATCATGCACCTAGTCGACCGAAGATACAGTGGAGTCGCCAAAGGAGTTGGCACAGCTAGTATCCTCGGGCGTGTGCATCTCGCACATATTAAAATAGACGACCTCTTCCTCCCATGCTCCTTCACAGTCATGGAGGGAAAGCACATCGATCTTCTCCTCGGCCTGGATATGTTGAAGCGGTATCAAGCATGTATTGATCTGAAAGACAACGTCCTCAGAATCCGTGACCGAAACGTGCCTTTCCTCCACGAAGCAGACCTACCCAAACACCAAGACGAATTCGCGAACGAACCTCTTATCCACGGAAGAGGGGGTGCACTGATTGGCGGACGAACAGGTGCTGTGACACATCCGGCAGGAAATCCCGGTTCTTTGGCGCAGAATGCGCAGACCTTACCGGCGCGAGCGAACCTAGCTGCCCCGGTAGGGACCCCCTCGTCTTCGACAGCACCAGGTCGGAATCCCCATTCACCCTCTCGCTGGCCGGCAGAATCGATTTCCAAAATCACTGATATCGGATTCACGCGAGAACAAGCGATTCAAGCTCTTGATGCTGCCAACGGTGACTTGGAAGGCGCTATCGGATATCTCATCTAAAGCAACTAGAATATCCTTCTTTTCTGCATTCTGATAGCCTTTTTACGCACGAAAATCAAACATGTGCGTCAGGGCAGTCGTTAATTTCGGATATCGTATCTTGTCTAATTGGTTTGTTGTGGCATATCAGGACCACTCGGGGCCGCTTTCATTTCTTCGCCCTCGTCTGAAAATCTGCTTCTCGGCCGTCAGAAAGCATAAGCATACCACGAGGTCCCGAAAGAGGCCAGCATGACGCGTACATGCATACCGAGCAACGACAGGATGAGGACCTTTTTTATTCTTTTCCGCGCCGGGAGGATGGAGATATACTATATCGAAATGAGCGTCATACTGGTTAATTTGTTATAAAAGGAATTCGGGCTAAGACTTAGTTCATAGGGATGGAATTTTTTTTCTTTTTCCTTACTCTTTTTCTTTAATGTACCTTGGGATCATTCATGCTGAACTTTTCTGTATTCTCACAATACTAAGCTTAGGAAGAATATCAACCCTGTCTTGCGGCTGATTTTCGGGGTTTTCTGAGAGGAGAATATATAGATAAACGCATCTATTTCGAGAGGTTAGCATCATACGGAGCAGACTATGTGTATGCATAATATATAAATTCGAGCTGCCTGACATAAAAATAGCATGCAGAATCAGGTTTTAGCTAATTCCAACGTAGTATTACTACATTGCACCTACTATTGTACAGTAGCTACAGGCAGCAATGTGATCATGCATCCTGATACGGCTTCCGATAAAAGAGAAAAATTACTCTGTCCGGATCATAGGCAGCATCGCACTCGAATACCGCAGTCGGCGATATTCCAAACAATGCAGATGTATGTGAAAACCCAATCCCAATATCAAGAGCCCGCTCTTTCCAGAGAACCCTTACAATGCCATCACAACATGATTCCGTGTAAATTCCCCCTTTGTGAACCCATCTTTGACAAGTGAAATTGAGGTATATATAGACAACGAGAAATTCCGAAACCTGGACTCCTTTCCATTCTTTCTCCCTTATCCGATTGAAATCAAAATTTCGAATTGAGTTGTTCTCTGTGTGCTTGGCCATATGTAAACGGGTAGACCGTTGTGCGACGATCTAAGACGCGGGCAATTCGGGTCATTGATTGCGGGGCGGAGATTTGTGCTCTTGCGGTCTCAAATATGGGTATATCAAAGACCAACCTGGCGCTTGCAAGCCCGCAGATATGACTTTGAATCTTGCTGGTTTTTCTTTTTGTTCTCAATCCAGTTCCCGGCCTTTCAAATTCTCGTCAAGGGATAACAAGCCCATAGCGAAAGTTACCATCGGCTGCTCCGGAAGGGTGACAAATCTCCTATCCTCGCGCGATTCGGAAATATTTCCTTGTAAATTCTGCTGCCCTTGTTCAGGAAACACCGTTCGTTTATAAGGTGGCCCTCGGCCCACCTCATACGCCTTGACCCAGGACTTTTCACAGCCCGAAGCCACGAGGGCGGCGGATGTTCCGCCTGTAATTCGTGCAATTTCGAGTAGCTTGGTGATGGTCCAGGTGCGCTGGGCTGGATCGGAGTACTGCACTCCAGCAAAAAATAAGGGAAGCATGAGTTCGTTCAGCACACCAACGGTCGTGGGATGAAGGTTAGGCGTATTAACTCCAGCCTGTTGGAGGTGGGGAACTCCAGCCGTAACTCGCCCAATAAGTTGTGCATAGCGCGCGGTACGGGGCGCTGCTACGCCGGCGGCGACCATCGTTGCGGGAGGCATGGCTGGATGGCCTCTCTCAAGGATAATTCGGGCGACATAGTAAAATGCCCAAATGCACGCTACAATGTGTGTGCGATATTGTATGGCTGGGCCGAATGGGCTTGCAGTGAGCGGTGCGCCATCGGGCGGCAGGGGAACGAATCCAGGAGTCGCAAGCGCTTTTTCAAACTCATCGGATGCATGCACTAACTCTTGCCATTCGGCTTCTGCTTCTGCTGTTAAAGAGTTTACGTCTGTTCTGCCTTCAGACCCACTGGGGGAGGGCGGCGAAGGATAAGTGCTGTTTCCAAATGCTGATGGAAGTCGAATAGGGCCAGACGGTGGAACCATGCCATACATAGGTGGGCTGGTCTCGCGTTTCGGCGCAGATGGTCTTTCGCCGGTCTGCATCTGCGGAAACGCTGATTGAGGGCCTTTATTAGGTTGCTGTCCAGCACCACCCATCCCTGGGAAGAGGTTTGGTGGAGGCCGCCACTCCCCACCATTTGCGTCGATCACCTTGAGCTTCCTTTTCCTGTCTTTGGCGACGAAAGTACTGATCCGTGCAAGGAGCAGAATCAAGTGATCCATGGAGCCGTAAGCTGCATCAAGTTTGCCTACGCCAGCTCTCGGTGGGCATTCGCCCCATCGGCCGTGCGGAAACCTATAACAATTAGCACTTAAGCCTCAACGTTCATTCCAGCGACGTACAGTAGCGCATTTCCGCTGACCATGCTATAAAATACATCTTGCTTGCAATACCACCAGTACAGGTCGCACCGCACTCTGTAGTCTTCCACGTCCTTAGCCGTTAAGTCGCGTTTTGGATTTTTCGAGGTATCGATGTCAACTCGGCCGAATTCATCATAATTTATTGCCTTTCCCGTTAATGTATTGATCAGAGACATATCAAGGTCAGATTCATAGGGCGCAAATATGTCGTTCTCAAAATAACTTCCCAAATATGGCACCGTAGACTCCATCCACGTATCTCGTGAATGTGACAGCCATTGTTCCGATCTAGCTCTCATTCTCATTGCCCGAATATCGCGGGTCATCGCGGCGAAATCGATATCTCGGATTAGATGTGCGGCGCCAGCTAAGTGGCTATTCCATTTACGATGTTCGGCGCCCATGACTTCGTAGAATCCTAGTAAAAGCGTGGCGGCTAGCGTGGGGATTTGTTTCCGACGCTGGGGTAGCCCAACTGCCCTGCCAACCCGTCGCAACGCATAATGGTAGTGGCGGAAAGATGCAGTGAGGGGTTGATTGGTCGTCTTTGCAATATGAAAACAGCTAAAGGCCAACATTGCTTGCAGCAACCCCTGGTTCTCCAGTGCCATAGTTGGAAGGGTGTAGGTCCACAGGCTTTGTTGCTCGGGGGGTACGGGTCCGCTAGACATTGACACTGAGGGTATGAAAGGATGCCTCTCAAATATGGATATTGAAGGTCCTACAACTGTCAAAAAGTGGTGAAAAATTTGGAAATGCTGCGGGTCTAGGAGAGGAGACGCAAGAGGAGATGGTGAGTAAGTTGTCAAGACGTTTTCGTAGCTCTGGTAAGTAGAAAATGGGCCAACGTTGGACATCAATTGATAAGGTATCATCGTTGCAGTATTTCCGTATGGATCAAGGTGCATGGTCCTCTTCGATTGTTCCAATTCCTCGTCCGTTTCAACATCGTATAAATCGTCGCTTTCGGCCCCAAGGTCAACCTCAGGTTCCATTTCAGTCGCATGCCGGGGTCCATGGTTCATACTGGAACCAAAACCTAGTTCCGATGAGATATAGTGGCTGCTATCTGGAGGGAATTTAGCGAGCTATAGGTTGAAACTTAGGAAATTATTACCCATACATTGTCCAGAATCGGTAGTTGATAGAGACGTATTATCCATCTGCATGTATTAGTCCAGGTCTGCTGTCTACTGCTTGCGCAGTCTAGAAGCTGAACTTACATAGAGAGAAGAAGAAACGAACTGTGGATGGTGAACCACCTGGGGACCAAGAGGTTGGTAGCTTTCCGTGTTCTGTGGCATACTTTGACTAATAACTGCCGCTCCAGGGTGGTAATTTGGGTTAAACTGGGGGTTTCCAGGATCCTGTCCACTTTGGGAGAAGCCCTGTACAGCCGATGGCTGCGGCTGGGCATAGTGGATCGCATTCCATGAATACGGGTCTTCCTCGCGGATTGATGGTGAGAGTCCGGACTGAGGGCCAATATGCTGCGTAAAGTCATGTCTCACAAACGTGTCAGAATCCGGTCCATAACCAGATGGTCGGGGTGCCAGAGGTAGGAAAGGCCGTGTGCCCGTTTGTTCTCCATGTTGGAAACCCTGCACCAGGTGGCGGTTTAAGGATCTCTGGCCGGATCCTGTCAAATTCTGGGATGAGCTGATCGGACCTAGGTGAGGAATAGGTCCAACCGGGTCTCTAAAGACGACACGCTGGCCGTAGCCTTCGCACTCTCGTTTGGACTTAATGCAATTATTACACCTAGGCTTCTCCTCTCCACACTTTATCCTTCTTTTTCGACACGCTAGAGGAACGGTTGGTAAACGAAATTCGGGTCAAAGCCAGATCGAACAGTGAGGAACGATACATACTCAAACAGCCCGTCTTTGTTCTCTTCCTTGGGCCTTTCAACTTTGAAGTCGCTGTGGTCGGTGCAGATGTCTCTCCAACAGGAGAGGTCGCGGAAGGGGGATTCAGAGCCGCTGGATCGCTCCCAACGGACGATTTTTCTGCCATGGTCGAACTGGTGTGATGGCCAAGCTTGGATCACAAAACCAGCAGTAAGGAATTTAGGGAATGAGGAAGAGAAGAGCCGTTGAAACAGCGAAGGGAGGTATCCCACTTAGGACTCAGGAGAGGAAATCGGTCCCAGTGGGTGAAGAGGAGGCAAAAGCTCGAGGAGAGAGCGATACCTGATTCAAAAGGCTTGGTAACTTTGCAGGGGCTCTGGCATTTTCAGAAGGCAATTGGGTGAAGGTATAAAGAACGAGTGGCGTTGGTGGTGCGAAGAGGTTTTGATAGAAGAAAAATCCTGACGAGAATAATCCAACGCAATGCCGAAGGAAGAACAGTCAAGCTGAGATGTTAAACAAGCAGCGGTACGTAGTCAATACGGGACGAAGAGCCGTCCTGCCATACATATATTGGGCTGCAAAAATCGTACAGGCTCAATTAGGAAATTGGGGCGGCAAAGAAGCAAGATAGCGAGAGTATTGGTACCCAGGATTGCTGTCAGCGCAGATACGAGGCCGGGAAATGGTTGAATGACTTGTCCGCATCCACAGGTTGTCTAGCTTTGAGAAAGACCGGGGATATAATCATATATATAGCAAAGCAAGCATTGCCGAGGACAACATGGATAAGAAGGTTCGACTGCTCCTGAGCCCAGTTGAGGATGAAGAGATATATTTATGAATTTTTCCTTTTTTTACGGCATGAAAACGTACGAGTGACAATTCGTGGTTACTTGTACAGGGGCAGTTGAAAAATGTGACGAGAGTTGAAGGATCAAAAGAAATAAGAGGAGAAAGCCTCTAGGAAAGGGACGAAGGAAAAAGCAAACAAGTCCTGAAAGGCATCCAGGGTACGGAGTACGTAGAAGAGGGAACTCCAGCAAAAAAGCAAAAAAGCAAAACGCCGGAGCCAAATTGGCTTGAGAAAGCAAAGACCGAGAGGAGGGCGTGGAGATAACCAATGAATCGCAGGCTTAAAGGGGACAGCTCTCACGTCAGGCGGCTGGCAGCCATTAAAGCGCAGAAAATCAATAATTTGAGACTATTATTACTATTACTGAGGAATTAAACTAGTTGCTGGCGGACCATGGAGGATCAGCAAGATCATCGCAATTGCAGGACACGATGAAAATCATTCCCAGGAAAACAGGGCGGGAAACGTGACCGGCCACGCGGGTGCAGAGGGAGAAACGAAACGGACAGGACCAAGCTTTCTGTGCTTCCCCAATGAACCCGCGATGAATACGGGCGGCCTGGTCAGTGCATGGTGAGCGGGCTATTAATAGATGTGAATGTGTCAATGGGAGTGAAAGAGGCACCGCATCCATCTGCATTGTCCGGATGGGAGGCTACGGCTTCCAAGCCCATTGAGAGCAGGGAGGGATAACCTATCCTGTGCGAGCTCCCCTCTCTCCCTCCTGGGCTGCCCATTCATTAATCGAGAATTAAGACATTCGGGTTCGGCACCAGACCAGTCCATTCATCTGGGCTGCTCTCCATCTAACTAGCTTAGTGATTCAGTTAACAAAACGCCAACGGTTGTACGAGGTGAGTTGTTGACTGACGGATGAGAGGTATCCCGGAGGAAAGGCGGGAGGGGCGGCCTCCTTTGCTAGCTGAGACCTCCAAATCAGGTTGACTCTGTCCATGGAGCGCAGAACCAACCCAACCCTTCTCCTGCGCCATTGGGTCTAGCGCCTGATAAATGCGGCAGCCGATTTCCTAGGTTTTGCCATCGCTGGCAAAGTGCGGAGAATCGCGAGCCACTCCCGGGCACCCATCCCTGTACCGCCTGAGGAAGAACTTTCTTCCAGCAATAAGCTGGTTAGCTGATTAAATAACTGCGGAGAAGGTCCCTCCTTAGTTCAAGGCGGGTTTCAACCAGCGAGGCTCCCATCTCTGGCCTATTTGAATTTGTCCCTGCCACCTATGTTGACTAAAGCTCAGGCGATGCAGAACCGATGTGTCCAGGACGAAGCTTGAAGGGGGCCAAGTTCAACCCTAGCTGTGTAATTCCCTCTTGACAGCCCCCGGAAACGGAAGAAAACGCAAGAGGCCCAAAAAATTAACCGGGAAGGGTCCAGAATCCCACAGACCTTTGGAGCTTTCCCACACAGGAGTTAAGCTTCTTCACTCTCCGTCCACTTGCAAACACAATTACGCACCGTCCTCCGGAGAAGACACCCGTCCAACCCTAAAGGGGTTCCGGTAGGGCCAACAAACCACAAGGCCATTGGAAGTCAGGGCTCAGGCGCATAGGCCGTCTCTGTCTCTTGTCCTTCCTCTCCTGGCTCAATATCGGTATCCAATGGCTCGGATCCGGATCAGCATTGGTGACCCCCTGTGCAGCGGCTGTGCCGCTGGACCAGTTGCCGGGTTCACCCAAGAGAGTTCAATGGTCAGGACTCACTTCCGGAGTACAAGGCTTAAACAACGAGGCCGCTGCAACGCGACCGTGCAGAGTGCCCCCGATACGAAAGCTGCATGTGAGAGTAGTCCGCCGTAGCCATTTGCCAATAATATGCGACATCTTATCTTGCACCCCGGTCTGTCCAACAGGTCTAAAATTATGTTTAAATTAATGGAACAAGAATCCGGAAGCTCTATGCACTGCGATCGATGGCTGCACGTTAGGAAGTCCCATTCGATAATAGGAATAAATAATCCCATTATCATCCCTGAATCCAGGATCAGATGATTGTCCACATGTCTCCCATTGAGGCGTACATGCATTCATAAGTCGCTTTTGCCCGGAGCTTGCTCCATGCCCACGAGCTGACAGGGAAGTCATGTCGGCTCTTTTTTCATGCAAGATTTTGGGGCATTCATGGGCCTCTGTGAATGTCTTAGGGCTCTGATTGGCCGGAGTGCAAGTCGCGAAAGAAAATTGGATTCTTAGCCGGACTGGATTGGGCAAAAGGCACCTTGTTCGTCACTTAGCGGTTCCAAACCAAAATCCTTGGGAATGAGAGAACCCGGGGGAGCCTGTAATACCCGCCAGGCAGCCAGGGTCGCTTCCTGTTTTCTGGTGTTGCTGCTCCCCAGTCAACGGGCCCACGTATCACTTGTCTCCTGGAGTTGCCCAAAGGAGCCAGACGTTCACCCTCTCCTAGCAATAATAGCTCCCTTGCAACGTGCCCAGAGGGAGACACAGAATGGCCTGTGTATCTCGGGGAACCATTAGCAAGGTATTGAATAGGTCTGTGAATCATGGAGAGCCGATTTTCTAACTGCTGGTCATTTCAAAGACCCGGTTCACACGACCTTTTCGATGTGCTGAAATCAATTCTTATCATGCTGCCTTGTTGGTGGTGCGATCCAGCCAATGTCCCCAAAGCCGTGCGACATAGCAGGTTTTCGGCGTAGTAGCTACTTATTACAGCGCAACTAGTTAGTGAGATGTCTACGGAGTAGACTGGGGTCTCAAACGTGGTCCCACTGGGATGAAGATCTATTCTCTTGAAGGCATATTCTGTGTGGTGGATTACACTGGGGATCTGGCCACATTGATTGACGATCCCCTTCAGCTAGATATCAAACCGGTATGAGTACGGAGTAGAGCCAGGCATTTGGAAGGCCAACGGACTTGTGAAGCCACAGATACTGCCGCCGTCTGTCAGTTTCAATTGAACCTATGTTGGCCTTGAACGGCCAACTGATTCAGTGACCTTTTCGCACAAGACAAACTTCACGTCATGGGTTGTGGGCAAGCAGGCGCTGTTCAAGTGTTCATGTGATAATTAGAGGCAATGGATCCAAGGAACTTATGCGGCCGAAGAGGTAACGCTTGCAATCCCTAGGCGAGGGGCCCTGACCTTTCAGGGGGTAGCGGTCAGAGTTAGAAAGGAAGTGACAAGAAGGTACTGTTGTACGGAGTACGCCCGGCAAAATTATGGCGCTTGAAATCCAGGCTGGCCCTGTTTTGGCAAAAAGTCATTCTTCTCCGGCATTTCGTGCGAAGCTGGTCACGAAAATCACTCGCTTCGCAAACAGCGTTCTCTATAATGGTTATTTACTTGACTTGTTGACGTGTCTTTCCGGCTATTTAAAGCTTTGGAGTCGTACTCCCCCCAACTGCAAATGAGAAGCCAACAAGACATCAGTGACCATGGGTTGCATCTCGGCCACTCCCCCGATACGATCTTCATGGAGGCTGTGGTGGCTGAGTTCTCCGCCGGATCGAATGCACAGGCCTCTGGCACTGGAGCCATTCTAACAGAGTACGGAGTACTCCGTAGTTGGACGAGCACAAGAGCCTATGACATGGTTATTATGCACTTCTCTACCTGCTTTTCTTATAAGCCTTCGCTAGTAGATTGATGTGCTTGATTTATTTCTTGATGTAAGCACAATATGTCATTTCATCAATGTCCGGATGAAATGCGAAGGACGAGCTCTGAAATACGCCCAAGGAGGGTTGCACAGTATGTTCTGCGTAATGTCTGGTTCCGGTTGCACCCAGCCGAATATGATTTGGAGCTAGGGACCAGGGCAAATTGCATATCTGACCTATAGATGAAGCCGAATTGGTCTTGGGAGGGGAAGGGTACATGAAACAGAGTGCTAAGCACTGTACCTCTGAAAGGGAGCAATGTCCAGCTCTCTTGAAGCTTCGTTCAGGTCATCGGGGAAATAAAGAACAATGTGGATCTTCATTAGCACGGGTATTCGCCGTATTAAATAAATACTTTCTGGTCCTCAATGTCATACCTCCAGGACTGATCTCAAAAGGGCTATGTTCAGGTATAAAGATCTTCTCTATTCACCCATTTGAGGTTAACATTAACATGTAGTTGGTGGGGTCTAGTATCGTGGATCGCGGGGCTATATCAAAGAGCATGTTCCCGCATGCGGGGAATAGTGCTATCCCGATACCATCTGTCACTTGAGGCCCGGATAGTTGAGATGATGCGGACAAGACATAGCATGCTTGTCGATAGCAAGCCGGTTGGACAAGTTAGGCTGGTCCTCAACATGCGGGCTGTTGAGCGAAAGTTTTTGTACTAATTATCAATGAAGTGATACATCGCGTGGCTTCCTCGTGTCAGTGCCGTGTACGTGACCAGCGAGGATCTGAGGTTCCACCGTTGTTTCTCCACAAGGGCATCATTTTGGCTGCTGTGGCAATAGACGAACCAGCACTTGTGCAGCATAGAGGCGGTGAAAGACGAGAACCCGTGTCGCAAAATGGCAAATCATAGTACGTATCTCCGTATGAAGAGTTCCGAGCCAATGGCAAGATGGCTTCCCCAGGAAGTGGTCCCTCATGCACAGTCGAGATGAGACTGTCTAGGATAATTATGGCAAGTCTCAAAAGCGGTCTGGGGAATCGGGAGCAAGACTCCGGACGACTCCGTACAAAGGGATCTTTTGACAACGGAGCCTATCAGCAAAATGATAATTGTTAGCTCCCAGCCAAGATGGAGCGATCAGAATGAAAAAGAGAAATAATATCCCTGAGTAGGATGCCAGCGACAAGTGAAAACCTGCCCGCGTCGATCACCGGCTACGACACGAGGCTCCCACTCAGCATTCGTTAAACGCCCGGCAAATCATCCAGTCCCTTTCTCTTCTGTAACTTGTAAGAAATGGCATGCCACTAAGTTTTTCAACAAAGGAGTCCACATGAAATGAAAGTGTTGCAATCTCGTGAGGATGGAGAGAAATTTGACTCGTGATTGACAAGGAGATGTTGTGCCCACAACTGCCCAGCTAGAAACGCCAAGAGACGTTATGCTAGGGCAGTCTTTGCCTGAGCTCGTTGAAGCTCTGCTCGACTTCTGTAAGGACTGACAGGCAATTTCTCATAACACATGAAAGCAGGACAGATATTCCAAGCTTCTGCCAATTATCCCACTCAACTAGTCACCAAGAACAGCTTTCACAACTGCAGGTATAGGTTCTCCTCATTTGCTAAAGCCTAACAGCAGCGGTGAGCCTTTACCTATGGTCCAGGCTTTCAGAAAGGCCATATATCCCTCCGGTTACTCTACAGTACAAAAAGAATTTCACCTCCGCGTGTGAATATTTTGGTGTTATCCGAGCTAATGCTTTCCTTACCTCAACATGAGCTCCATATAACATGATATCCAGGCCATTGGTATATTGACAACTGATACACACACCAATGCAGCAGACGTTTGGGTATTCCAGAGGATGAAGAAATATCAAGCAGACCGCCAGGATTTGAAGCTATTAGAGAAGAGCAATTCTTGAAATATGTCTGGAGCATATCATCTCCCTGCCTTGCAGTTAGCATATTTGGCTGCTTGATGTCTCTCCACCAACCACGGCCTCGTTGTCCTCAACAACAATTTCGGGACGTTGAGCCGGTAGCTGGTTGGGCGAATCATCATTCAAGAGAGGTTGGTCCTGGTGTCCTCTCGCTGCTAAAAAGATGAGAGAGGTTTCAAGGGAAATACATGGCAAGCCTACCACGTATACTGAAGGAGCACCTATGGATTTGCCATTCAGTTCTTGGCCGATTTGAGTTCTCCGATCAGTCCTGTGCAACATCGCCAAATATCCCAGGGAAGCGGAACTTCAGGGGAGCACGGGAAGCTAATCTTAACTCCTCCCCAGGAGGTAACCTTGGAAGGATTTAAGCCTAAATGGCCTTTTGGACTTTTGTTGAAAGCTGATGCACACCATACATATTACTCTCCCCTCGTTAATCGCTTGGATTCTTGGGGGGTAATAACTTTCTCATAACTTCAACTGTGTCGATGCAGTTAACTGGAAATCACTTCGAGAGCGCGTAGCTATCGGACGCGTATGTCTATTTCAATCTCAGAGGGTTTCTTTTCCAGCCCGGCATTGACAGCCGTAGGGCTGCATGGTTTGCGGCGGGTGGTGACGTATTGCCGCCAGAGTTACATCAGGGCGTCCTGTTTTGGTGGGGCTTCCCGTGGTTCGCAGCTCTGGTGGTGCAACAAGCATTTATTTTATGAGGTGCTGATCTGATCATCCTGTTCTTTTCGAACCTTTTTTTTTTCTTTTCCCCTGGCTGATTCTTCCGCGAAATCTCCGATTTGCCATGGCGCAATCCATACTGGACGATATCTCCCACAGGAGATACAACCCACTGCGAGGAACCCACGTCTTGGTCTCCCCGCATCGAACAAAAAGACCCTGGCAGTGAGTGGTGATATCTTGACGCTAAATCAGTCTGGATAAAGGCACTGATGCACTAGCGTGTGCCAGGGGCCAGCAAGAGTCTCCGTCTAAAACACTCCTACCGTCGTATGATCCTGCATGCTACCTATGCCCTGGAAACAAACGGGCCCAGGGTAGCCAAAACCCACAATACACGAAGACTTTCGTCTTTGTGAACGATTTTAGCGCGGTAAAAGAGGAGCAACCAAGCTATGGGCATGAAGAAGACCCCAACGGTGTGTGATTTGGACAATCACTTTCGCCTTACCTTGGAAACGAATATGGTTTTGACTAGAGACCTAGATCTCGCATCCACCTTTCTTCAGGCAGTATCAGTAACAGGCCGATGCTATGTCCTCACTTTCTCCGCAAGCCACAATCTCACCTTGGCGGATCTTTCGCCAAATGAGATAATTCCCATAGTTAATGCCTGGACCGACATTTATATTGGCCATCTCCCGGCCCATTCACCACTCGTGACGCGTGCGCAGACTGCAGTTCCGCTCGACTCGGCGGCACTGCAAATCCCCAAACCAAACCAGCAGTATCGCTACATGCAGATTTTTGAGAATAAAGGGGCTGCCATGGGGTGTTCTAATCCCCACCCCCACGGACAAATATGGACCACAAGTTCCTTCCCAGAGGAACCACAGCAAGAACTCGAACAACTCAAAAAGTATCGTCGAGAAAAGGCAGGGAGGAACATGCTCGAAGACTATGCTTCGCTTGAGCGAGAGAAACAGGACCGAGTGGTGTTTGAAAACGATACGTTCCTGGCCTTGTGTCCCTGGTGGGCGGTGTGGCCGTTTGAAACACTAATCATTAGCAAAGAGCATAAACGCTCGCTTGCAGATTTGACGATGCAAGAAAGAGAACATTTAGCAGAGACAATCGCCGACATCACAAGGAGGTACGATAATCTCTTCGAGACGCATTTCCCATATAGCATGGGGATACACCAAGCTCCGCTGGTTGGAACGGAAGAAGAAATAGAGGCGTCTCATTTGCATATACATTTCTATCCGCCGCTTCTGAGAAGTGCGACGGTAAGAAAATTTTTGGTTGGGTACGTTTTTGTCGGATACAAGTACGATTCACCGAAATGTTCAAGTTAACTGTAAAGCCTAGGTATGAGCTGATGGCTGAGCCTCAGCGTGACATCACCCCGGAGCAGGCAGCGGCGAAGCTAAGGGCCTGTGGAGGTGAATTGTATCGAAGATTGGATGAAGGGGCTACGAGATGACATACCGATGTTTGCAGCTTGGGATTAAACCCGAGAAATGTGCAATCCTGTTCGGTAGCACTTGTAGGTTGACACACGACTTTGGAAGTTTAGAGCAATTTTCCATGGAAAAGTTCGCTTTCATTACTCCTGATGTCGAGGAAATATTCATAAATCTTCCATTTGAGCATATCGGTATAACCTGCGCAGGGCTGAAATACAGAGAACAAATCCACGTCCAAGCATTACCGCTCCACTATTTGTCCGTTTTTCATCTCTGCCTTGTTTGTTTGAATTTATCACTTCACATACCATCCCCTCTGCGTGATCATCCACGCGAAGCTCGCACTCGCCACCACCAACGGGCTAACAAATCTGCCCTTGGCTCTCGCGGTTCCAAACACCAACCACTCACTCACAAAGTGAGCCAATGCAATTCCGTACGTCCATATCGCCAGATCGTATACATGTGGGTCGGAGATGTAGTATGCCGCGTAGAAGCGTATCACGGAAGACAAAAACGTCCAGGTGCCAAATTTGCGCGAGGAGAGAGGGGTGACAGGGCCAGCAGCGTAGAGTTGACCGGTATAAGTCGGGTTAGTGTACGCCTGGAGGGTATTGAGGGTCGATACCACGGAGACCTGTTGCGGGGAGTTAGCCTTTTCTTGATGCTTTTTTGCGTTTGGTTCCTGGCTGCTCAATGATTTGGACGTACGAGGAGGAGCCACTTGGGGAGGTAGCCCTCGTGCTGTGGTAAATAGAGGGCGAGGGACATTGTACGGCGTAGACAAGCTGATACAAAGCAATTGTTTATTAATCCTGTGATAAAGTTCCAATTACAGTGTAATTGTTTTCGTGTGGCTTCGAAAAACGTTCCCTTGGTGGCAGTGAAGGTCGGAGTTGGAAGCTGAAAAGTTCCCAAATTTTGAAAAGGAGCTTCTTCCGAGCTCAACCTCCCAACAGCGGCACCAGTTGTTCTTTTTTTTTTTTTCCCTCTCCGACAATCACTCATTGTTGTCGACATTATGTCTCATATCTCATTTAAAGGCTGTAGTTTCCTCAGCCACCTCGACAGCTTTCAATTTGACATCTCATCATGCCAGACGATTGCAGCATCGCTGGTCTTTGCCACAGGAGGTCTGTTCCTCCTCAGCAGGGGCCTTAGCTTCCTTCGAGCTCTTTTCAGCATTTTCATCTTACCAGGGAAATCAGTATGTTACCTGAGTAGAAATCCCAGGAGGCCTAGTACGGTAGTCTTCGACAATGCTAACCTATTCCGTCTAGTTGAGCAGCTTTGGCCCGAAGGGTAGCTGGGCCCTCGTTACCGGTGCCTCTGATGGTATTGGCAAAGAATATGCCCTCCAGATTGCGCGAAAGGGTTACAACATCATTCTCGTTTCACGCTCCGCATCGAAGCTCTCCGCCGTGGCCTCCGAGATCACTTCCGCTAATCCCAACATTTTGACCAAAACCGTTTCCATGGATTTCTCAGAGAACAACGACGAGGATTACGAGAAACTTAAGGATATCATCAAAGACTTGGATATCTCTATCCTAATTAACAACGTGGGGTTGAGCCATAGCATCCCTGTACCATTCGTTCAGACTCCAGAAAAGGAAATGAAAGATATCATCGCCATCAACTGTCTCGGCACACTCCGCGTCACACAGCTCGTTGCACCCGGGATGATGCAGCGGAAACGTGGGTTGATCCTTACGATGGGCTCATTCGGCGGTCTCTTACCTACTCCTCTGCTCGCCACATACTCCGGCAGCAAAGCTTTCTTGCAGCACTGGTCTACTGCACTGGCTTCCGAGTTGGAGCCATACAACATTCACGTGCAGCTCGTCGTCAGCTACCTCGTCACGTCTGCAATGTCCAAGGTCCGCAAGGCTTCGATGACGATCCCAAACCCCAAGGCCTTTGTTCGATCGACTCTCAACCACCTGGGACGCAGCGGGGGCTTGTTTTCGTATTCGCATACATCTGTGCCGTATTGGACTCACGGTCTCATGGCTTGGGGCATCACTTCTTTCCTTGGTGCAATGAGTAAAACAGTCCTTGGAATTAACAAGTCCATGCACGAATCCATTCGACAACGCGCGCTGCGTAAGGCAGCGCGGGAGAGTGGAAAAAAGGCACAATAGATGTTGTGTGTCTAATCCTTTTTTCAGACATGGCCTAAATAAATTTTTCGGGGTTTATATGCTGCTAGCTTTGTCAGTAGTGCAAAATGAGCAGAAAAGATTGTATGAATTTACTTTTGGGTCCACGTCCTTTTGAGTGGTGTTCTTAATGTACACTACAAGTTTAAATAAATAATGAAACGTCACTTGAACAGGCTCTTGGAATTTGTCCAATTAGCTAGGAGCCGAGCTCGAAATCCACAATAAATAGCAAGGACCGTGTACTCCAACTACTCCTGACAACTGTACAATGAAGATATCACGGAACTTCAAAGTCTTGGGTCCCTCTGGCATCTCGTGTCTTTTCCAACCCAAAGGAGTCAAAATGCTAATAGTTTCCTGATCAACAATGTATAGACTCGTGATTTCATGGATCAGTGCAGCTGAATCTTTCTTAACACCGCGTCGCTCACCGATTGATGCCCAAAAGCTGCCAGGGATCCTGCTTCTCCGAGCCCTACGAAGAAGCAGCCTTTCATGAAACCAAGGCCAAACGACAATCCAGAAAAAGTGCATGGAGGTATGGGGGCTTTTCTTCGCACATCTTCTCAGTTTCGTCCGTCAAATTTTATTCCATCCTCTCCCATTGGGACTGCCATCCTGGTGCTGCAGGATGGGCCCTCCGTATTGTGCCCCATAATAATCATGCACGTCATTCCAGTTGCTGTTGGAACTGCCAGGATGCTGTTGCACTTCTGAACTCGGTCGAGCTCCGATTTGACATCGGCTCATATCAAAAGGGGGTTCTTCATACCTAACGTGGAGCTAGTCGCATGCTGGGGTTTGTCCTCTACACTCTCTAGAATATCTCGCCATGAAATTGTCATGCTCCCACCGCAGATGCCACATTAGTTAAACTTGGCAAAGAGCCTCCATCGGTATGTACGTAATAATTTACGCATCAAGAGACCTTAGTTGCTCAGAATATTACTGAGTCAGTCAGTCATGTCGACCCTTGTCGACCCTACTATCGAAGTCAAATTTTCCAAAGGTTTCCTACCGCTGTTCTTGGAGCCCGTTCTCGCGTTCGGATCCATCACACTGGAAGGTTAATGGTTCCCGTTTCCTGGGGCGCACCCGACAAAGTGGCTTGCCCGGCTCCCGAGCCCAAGCGAGTTTGGAATCTTCAGTCCTGTTTGGCGGGTCAAAAAGTGCTAACTTGCAGGGAGGTAAGATATGTCTTCTCCACCCTGTTCTTCAACAACCTTGGCAATGGCTCCCGCGTTGAATGCTACGTAGGTCAAAATGATTGGGAGCCACGATCACGTTTGCCCATCCTGGAGCCACAGAGAAACCATACTTATGATAATTCGCCAATTCTTCGGCGTATCGTTGCCTCCGCTCACTTCCATCAGCACATGATATGGTACAGATCGCCTGTCAGCACCACAATTCCCCCCCTCCCCTCTTCCCCCCACACCTCGTTGACGAGTCAGGAGTTCAATTCCCGACGTAACTTGACCTAAGGGCAAAGCTGCCAACAATGCTGGGTATTCATTTGACGAAGGACCAGTCACGACTGAAGTTATCTTCCCCTGGCGAGCCAGTCAATCAAGTTCTCGAGTCCTTGATGAAAAGGAGTGCGTTTCTTCTCTGATCCTGCGAGATATACAGAATAGCGGGGCTTGGAGGGCGATAATCGGGTGCTACGACTATGGCCCACCGGGGATGCACGTTGGTAGCCAATATCGTTGGGCTTTGGTAGACGCCAATTCTCGAGAGGCACATATTGAATTTGATTGCACCGCTCTAACAGACGAGGATGCATCGATAGGCTTGCTAATTGAATGTGGAAAAACACCGTTGAAGGCGACGTCTTCAATCTGAATATGTCGTAAAAATTTTCTCCAAAGCAAGGTTCGACGAAATAAAATTTCACTCTGTTTGGGCCTGCTGCGAGTTCGGGAATTCTTGATGGAGGAGACAGAAAATCTGGCAGATCCTAGGGACGGAAGGACGCATTTTTGATTTGATAGGATCGCACCTAGAGTCTTTAAAGATTGGACGAAGCGAAGTAATTGTTGGAGTCAAAATTTCTAAAGATACCAAGATCGTGGTCTGCAAATTATCAATCTATCTTCAATATGGCTTTAGCTATCCTTCAGCGCCAGGACGAAATCCCAACACCGGTTCCCGGGCCTGCCGAAGTATGAAGGCTGTCAGCAACGCTGAGAACATCTGGGAATACACACCTAGCACTGAGCCTCCATTTGGCAGTGGCGACGCCCCCTATCTTTTCTTGGGCTATGTATATTGGCCTAGTCATTAGGATGCTGCTTGTCGATGAAGTTGACATATCCAACTAAAGTACTTCCGGAGTTCTTGTTTTCGCATATATTTTCCCGCGCCATTATTAGAACCCTAGGTTCCGCACCTAGACGTTTTGGATAGAGCTGATGATTCAAACATCATCAAGCTAGAGCTTAAATAGAAGAGATCATCGCTTCTGGTAGAAGTTTTGTTTGACAGATTGGGGAGCTGGAATGAGGTTTCCGGAATATGGCCGGAATTTTCAACCCCAAATTAAGGGACTGAACAGAGGTTCTCCGGGACTTTGGGTAGGGCATAAATCAGGTCACTACTCAAGGGCCAAGTGTTGAGCAGGGTGTTTGTTGGCACTGTGGTTCCAATGCTCAGATACCCATCACACCTCCCGGCTTTTCTGATGATCGTACTGCATCGGGTGCCGTTATCGTGAGCGGAGGCCCTCCATCTTGTAATCTCCACACATAAACTGAGGGGAGAATATGGGAGCGGGGCAAAATCCTGCGGAGATAGTAAACTTGACTGGAAAGTTATATATCACCTGGCGCAAATCCCGCCATAGCGTTGTTGGGTAAGCCAACAAGTCAGTAGCTTGCAATTAAGCCGTTGATACCTTGCTGGATCTGCTGCGCACATGTCTGGCATCACGGACTCGGCTTTTTGCCTCCTGTTTTTCAAGGTATGCGTTGAGCCTCAGCAATAGAATTTAGGCTTTGTGGGACTCGTGGAAATTTTGTCCGCAGGCATCAAAAGGTCCAGCCACATAAATGCCACTACGACGACAACACATCTCAAACTTGTCGGGTGAACGGGCACTTCGTTTATGCAAGATAAACGAGCAACTTCAATAGCAGGCCCCTTGGAGCTCTGGTTGTCCTTCCCCTGGAGTGAACCATAGCATAACGCTGATAAAGGTATATAAACATGTGGTATCCTCTTTTTTGATATGTACGGAAAAGTTATGTGAATTTCCAAAATGGTCCGTGGCAATCAACCTTATCTACCGGTTGCAACCTTAGATGCTTGTGAGAAATTAAAAACTCTCTTGGATCGGGTAATTGGGAGACAAACCCCAATATGACGCCCTGCCGGTGGATTTTCATTTGTTGATGAGGCCTGTGTGGATTCCAGCCAATCCAGACCGAGCGCCGAAGGAAACCCTGAGAAATCGAAATCTCTAGTAAAGTGTATGGAGAAGTTAGCAGTACAACGTCTCTCTGGGACAACCTCGTCTTCTCCACAGCCCGGAGAACAAGGCTTCGCCATTCGTCGTGTAATTCGAAATGCGGTGAAGAAAGTCTACCCTTTCCCCCCAGGCCCCATTATCCAGCGTGCGGGACTTGAAACATCTACTCCGCCAACATCTCTCAGTAACCCAGTCAAAAGACAATAAAATTTTTTGGCTCTAAAGCGAAACCCGAGTCAGGATGAAAGTAAGATCCCGGATCGAAGGGGCGCTGCACCTGTGAAAACCATGTCACGAAGATATACATCGTAAAGGCGGATCTTCAAACTGAGGTGTCATCGATCCAGTTGTTGCCTGTGACCGATGACGTCTTTCTCAATCCTCGATGATCAAACTCCCATCCCAAACGCTTGCCCCTTGTTGAGAGGAGCAACGCCATAAATCTTAATTTTTTACATGGCCCACAAAGAAAGGTCTAGGGCCAACGTGTCTGCGTCATGAATCAGAACCCGTTCAATTCGAATGAGGTTGGAGTAAAGAAGGAAACCTTTGAAAAATCTTCTCGGAGATTGCCAAGCAGGTTTATCGAAAGAAGATGCTCCCAACGTCAGCTCTAAGAATAACCGAGGCGATCAGGTGACATAAAATTGGCAATACTCATTCTTCAGGGCCAGCTAGGTGGCCCTGATGCGTCCGGGCTTGATCATACCTGCATATTATTTTTTCATAGTAGTGGCTTGTCGCAAAGATTGAAAGTCAATAACTCAAGATCGTGAGGAGGTTGGCCATTGAGTACCGAGAAGGCTTGATGACAGTAGCATCATTGTCGCAACATAAACGGGAGTATAGTAGACTGCCACGACTCGCAAATTTTCCGCGGCATTTCTGATAAACACTGAGCCGATATCTTGCGGTCCAAACAGATCAAGGATCCATAGGAATGGCGAGCATCTTCCTCGCCCTCCTTTCGTCAACCTGGAAAGCTAACTGGTAGAAAATGTTTTCCAGGGGCATTTGGGCACCCATTTTAACATATAACGTAGACCTTCGCTGTCGTATAAATTGTGAAAGGTAAAGGTTATCCATCTCATCAAAATAATATCGTAGTATCACAATCCTTTAAACCTGGATACCATACCCTAGAAACGGCTGTTATATATCTTCCTGCAAGGCGAGGAATTGCTCGCTATTTCAGGGTGGTTTTCGCAAAGTCCAGGAAAAATGACGTACAGCGTCCTGTTCCACGGCCAATTCAAAACTTATACTGATGTCTCTGGAATTCGAATAGTGATCCCCGCTCAGGAACTATCGAGCTGGACGGCAGCTTTTTGGAAACATTGACCTTCGAGGGTCGGGAGTTCCAGAAACATGCAGTCGAAAATGAAATTTACTATGGCCCTATCGATGATGTATGTGTTTCTGAGCCATTTTCTGTGGTGACTAACTCCAAAATAGGAAGAGATCGATCGATTAGACCTCCAACATCGAGTGCTGAGCGGTGTCTTCGATCACCGCCTTATATTCCCTCCGGTGGAGAGCCTTGACAAGGTCCTCGACTGCGGATATGGATCTGGGGCCTGGGCGGTGGAAGTTGCAGAGCAATACGAAACTTGCGACGTAAGCAAATTCCCGACCTCATCTGGTATACCGGCCATTAACCTTGAAAACTTAAAGGTAATAGGAGTGGATGTTTCGCCGCATATGAGGCCGGATGATACCCCCGATAACCTATGGCTGCAGGTAATTCTCCCTCTGGGTGCCAGGTCGCTTTAAACCTATCGCGTTTTCACAAACTGCAGTCCTACCACAATGCGATCCGCACTCATTTTATGCAGGCAGCTCGTCAGGCTGGGCTCCCCATTCTTGATCGTTAGGCTCTTTTGTCATTGTTATAAATATATATTGACTTTCTTACTGTTAACAGGTCGATGATCTAAACCGGCATTTTACCTTTGGGTATAACCAGTTTGACCTTGTTCACTCCAGACTAGTTGCATCGGGGATAAACCAGGACAGATGGCCTCGATACCTGCGAGATATTGTCAGGTGAGCCAATCCCATCCCCGGCGCATCATATAGCAGCGCAATTAACGATCTTGGACTGGCCGAGAACACCAGATCTCTTAAGCGTGGAGGGTGGGCTCAGATGGTTGAAATATACTTCAACATCCAATCTGATAATGGAGCCTTGACAGAAAACCACGCGCTCAGAAAATGGAGCAGTAGCTATATCAAGGCGTTGGAGGGCGTGAAAGATGTGCGAGCCGGTATGAAATTAACGAGCTTGATGACATCGGCGGGGTTGGTTGATATCGAATCGAAGATGATCCCGCTCCCCTTATCAGGATGGTCGAATGGTGAGTACTACCACCTTCTGGGTGCTGGCCACCGCTCACGGTCATTAGACCCAAGAATGAGAGTCATTGGAGCGATGAATAGAGACAATACGCAACAATGGCTCAGCTCGTTGGCATTATATCCGTTCATGCAAAAGTTGCATATGTCTCGCGATGAGCTGAACAACATCATCACGCATGCGCGAGAGGAGGCAGATGACCCATCCTTAAGAGCATATGTTCCACTGTAAGTTTCCCTTTGCTAATGGTGAAAGCTTGTATTGACGAGACAGATACGTGTGCATCGGTCGAAAGCCGTAGGGCAGTGAGCATCCATTGACGGTTGTTCCCTGTTCAGGTTGAGCTCATTATTTTATGGATTATCGCTTCGTGTATGCTGCTTTCTCCTGCAGATTATTCGATTTCGTGCCGCATTCTGCAATTTGTTATATACTCCATATAGCCTCAAAAGAAATATACTGACATTCTTGCTCAGAAATTTTGAGATCATTGAAACCTTTTGGCCACTGAGTTGGATGCTGTTTGGTAGGGTGTACTAACGTACCTGGCACCTACCACACATTCCAAAATTTCTGTTACCGGATACCAAATCCCTGATTTGTTCTTGAAGTTGGTCTTTTAAAATAAGAGAACGTGCAGCTGGGGAATTCATCCTGATGAGCCGAAATAGCCGCAGCGGTCGGTTTACGAATTGAGCTTCGAGCCGCTGTTCTGAGCAATATATGAGGCTGAAAAGATGATATGGATGGTTCGATTCGGCATTGGTAAAGTAGAACCAACCGTTGAAAAAATGGTTCTTCACCTATCCATTGGGCTTTCATGAAGGGTCGGATTGCCAGCGAAACCAAAGACCTACCTGATAACGTTTTTATTTAGCATCAACGTATCATCCATCAAAGTAGGCCTTGATGCTGACAAAACAAATACTACTTAAGCCGATGGAAGCGAGGACGAGACCAGCACTCATTTTTGGATTCTTGAGTCTAGGATACCTCCCAGCTCAGGAGGCGTGGAAAGCAAATTCGATAACGACAAACGCAGAGGCATAAACAAATAAGAAAAAGTACAGGCTGAGAAGCTTAGTGACACACGGGGTCGTGCTATGCACTCAACCTCTGACGTCTGGGAGTGAGATGAACGGAAGATCGTTGCTCAGGCTCAGAAAACAATAGGTGAGGTTGTGGCGATTGGGACAGCGGGACGTGTGACTTGGCCGCCATCAAATAACATCAAACCAACTTACGCAAACTTCCGTGTTTCTCCTTTTAATACGGAGTAATCCCTGGAGTTGTTAGCTCATTGCTTGTTCTATCTTCTTGCTAACTGCTTGAAGACAATCCAGCTGTCTCTGGGTAGAGGATGGAACCATACTGAGTCAGGTTTTCCGCACATGGGCATTCTCTCAGCAACGATTCTACTTATGATGAACCCACGGAAGCTCAAGCATGCCCACTTCTTCCAGCTGACCCGAAGTGGACCGCACAGAAGGTTGGTTCATCCCTCTTAAGCGCGGTAGTCAAGAATTACGGAGCACTTCAGCCAGCGATGTTGACTGAGCTTGGCGGATCTTACTTGCCCGGCAATGTCAGCCCTCCACACCACACCGTTGCCGGGTGGGGAGTGCTGTGCTATTCATCTCATCCTCCTTTGAAGCACGGAAATGGCAAGTAGTGCACAGTTTCGATACCAGGAGCTTTGGCTTGAAACAGAGCTCCTTTCAATACAACGGTATTTGCACTCCTTGTATACTCCGTACATGGATCAGTATTTCTGACTGAACAGGAGGGCTTTCCCCAAAACTGCCCGTTAGACAAAGCGGTCCGTTCTGCGGTTCACTTAATGACCCCATACAAAGGGTCTTCCGACGAGCACGCTAGTAGAATATCGATATGCCTTCGGTCCGGCTCCCCGTAGTTAGTTAGCCCCACTTAGCCGGCATTAGAACCTGGGCATTTCGAGATCTCAGATCGAGATTAACGGGCGTGTTTGAGACAGCATGCTCACCTGCAGCCAAATCTTTGCGGAATACGGAGTATAATGCCTCTGTATGAACACGCCCACCCTACACCATGAATCCACAGTATCCCTCAGATCTCCAGTTAAAAGTTCAGTCAGCTTAGTATGGAACCGGCAACGCAGTCCCTTTAAGGTTTATATTTAATCCGGTTCCAGAGATATCCGGCTGAACTTTCCAATTCCATCAAGGTACCGGTACAACTTGCCGAGATATGAAGCGGTATGGAGCGGCATAATTTCAAATCAACATGATTTTGAAGAGAGCTCCATGAAGAAGTCAAACGGAAGAGGTTTGTCTCGCGAGTGAAGATGCCATCCACACATAAGAAAGATAAACCCTGGGATACGGACGATATAGACAAATGGAAGGTTTGTTTTTAACGCTCTCACGATTCGATATAAGCTGCGTTGCTGATAATATCAATTGTCACAGATTGAAGAATTTAAACCAGAAGATAATGCTGGCGGGACCTTCGCCGAAGAATCTTCCTTTGTCAGCCTGTTCCCGAAATACCGGGAAGTCTATCTGAAGGAAACATGGCCGATACTAACGAGGGCATTGGAGAAACATGGAATCGCTTGTACGCTGGACTTGGTGGAGGGTAGTATGACGGTGAAAACTACACGAAAAACATACGACCCAGCGGCCATCCTCAAGGCACGAGATCTAATAAAACTGCTTGCTAGAAGTGTCCCAGCTCCACAGGTTCGTTTTGTGGACATTGCTATCCGTCCGCTATTTTTCACGCTGACGCCGAGTTTCTATAGGCTCTTAAAATCCTTGAAGACGGGACGGCATGCGACATCATTAAAATTCGAAATCTGGTCCGCAACAAAGAGCGATTCGTTAAACGACGCCAACGCATCCTAGGCCCTTCCGGCTCTACCTTGAAAGCACTCGAACTCCTTACAAACACATACCTCCTCGTCCAAGGCAACACTGTGGCAGCCATGGGCCCATACAAAGGCCTGAAAGAAGTCCGTCGCGTCGTCGAAGACTGCATGAACAACATCCATCCAATCTACCATATTAAGGAATTAATGATTAAGCGCGAACTTGCCAAGGACCCCAAATTAGCAAATGAAAGCTGGGATAGATTCCTCCCACATTTTAAGAAGCGAACCTTGAGTAAGAGAAAGAAGCCCTTTAAGGTCACCGATAAGTCGAAGAAGGTGTACACGCCATTCCCACCACCGCAGGAGAAGAGCAAGGTTGATTTGCAGATTGAAAGTGGCGAATATTTCTTGAGCAAGGATGCTAAGGAGCGGGCGAGAAAGGAAGAGATTATGGAACGACAGAGGGAGAAGAGGGCAGAGAAAATGAAAGAAATTGAGAAGGATTTTATTCCACCGAAAGAAGACACAGGTGAAAAGAAAAAGAAGAAACGGAAGCGCCAGGAAGACGCCACTGATAAAGCAGTGGACGGAGAGAAGAAGTCCAAAAAGCGCAAGAGTAAGGAAAAAGTCAGTACTCAAGAAGAATAGTGAGACTTATATGACTGTCGGGTTTGTATGCGGCGTATCGGTCGATATCCTAAACCAAGGGGGTGTTTGCTCTTTGTGTATTCCATATTCATAACTATTATCGAGCATCTAGCGGAACAAATATCAGAGTACATACATCCACAGTTACCAAGGACTCATCCCATGTATGTATGTATGTATGTATGAATAGTTGGTTCGGGATTGCTTGCTGGCTCCCAGGCTCGGTTGGGTAAGGTGTCAGCGGTTGGGAGAGACCCGCGGCAACAAAACCGCTGAGCTTCATGAACCCACCACGGCCCTTCAGCGGTGGGATACCTACGCGTGTCTGTGACACCAGGTAAGAGCCGGGGAAAAGCAGTACCAGAGAGATATCCCAAGGCCATAGTGACAGGGCTCGCTTCATCCTGTTTGGTGGTCGAGACTGGATTGCTGCTTCTTGGTATATGATCTCTCAGAATTGCAGCTCACTCATCTTTCATAATGGCACTTAAGGCATGCGCGAGTTTCAATAAAACAACGCTCTCGGTGGCTGCAAAGTAATTTAAACTAGCATACAATGGTTAGTAGAACATAAAATGTCATTTGAAATCGAGACCATACCTATCCATTAATATTCTGAGATGTCTACCAAAATGGTCCTCATACCGCTTCAAAGTATCTTCCAACTTTGCTAAGCGAGCAGGATCATACGACCTCGAAGACTCAAGCCCGGGGGTCTGCTTTGCATTGTTCCCTGACAGATCTGGGTCAGCCGCAGCAAGGCTACGTGCAAGCGAAGAAGCCGTCCACGATGCAAACATTGTGCAACAAGTCATTAATTTCGAATGAACCTAGATTAGAACATTAGCAGGTTTTCTTCGTTTGGTATAATGTATCCGGGACTTACTTTCAACAGCTTTCCCTGTGTTAGCATACATTCTTTTAAGCAAGTATCCAAAAAGTCGACATGATCTTGCATTAGCTCATCCACAGTCCTGTTGACTTGCTTTGTCCCGTTGACCATAACCTCGGTACTTTCAGCATCATCACCGTTGACTCGGTCCATAAGAATCTGCCAATTGGGTTCTATAACTTCGGCCGTGCAGAAATATAATAACTGTTGCACAAATACGAGCATTCGGGCTCGCAACGCCCAAGCTTTTCTCTTCCATAATTCCACTCTCCTATCCGAAGATTTATGCGTCCAGCTGACAACCTTGATATGGTCTTGCCAGCAGTTAACAAGTAAAGATTCAAGGTACCGAAGGGATAGCAGATGTCGAAAAATGAGCTGGTATCGGAGGACTGTTTTGCGGCTGATAACAAGGGAAAGAGGGAAGGGAACAAGATAATCAAGCTCGAGTGCATCAAATCCAGCAATATCTTTATCATCATCTACCGCCTGAGAAGCCGGTGTCTGGTACTTTTCGGGGTTCGTCTCAGGATTATCTTGATCTATACCTGATACGCTCACAACACGCATTAGCCATTTTGTAAGGCCGACTTGATTCATTCGGACTTTAACATCTTCCTTAAATGGATCCTGAGCAGCAATACTCCCTGGCTGGCGCAAGACGATGTCAAGGAGCGACTGAAGTTTCCCTTCGTTGACAGATTTGGCGGGTTTCCGGAGTTCAGAAGCTCCCAGTTCTAAGAAGTAAGAGAAGAAATCGGAGCGGTCGAGGAAGAAATAATGCTTCAAGGACCGGAATCGGGTAGTGAGGGAGTTCTTGGTCAAGAGAAGGTTGAGCAACGATGCATTTGCGTGGGTATACGCCCCGTTTACATTATCAAGGAATCGAGGATCATCGAAGGTCTGGGGTACGTCTTTCATCTCCTTGCTGATATCCACACCACCACACTCCCTCACAACGTTGAGGTACTTTCCGGCCAGCAACACCTTATCCTTAACAGTCTCCAGCTGTGGAGGAACTTCAGTTTCACGGATTGTATAGCGTTTGTCCCAGTATTCATCAGTGTAATCTTCCTCAAGCTTATCTCGCTTGATGCCCTTTTGCTCCTTTACAAGGAACTCCGCATGTGGATCTTTGATTTCGCCATGGTGCAGCCACTCGTTAAGCATTCTCATATACGGTCTACTGGATTCTCTCAACAAAGTTTGCAGTAATACTTTAGTTGCTGGGTCTCCAGAAAATGTCGCTAGCCGCTGGGTCAAGAGTCCTAAGACATTGCCGCCCTTGCAAAATTTCTTGTTGGACATGCCTCCGGGAGCTAGATCTCCACCTTCTCTTAGTTGCTCTAAGATATTCTCAACATCATCAAAGTCGTCAATTGACTCGTCTGGATCTTGCGCCAGAAGGGAATTTCTTTTTAGTAGTTCTTGGCCAAAGGAGTATAGCTGAGCTAGGCTTTGCGCGGTGGGCATCGTATGGAGATGAAGCACATGCAATGTAAAGTTCGGGTTGTTAAGGAGCTGGCTTTCCAATTGGGCAATAAGAATAAGATAATCTTTGAGTAGTTTGCGGATTGCTGCGCATAATGCATGATTCACGGCGCCGAATTCTGCCCTGCTCTGGACTTCCACGAACGCCTCCATAGCACTGTAATGGGTTGCCATTTTTAGCATCCCCATAGTCAGATCCCTTAGGCTAGGATCTAGCCCGGGCATTATTTGGTACGAAGGCCCAACTAGACGATCTGATTCCAGCTCGGGATTATACGTGTTCGCGAAATGAATGTATTCGCCTTCATAACCCATGAAGACGAAAAGAAGATCTTGCAAAATTGCAGCTTCTTGGGCGTCCATACTAAGTTCCTTCAATGGTTTTGGACGTAGCCTTTGAGGAACTGTTGAGGAAAGGGGTGGAACGGAGACACGGCAAGATAGAGGCGCCGCCGAGTGAGGTATGAGGGATACCTTCGGGATCCATGGGGCTGTATGAATTGTTTGGATGAGCATGATAACCAGGAGAATTGGATAGTAGGCTGGGCCAACCTTCATTTAGTTCCTTCTCCTTCGCTTTAGCCACTGGGCTGCCTGCATTCGTTTTGGTCCTCGACCGATCCCAATCTCTATTCGCTGAACTCGCAGTCTCTCTGGTCGGACGCTTTGTTCTCACTTGCACCTTTTCCCGAGTTGTCGTATGCGACCTCTCCGTGCGTAGCTCACTCGGCGCTCTGGAATCTCTTTCTCTAGTTGATGTCTTAAGTCCTGGGACCATGTCACTTCCCAATGGGACATTTTCTTTGGATGCAACGCGTTCATGTCGCGAAGTACTAGCATTATATGCGCGGCTTGAGGAGACCACTCGAGGCTTGATTCCACCTTGGCTGGTCCCACGACCATGAACCGGTGGCGTTCTCACATTTGAAGGTGAAGGCATTATAACCGGCCAGCAACGGACTCAAACGATCGGGCATGGCGGCCGAGGGCAACCTTCGTTGGTGCCGTGAGCGCGTTGGGGCCTCCATCGGGTTGGATTGATTGGGTTGAGCCTAATTGGGTTTAGCGCGGGCTCTGATAGGCACTCTCCGTTTGCGTAGTCAACGAGCGACTGAGCTGGAGCTCCAAGCTCTCTTCCCCATAGCTCGACGTCCTCAAAAATCAATATACCCTCCCGCGTACTCCATCTAGCCATTTATTTCGCTACGATATATCAACTTATTTCTATCTTCTCTCCATTTAACCCGCCGCCACAATGTTTATCGCGCGATCTGAATATGGTAAGCCACCCCCAACTCCGGGTGCGACACTGGTAACTAACCACCTCCTACAGATCGTGGCATCAAGTAAGTTAATGTTGATACGTGCGGCTGCCGGTTCTCGAAACTTATCAATGAGCGCTTCAGCACATTTTCCCCAGAAGGCCGTCTTTTCCAGGTCGAATACTCATTGGAAGCCATCAAGCTTGGTTCGACCGCAATTGGAGTACGTCTTACCAAGTATCTGGGTCTTACAGGAAGCGCTCTCTAACCTTTTGCAGGTAGCGACATCAGAAGGTGTAGTTTTAGGTGTTGAGAAACGAGTTACATCTACCCTCCTAGAAACCTCCTCCGTCGAAAAGATTGTCGAGATAGACCGTCACATAGGTTGTGCTATGTCTGGTTTACAGGCCGATGCCCGATCGATGATCGAACACGCCCGCGTGGAAAGTCAAAATCATGAATTTCACTACAAAGAACCCCTCCGAGTCGAAAGCTGTACGCAGGCCATTTGCGATCTGGCTTTGAGGTTTGGAGAGGGGGCAGATGGAGAGGAGAGCGTGATGAGTAGGCCTTTCGGAGTTGCCCTTCTCATCGCAGGTTATGACGAAGATGGACCACAATTGTAAGATTATTGTGGAAGCTAACGGAGGTAGAAGAGACTAACTGTATTGTAGATATCACGCAGAACCTTCTGGCACATTCTACCGTTATGATGCCAAAGCCATAGGTTCCGGCAGCGAAGGTGCCCAGGCCGAACTGCAGAATGAATATCATCGGTCCCTGACACTGGCGGAGGCAGAGACCCTAGTGTTAAAGACCCTGAAACAGGTCATGGAAGAGAAGCTGGATGCGAAAAATGTACAACTGGCCAGTGTGACGAAAGAGAAAGGATTCCGCATTTATAACGAGGAGGATATGGCTAGAGTAGTCTCTACATTGGGAGAAAACTAGCGCCACCTATAAGCAGCCTATCGTCTTGGTAGACTAATAGATAGACCACTTTGATCGAGAAAGGACCGCTTTTCCTCAAACCGCCTTATGGCTTTGTCATGCTAAACCTCACGGTCCTCCGGTTCTACCTGATCTTGTAAACACACGGTTTCAACACCTTAGCTTCTTCCTCCGGAGTTATCGTGCTATCTTCAGGCCCAAGGAACCTCTTCTTAGCCGCTTTCGCTGCAACCCCCGCGCCAGCCCATTTCCCCTTTGTCGGCACTCCATGCTTGACAAACTCCATTTTGATAAACATCTTATTTGACTTATCCACTGACTGCGGCTTCAAAATAAAACCTCTTGTCCTGAACACTTCCACAAACGCAGATATGTCAGTTTCATCGTCATCATTTGGGTTTGCACGCACGTCTTCGGCAAATATTTCATCGCCAACATCGTCCTCATCGTCGTCTGTCTCCTTGCGCTTCTTCTTCGTCTTATTTTTACTCCATGCGGGAGGCTTAGAAGCCTGTTTACTCTTCTTGGTCACTTTTCCAAACCGACTCTTGACCTCACTGACCCAGCATTCACCCTTGCCGTCTCCCCTCAGAACTCTCCAGGCCTCTTCGACGAAAGACACCCAATTCGTCCCCATTAAACTGAGGCAGAAAATTGTGACATCGACCGTACCATCCTCAAGCGGGAGAGATGAGATATCCGCTTTCGTAATAAGAGGGTCACCTTCGTGAAGGTCATAGCTAAGTATCTTCATCTTCATTTTTTTCGACACAGGGGCAAGTGCACGCGAAAATTGCGCATCGCCGCAGCCCAAGTCCGCGATAGTGCATAGGCCATTTGGGCGCCTTGGTAGTGGAGTTGGCCCTCCAGGCCTTTCGGGCTTCTTATGTCCCTTGGACGGAGGTCGGACAGGCCCTCTGGTTCTCACGGAGAGGATATAATCGTCCACGGGATTTGATGGCCAGGATTCTTTCACCTGACGTGAAAATCCAGCATGGTACTCAGAGAAAAGTTCTGGGTTCGCGGTGAAGAGCTCTAGCGCCTGGGTCGAGGGAGTTGTGTAGAGTGTTTCATTGAGGTGACGGAACCGCGCGGATACCAATTTATCTCGCATGGCCTTTTGCAAAGGCGTCAAGTTAGATTCTGACGTCGAGGGGGGCAGACTTGCGACAGAAGTAGACGGTTTGTTTTTGGCGTTCATGGAATTTTCCACCCGCTCGGTCTGTTTTCGTTTCTTTCGAGGAACCTCTGAGACTTCATCGGCAATTTCATCACCATTTCTTCCAATAGGGTCATTAAGCCTCGTGGACTTCGACTTCCCATCTCTGCGTTCCGTGCTCGGGGCATCGGCTTGAGCAGTGTAGTTCTCGGTATCGCGCTTTGTATTCTCCAATTTCTTTTCCTTCTTTTTCTGCTTTCTGGATTTTGGTCCGACAGCACTTCTTCCCTTTGTGTCCTGGCCTTCAATATACCTTCTCCACATCTCATCCACATTCGCTTTCGTAACCTTGTCCTCCGTGCCATGCTTCCGCTTCCGCTTCTTGGACCGCGAAGTATTGTCAGGCCCATTGTCAGCCGCGGGCGTATGTGAAGCAGGAGCTTCTTGCTCTGTCTGTGGCTTCAATTCGGCCACAGAGACCGACCATCCCGGCACAGCAAACATCCCTAATTCGCTTACAGAACAATATTGTGCGGTACAATGACAATTTCAGCTTGTAGACAGAAGTGCCGGCAAGTGATGCCCAATGGACGCAAAGGAAGAACGGCCTAGGCCGTCAAAAACCAGCGAAGAACATAGCTAAAGCAAAATTGTAGTGTGCTATGAGCTCATTTCCACTCTCCAGTGCTATTTCTTCAAGCAAAAGAAAAAAAGGGCGACGACAGCTTCCTCGGAGCCGACAGAACATTTCTCCGGGAGTTAGCTTAGGTACTGACCGAACCTTCTTGGACGGTGGCCATTTAACTTAGCCAGGGCCCAGCCGAGACATCTCACTATGGACCCTTTCACGACGGCGGGCTTTACTTCAGCTCACTGGATCTCATTCCAACCTGTCTTTGTCAATTATACGATGCTTACCTCGAGCGTTGCATTGAACGGATATATCGGTGTGGATGATCGGATCTAGTGGCCTAGCAATTCTACAAAAATTGACCTCGTCCATTGTATCTGATTCCCTCCCCTCACTTTGAACTCCAGATTCCCCGGAAGCTGCAACAGTACGGGTCAAGGGTAGCTACATAGTCCACATAAAGTGAAGATGGAACAAAATGACAGCCTTGCAAAGGTCACGATCTGTGCATTGCCCAACGAGGTGAACGCGGATTGGCCCGGTACCAGCACCATGGGCGCCAGCAGGACTGGGGCTAAGTTGTCTTTCTAGATCCTTTACTGCATCCTAGAGCACCTGTGGACAGAAGAGATAGTCCATCTGTCTACAGTTTCTCGACGGTTTTATGCGGTCGTCGCCAGCACGGTGCGTCAACGACTTTGTACCATGGTAGGCCTGGAAAAGCTTTGGGTCGGCCTCATATACTATCCCCCGCAACAAGGCTTCAGCTCGTTGCTCTTCTGCCGGTACCTCGGCAAGAGAACACTGGAAGGAACATACCACAAAGGAGAACTGTACACCGATAGCCGTCAATTCACCATGGGTTACTCACGGTTTTGTCCTGAGCCCCAAAAGAGGGCCGGTAAGGAGAACACAGATGCATCGACCAACCATGAGGAACATAGCGCTCAGGGTTCATCTGACGAGCCTTCTGCCGCCGTCCCCAGGCCCTTTGTGAGATGGCTTACCACTCTAGATGATTTCGAGCCGTTTTCTCAGCTTTGCGTTGACACTCATCTCTTCTGGAAGTATACCGATTCGCAATGGAAAACAAATCAGGCGCATATTGAAGACGGGACGGCGAGGTTCTGGCGCAAGTGGCTGGATGATCAGCTGGAGGCACATTACTCTCGTCCGCCAACTGACGAGCCGCAAGTGCTTGATAATTTCAACACGGCATGTTCAACGGAGCCCGATCCCGAAGGAGAGCGGATCATTTGGGTAGGAACGAATGAAGACATTGGCTTGAAGCTCCGGGTGATGGATAAAGCCCAGGATGATCCCTTCGGGGAATCGGCAAGTTATGAGCTGCTGTTTGAAGGTAAGCATTGCCATCATGTATTCGCTACGGATGGGGCTTGTAGTTGCGGGGTGTACAGGGCTATCACCTGACCCTATTACTAGAGATCCTTATTCGAAACAACCGATTGCTCCTTGCTCTCGAGCGTACCCAAAAAGCAACCGAACGGTTCATGCGCGATACCTACCGTTACTTTTCGTTGAACAGCAGCCTTGGGCCTCCAGGCCATGCGGGAAACTATCTGGTCCCATACATTTGATAGAGATTTATCCTCGCAGCATATGACAAATCGATTGAATAGATTATCTCGGTTTGATGGGCATAAAAATAGGCCAGCTCAGCCCCCCAATAGCGTCTCTCAGGCCCATTTCAGGGCTTAACAATCTTTCTCCTTTTCGTAACATAATATGTTGGACAGCGCGGCGAGGTGTGTGTGTTTTGAAATTCCATCACGGCTGCGAGTCATTTGTAATACTGTGAGAGCTTTGGGTAACTAGTTATCCGGCGTTGCCCTCTCCTCGTTTTGGCCAGTTCTACAGATTGCACTAATGGAACGGCAAAAGTTTTCGTCATATTTGAGGCACAGGATTTCCGTTTCTGCTTGAGACCCAATTCAAAATCCAGAGCTAGAGGTTGTCGCTGTTTGCGAATTTCTGTTGGCGCCTTGGTCACGCTGCCCCCGCCCCAGGCAGACACCATCGAGGTGTTGGGTAGCCGTGGTGGAAAAACGGTGCACATGCAGAGCGAAAAGCAGGAAACCCAAAAGCCTCCTGGGTGTCTGAATTTCAACTGTCCTACCGCATTGCTGGAAAAGCAAAAATTAAGGGAAAAGAAAAAAAAATAAAAATAAAAATAAAGAAAACAAAGCTACCAACAGAGGGATCTTCTTCCCAAAGAGAAATAAAAGTATTCGCGATGTCCCATCCCCAGGATGACAAAGATGTTCTCAATTCGAGTTTTAGGCCAAAGTATGGCATTTGGGGATCGTGCACAGAAGCACTGTTAAACTGATTGATGAATCTGCGCGCCACATAGCATGCATTCGAAGCCTCATGATGCAGACACCTTCAGCGCCTCCTCTCCAGTAAACTAGGAAAAGAGCAGCATTCCATACTTGCGTTCCCCGTCCCAGCTACCCAATAAACCACCTTGGACATCACTGCCTAGGTACTCCGTATTGAGAATCTTGTGGCTGCCGGGCGCTGGAGGCTCGAGTGGAGCAACAGGGAGCAAGGGATGAGACAGGAGTTTGAGAAAAGAAAACAACGATTGGTGAAGAACCCCCTGAGAATCAACCAGCTTGCACTTATCCGGCACCGGGAAGGAGGCAACATTCAGAAGTGGAAGAAACAAAAAACATTGCGGAAGACAGGGAGAATTCTGGTTGGGCATTGAAAGGCGTCCGGGATAGCTGGCGCGGTGGGATTTGTCGCTTGTGGTGGGGATGGGAGCGGAACAGTGACACCGGGTGTGTGTCAGTAGACGCTGACTGGGCGATGCCCTGCGAGCGAATCGTCCCGAAGCTCTGTGGATATATATAGATGGAAGAAATAACTCCGTCGGCAGAGGAGTATTCAAATAGTATCTACCTCCTCTCTTCTCTGGCAGAAGAAAAAGGAAAAAAAAAAAAAAAAGAAAGGCTGGGAGGCTTCGCTGAGGAGAAGAGCGGCGGAATTTGTTTATTTTTATCCCTTTTTAACCAGCTAACTATTAAGTTAACTAAACTAATTTCTAATCCCTTTTTTGCTCCGCTGCCAATCCCGTGTCCGTGTCGTCATCGCGGCTCGACCGAACAAGTTGTTGACTTGCTGACCCTCTCCGCCTCCGCCAAAAATATAACCGAGATCACACGCACAGCATTCTGGCAGCTGGGCTGTTTCTGTTTTCTTTTTTTTTTTTTCACGTTTCTTGCTTCTTGATCGTTGACCTTAATTGTCCTCATCGTCATCTCATCGCCTCCTCCGTTTATATATATAACTAGTGCACCTCGGACACCCTGAACGCCGGCCCCCCCACCAAAGCGGAAGTACCCAAGGAACAGACAACGGTTTTAACTCCATACCCGCTCAGAATCCACGGATCGCGCCTCGAAGCTACCGCTCGCGTATACTGTTCTGAAGTATAGTCCAGGCCGGGGGCTACAAGGAACTGCCTACATGTATCGCTACGGGGACACTGCGTCCTCCACCACCGGGAGCTCTATCAGTGGTGGTCGGTGGGACGCAGAACGCTTCATGCGGGAGCGCAGCGAGCGACACGAGCCCACACGCCGCGAACGCCACACCGCTGTAGAAGTCATTGAACGCGACCGGGTAGAAAAAAGGGTCCCGTCTTTTGTCGAGGATTATCTTAATGCGCAAGAGAAATATGGCCCTCCAGCCCGGCGACCAGACCGCGAGTATGCAGATGACCATCTGCTCTCCAGCGCCGACGCCCTCATCCCCTACAAAGAACGCCGCCGTGCATCTCCCTCTCCACCGCGAAAACCTAGATTGCTACGACGCCAGTCATCTCTCGATACCTTCGATCGCGCCGCAACCCGCTTTGCGAACGACTATTATCAGTATGACCGCGATGACTACGGCCCGCCAGTCGTCCCCAGAGCTGCTTCCCGAAGACACTCCCCTCCATCAGAGCCGGACTTCGAAGCGATCCGGGTTTCCGAACCCGACTATTATGGGGACGAAGAGTTCCACAGGATGCGAGATAGGGTTCGAAGCGTTACTCCCCGTGGACGATACTCGGTGCGCGAAGAAATACGAAAGGAAAAGGTTGACCGTCCCTATCCCCGTCGCGGAAAGACCAGGGTCCCCAAGCACTTGGTGCATCCTGGCGTTCTTCTCGACCTGGGCTACAAGTTCGAAGAAGAGGTATGATATTCATTAATTTTGGGCCAAGGAGATATGATCTCTAACTCACGAATATAGGGTGACAACATCATAATTCTGCAGGCGCTTGGAAAAGAGAATATTGACGAGCTGGTCAGCTTCAGCAGGGAGGTTCGTCGAAAGACTCGTGGTAAGACTCCGAAGAGCATGGGCACCCCGCGGGTTTCCCAGCCGCTAACCCTTTCTAAATAGTCGAAGAGGTAAAAGGACAACAAAGGCTCGTATCTCGAAGTCGCCGTGAGACGGTCTCTGTCGAGAGAACGCGGTCCAAATCCCGCCGAAGAAGTTCGAGTGTTATTCGTCCCAAAGCCGAGTTTCTCGAGGTTCGTGAGACTCGACAAACACGGCGAGTTTCACCGTCCCCGGCTCCGGCGCCGACGCTCCAGCCTCGTCGCCGGCGTCTGTCGTCTCCAATCCGAGTTATTCAGCCCCGTGAGAGATTCGTCGAGGAAATCATCCAGCCAAATACTGACGTTGCACTCATCGTACCGGAGCGTCACCGACGAAGTGATCGCGAGCTACGAGCCGAGATCCACTCTCTGGAGGGAAGAAGACTCCTCACTGAGCATGAATCCATCGCACCGGGTGATGTTATCGAGGTTCGGCGCGACCATAAAGGTGAGTGGCGCAATCCTCTCATTCCATAATTGTTGGATGAAACCTGACATATTGGCCCTGTAGGCCCGAGCCAACGCCTGATCCGTGCTATGATGGCAACCCTTACTTGAACGCCGAAAGGAGCCACGGTTTGGTATCTTCTATTATACATACGCTGTACCTTATACTGCAGATAGCACTCTTGTTGGTCAATCCGTATCCATACCCAAGGCCTAACAAAGAAAAGACATCGTGGAGAAATAGGAGTCTATGCGCTCACGCAAGCTGCCTTGCAATGTTTTATCCCAACGTCCAAGTTCTTTGACTTTTTGCATACTCTTTGCTATATTATGATCCATGGGGGATAATCTGGTTGTATTATCAAATTGGCATCTTGTTTTGTTAGTTGTCATTTCTGTCTCTGCATTTATGCCGGTCATATTTTGCTCATACCCCGACTCCATAGTTTGTTCGCAGGGGTTTTGTTTTGCTTTTCTTTGGATTCGAGAGGTTATTTGGGACTTGAAAAACTTAGGATTAATAGATAGGGATGCTTTATTTTCCAGGAGAGGGACCATATCTGCCCCAAAACCACGGGTTTTTCCAATTGAAGTCAAAAAATCGTCTTTCAACAATTCATCGATGTGCTTGTGCGAAATATCAGCTAGCACTCTTCGAAGACCACGACGGGAAGGGATTCCGGTGTAGACCTATGTGATAACGTAAGAGAAGCCATCCATCCAGCAAGTTTTTGCAGCATCCTCAACCTTCTTTTCGGCAAGTCTTTGAGTCCTGAAACACCATATTTGTCTGCGACTTGATACACGTTCGCATGAAAGAGCATAGATGAGACTCACCCACCACGGCTGTCATAGTCTAATCCATACGAACCATTACCTCAATAGCGCGAGCGTCGTCGTGTCGGAGTTCTACGATGTTCTCATGTGTTTCCTGACAGTTAAATATTAAGGTAACTATAACCTCAGCTTTGAATCTTGGAACACCTTGGACTCATTTTCCAGTCACCGTTGAACATATGAAAGAAAAATATCAGATTGAGAGCAGACCATTATCTTGTGGACCTTGAGCTCACCTTCAGCGTCAGGATAACAAGTCTGAGAATTTCGACGAACAAAGACATCTAGGCTTCTCCATTTTTCCGCTGTATGAAATCGTTTTGGTCGTTTTGGTCGTTGCGGGAGTGTGGGATTGCTTTCGACATGGGTTGGGGCGCTTTCTCATCCTAGCTGCCCGTCTTCTCGTCCCATACTTTTCGTTCTCCTCGTCCTAGCTTTCTATCTAGAGAGCCGGCTTGGGCGAACGGCGTCCTCCATAATGAATGAAGTCGTGCGAGATGAAGGGGTAAATGGTTTGACGAGTGCAAACTATATATGGTTGTCAACAACAAAACTAATCCGTGGGATATCTCAGCCTGGCGCTCTCGTCCCATGAATTAGTGCCAGAGAGGGTTGCATCCAGGCTTCCCGCAGGCTGCGCCGCGGCGGAAAGGTGCCTTGTGATTGTGTAAAGTGGAGCAGGGAGGCTGCCTCCGCTGGTTGTGCACCTTTCCCTCTCTCTGTGTCAGAAAACGCAGGAGCCGAGTTACCGGACGGACCTTGGGGATACACTATTATCTGGCATCATTTTGCGACTCACAAGTGCGTAGGGAGGCAGCCCAGGAATATTACTGGTCAGACGGACAGGGAATCTAAAGGCGAATGGCACGGGCAGCAAGGTTCAGTCTCTTTGGGGGAGGGGAAGAGAATGGCGAGCCAGAACGGGGCGAAGGCAAAGAAATCTGATTGGAGTTCATGTAGCAGGCGATGCATGAGCTTTTCCTGGTGCAGGAAGCCTTGGGGGACAAACCGAACCCGGAAACCTGTGAGAGGAGGGCAACTGAAGCACGGAAGCCACCGCAGAGAAGTCCCCCCTGCTTGTGGATAAGGACGGTTCGTGGCTCGTGGGGGATATTGAAGCAGGGGATCAGGTAATGTCTTGTCTAAGTAGACAGTTGGTGAGTATGGTGAAGTGCTCAGGACATGTGCATGTATAGAGAATGTAGGCCAAGTAGTAGTAGCGTAGGGAGTGCTCTAATGAACACCTAGGCATATAACGGCGATCACACTAATAAAGTCCATAATGTACGCTTACATTACAATCAATCCATACACTATATCAAGACTTGAGACTTGTCTCTAAGTTCCTCACCATCCACCTCAACTCGGACTCAAGCGCCTTGTTAATCCTGTCCTGTCTCACACCTACCTTCTTCTTTATTTCTTCACCAGGACCATCATTTCTCCTTATTCTCCTCTTTCTCCTCTGGTTTGGGGACGTGTCTCCCAGCGGCGCTCGTTCACAGCGCAGAATCTTCGCCCTTTCAAAATCAATGACCAGGATGCTCTTGCTCTCCTCAGTCCAGAACATATTTCTCAGTTCTATATCACGGTGGAGCACACCCAGGGCGTGAATGGCCCGCAATGACTTCAATGCCGCAGGAATAACTTGCTCCTTCAGAGCACCACAATCAAAGGTATCAGTGCCTGCATGGGCAAGAAGTAAAAAGTGCGGAATGTACGCAATGCCATCATAGCACATGGGCTGTTTAGAGACATCAATTGTGCCAAGACACACAGGGACATGTATGCCCTGTATTGGCTGCAGTTGGTCATAGACTGCCTTTTCATGTCTGAGGTAGCGATGAAATTCCCGGGGGAAGCCCTTTCCCACAAATGTATATCCATATTGGAGAAGGTCAACTTCAAACAGTGCGCCACGAGCACCGTGTGTGTGCAGCGATTCACAGCCTAGCGGGGTCCAGGGGTTTACTGGTTCCTGTTGAATCTGCGCCTCGAGAAGGGCGATGAACGTGGCGTGGTCAATCCTATGATTGTCTGTTCCATGTTCCTCAACATTTGGGCAGCCACGGTCCAGTAGCCCACCATTCACGAGTCCAAGCAAGCATTTTTGCGTGCAGTATCGCCGAGTTCTATCCTTGCACACGGGGCCCTTGTAGGGTGATGCCCAGTCAGGTGGAGGAGGTGGCACAACCATGACGTTTGAGGGCCAGTGAGGTCGTTGACTGGGTGAATCGGAATCAGGTCCACTGTCATCGTCATCTTTGTCGCTACTGCCTGGCAATGCAGTAGTTGCTTTGCAGGTCAGTCGAGCGCTCTTCGATCGGGTGCGCACAGGTGTCCTCTGGATAAACATCTGCGCACTCTTTAGGGGCTCATAGGGTGGGGATGATTTCACAGCTTTTGCTGGAGTTGGTGGTTGTGAATCTTCTTCTGAAATCACCCACACTTTCAACTGCTTCTCCGCCCAAGTTCGCCAGTTTTGATTATGTGGGGAAGTCTGTATTGCCTGCAGTGCAAAAGCAAGGACCTGTCCAACTGCTGTCATATGCAGTCTGTTGTCACAGTCAAGCTCTCCGGTAAAACCAGTAATCTCGCCCACATCTTGCTCAGGGACCGAAAGATAATAATAAACAGTCCCTGGGTCTTCCGCATTGAAATGGAGGAAGATAAATGCTTCACCGGTACTCACATAGCCATACTCGACACCGGCCTTGATCATGTAGGAAAAGGCTTGCGTAATGACTGCAGCTACCAGACGACGATATTGAATTTCACTTGTGTCATTAGAATGAAACTCGACTACGTCGTCAAGATCCATGTCCTGAAGCCCAGCTTGAATAACCGCCAGTGGGAGTTTGTGTGGCGGTTTGAGTTCACCAATTAATGCTGGCCTTTTGACCTTCTCGCCCTCGTTGTATACGCAAAACTCATCCGCCAGAGGTCGGGCAGAGGTCGGAGGGGTGTTTGGCGTCGCAGCCCCTCCAGTTCCTTTCCGGAGCTTTGATGGGCGAGCAACAACTTCCTCTTCCTCCTCCTCCCCCCCTTCGCCATCACAAAGGGTATTGGCGTGGTTCTCAAAGGCTACATGTCCCTGAAGATTGAACGCCTGTCGGAGTCGCTCATTCTTATAGAGGGCTTCAATAACCGACCCTACAGGTGCTGTAACGGCATCCCGTTGGAAATGGCGAAGGTCGGGCTCCGAACGAATTGTTTTTCGCATGTTCTCTCCTATAGTCATCAATCCATGCAAGGAGCTGAAATGACGCTGGGTGACAAGATCGTCACCAACCAGTTGGTCCCAGATTGCCGTCTGTGCTTCGGCGAATGGGACCCACTCCCGGATGCGGTCAGGGCGGAGTTTGCCATCAGCGTTGTTGGCACTGCCTTTAGTGGAATGTTTAGGCTGCCCTGGGACAAGGCCGAGGAAGAGATGGGTGTGGCAGGCATCAAGATATTCGGGGAGCGTTGAGCGCCGCGTCTTTTCCTCTGCCGCACGTTGAGCTTGCTCTGCCTCCCGTTGAGCTTGCTCTGCCTCCCGTTGACCTTGCTCTGCCGCCAGTCGACGCTGCTCTGCCTCCCGTTCACCTTGCTCTGCCGCCAGTCGACGGTTTTGCTCATACTCTAAAAGCCGGCGCAGCTCCTGAACCTCATCGTCGGCCATTGCAACGGCAAATAAAAATGTTCAGTAAAATAGACACAAATGCTCAGTGCAATAGACATGTTACTGAAGCCATGAAGAGAATGTTGTTGTTGGAACTATGTAAATAGACACAAATTCTCAGTGCAAGAGACATGTTACTGAAGCCATGAAGAGAATGTTTGTTGTTGGAACTATGTAACTAGTGATCACCCAGGTTGCTGCCTGGTTAGCCAAGTGCCCCACTCGATGGACCGGAATATGAGTCACGTGACAGAAATGGACACAAACCTTAAAAGGTTAGGAGTGCCGGTCAGCTGATGACGATCTAGCTCGAAATGGAGAGTTTCTCCGAGTCCAGACTGCTGACGCTGTTTCTGGAAACAGCGGCTTCGAACCCTCGTAAACAGTCCTGTGATCATCACACCGCATCTCTCAAGCAATAAGTCCGGACTCTCCCTTTGTCGTGGTCTGTTGAGCTCATTAGATTGGTGCCTCCCATCCTCCTGTTCCCTTTACTTCTCCGCAGCATCTTTGGAAACCAGACAATAGGAAATAGCTATGGATAAAGTACAAGCTTTTGGGAAGAACTTCAGGTACACTTCACAAGCTTCATTTGCAATGATTTCCTCACCACAAGTGAGCCCTGACGACCTTTACTGATCCACGATGAGTTGGAGTTATTGTAGTGCAACGTTCTCTCCCTTCGCCGCTCGCACACAGCAGTTTGTCAAGGAACAGCTCGGCCAAGCTGAAGACAAGGTATTTGCCTTCCCCCCCCCCTCTTATGGAGTCATAGCTGCTGGGATGGAAGCGGTTGAGGATCAAAGGCCAATTGAGCTAACATATCGTTTTACTATACCTATCAGACTCAGCTTCCGGATGACTACACTGAGCTTGAGAAGCGCGTCGATGCCTTGAAATCGGTGCATCAAAAGCTCCTTCAGGTGACGTAAGTGCTTCACATCGCGTCGATTGTTCATGCTCCGAAGTCGATACAAGTCGAGCTGACTTCGCACCCCGTAGGTCTCAATACTCTAACGAGGCTTACGATTACCCTCCGAATATTCGGGAGTCCTTCAACGATCTCGGCCGCACGATCAGTGAGAAAGTCCAGCTACTCTCTCACGCCACTTCCCCCGCCGAGGCCCAGGCCGCCCTTACCGCGCCACCTTCCGCGAAGCCACAGCCTAAGACTTTCAGCCATGCCATCGCTCGCGCTGCTTTGGCCGGCTCGCAGATGCTCTCCCAAGCTCATACAGACGCTGCCGAAGATCCTCTCGCTGTTGGCCTAGAGAAGTTTGCTCTCGCTTCGGAGAAGGTCGGGGAGGCAAGACTCACGCAAGATGCCCAGATTCAAAGCCGGTTCCTAGCGGGATGGAATACAACGCTCAACACCAATCTAATGTTTGCGACGAAAGCGCGTAGGAACGTGGAGAATTCCAGGTTGATGCTGGACTCTGTCAAGGCCAGTAAAGGTGCCTCGAGAGGAGACATTGACAATCTCACCGAGGAAGCACGTTCAGAAATCGAGCAAGCGGAAGATGAGTTTGTCGGTCAGACTGAGGAAGCCGTTGGTGTGATGAAGAATGTTAGTCGCCGTTCTCATTCCGTTTAATTTTGGAATCAAACCTAAAGATATTCAGGTCCTCGACACTCCTGAACCATTGCGCAACTTAGCGGATTTGGTTGCTGCACAGTTGGAATACCACAAGAAGGCCTATGAAATTCTCAGCGAGCTGGCTCCTGTGATCGACGGTCTGCAAGTGGAGCAGGAGGTAAGATGCACCGTCCACAACGAACAGGATGGATGTTGACTCGAAAATTCGGAATAGGCAAACTACCGTAAGAGCCGAGAGGGAGCTTAAACTCTAGAAACCAAGCTTTATCGGTGCTTCCCTGCTTCGTTTTCGTCCTTTGCCCCGTATTCCATGGCCTTGAAACAGTCCACGTCGACAGCGAATCATTCCAGTTGACCTTTGCGCTGCTTTGGCGAAAATTACGGGCAGTTGATAACAACGAGTTGCTTCTGTAGATTGTATACTTTCTGCAATCTTATTCTTCGTCCTACGGTTGCAACGATTGTATATTTTACGGGATCCTGCAGTTTAGTTGCCTTCCTTTTTTTTTTTTTTAATTCTATATGTATTTCTCTAGGCTTCGGTTGTTGATTATTCCCATTTGGCTATCTTTTGTCCTGCAGATGTGACTGGTCGATCATAATAGGTCTTGTAAGGAAATCACCATGTGGTTGGTTTATGTGATCATGGCGCGCGAGGCTGTCTGAGATTAATGCATACCGTGATATTCTACCAGTATGCTCCTCGACCTTGACGTTGCTTGAAAGCTTGCTCGCCTTGATTTTAATAACATTTACTATGACGGTTGCTACGTGAATTCATATCAAGTATATGGGCTATCGACCGGGATGTTAGTTGAATTATGACCAACCAAGTAGGAACATGGACAGGCCAACGTGTTAACTTACGGTTGAGGGATGCCATAACTGTCAACACCCAGGCCATTGCCAGAAATGATGTGACCCAAAATGGGAGAAGTACCTGATAGGGATGGGTTGCTGGCCGGTATTTCCTTGTTGCAGCCTCCTGCGCTAATACTGCATAGCCGGGAAGCTGACTCGGACAAGGAACATCTAACTAATGAGTTTAGTAGTTGGCTAAATCTTCCGGAAAATACGCAAGCACCCGACGTATGTCCTCCGCCGGGAACAGGTATCCGAACAGCCCATGGGAGGGCCTCCGGCTGAGGGGCGCGCGAATTCATTGTTGTAGCCTCTTATGGATGGTCGTTCCTTGTGAGACAAGTCTCTTCTCCTCTCCAGCCTCTGTAATATCCCTACGGAGTACAACTTTTTGATACTGAGAACTGCCGGCGTTAAGCGGAGGTTCGGGATGATGCCGGGGCGGAATTTTGGAATCATCGACGGAGAGTGCGGAACAGTACTTCCAACCCCACTAACTCTTACCCCACATCCATTCCGAGACGAGGACTTTTTGCGCAATGGAGGATACTTAATGATGGTAGTCCTTCTGCCTTGAGTCAACTTCTAACATTGTCCTCACCTCATCACGTCGATTCCCTCAGTCTACTTTCATTGGCACCTTCGTCATCAAACCCTCTTTCTACTAATACCCAAACTTCAGAACAGTCACAATGCCAATCACTCGTGTCACTCTCTTCAAGATTCCCGAGGAGGAGCACCGCCAGCAGGTGTTGGCTAAGTACAAGACTATGGCGCGGGACGCCTTGAAGGTGCGAGATTTGACATTATCTTCATCAAACCAGAGCGCGCCGGAAGTTTATCCCCCCAAGCGTGATGAAAAAACTAAGCGGAGAACAAACAGGACGGCAAACCTTACATCCGCTCCGTCAGAGCCGGTTCCACGTTCGAAGACCAGCGCCGTCAGGGATATACCCTCGCCGTGATTTCGGAGTTCGACAGCGTTGATGACATGAAGTATTACGACAATGACTGCCAGGCCCATGCCAGTCTAAAGGCCGTTGCGAAGGATGTGCATCAAGGTGTCATGATGGTTTATTTCGAGTCCGTGACAACCCCAGAGAACCTATGAGATAAACCTCGAATACCAAAAGAAGAGTAAATGCGGTATCCATATATATTCTCTTCGAGAAGGAATGAATGGAGCCCGGAAAATGGGAGAAATCCTAGCTATACCCGGCCAAAAAAACTCTTTGGACCGGTATGACCATGATATATTATGTATATAAAGTTGGAATGGAAGTGATGATAACATTACATGACTGCAACCATTGCTTCTTCCAGTCATGTTCTTGGGGAATTCTCGCGGTCCTGTTTCGAGAACGAAAACGGCATGGCAGTCTTAAAAAGGCCGCTTCTCGGGGCTCTCTTGAGCTATCTGGAAGGGAAGTTCCATGAGGATAATTGAGAGTGCTCCATTGTCTGAACTATGAGACGTAGCATTGATTTCAGATGTGGCTTTTTTTGGGGCGCGAAGAGAATGAAAGAGATGCGCATGCATCAAGGATTAGACCTGTCTTTCATCTCATGTTGATAAATGAAGAATATTGGGATTCATTGGGCGATGCAAGGGCATATTTTGTGATTGGAATCATTCTCGAACCCTAAACATCGACAGTGCAGTATCGTGGATAGTCCAAGTGACAAAACTGTTCAACCTTCTCTGTGTTTCCCATCCAAAACGTAATTAGCTTTTTTATCCGCCAAAATACTCCGTAGTTGAACGTGCATGGCTAGTAGAGGCTCTCATGGGGACGAGTTCGGAGCGGCTAGCTTTAGGATGACATAATCAGCATAATCGCACCGCTCGTCAACAGCTCCATGATCGAGTGAGATACCTCTTCCCCCTACAGCCCACTTCGCTTCGGAGAAGCAGAGAGCGATTCTACTCTTCGAAAAGAAGAGCCCGTTTCTATTTTGTTTCTGTTGTGCCCTGAAACTGCGTCTGCAAACCCCACTGTTCCTGCTCTTCGTACCGCATTCCGCGTACGTTCGACCTGGAACTATCAAGTCCGCTCAGAATATCCCGAATCTTTATCGGACTATATTCACCTAATAATTACAAGAATGGCGAACGGGTAACTGTCCTTGTCTTTCTCCTCCTTCTTTCGTTCATAAAAAGAAAGAACCAACTAACCGACCGCCGATGGAACGGCTTTGCAACAGATGGAGTATAATTATCGGCCTCGTCTTTGTTGTCCTTGCGAACCTCGTTGCGTGGGTGTTTAGTCCCAAGGGCGAAAACAGAACGTTAGTACATCCTTTCTATTTGACGAGTTATGGCTTCATTCCTTGGAATGGGAGGAGGGATTGCTGGTTGGCTTGGGCTGGACGAACTGGGTGATTTGTCTCGACCTACGCACGTGTTTGGCGTACCCGGTGCGTCCGTGAGAGCATATCGAGACGGCTATGGGTTAATAAAGTGCTCTAGATTTCTTGGACCATTTGCAGAAGCGCAGGGAGCATTTAATTCAAGTCAACCCAGGCGATAGCACTCGCCGGTGGATCATCAATGGCAGAATTGAAGACTAACTTCGAATTCGTTTGTTAGGGTATGGCGAAGTTCATTAATTCTCGCTTTCACAGCATGTTATCTTATGTGGGGTACGTCCGATCTCAATCTCCCTTCATACCCTAGAGTCCGAAAGAAAAGAAGCCCGAGATAACGCGCACCCTTTTCTGACCTCTTAACAGCCATCACGTTTCTTTCACAATGGCACCCATTGATAGCCCCTCAAAGATCCGATATACGGCCGGGAATGGCTCCCCATTAGTGTGGGCACGATGAGGCCATATTGATGATTTTTTACACTTTCATTTCCTGGGTGATATCCTCTATCTACTTTTTTCCTGCGAGTTCTACACGTCCATTTTGGCGTTTGGGTTTGTATTGTACGATTAGATAGAATCTAGTCAGCCATTTTTACTGGAAACATAGCTCTATGCTTTGTGTGGTCTATTAATCTAGGAACCTACCCCCCTGACCCGTTCAGCTACACCCCTACCAATTTTTTTTCAAAGGCCAACCAAGCGCAATAATGACCTCTCCACCATCCATCTCGCCAACTGGCCTCCTAAAGTGATGACTGCTGCTCGGACGTACCCGCAGTCTAACAAAATATACAGTGCTTCCACATTATTCAAAAGAACAAGGTGCGTATTAGTCACGGAAAGCAGAAGTGATAGGATCGGTTGTAGAACAGGTGACGATCCCCACGATGCTGGCGATGTAAGAGACATAGACGGCTCGGGAGAAGGAAGTGTGGGAGTGCTTGTGACACTGTTTGTCGAGCGTGTCACTGTAGCGGTGACAGAACTGATTCTATGGGAAAATATAGCGGTACTGTGTACGGATGAAGAAAGAGAACTATTAGCTGTGTTGGAGCTGTCTGACGAATCCGGGTTCCAGATCACCAGCAATATGGGAAATAGCTTCGTGCAGCTGCTGACGACCAGAGCGGTACTAATTGCATTAGAACTGGCGGACGAGGGACGCGACATGGGTTGTATTAGGGGGGTAGCTGTAGGGAAACGGCTGAGTGGCGGCGGTGCGGGAGAGTCACTCCGGGCCGGGCCTAGCGGAGTGGTTGTACTATTCCATGACGCTGCGCGGCTAAGTTTATGATGAGGTGGGCTAGAAACGATTGGCTGAGACTGCGTAGCAAGAGTAGCTGTCAAAGGTACAAGGGTAACCGAGGGTGATGAACTTGCGTCTCCACCAATACGCGCAGGATTGCCCGCATCGCTTAAGCTTTGGTTCTGCGCGCCTGCTGCTGAAGTGGGCCTTGATACAAAGACAAACGCCAGTGCTCGGACTACCAGATGGTGTGCAAGTGTTGCGAGTGCGTTGACTGTCAGGAAAAATATATATTGGACGATAATTGGGGCATTCGCCAACTTGGAATTCCCGATAGCAGCGGATTTCTCGATTCGCGCCCAAGCAATGTAGACGTCGAAGAGGAGGATTAGGATTCCGAGCCTAATAATTGAGCGCTGCAAAACGGAGTCAGCAACTACCACCCATCATACGAGTCTTCATCTAGCAGGAACATACATCAAATTTATCATCATCTCTCCCAAGACGATTAAAGAGCAGGTGCCTATAAACCTATATAACAAAAAGCGACACCGTCAGCGCATGCAACCCTAGGGAATTAGTTGAAGACATTACCTGCGGCTTTATCAGAACCAAATCAATAAATAATACGACAAAATCGTGCTCGACATATTTATCAGCGAATCGCCGGCATCTTGGGCACTGGGTCAACCGCACTCCTTTCCCAAGGGCGCGGTCGTCAGCTTTGCTGTACGAGGTATAGAGGTGAGAAACAGGGTAGCAGCATTCAATGCATATTGGCATTGTGAAGTGTCAAGGCTTCATTTTTGAGAGAGGACTCCAATTACAGCAGCAAGGCGTATTCCTGCTTTTGCGGACTGTTGGTGTTCCAGACAAGCAGCTGTGAAGCCCCCAGGATCGTCAACTAATGCAGATGCCGGAAACGCCAAACAGCCACGGAACTGCGGAGTTTATTAAATCCGAGAGACCAAACCAGACGAGACCCTTGCAACGGAAACGAGATATTGAGAAAGCTGACTCCAAAAAGTACTACCATAGGGGGTTAAGCAGTTAGTTCTCGGTTCCGAATGATCGAGTGGCTGGAGAGGGGGAAGCTATGCGGTATTCCAAGCTTTTGTACTGAACCACGACGGTGAGACGGAGACGGACAATGATCCAGCTGGCAGTGCTACTGAGCTTGCAATGGAAATAATATGGAACCGACAATGACAATGTAGTAATTATGAATTATAGCCACATGAATTATATACAGGTCACTACTCTAATTAATCAGCTTGTTGAGTTTTATCGGCCCAGCTAGGTTCAATGGCTCGACACACTCCCTCATAATCCCAGAATCGCGACTGATTCTCTGGAACACCTGCGGTTGTCCAAAACATTGTCCAGTTCGTACCAGGAAGCTTCCATGTCCCTCTCGAGCGCTCGAAATACCACTTATTGACAGGGTTATTCGCGCGACTCCGCCAGCATACTCCCTGAGGGAAGCATGTTCGAACCATGGCATTGAAAACAATATCTGCTACCCCGCCGGCCCCCTGACTTCGCTTAAGAACGGCGAACTTGTCCAGATATGGGACCATTCGAGCTCTAAATTCTTCCGACCCGTCGTCAGACAAACCGGGAGGCGTCTCCCAGGTTAAAACCGCACCACCTTCATATTCGCCAGCGATGATTAACCCAGCAAGACGTGGGTTGATCCGGTCAACGTAGTGGCGGGCATCCAGTTTACGGCCAAAGGAATCTTCAATCAGATGGATCAACCGCGGGAGGTCAATTCGAGGGTCATCCAGCGTCAACGCTGGCTCTCCACGCTTCTTTGCAGCCCATACTTCGACCCGAGGATCTGGGAGCATAGTCAAAGGCATCCCTCGTTTGACAAAGGTTGAATGAGTGGCCGGAGATTGTCCTGCCGACATGCAGTCACTCTTCACCCCCAGTCTGCCAAGGGGCAAAGAAGCCGACTGAAACGGTTTATCTGTTAGCAAATTGTGGATCAGGGGATTCCGTTGTCGTCGGGTCCTAACTGCGGATACTGCTGAGGTATTTAGAGGTCCTTTAGCGGACAGAGCTACCTCATGAGGTGTCACGATGATACCAGATGAAGACGGAGGTAGATACGAGAGTGTGCGCTGTAAAAGATTCAAATTCTCCAGGTGTTCCGCGAATCTCTTTCCGTTGCGAGGCATTTCTTGGGATTCTCCAAGTGTTTTCGGAAGAGATACAAGCTCTTCCTCAACGAATATCGAAATAGGATTGCTCTTCCCAAGAGATGACACCGGCATTTTATGGCTAGCAGTGCCGCTGTCATTTATGCTAAGAAATCCAGTTTGAGATCCCAAGCTCAGCTCTCTCGCAATGTCCTCGAATTCTTGCTCTAGATTAATAAACACATGCGGGCGCCGTTGTAACGAGGGAATGCCACCGGCAGGGTCTAAAATGATAATCCTGTCTAGTGACACCTGCTTTTGCATGTCGTTAACTTTGTTTGCTGTTGTTGTAGCATCCTCATCCGGGCCAGAGCGCAATTCTAAACCTGCCAATTCCTTGGACAAGGCAAAAACTACTTCATTCGCCGGGAGAAGCACCGCTCGTTGTGTATCATTGGCATATCCAACTGGGACAACTACGACAACATGTCCTTGTTGTAGCGGGGAGAGCAGTGGGCCGCGTGACAAGACAGAGAGTTTCATGTCCGTCGCCGATGGGACCGTAATGATTGAATCTAGTTGACGCGAGTCTGGGCCATGATTCGCATCAATGACAGCGGACAAACGATCCGCCTGCTCCCTCGCGATTATCCGCCTATGGGTTTCATCCTTGTCAGTTCCAACATCGATGACAATGCAGCAGCTCATTCCAAGTCTGCTCAGCTGCACCAACGTCTTGGCAACCCCATGAAGCGTCTGATCGTCCAGCAATTGCGGCTTTCGAAGCTTGACTAAAGCGACGTGAATCTTTTCTCGAAATAGTTCTGTACTTTGAGCCGATGACCACTCCTGTTTGGGCGCAGGGGTCTCAGCCACAGTCCTTGTTTCTGAAAACATGCTCCCCAGGTTAACTCCAGGTTTATCCTTCATCAACTCCAGATCTGATATAAGATCACCTCGCCGGGGGGTGATGTGTTGGCAACCATCATTAGCTGTGGTCTTCTGAGCTTTGAATCGTGAAAGATACGATTTCGCTTCTCTTTTCGTAGATGCAGAACAAAGGAGGCTCAGGTAAAATTCCTATTTCGCATGATTGTCAGAGCTATACATCAACCCTGCTAGTAGTGCATAGGTGCAAACAACCTTCTCAGCCTCCTTCTCTCTCGCTTTATGACCTAGATCTTGGGGAGCCTCCCCGCCAGATTTCGAGTGTGGAATATATTCACTAGGTCGGTGGATGGAGGGCCGTGGGGCTGCCGGAGCGGCAGAGTCGCAGAAACGTCTTTTTTTCAGTGGCGGCGAGCCATTGAATGTAGGAAAACTAAAAGAATGATCATGCTGTTCAAAGAAAAAGAGGAAAAAAAAAAAGGCAAAATCAGCATGCGAGTTCTCAGTCCGACGGGAGCCGAAAATACCTTTTGAAGAAGACGGCAAGACTGGGTACACCAGCCCAGGACTGTGCTTCGACTCATTTCTGCTCAATTATCACATCTCCTGTGACGGGCTAGGATCTGCGTAAAGAATGTGTCTATTTCATAAATCATTAAAACATTAAAGAAAAGGGAATTTCAGCAAGCCATTATTTAATTTTGCAGTTGTCGAGCGAGGACGCTGTGAACCAGCCCCCGGGTGTTTGTGGAGCTTGTGACTCAGTTGCTTGCGGTGACTTGTGTGAGTTTAATATTTAGCTGGACTCGAGGAACTACAATCCGGCGCTCGAACACTCGATACAAAATGAGGTGAGGGTGACTATATTATTAGATACTATCTAGAGGCGTGATCTATCTTCCAAATATACAGCCTTTGTGTTCTTCCGACTTCACTCACTCTCAATCTCGCTTGGACTTCCCAAATGTCCTCCGGAGACGGCAAAACATGTCGAGTCCAGCCAAAACAGCTAATGCAACTAGTCAGTCTTCTATTCAATTGCATGAAAAGAACTCCGTCTACGGAATATACACGGTTCGCATGTGATTGAAAAAGACAGTGGCAATCCATCGGCCCAGCGGAACAAGGGAATGAAGCTTCTTCGGATCCATGCTCCTAGCAAAGACCGTGCGTAGTGCCCGGAGACATGGGCCAAATTAGGGGCAGCGGATCATGCAACAAACCAAATCTGACTTACAGAATGCGAGATACGGCCCGTAGAGCAAGGTGAGGGAGGACTTCTCCTCAAAGGTGCGGTCTGTCCAATCCCACACGTCCACCAGGCATGTGAGGGTGGTGAGCGACGCCTGCACGGCCCAGACGAGTAGGTGAACTGAGACAAAGGCGTCCTCTACATGTATACCAACGCAAAGCTCGACGATTAGCTTCCGCCCCCTTCACAACTTACAGTCGAGCGACTGTCGTGCGAAAAATTGGGCCATGACATACCTTTTAGAAATCCACGGATGATCAATATACTCGCGGGAACATGATAGAACGCTTCCATCAAGATATACGCCCGAAACCACTGGGGTGGCTCAGAGAAAAACTTGTCATGGTACTTGTCGATATAGAAGTCTCGCAGCGTATCGAGGGCCGCCGGTCTGACGGAGTCTGGATACAACGGAACAAGATCGACAGCTATATAAACGCTGTCAGTTGACTCATTCTGTCCCAGACACCCTTCCACCCGTTCCCTTCAGGATAGCCAAAATGACACATGTCAACCTGATTATGCTTCAGGAAATCAAAGCTATCATGGACCTACCGAACATCACAACAAGGTGGATTGCGAAAAATGCAATGTACAGTACATCGGCTGCATTTTGACGCTGGGTCTTCGCCAATTTTGATTGGCCTGCGTCTGATCTGAGGGACATCTCTGAAGTCGAAGAGAAGGATCCTCTGTACTCCGTACAGGCGAGTGTTTCAAGATGTCAACATTCATAGTTTCTTTCCGAGACTGACGATCAATCCCGTTTCTTCCGCACGTTGCCAAGCGCTGCCAAGCGGCTAACTAACTAGTTAACTAGTTAACAGACTAATCAAGCCTCAACGTTGGAGGTCTTGACTTTGTTATCTCCAATGTCCCGGATGCTTGAAACGGCTTTCTGCTCCGGATTCTAGAAAGAGCACGGAGCACAAATTACGATGAGTACGGATTTATCTTCTCCTCCCCATGTCTCGGAAAATATTCAGAATGCCTGTGAGAATAGCAAGAGACCCACGCGCCATTGGGTGGTCTGCGAGCTCTTTGACCAATTGGCCAAGTCCAGGAACGATTGTTTCCAGCCTAGATATATCTGGCCGTTCTACGGAGTATCAAGGTCACCAATCAAACCGGGGGGAAGCTTTCTTCTCTAATTAGAGCGGCTAGTGGGATACAATAACCACATTCCCAGCGTTAGGATGATCAGATATTTGGCTGTGGGTTGACTCCGGAATACCTTAGGGTAGCACTGCTTTTGCTTGGGTTATGCCCTGAAAACTCACACTTATCCGAGTATTGCCTCGGGTTGATTAGCGCCTTTGGCGTAGGCCTTCGCGTCTTACGCTGGCCGATAGGCTCTGCGAGTCCCAAAACGCGGCCTGGAACCATTGCTCATGACATCCAATATGATCTAGAAACCAGGGCCCTTCAGAAGTGGAAAACAACGGTAACCAATAATCAATCTAGATAAATATAACATGTGGGGTGATCCGTATGTTATCCACCGCCGTCTGGAGCTCCCTCTACCCGGGGAAAATAGTGTGGCTGTCGACAAACGGCTCATTGAAAGATTAGCGACTTTACTAGGAATACTTATATAATGATCAATGAGCTCGCCTTGTTAATGAGGCAATCATTTATAGGAATCTAACAGTCTAGAATCTTATGGTTAGTCCTTAACCTTATGTAGACCCTGTTTTATCCAGACGCATCATAAACGTCTCGAATGTGCGGCATTCGAATTTTCAGTCTTATCCTGTACGTAAACAGAGCCATTTGACCTCGTCCTAGAGCCAGACAGTTCAGCGCCATTGTAAACAACATTCCCAACCGCATAAAGATGGCATAAAATTGAAAGGAGAAATAGTAAATGAGAAGGCTGAAGGTTCGTTAGGAGAAAAAAAAAAAGGAATATGTCTAGCAGGAACGAACATAGAAAAGGGCACTCAGGGCTAGATAGTTGCGTAAACAGGGAGGAACGAAAGAAAAAGAATCATATAAAGGTACAAGGAAACCCTCATTAAATAAACCGCCAACGCACGGGGGCCTTATCGTAATGATTGTTCAATCCTCATTCGCAAGTCCCTGCAAACTTCTGCAATCTCCCTGTCTCCTCCGCTTTGCTGCACCAACAGTAACAACTCGGAGACACGACTTGCGAGCACGTCACTACCAAAAACACCGCCACCAATTCTAACTGTTTCTTGATACCATCGCGAGATAAGGTAAACAAGATCATTGCCAATATACATACGGTTGCGGCCCTGGAATGGCACCTCATCATTGTAGAACATCGACTCCAATATTGTATAGAGCGTTTCATGCGCAACCTGGAGATCGAGGAATAGATCAATTACCCATGTTTGGGGTCCTACGCCAAGTTGGCGTTCGAGAACGTATCTCTCAAGCATTGGCAATAGAATTGGGACGGGGAATGTGATTTCTGACATCCTCAAACGATGGGCAAGGGAGCGGACTTTCTCAATGACCGCTTCGTATGGGAGAGGCGTGCCCTTCTCTGATGCTTCATCATGAACATCCTTAATCAAGTTCTCCCACGCCGCTTTGATATCGGAAGTGTTTCTGTAATTAGCAAGGTACATTATTTGTAGACAGATGTCATAATAACCACCAGGGTCAGCGTAGATGTTGAATAGCTGCGGAATCACATTAGTGACGTCAACATCGGAATATCACAAGAAATCTTACAGTGCTGAGCTCCATGATTTCACCCCCAACTTCCTTAAGAACCTCGTCCTTTCTTTCAGCAGCTATTCTTGTATCATCTTTGAGACGCTGAAGTAAATCGTCCTGAACGTTCGCCACGTCGAGAAGGCCCGAAATTTCTTGCTGTAATCTCTGTCGAGAAGCACGGGAGACGTCGTGTGTAAAAGTTGAGGCATTGGCACTTGCTTGACCAAGATACTCAATCCGTCGGCTCAAGGGAAGGGCGAATGGGCTCTGAGCGAGTTGCAGTTGGACAGCAGCAGCGTCGTAAAACCGACTAGATTGTCCGTAGTATCTCCACAGCAAGTCCGCGTGGAAGATGTCTTCAGTTGACTTTCTCTTGAGATAGATAGCGACAAACGGAGTCTGTATCTGCAGCAGCCTTTCGCTCCAACCGCGTTCAAGATACCAATCATAAAGACTCGTGAGGAAGACCTCGTCTTGTGAGCTCGTGATAACATCATAAGCCTCATTTTTCCTTCTGTTGACGGCAGTATATTGTCCATCGACAATTTCGGGTTCTTTGCTCGCAAGGTCATCAACTGCCATAATAACATTGTAGATTAGTTCATAACATTGCTTCCTCGTTTCATAACTGGCTTGGCGGGGGTCCTGCAGAGGTTATTAGGCATTGTCTTTGACGTCAAAGCGAGTTGGATGAGTTCGGTACCTGAGCAGGTCGACCGTCCATAAGCCATGACTGTGCACGATTCGCTCGATCTGAATCGGCCGCGACGCTTAAACATAGTTGGATTGCACCTAGTATAATTAGCACCCCGCGTAGTCATAGCGGCTAGAGAGCCATACCAGCATAAAATTGATTTTGAATATATTGATCAACCGCAGATTGAAGATAATCCATTGGTAAGGTCTCAGAGACCTGCATGAACAGATTCAAACTTTCGTTCAGCAGATTTCTACCAAACTCAGAATTAACACCAGCTTCTGCCGCTCGCTTCAGCTGCTCCTGAGCCTTGAAAATTAGAACATCTTCCGCACTGCAGAACGAGCCGCATCGTCGCCGAAGGGCCTCTGCAACGGTTTCCACGTTTGAGCCTTTCGCAATGTTGCGGTTCACAATTGCTTTGACCAGTTCCTTTGCAACATCATGGCCTTGAGAGCTGCTAAAGAGTTGTTCGAATGTCAGAGTCAAGAACCTCGATTTGGACACATCGGGCAGCAGCGCTACGGTATCTTCGACGCGTTCGTCGAAAAGAACCAGAATAAACGATATTCCTTCAATGGTGTGTGAGATTAACTGAACAAGTGAGTGAAGAGCACGGTGCTCTGCTTGCAAAGAAATTTCTTCTTGCTTTGTAGCCGCTCGTGACAGCGCTTCGGGGCCGCTTAGGCCCTCAATGAAAGACTTATTGACACGGAAGAACTCCTGCAGCGCCGAAAGATCCCGCTGAATTGAATGCAACTTTGATGTGCTCACGGATGGGACAATGGAAGTTCCACCGGCCGGCGTACGCTCTTGTTTCACAATGACAGTCTTCCAGATTGACCTCAGAAGTCTCGAGGTGTAAAGAGCAATGCCTACATGCCGAGGTGATGGTATAACCGCATCGATTGCGAGAGCAGACCCGTCAGTCACCGCATTTTCATCCAAAGAAGGTTTCCCACCAAACTCAATGAAAACTTTCCGTGCGAATTCTAGCACGTCGGGATCGTTTATCTTCGACAAGCGAGAGTCTTGTGAAAGCTCAACACCTTGACCACATGCAACTGCCAGCGCCGTTGCAAGCACCTCGCTTCGGCCGTAAAGTCTAATAAGCGTTTTTACTTGGTTTTCAAGTCCCTCTTCGCCGCCTGAACTGCGGATAAGAGATGCAAAAATATCAACGAGTCTTCGTCGGCGGATAACATGGACTCCGGTATTCGTTAGGATCGCAATCTCGGCGGCCGGCTGATCAAACTGAACCGCAAGCTCGTTTCCAAAGCCAGGAGTCCCTTGAGCGCCGAGTCCAGGTGTACATAGCCCAATATCCTCAGCCCGACTGCCCAAGGTTAGCCAGAGTCCAGTTTCACCTGGTTTAAGTGGAATGGATGTCTCCTGTGGGCGGGCGAGTCGACCAGAATCTGGCGTTGATATAAAGAGCGTATCTACCCGATTGAGGGGATCTCTCGCAGTGAAGCAGAAGAAGTATCCCGGAGGATAGCGCTCGGCCGACCGGGTGGGATTCAGTGACTGTATTGGGAGTCGAGCGCTTGCTGTCGCCTGGTATTGGGGTCCTGATATCGGAGAAGCGCCCTGCATAGGCTGAAGCATGGGTGTATCGGGAGGGGGGGTTTTCACATGTTGTGCTTGCATGCTGGTAGGTGCGTTGGTCGGACTAGGCGTTGCGGACCAACTATAGGAGCCGGTAGCACTAAGATAGATCCTGTATCCTGTTGCTGTTGTCGCCATAAGATGGTACCTTGAGGCTTCCTCGACAGGAATAGGGCTAATCGACACGATCTTGACTCGAGCGTTGAGCGTCTCGTTGCTGCCGATTATGTGGCCAATATTCGAGTAGATATCAACGGCGTTTTTCGTAATTGCCAGACTGAGAGTTCCATCTTGCTTTAAATGGAATACTCGAATTGAGGAGTTCGACGAGAGTGTATATAGGAGATTCCTGCTATCATCAACTAGCATCTGCTCCACGAAATTCTGAGGCTTATGCGTCAAGGTGAACTGAGGAGCAAAAGCTGCAAAGCTCTTCGTCGTATGGTTCACCTTTGTACACCTCCCTTGAAACCAGCGCTCCTCTTGCTGATACTTGAGCTCGTAGACATCGTTGTCTGTAGAACCGGCGAAAAAGATCCTGCCTGTCGAGTCTGAGGATGCAATCACGTTAATATCGAGTCCACGTATTGACGTCGACATTCCAGTTTGGTAAAGCGTGACAATGTTTGTTTGTCCGGCCCCTTCGCACCCCAAACCAAGGAGTATGACATCGGCCGTGGTCGCAATGACGATGACATATGTTATCGACGATAGGAATACTCCTTTTCGTGGGCGCGCAAGCTTTACGGTGTTAATGCTATTCGGTTGGTCCTCGAAGCCAATTAACTGGGGGTTTTGATGCGTGTAGTTCCATAGATAAAGCGCGTTGTCGATCGTCACCCATGCGAGATTCAACTCCGCAAAAAGCCCCATGCTCGTCGATACTTGTGCTCGATTATATTGATCAAATATCTGGTCGGGAATATTGTACATTTTTATTTTCTGAAAGGGCGCCCATGGTGATGAGGTGGGTATATCATAATGTGAACTGAATCCCTCTGTAAAAAAGTCAGAGTCTCGCGATAGACCCGAGCAACGGCTTTGAGAATAACTCACGGGAAAGATAGCTATCTAAATCAGGATACCGCGAATCCTGCGCTAAGGCGTCGTCTATCGTACGGGCTCCCCGTTCTCGTGGACTCATAGTCTCGGCCTTGCTTTTAGTACTCGAAACTGCTTTGGCGCCGATTGTTTGGGCCAAAGTACTTCCCGCGGAGGAAGGGCGAGCAGCCGCGGAGGATAGCATTCTATTCTGATATAGGCCTCCATTGGCAAGCGATGGCGCTGGCGTCTGAAAATATGTGCCTGGCACTGGTTTAGCTGGTGTGAGAGGTGGAAAGCTCATGGTTGGGAGTTCCCAGCTGGGTGCCCCCCGCAATTCAGTCCCGTGAAAGCAGCTCCAGGTTTAAAAATGGCGAAACAAGAGAAGAGAGAAATAAAATGGAAGCTTAAAAGCTTGCAGGCTTAATTTTAACACAAATGGTGTTGGTTTTGTGGCAGGGACACACGGTTTCACTTGTTGGTAGCTGTGAGAAGTTGAAGCATTCAAACGGAAACAATTTTGCGCACAGACCCCAGAATGGTTTCCCATCAACACAGTTTGACTGCTGCAACAAGAGCTCTCGGTTCACAAAACACCACAGGAAACAAATCCCGCCCTATTACAGAGTACTGTCTTTTTAATTGAAGGGATCTTAACTACTCTGTACACTCACTTATATCAGCCATGTTCAGACCGCTTAGATTCCAGGCTCGAACCCTGCTCCGAGCTACTTGCAGATACAATTCCACTGCGCCTACTTCACCACCTCTACTCGCAAAGCTGAGAGCAGATTTGAAGACGGCTATGAAGGCTAGAGATACTGTTAGGTTGTTTAAGCGCACTCTATACATAACCATATGCATGGATCAATTAAGGAATCTATCATGAGCTAATCCTGCAATCCGAGCTGTCTTCAGGCTTGATGTGCTGCGTGCCGTGATCTCAGAGATCAACAATGCTGCCAAAACATCCTCGCCGATCCAGACTGACCTCCAACTCCTCGCATTGATCCGCAAGCGCTCGTCTTCTCTTGAATCCTCCAGCCAGGAGTATGTGAACGCTGGCCGGCACGACTTGAAAGAGAGAAACGACACAGAAATCGGTGTACTTAACGAATACGCCGGACAAGTACAGACTACGACCATAGAAGAGATAGAATCTGCAGTCACTCAAACGATCGAGAATCTCCGGAGTGAGGGAAAGAAGGTCGATATCGGGGCTATTATGAAGGCCGCTTTTGCGCCAGGTGGACCGTTGAACGGAAAGCCAGCTGAGAAAGGAGTGGTATCCAAAATCGCCGCCCAATCGATTTCAACGGCATAAATAACTAGAATAAAAAGTGCCCGGATTAGCGCGATTTATTGTTGGAGATTCCGGGCCGGTGAATGATTTTGCGCGTTGCCTGAAGTATCGAAGGCATGGAGCACGGAGCAACACCAATCGACATGGAGCCCGTGAATAGCACAATTGACAGATCGCGCTCAGGCGTCTGTTATGTACTATATGCACACTGTAAATTTAACGAAGACACATCTCCTAAAAACCGTCGACTCCGTTCGAATAAGCCTCCCGGACGAGGTACGAAATCATGTTCCTTATTTTGCCACAGGGAAACACAATATGATAAAGGTAAACACAAGGAGCACATCAATCAGATATTCGATTCCTTAATTGTCTCGAAGCACCAAACAATCGAAAAATAGAAGGATATATTCCAGCAAGATTGGCTTCGCAAAACACCGCAGGACATCAGACAGTCCACCCAAGCCAAATTTCCTTCCGGATATCATGCCATAACTCCTTCCGCTTCCCTAAACGCCCATCTATACCAAGATGCAGGCCCAAGTATCGAGAAATCCAGGATGATGTCGTTTACCAATCTTTCCATGGGCTTTCGGAGTAAAGAAACGCGACGCCTCCAACGAGGGTCATCATAACACCAGCCCACCACCATTTATCGGGGTCTGTGAGTCCGCCCACTTGCGTAGAAGGACGCTTATTGCGTGAACTGGCCATCCCGCTTCCATATGGCAGGCCCCGCTTAGCCTTACTTCTACCGGTAGCACTAGCTTGAGCTGTTGGGTTCAGGGTTTCGGTTGGAAGCATTTGCGGCGGATCGAAAACCAGAAACATCGGGTTCATAGGTGTTCCGTCAAACTGGTAAAGATTGAGGCGTTTGACGTTGTGGAAGGGGTCAGTTAGCACCTCGTATCGCTGTAGGATAACAATTAGAGCAAGCGCTTCGAAAGCTCGTCGTAGAACAAGTTGCGCCTACCTTGAAAACCTCTGTCTGATTGAATCGGAAATACATCGAGCCCTCGCTCTTGCACGGACTCGAAATTAGCTGACGACCGTCGACCGCGAATGGAGTCAAAACGAGTGAGCCGTTGGATTCCACGCTGTACTTTCCATGCTGAAATTGCATCATCGCTGAGGCACATGAGGGCTTGGTTGCTAGAATTTCATAGCTTGTCAGAGTCTCTCAGATCTTGCCCCTCTAGAAGGACTGGCGAGCTCACGGTTAGGAATGGCGCGGAAATACGCTTCTTCGAAGTATCCATCTTCGGTGAAAGAGTAAGAGATGCCTGTGTTTTCTGGTTCCTGGAATCTATCTTCCGCGGGATCGTAAAACGCCTGAATCATCGATTAGCTCCAACAGAGAGGCAGAGACCGTCACGAAGTCTTGAGGGTGTGTGGACTTACAGGGCCGGTGACAACCTTCCTCGACTTTGTCGCCCAGGTTCCAGTGAGTTTTGGGTCAAGAGCTGCAGGAACAGCCGTTAAAAAGCAAAAAAAGACCAGAAGAGCAACAATGAGAACCATTTTCGCTGCCCAGTTGCTTGGTGCACCTGTGGTGTGAAAAGGTTTCAGGAGTCAGGACTCTGAGAACTTGATTCCGGAATGACGAAACGGTGTCTCATTGTGACGCGTTCATTGAAAAGGTTGTGCGCCATCACAACACTGGGCGATCAGGAGTTGGTGAGTTGGTCAAAGCAGTTATTATTTTTGGAACTTCTCTTATTATTTAGCCTCTAGGACACCCTGTCTCACAGTTTGATGTTTTTCTTGTTATACAGAGTAGAGTACGGAGTAAGAGTATATCCATTGCACCTTGCTGCAGCATTGATTATCATCTTCCGCACCGCTCACTAACTAACTAGGGAGCCTAGGCCTTACGGAGCATTAACTAACTAACTAGCATGTTCGGAGTACGGAGTATGGTCATCACCAACTAGCGCGCCACGGAGAACCAAACCACAAGGGTAAAGGTGACAGCGAGCACTGAAGGAGGATCTCTTAGAGGAGGTTTTCAGGGCCAATTCTGCATTTTGACTTGTGCTACCATATATATATATATATATATGATCAAAAGGACTCTGTAGGATTGGAGCCTCTCCCAAACAAGGACTGTAAAAGTAATACAACAAAACATGGCCCAGCGCCCATCCTAGAAATCGTTAAATAACGATGTTAGCAAGTTTTCGGCCTTGGCTGTAGAGTCGAATCGATCGGCTGATGCCGGTACATGGTTGCTCTATCAACACCAAACCCTTGACACGATTAGAGGAAATTTCGCTCTGGCCAGGTTGCGGTGCATAGAGTACGGAGCATGTAAGTGAAATAAATCTCAGGTCTCCGGTTTCTGCTCATATGTATATCACTGCTGAGTAGTTAATGAAAGTAGTGGGGTTTGGCGGGTCGTTCAATTGTCTCTACCGCCATGGCAAGCTTGCAGGCCGCGAAGAAGGAACTGCGAAGCAGGATTAAAACTGTCCTGTCTGGCCTCTCGGGGGAGTCAGTCAATAAGCAATGTCAGCCGGCGCCATGCTGATAAAAACATACCATCAATAGGATGCTGATCCCATAGCCAGCTTCTACCATAACGAACGCGCTTTTATCTTTGCCAGAATACCAGGCTGCTAAGCGATTAAGCGTGTATCTTGCGATGCCCTCTGGGGAGGTTCAAACGGCGGACATCGTCCGGGATGCATTTAGCCAAGGTAAACAGGTGTATGTGCCCTATATCTACCAACTAGATCCTGTGTCTACGCAAGGAAGGAAGTCTGTGATGGAGATGCTGGCACTCCGTTCAATTGAGGATTACGAGTCTCTGCAGCCAGATAAATGGGGTATCCCTTCGCTGGACGCAGGCTCACTTGCTACAAGAGAAAATTGCTTTGGGGGATATGGACTTCGAGGGCTGTCTCATCCTTCCACAGAGACAAGTAAGGCTGGATTAGATTTGATTGTTGTGCCAGGACTAGCATTTGATGAAAGCTTCGGAAGACTCGGCCATGGCAAGGGCTATTATGACCATTTCTTCATGCGATGTCGAGATGATACCACAAGCACAAGTCGAAAACCGTATCTCGGTAAGTATCTCTCCCCGGTTCTTTACATATATCGTCGACTCATTCAAGCTATAGCTGCTCTGGCTCTGCAAGAGCAAATTCTTCCTCCTCCAGAACGGGTTCCAGCCGGTGAACAAGATTACCCAGTAGACGCGCTAATCGCGGGTGACGGACGGGTACTGAAGCGGGAATAGACGCAAATCATTCTTTCACCTTCTCCTTCGCATTTTCTTTCGCCGAGAAATAAATAGCCGATACAAACGCCAATGTACAAATCGTATCCCTTAACCACACAGTTTTATTGCAGCGCTTGTATCAGAGAAACATTGTCGCCTTTGAGTAGAATCTGGCCTGTAATACTGTCAGGGCGACATTCGCGATAGGATAAAATACGTAACAGAGGTAGCATACCCAACTGCCTCCTTTGCTCTTCTTGATCCTTTGTTGGCACTCTAACCTCCACGGCGTCATCAATGACCAAGTTCATAAATTCGTCGAAACCCTAGACCTCAGGGGTATTAGCTTAAGTAAATGACCGGCGCAGGACGACTAACGCGTATCTTCCCCTCTATCCGGACAGCAAGCTGTTCATAAAGCCATATCGACACTGTAGATCTTTGTTGTAGGAGCTTGAAGATGAAGTGGATCGGTTGAAGGAGCGTTTTCGCTGGCCCGCGCTGACCTCGGCCGGCCATGATTGATCTCTGGAAAGGAATGGAAAATGAGGTATCAATCCACCAAAACCGAGTTGGAATCCGCGGAATGGGTGTGGTAAAATCTCAGGCCGGAATATTTATACGTGAAGGTTGGGAAAAGGTGAACTTGGTGAGGTGATGGTGAAGCTAGCGGGTGTCTTTGGTGTGTTTGCTGGATCAAGAACTTTTTTTGGCGCAGCTGCTTTGGACTTTGGCTCATCGAGTGATGGACCAACAAGTTCATTTACAATCGACAGAGAGCCTTTAAACCTCGAATACTCTGCATACCTGTCGCATTATTTGCTTGCTCTCCTAAACACCCCTCATTCATGAGCACTTCTGATACACTGCTGATTTGCTCAGCGTCGGTGATCACCCCGCTCCCTTGAATCCTCCCGGCCCTTTACTCCCCCATCACATCAGGTTCAATTACCACCATGGCAACGAAGAGCACCGCACCAGTGCAGGAGTTTGCACCTGTCCTTGCAGCTCTTGCTACAATGCAAGGGAATGCTTCACGACAGGAAAAGACTCATGCTCATGAATTCCTTGAGCGCTTTCAGAAATCTGTGAGATATGATGTGACTGCCCCTCCTCGGACTGGACCTGACAGACCTCGACGTCTAGGTGGAAGCTTGGACAACAACGCATGCGATCCTCCAGGCTCCAGACTCGGCTCCCGAGGCGAAGCTGTTTGCGGCCACTACTTTGAAGGGGAAGGTGGGCGCATTTGATGGAACAATACAGAGGCCCCTTGCTAAACAAGTCGACAGATCACATATGACCTCGATCAGTTGCCCGAATCATCATTGCCGGCTCTAAGAACCTCCATCCTTTCGCTTCTGGCAAATTATAGATTGGGTCCCCGACCCATCCAAACGCAGCTATGTGTTTGCTTGGCGAGTCTGGCAATCCAAATGATCACCTGGAAAGACGTCCTTCCAGTGGTTGGGTCAGCTTTGGGCAACGAAGCAAGCAACTGCATCCTAGAATTCCTAAAAATCCTCCCCGAGGAAGTTACAGAAGGACGCAAAATCAACCTGACTGTATGTTCGGCCGCGTCACTATCCATGTCAATCTATCTCTCGCATTTGCGCAGCCCCAGCTTCAGCAACGACACCTGTTTTGCGACCAGAAATTAGACTCTAATACATCATGATGACACCTAGGAAGAGGAACTAGCCACTAGAACGAAGGAGCTGTTGGAAGATAACGCGGACCAAGTTCTGGCGCTCCTTACTCAATACTCACAGTCTTCGCGTAAGTTTTGCCTTATACGGTCACCTGTCCAGTCCCAGTGCTGACAGAACGGATGCTATCTAGCTACTGCTGCAAGTAACCCACAGTTATTGGAATGCATTACTTCCTGGATGCGCGAAATTCCTGCGTCGCGAATTGCTAACTCTCCTTTAATGGACGTCATCGTAAAAGCGCTTTCGGATGAGAGATCCTTCGATGCGGCAGTAGAATGTATGTGCGCCATTTATAGGGACACCCTTGAAGTTGACGATTCTATGCCCGTTATACAGACCGTCTATCCACGGTTAATCGCATTAAGGCCGAAGATCCGTGAAGCAGCGGAAACGGAGGATCCTGAAATGCTCCGTGGTGTCACCAGATTGTTTGCTGAAGCTGCAGAAGCCTGGGTAGTCCTAATTGCCCGTCTACCAAACGAATTCCGCAACCTGGTTGAAGCGGTTCTGGAATGTTGTGTTGTTGATAAAGAGCGTGATGCTATTTCTATCACCTTCGTCTTTTGGTTCGAGCTTAAACAGTACGTGACGTTGGATAGATATGCCAACGCAAGAATAGTTCTTTCGGATGTGTTTTCCAAGTTGGTGGACATCATGATCAAGCACCTAGAGTTTCCGGCTACAGACGGCGACGAAGAAGATTTGTTTGAAGGAGACCGGGAACAGGAGGAGAAATTTCGAGAGTTCCGCCACGCGATGGGCGATGTGCTCAAAGATTGCTGCGCCGTTATTGGGGTTTCCGAATGCCTGAACAAATCGTATGACCTAATTCAAGGATGGGTAGCGAAATATGGGCCTCAGGCAAGTCACAACCACGTACCACACTGGCAAGAACTGGAAGCGCCATTGTTCAGTATGAGGGCGATGGGACGAATGGTCGATCCCGAGGAGAGTTCGGTCCTTCCGCAGATTATTCCGCTTATTGTCCGAATACCTGATCAGGAAAAGGTCCGTTTCCAAGCTATTATGGCGCTTGGGAGATACACCGAATGGACAGCGCAGCATCCCGAAACTCTTGAGGCTCAGCTCAATTACGTTATTTCCGGATTTCAGCATAAGTCTCAAGAAGTTGTACAAGCTGCCGCACTGGCCTTCAGATTCCTTGGAACTGATTGCCAGAAGTTATTGGGAGGACATATCCCACAGCTGCATACGTTTTACGAGTCAGTGATCGACAATTTAAAGCCGTCGAGTCAGGAGGAGGTCACTGAAGGCGTTGCCGCCGTTGTAGCGGTTCAGCCAATCGAAAAGATATATGAGACTCTGAAGCTGTTCTGCGATCCTATTATGAGAAGAATTATGAACTTAGCCAACAATGCGAAAGACGAAGATGGCCAAAGAGCAGTCGCTGGTAAGAAACCCTGTTGCTGAGCACCTACCTTGCTCCTCTCAAACTAACACCCATATTTAACAGACCATCTTCAACTCATTACCATATTTATTCAAATCGTATCACCGTATGTCGATCCTGGTACTCAAAATCCAGGTGTGCGGTATTGTGAGGAGATTCTTCCAGTTCTCAGTACGATTGTCTTGAACTTTACGAAGTCCACGCCCATACTCGAAAGAGTTTGTCGATGCTGGAGATACATGATTATTTCCTATCGCAATGCGATGATTCCATTACTCCCCAACTTAGCTCAAAGTATATCGGCTGGGTTCCAAGCATCCAGGGAAGGATGTTTCTTATGGGCAACCGATGCTGTTGTTCGGGAGTTTTCTTCCGGTGCTGAATACGTGGATCAGGCAACGAGCGATGCAGTATACCATTTCTTCGAGCAACAGGTCATCCAATTCCTCCGTATTCTCAACGATTTACCGCCAAACCACCTGCCCGATAGTAAGTGCAATCCACACCTTGTTAATTACGGAGTGTGGCTAACAACTAATTTTGCAGTGATCGAGGACTTTTTCCGGCTCTTAACCGATGCTGTGCGATACTTCCCAAAAAATACGTTGACATCACAGCTTGCCGTTCCCATCTTCTCCGCTGCACTAAGTGCGCTTACCCTGCAACAAGTCGACCCTCTTACAGCAACCCTACATTACTGTCGCGACGTCCTGAGTTTTGGATTTGAGCAGCCATCAATATCCGAATTTACGAGCCCAGAAGGCGAACCATTTACTAACCCTCCAGAGGTTAGAGCAGCAGTTAAGCAACTAATAAGCTCGCAGGGGTCTCTTCTTGTCCAACGCGTTATGACGGGAATGATGTTCACGTTCCCTGGAGATTGTTTCCCTGATGCGTCGGGAGTTTTGATGGCATTATTTGAATTATTACCACAAGAGACCGCAACTTGGGTTGGCGGCACCATTCAGTTACTTCCTTCAGGCACCTTGAAACCCGGTGAAAGTGAACGCTTAATGAAGAATCTCTCAGAACGCGTACAAACCGGCGATCATAGGAAGATTCGAACATTGCTTCAAGGTATGGCATCGAGAGTCTCGGAAATAATCATTGCTATATTGACTCCATGGTTTTATCTAACTCGATCTCTAGATTTTACAAATTCATATCGGCGACGAAATGTAGCGCCCAGAGAAGGACTTGGGAGACTCGAAGCAGCGAGGTTCCGATTTACTGGTTGAATTCCACAAAATCCATTTCCTAACAATAGCAATACAAAAAGTCATAATCACATCTAGGTCATCCTGTGGGCTTCGCCCTCTGTCGACTGCATTTCCACAGTATTTCGAAGTCTGACACCAAAAAGGGATAGCGACCAAAACTCCAGCCTGTGTAAAATCATTCTCCGTGGACGAACGCACCACCTATTGGGCAAGGCGTTATGATTTTTTTTTTTTTCTTTCCCTTACTTATTTTTGTCGATCCCTGCCTGTTAAACTCCATTTGCAGAACTCTTCCCGTGCCCTGCGAAGTGGATCGTCTAGCTGGAGAAAATTCACGTCCTCATAATCAATTATATAGCTGTGCGTGTGAATCTAGCTGTTAGTTATAGGTCTTATCAGAAATGGAACGGGGGAGAAAAGAGTGAAGGACACACCACGATTCTTCTTTGGATCATAAATGAGATTCTGAAGCCGGGTATCCCTTGGTTCGATACCGAAGCTGTAAAGCTCCCTAAATCGACAAATGAGCATAACGGGACTTTGCGTCGGTAGAGGGGTGGTGCTTGACACTCCAACAAGCTGCGGAAAGCACCGCGAATCTTTCCCTGCTCCTTGGATGGACGATCCCGGAAGGTTTCCAAAGATTCTCCGAGGACCTTCTCCATGACGATGATAAGGATAAAGCCGTTGGGGACCCATTGGTGCTCCATTTGCAGAGCAACCGACCCATGCGAGTAGTTTAGGGGTAACGGAGCAGCCTCGGTCGGTCAAATACTCCAGGCTACTGAGCTCTCGTCGAGACCATAGTCCAGCCTCGTTCCGCGCAACGCTTTCTCTCTTTTCGGGATTAGGATCAGCAATATCGGGATCCGGGGGGATCCTGCAACCCACCGTTAGCTGGTGTATCAAAGCATAAGAACCCAGGAACACATCACTTACTGCATGCGAATTTTCATAATAGCGTCTTTTCCCGCGTCCTTCCCTTTGTCTGACGGCAGTGATATACAGCTTGCGCCTCTGACGGCCCACCACTACCTTTCTTCTTTATCGGGGTTCTGGGAAAAGGAGCGCCTCTTCTGATATCTTTTCCTTGATTTCCCAAGTACTGCCATCTGGAAACTCGAAATCATGGCCATCGAACTGATCGCCAATCCATTTTTTACCGTAGACGACCTTCATTGCTAGTGGTTGAACGGAGTTTGACGTCAACGTATAGTTGTATATCGGCGGAATTGACTAGAAAGTATGACATACCGATGCACAACGTGAAGGATTAGGGGGGTGAAATCATTTTGTAGCGACCCAGGTGATATTTGTATGTAAAAATCCATTTTTCTTAAGACTCAACGAACCAATGCGCCGTAACAGCCTGATAGGCGGCGTTCCCGAGACGATCCCAAGTGCTTTGCGAGGGAGACACATGAAGAGTGTATGGAGGGAAGAGAGAACGAGCACTCTGTACAACGCAACAAATAAAACGTGCCCCAATATTAAGGCGTATCAAACAGGAGTATCGAATTTTGGAGAGCCACTTGAAGGGTATCATCAGGCAGTGATCATGGCGAGGCAAATGGGATTACAGGCGGCAGACATCCTAAGCCTATAGAACGGCGTGATATCACAATGGCCTAGAGTCGCTTTCCTGGTTGAGATAGAAGAAATGAACTTCTGAAACAATTTTTTGGCCCTGCGGCTATCAGCCTTTCTCAGGGCTTAACCGCTGTGCCAGTTCTTGATATTATCTAGCCGCCAAAACGATCTAGATATGAAGAGAAAACAATATTATTGGCGAGATTTTATCCAATAGGCTAATTCTCTCCTAAACCACATGAAACTTGCATCCAGATCATTGATCTCCACCGGGAAAAACGGGTCACCTCAGAGTACCATCTGAACTCGTACTTGGGAGAACTCGGGATGAGATCGAAGGTGGCGCATCCACCAATGCTTAAACGCATTTTGGCATAGAAAATAGACTTTGACGCCTCGTAGCAAAGAACAGGTTGCGACCAGATAATAAGGCAACGGGCGCACACGCGATCAAGTGCAGTTTTGATCCTGCGTGCCAGGTACTAAGTTCTCGCAGCAAGGTTCCACCAGAGGAGCCTTGGGGGGATTTAACTCATCGTATGATTGTTGCAGACGACTGGTCACACATGCCCTTCGGCTTCTAGGCTATGATTCGAGTAATCTCGGACAATTTGATTCGGATCCTACTACGTAAGTGAAACAGACGATCCCAGTTACTAATCGAGGTTCATAGCAGACTGTGACAGGTTCCCTTGAAGTACCTCGCCCGTGGGTCTGAAAGCGGCATGAGAACCTTATCGAAACGACATCAGGGACTGTAGCATGAGCACTTGAATCGGTTGCGCTCGTCATTGTGCTTGTTTCCTTCGATGGATTCGCCGACGATCAGGGCTTTAAAAAAGCAGCGTCTCTCCCGTAGCCACTCCTCTTCGGAAAAAAGAAAGTCTAACGTCGTATTCTGCGGGACAAGGCCGCAGGGGCACATTCGCTGCTGGGCCTGTAAGTTCTTCAGGCGAATCCTAGCCTCTCGCGCAATCTCACAGCGCTGGACGGTGCTATTTCGGGGCTATCAAGGCATGCTGCACACCGAAATCTGAGCGTGAGCGGGAGCCAAATGCAATTTGGCAATAATTAATATATTCCATGACCCTTGCTGCCGCGAAATATCATTAAATACGGATGGCGGACGGGTACATGGGATCGGGAAGCCTAGACTGGACCCTATACTCCTGTGCTGAGCAGAGTTTATTCGATAACCCCCATGCAGCCAGAACGTTGGGTCGCTGTTTTTTCGAGGAAGGGTGAACGGAGTATGTCTGTAGTGTGTTTTTTTCTTTTTTTTTTTTTGTTTTTTCCTGCGATGACATGTAGTTTATGTGATGAGATGGATTAACTTAAAACTCGTTCACCAGCGAAGCAGCCTTGCCTAGACCCTGAAATCGCTGGTCGGCGGGAGAGCCAACGAGTTAAATTCGTGAGCTTGTTCACCCCCAGACAACAGAGCCCGAATTCGTATCCTGTTGCAGTAGACGGAGGGCGAGCAGTATATCCCTACGGCCGACCACCCTTCATCATGGTCATTCCTCATCGCTGCTTTCGTCGCCCATTGCCCCCGTAGAGCAGTCGGATGACCGTCGTTTCTGGCGGAGACAGTTATCATTTGATTGTGCTGTGATACCCAACCTCCCCCGTTGCTCGCCGGCTTGCTGTTACGTCTCCCAACGGCTACCCCTCCTTTGCGGCGACGTCTCCGTGCGATCGTTTTTCTGATGTGCGGCCGAATCTAATCAAAGTTTCCCGTCGAGTTTGGCGCAGGGTTCTGAATATGTGATATCCTTGCTCTCAGCCTCGACTCTTCGCGCAAGGTGTCCTCACCGTGACCCCGTCCGCGAGTCAATGGCGGATATCAGCTCTGCAACCGCTGCAGGACTGCGACGCGGCTGGGGCCAGGACTCCCAGCCGCCGACATCATCGTATGGGCAAGCCGGTGAAACCCAGCCCTCGAGCACCATGCCGGAGTCCCCCAAGCAACGCAAGAGGAGCAGGAAACGCGATTCCGAAAAGAAATTTGAATGCAAGCACGAGGGATGCGGGAAGAGCTACTCAAGAGCAGAGCACTTGTATCGCCATCAGCTAAACCGTACGCTTGATCAGCCCGCGATTTCAAACCCCCCTTCCGCTGCGACGGCACCCTCCCGCCGCCCTGCATCACGAAGTAATATACTGACTGAGTCTTTGGATACCTCTAGATAATCCCAAGCAAATATACCGGTGCAAGTTCCCCAACTGCGCTCGCGCATTCGTTCGCCAAGACTTGTGCATTCGACACCAGGAGCGTCATAACACCCATGGCTCGCAGCTCCAGAAACGCGATAGTTTCGCAGCTCACTCCGCAAAGGGCGTGGCGGCGACTCCCACGGTTGCTGGCGATACTACCGCCTCCGACCAGGCTGTCGCCACGCCGGTGTCCACAGACAGCGTGACCTCTCCGAAGAGGTCCAATCTACATTTTTCGCAGTCCCCAGCAAGTACGGCGAATACCACCTTCGCCAGCACCCAAACCTATTCCACGCCGTCTTCTACAACTTCGGCGCCTCTAGAACCAAACTATCCAGCTCCCTCGACTTCCCGGAGAAAGCATCCGGATCCCAGTGGTGTGTACGCAGTTCCTCCGGCGAAACAACAACCCGTCGCAATCTATGAACAATCACATCGTCATCCGCATAATTCCTACGGTACTACCTCCACCTACCAGGGCGTATCGTTTAGCGCCCCAGACGTAGCATCAGGGGTGTCCACCACCTCCTCCAGCATCCGGCACCGTCATCTATCTATCCCGGGACCTACCTCTCACCATAATGCCTACCTATCGCCCTCAAACACAATAAACGGGGGCTCTTCGCCGAATGGCTATCTTCCGCAGCGGAGTATTCAAGTTTCTCCCATGTCTCCTCATGATTATTCAAATACACATCTTGGAGGGCCCACAACTACCACCATAGCAAATGCCATATCCAACGGCTTGGGCACCATTGGCCCGGTTTCTGGCGCCACAATATCAGACCTGGACTCAATCACCCAGTATGCACTCCCAGTTTTTGGTGGTGAAACGTTGAACCGGTCTCCTTTTGCCATGACAGACGATTTTACGGCATGGTTGTTTAATGAGCCCAATTCGTCTTCAGTAGGTTATTCATCTGTTCCTGGAATGTTGTCAAATCCCTCCGACCCGTTCGTTACGCAGCTTCAAAACCATTATTTCCCAGCAGATCCGGCATTTGCCGGTTATTACACCAATGTCATTCAGCAGCAACAGCAGCAGCAGCAGCCACAGCAGCAACACCCAATGAGTGTGACCAGCATACTTGACACGGGCCCACCACAGTCGATCATTTCTGAGGACAAAAGAAACGAAATTCTGGATCTGATTCAAAACCACTTTAATGAAACCGATCAAGTAGCTTTGAAGAAGCGGAAGGAGTCTTTAGTGGAAGGAAATATGGATGGAGAGAATCATGTTCTCGGTCTTCGAATGATGCAGATTTACGTGAGCTCGTACTGGTACCACTGTCACGATCAACTGCCAATCCTTCACAGACCGACTTTCAGCCCTAGCAAGACGCCTAATTTACTTCTCCTAGCTGTCATGGCTCTCGGCGCATCCACATTGGAGAAGGAACATGGACAAGCAGCAATAGAAGCTGCAGCCGACTTTTCAAACTTTGTCGCTTGGCATCTGCGCTGGGAGATATTTAGGGACCCTGATTTCCGCCCGCCGGCTAAGCTATGGGTTTTCCAGACTCTCCTGCTCCTTGAAACATATGAGAAGATGTTCTCCACGCGAGCCTTGCATGAGCGTGCACATATCCACCACGATACAACGTTGACCTTAATGCGACGTGGAAGCTCTCTTATTGGCAGATCAGCACTTGATTCTCCCCCTAGCCCCCGAGATGATGGGCCGAATAGACCCGGATCTGGGTCTGGGGCAAATTCCACTGCGGAAACTACACCGGGGGAAGAGTCCTGGGTCCGCTGGATAAAGGCTGAAGCCACCCGCAGGGTGGCATTCGCTGCATTCGTCCTCGACACCATACACGCCACAATGTTTGGCCACTCCGCCAAAATGGTTGCACACGAGTTACGGCTGCCGCTTCCTTGTGATGAAGCCCTGTGGTCGGCGACAAACGCTGCCGAGGTTGCGAGAGTGCAATCCAGCTTGACGTCAAATGGAGTCAAGCCGACCTTATTTCTGGATGCTTTGAAGAAGACCCTCAACGGGCAAAATGTGCGAACGAATTCATTCGGACGCACAATCATAATGGCCGGGTTGCTAAGCGTCAGCTGGCACATGAACCAACGCGACCTCCAAGTCACCTCTCTGGGCGTTTCTCATACGTTAGGAGGGAGAGACAAATGGCGATCAGCACTCATCCGTGCCTTCGATAACTGGAGGCGAGACTTTGACGAAGCATTGGTCACATCCACTCCGGCCAACAATACGCTTCATCGGAATTCATATGCTTTTGATGGAGATGTTTTCTTTGAATCGCGCACCGTGCTTCATCATTTGGCCCACATGGCGTCTCATGTTGATATTGTCGACTGTCAAATATTTGCAGGCGCCAGTCGTCTTCTCGGGCGGTCTATCACGCCCCGGGACTATAGCTCAGCACGCGAAAAGATGACCGACCGCTGGGCAACAAAGGCGCCCGCCCGGGATGCGACGTTTTATGCCCTTAAATTCATACGCCAGGTGCTTATTCCGAATAGAAACTCGTCACCACGCTGCAGCTACTCAGCCTATGTCAACTCTACGGAATATTCTGCGCGCAACGACTTTCTCCTGAACCGGCCATGGGTCCTTTACTTTGCTGCTCTGGTGGTGTGGTGCTACGGGTATGCGCTAGAAGGCCCTATTACCCCGCCAGTTCCGGAGCTGGCCACTTCTGAGGAACAGCGAGAGGACATGCACACCTTTCTCGACGAGGTTGGGGGTGTACAGAGTCCCGTCGAACTGGAGAAAATTCGGGGCCGTAATCGATGCATGGGTCTCTTGATGGTACTCCGCGAGACCTTCTTGAATACGCGGTGGGAGCTGCTGAACGAAGCTGCGATCCTGCTGGGCAGTTGCATCGACAAGCTGAAAGGATCAGCGAATGGGTCCTAACCTAGCATTTCAAGAGGATATTCCTAAAATTTTTGGGTTCCTTTTCTGAACACATAGTTTCTCCCAGCTCATATCTTTATGCATATACCTGGTCTTTCTTGCATAATACTTCCCTTAGCATCCAATTCCTTGTGTTGACATTCGAATCTTTTGGGCCTTGGGCATTGTGGCATCGTAGGGCGCGTTCGGTGCCGCGTTTTGGGATCATTCCTTCCTGTATATACATACACACGGGTAGAATATGCGAGATGCCCTAATTTAACTCCTCAAGCCAAACTTTTTCCTCGCTATCTTCCATAATGTTGGTGAACCTTGTAGTTGTCTGGACCTAGAATTTGGGTGTATGTGAGAGTGGGTGTTTTGTTTCCCATGGCAACCAACGCCATCCCGGGCCTCCAGGGGATGTGGAGTGCCACACAGTGATCTCCACAACACTTCACTTCAATCTCCCCAAAGACACTCTGAACCAGACCTCAAGACTTTCTCTGCCACTTTGAGCCGAATAAGAATCTGTGGATTTTAGTTGTTTTGAAGTTAGAGCAACTAACAAACATACACAATGGTGCGTACTCATTTTATTTTCCAATCAAAAAACGGTGGCAACCCAGAACCAGGTACACTCTATCCCAGTTGTTTCCATGGTTGGCCACAGGGCGAAGAAGATATGGAACTTTCCAAATCACTTCAGTGCCCTTGGCTGTTTGCTGGCAGTATCTCAGCGATGCGATATCGCCGCGGAAACAGACTGACTGCCTCTGCTGCGACTGCATTCACATCTGGCGCCGATACCAGCAAACAAATCACTGAGTGAACACACGTCTTTCCCCTGTCTTTCTCTCTGTCTCTCTATCCAGTCACTTTCACAACTTCTTTCCCCCCCTCTGAATCGTATCATCCACCACACTTCCTTTCAATCAACCGCAATCATGGGCCGTTCCAAGCAGAATGAGCGTGCTCAGGCTGGCCACCAGCATGATCAGCACCGGAAACAAAGTCATCACGAGCAACCTATTCAAGAACCAGAAGCTGAACATGACTACGATGACGAACAGGCCTCTACAAACTACAAAGAAGCATTCTCCCTGTTTGATAAGCGCGGCACCGGCCGTGTTGCCCTCGAATCGCTCGGAGATCTTTTGCGCGCATGTGGCCAGAACCCCACTCTTGCTGAGATTAGAGAACTGGAGAAGGGGATGGGTGGCGATTGTAAGTTTCTGTCTAGTCTTACGGTCAATATACCTGGTGTTCACTGGGAGAGTTGAACCAAGGCCGCAGGCATGATAGATTTGCTGACGCGGGGGGATATTTTTTGGGAATTAGTTGATTTCGATGCCTTCCAGAAGGTCCTTAACCGCCCCGGTGGATTCCGGGACCCGGGCGAACCAGAGGAATATTGTCGCGGTTTCCAGGTCTTTGATAAAGATATGACTGGCTTTATCGGCGTTGGTCAGCTTCGATACAGTGAGATTTAGCCCCTGACCGCAAAAGTTCGTTTTGTTAGGCGTGCCGGTGGATTGCTAATGGTCCGAATTCGCGACAGTCCTTACAAATCTCGGCGAGAAAATGTCCGACGAAGAAGTCGACGAGCTTCTGAAGGCTGTTGATACAAGCTCCGGAGAGATCAACTACACCGGTATACAACAATTTCTCAGTGCTCCTTTCTATCTGCAGACTACTAATATATTTCGCCCGTAGAACTCGTCCGAACAATCCTTGCCAACTAAATATCAGCGAGCCTTTCGAACAGTATGACATTTTATGGACGATGATATGATGTGTTTCCTGGGTTTCATGGTTATTTCTCGCTCTGCTTACCCGCTGTTGTCCTCGTCCGATAGACCTACGATGCGACGTTCGCAGAAGTTCTCAGCTGTTTTCGGCATGGCGATATAAAGTCATGGCATGACGGAGGGTTATTTTGTTTTTATCATTTGACATGCATGTTTTACCTTGTGATGGGGCGACACGGCGGGTCGGTGTATTGGCTATCATGGGTACTGGTTCGATGGGATAAATTATGATTGTTAAGACGAAAATTTGATAATCGTGCATTACCATTAATGGCCTTGCATTTTCGAGCCCTTGCAGTTGCTTGGTGGTACGAGGACCACCCGCTTTTGATATAGATCAAAGCTGGACCACGCAGGCCATGTTGCTACAGGGTTATGCGTGGGCGTACGTAGTTGTATGCAGCAACAACCTTAATGATTTAGCGGTCAATATCTGCTGCATGCTCTTGCGGCTCCCTCCAGGGAAAAACTCTCGATCACAGCGGGTTCTCAAAATTCACGTTGCATTCGCTTCAAAATCCCAATAATCCCCAAGCCGTCGAATCAGCCTACGTCTCCTTCCCAGACGCCAACTCCGCCCATTCCGCCCACTCTTCCTTCTCAGCCACAATTTCCCTCTGCCCCATATCCGCTGTCTCCATCACCGCACCAGGAAGCAAATAAACGACCTTTGGCATCTCTCTCTGTCCACGCCCCTCGTCTTCTTTTTCCTCGTGTGCACCTTGCTTCTTCCCCGCTGAGAAATGTATATCATCCAAAAGGTATGCCACTATAACTCTGCACCTTCCACAGCGAATCAACCAGCGTTTCTCAAACCCATCGGCGCGACGGACCATGAGAGGTTTGCGATCCGGTGCAGTAGTGGAGAGTAGGATCGTGTAATCTTCATCCTCGCTTGACTTGGTTCTCCGCGCACGCTTTTCTTTGCTTTCTTTCCATCTTTTGGGCGCATCGTCGCGAGGACCCTGTGATGTGCTTGGGTTTTGCGCTACTTCTTGTTCCTGTTCTTGTTCTTCTTTTGCTTCTTCGCCTTCTTTCTCTTCCATTTCTTCGGGATCGGAGTCTGAATCTGCAGAGGACGAGGTGGTGCGTGTGGGCAGGGGGACAATCAATGCGCGATCCAGCGATGGCTCCTTTCGACGCGGTAAGGAGAGTATATCACGGGTGCTCCCAAGAAGGAGATGACTGCAGAAAGTACAGTGGTAAGTTCGGATGGGTTTCCGCTTGCTGCGGCCTGGTTCTGCCATTGTCGCCTCGGTGGTTTGCTCGGCTTGTGGGTTGGAAGATAGTGTAGAATGGGTGGGATTGGGATCTAGTGTAGATTAATTAGATATTGAAGATGTGATTTTCCCACTAAATAAGTTGGAGAGGATATCAGCGAGTGAGACTGTATTAATATCACTCAACAGGCGGCTTCTGGGTTCTTTTGTCCGCAATGCGCGACTCAGGCTCCTTATCGATAAGAGGCTGGTCACATGATTAGGTTAGCCCTCCAGCTTTGATTCGGAAGTGCTCGTTCCAGCGGCTTTACATGGGATTACGTGCAAGGAGGGTTGCATGACACTAGGTTTATCATTTATTCGTGGTCCATCTAAGAGAATGTCTCAAAAATAGCACCATTTTTGGTATCTATGCTCTTGTGTTGGCGGAAGGTCCCGCTGTTACGAACAAGAATGCAATGTTTCTGCAAGATGGACTATTCGTATCCACTTAGGCTAAACCAAGCTCTTTGTAGAATGCATCTGGCTTAGGTTCGCGACCAAGGAACTCCTTCAATGTCTCCATCTCGTCCTGGCTTCCGCCTTTCTCAAGCACGGTGTACCTATACCTTCGGCCTTCCTTTTTGTTCATGGGTTCATCCTTGAACACGCTATAGAACATGTCTGTCGAATATACTTGGGAGCTGCAAAACAACAGTTAGATTGTGTACATTTTACATGCATAAGGATATTCGTCATACCTAAGGTAACCATAATACCCGGCGTCATAGCCCCCAATAAGGTGACCGAAGGTTGCTTGGCCGTGTCCCCAGTTGTAGCCAAGGCCAAGAACTTCAGGGCCCTCAAAGTTTGTAATCTCCTTGCGAAGAGAGTTGTATTTCTCCGAAACGTCCAACTTCTGGATCGCGTCATGGTCCACAGGCTCATGCACAGCCATGTCGAAGATGCCAAAGTGAAGCTGTCTAAGATTGAACAACGCATCATTTACATGCTTGGTCTTAATCAGGTTTTCAATGAGTTCGTCAGGGATCTGTTCCGAAGGTCTAGGTTTATCGCCAGCCTGCTCCTTCCAGGCCTCGAGATACTCAGGCGAGAGATACGAGAAATGTTTGCTGAGCGATTTAAGCTGCGACGGTGTCCAGCACCAGTTTTCAAGCATCTGGCTGGGAGCCTCAACAAAGTCACGAACAGTGTTGGTTCCATGGAAGCGGGAATATGTGGTCTTTGAGACGAGGTCGTGGATACCGTGGCCCAACTCGTGGAAGAGCGTCACCACTTCGTCGTGCTTGAGCAAGCTAGGTTTCTTAGGCGTAGACTTTGAGAAGTTGCATACCAAAGCAGTTGCTGGATATCTACGTTTTCCGTCCTTGTCGATGAAACCCTAACGCTACTTGTCAGTGACTCTCTCCTCCAATTGAAAGGGAGCTGGCGTACCGGCTGTAGATTGAAGTTCGCAGCGTGGCCATATTTGCCCTCTCTTGGGAACAGATCGAGGTAGAGGTACCCAACGAAACCACTGCCCTCGCCTTCGTCATCCCACACACTGAAAACCTGGACATCCTCATGCCAGACGATATCGTCTCCCTTACCGGTTTCAGAAAGCTTACTTCGCTCTTCTCCTTCAATTTCGACAAAGACAAGGCCAAAGAGATCTTCAAAGATCTTCAACATGCCACGGATAGTGGTCTGCAGCGGGAAGAATTCCGCGATCAATTGGTGATCGAGCTGATAGTCCTTTTCCAGCATCATGCGATCGTAGAAGCGGTGGTCCCATAAGAAGTAATGGCCATCAGCCTCTTGGCTTGGGGTTCGTGCCTTGAGGTCCTTGGCCTTGAGTTCCTTAAGCTTCTCAATCTCCTTCTGGCCACCGTCCTTCAATCTAGCGCGAAGATCTCCCAAGAACTTATCGACTGTTTCTGGTGTCTTTGCCATCTTATCCTCAATACGGAAGGTTGCATGGTTTGGGTAGCCGAGCAATCGTGCAGCTTCATCTCGAAGGATAATCGCTTCTTTAAAGAGAGGCACATTCTGATTGCACTTGTTCTCGTTCGCAATCATAACCCGCTTCCTCACATCCGCATTCGTAGCATACTTTGTCAACGGGAATAAATCCGGATACTTGAACGTCAAAAACAATTTCCCTTCATTCTCCCCTTCCCCTTTCTTCAAACCAGAAACCACATCCTCAGGAACGCCGTGCAACTCCTCCCTCGTCAGCCACACGCCACCTTTCTCCTCGTTCAGATTCTTCTGAAACTCGATAGCGATCTGACTCAATCTCTTCTTGATCTCTTTGAACCGATCCCTCTTCGGACCCGCAGGCAACCCCAGCCCATTCCGAATATAATCCTTATGCTCCTTCTCCAATAACCTCTGCGACTCCGGCTCCAGCTTCTCCCCCTTCTTCAGCACCGCATCCACCAGTTTGAATAGATCCTCACGCATAGCCGACTCGATGGCAAAGTCATCCATCAACTTCTCCGCCTCGGTGGACGCATCGCGCAACTTCGAGTCCGTCGACACCGCCTGGTAGAAGCCCAGGATATGAGACTCCAGTGCCATGGAATTCTCGTCGTGTGCCAGCGGCAGCAGCACCTTGGCGAAGTCGGCCGCCTCGTGAGAGACATTCTTCGCTACGGCATCTTGCACTTTGCGGGATTGCTCGATGAGGCGTTTGGTGTCGTCTACGATGGACGAGGGCGTTCCCGTGAAGAGTGGTGGTGCCTGGGGCGGGCTTTTGAGGTGTGAAGGGGCCATGCTTGCGGTCGTGAGGGGCAGTCGACTGGAGGTGAGAGTAGGCGGTCTGAAAGGGTGGGTTGAGGTCTGAAAGGTTGCTGTGGATGTTGGCCGTGGTCGTAGGTGGCCGAACAGGAGCCTGGGGGCGGGGAGGCGGAGTGAGGGAGCCAGGATGAGGGCGATTCCGATGAAGAGGGGCAATGTGAGCCAGAGGACGGAGCAGGTGCAGCGGGTGATGCGAGCCAGTTTGGTGGTTTGGAAGTTACTTCTTCTTCTCTCTGGTTGGGTAGCAAAAAGTGTCGTTGCACGGGGGGTGGGGACGGGGCAAAGAGTGATGATAAACACAGAGCTTAAATGACAGACTCTTACAGGCTGCAATTGCGCGCAAAAACTCTGCTGCTCTTCTTGGGGCGTTATGGTGTATGTGTGAGCTGCTTGTTCAAGCATTCAAAGTCTGCCTGTCCTTCGGTGTTCTCCAAGACCAGATAAGCTGAACATCCTGGCACAACCGACCATCAGCTGACCACTGAGCTGGTAATTGTCGAGGCAGATGGAAAAGCTGAAGTCAGGAGTCGATGCTTTTCTCTGACTTCTACCGCTGAAACTTTGTGTCCAGCTAACATTCATTCCAAATCACGAGTCCACCGTGCTGCAGTTTGAGAGAGTACATACATCCAACCCTACAATCCTCCACTTCCATTGAGATCTTTTGCATTGCTGCTGGCCTCGCACCAGGGCACTTCAATAACTTTTTTAGTTCTTAAAGATAACAAACTGTGATGATTCTTATTCTGACAATGTACGGTTAATAACTTCAACACCATCTAACAACCCTTTTTGCAGCAAGATGAGAAAAGCACCGGATCCTCCCAAACCAGAACTCCCAAAGGAAAAAAAAAAAAAAGGGAATAGAGAAGAGCGATGAGAGAAAAACAATGTGGTACATGAAGAGCAGGGGAAAACAAAGAGGACACAGGATACATCAGAAAACACTTAATCGTAACAATTTTCCCCTTTTCTTTTCCCTTTTCTTTTTTTGACCAACACTAAGCAAATGTTATCCATCCACCCTGGTATGGCATTGAGTTTTCTCGGAAGGGTTTCTAGGTCAGGAGGACGGAAATATCGGGGGACAAAACGAGGAAATTAAATAAAAAAGGCAGGATGGAAGAGAACAATGCACATAAGCCTTCAGCTATGTACGGCCGTATCGTGTCGCCAATTATTACAAGGGATCAAAAAGGTGGAAAACAAGTGGATAAGAAGCATGCGGAGACACGGATCCAAAGGATAAGAACAGATTAGGCAGCGCCGGCGCTTGGGACTGGCTCGGGGAGCTTGGTCACTTGCTCGCCCGCACGAATGATTCTCTTTCCATTAGCGTCACGGACGAATTCGACATCCTTATTTTCCTGCTGGGCTCTCTTCCAGATCTCGACTTCGCAGCCACCTCGGATAACACCGACACGCATCGTTGACAGGAGGTTGTGGGCGGCGTTGGAGTGATTGTAAATACCACCGTTGAACATGGCGGTTGCGTCCTTGCCAATACCGGAGTTGATCATGGCCTTACCACCTGGGTGATCCTTGATGAAATCGGTAACGTCATGGACGACTCCTGCGACGGCAATAAGGCCACGACCATTCTTGGCCTGCTCGACGTACTCGTCCCATTCCATGACTGGCAACTGTTCAAGAGGAATACCCCAGTCGAGTTTAGCACGTCTTTGGTCGATCTTCTTCTGGAGCTGCTGGAGGCGTCCCTTCTCGATTTCGTTGGCTCGGAACTGCTTCAAGTCGTATGCGAGTCCGACTTGCTTCCAAACCCAGATGATCCATTTGGTTGGGTCATACTGATACCATTCGAGGGCGTTGCGGTAGTCAGAAGGGAATTCGTGGTGGAAGTTGTGATAACCTTCACCCATGGTGATCAAGGCAGTCATAACGTGGTCACGGGGAGAGTTGCGGTCATCGAAGGGCTGTTCTCCCAGGTAATGGGCCAAGGAGTTGACGCAGAAGGTAGCCTGCTGGACAAAGAAGATTCGAAGGATACCAGCATAGATGAAACCACCCCACCAGTCTCCCCATCCGAGTCCACTGACAAGCATAGGAACAATCAACCCCATTGTGATGACGACCTTGAGGTAGTTTCTGTGCTGCCAGACGACGACTGGGTCCTCGTTGAGATCGGTGATGTCAGTGCGGCCAATACGTCTTGGATTCTGCTTCATGATCATCCAGCCAATGTGGGAGTACAGGAGACCCTTGCGGACGGAGTAAGGGTCCTTGTCGGTATCCGTATAGCGGTGGTGGGCACGGTGATCACGAGCCCACCATCTGACCGATCCTTCGACGGCACCTCCTCCAACGGCAGCCAGGTAGATTCTCAAGGGAAGGGTGGCAGAATACGAGCAGTGAGCCCAAAGACGATGGTAACCTGAGGCGTGCGTCGGTTAGACCTGAATCTTTAACGGGCTCGACCGCGTCGACGGGGGGAAGACATACCAGCGGTGATACCAATACCGGTCATATAATAATACGCAATAGCCCAGATAGCGGTCTTGAGCTGGAGGGGAACCCAGAACGCTTGAACACAACCATACAGAGGAATGAGAAGGATCAGCGTGACGTTCAGCCAGTTAACATGCTTGTGCCAGTTCGACCAGGTCATTGGCGTCTCTGTGATATGAGGCTTCTTGATATCAGCACCGGCAGGGCGAGCCTTGGAGGCATCTGCAGCCACGGCTGGGGCAGCCATGGTTTCGGTAGAACGTGTCGATGGAGTTGAGGATGCGATCGAGGACGATTGAATGAGAGACTCTCTTAGGTTGTGGAAGGGGCACAAAGGGATCGAGGAGATCTGGAGGAGGGTTGTGGGAAAGAAAGGACTGGTGATATGAGAAAAAAGTGGGTGAGGTCAGGATGAGGGAAGGAGGTCAATAAATTCCCACTCCTTGTCCGCTCCGTTCCCAAGGTAAAAGAGCAAATGGAAGTGGGAACGAAAAAAAGATAAATATTGTGCCCCCAGGCGGCTGCCACAAACAAGGTCCACAACAGATTTGTTGAAACTGCAAATTCAGCTTCTTGTTGACCACAGACACATGCCAGGAGGATACAGAAAAAGGAAGAAGAAAGAAAAGTGGCGTCACTTTTTCAAACTGTTTTTCTTTCCTTCGCTCGGCATTCTCTGGGTTGATCTATCTGTGTATTACAGGGATACATCTGATCTGGAGCGAACTTTGAGCTCACATTGTTGGTCTTGTTGGGGGTGAGGAACAAGGCCGAAGATTACTAGCTCCCGGTATTTTTTCACTCCATCCACCCTGTAAGGTCAACAAGCACTGTCCTTGACAACCATCAGCACTTTGTACTCCTGGTGTGATGAATACTGCTTTGGCAGACTTCAACAGCTAGAGATAACAGCAGTTCAGAAATCTGCAAAAGGGTCCTTTTCTTTTCTTTTCCTTTTTTTTTTCTTTTTTCCCTTTCCCCGTCCAGGCGAGCTCAAACAAGTACCACACCGAGTTACAGAAGAACAGCGAGGTAGCTCGTCCCCAACAACTTTATGTAACAGAAAAACCTACATAAGTATAACAGTCTCCACGCTCCGGACTCCGTACACCGAACGTCATGTATTTCGGTGTCCTTGTACCATCATCCTTGGAATAGATCATCCTTCGCCTCTTTGTTGACGAATTCGCCCCATCAGAGGAACAAACCGCAAACCAGCCCTCGACTATCAAACCCAACTGCTGTTAACTCACCACTCATCGCAAAGAAATTCCAACGCAAAAATGGTACTTCCACCTGGCCGGGAGGGCTGAAGAACAAGTTTGGAAGGCCGCCGACGGCTCCTCACCGGCCGCTGCTTAGCTTCCCCCAACAGATTTCGACCCGCCCCACCGTATCGCGTCTCCCATTGGCCGTGGTGAATTTAGCTCGTGGGGCCCGTGTGCGGTAAGGTTGCGCTTACCCCAGTTGAGCACTTCCTTTTTTCCAGCCTTAATGCCAAGCGCTGATTGGCTGGGCCCTTGTGTCGGGAGCTTTTGGAATGCGAATACGACGGGTGTTTCGACGAAATTGGGGAGGCGCGATAGACGGGGTACTGTGCCCATGCCGAGGCACGTGAAGCCACTGAAGCCCGCAGGTTCGACAGATACAGTAGGCGTCTTTTGAGAGAGGAAGGTGCTACCTGTGTGGTTGTACATACTCTCTACGGAGTGTACGGCATGCGATAAGGACGGGATGTGCATGTACCGAATACTAGGTACCATGCAGTTCATAGTTATATGCCTTCATACCCTCTCTTGCAGAGTGACTTCTTGCTGGCATGACAGTCGCGTTCAAAAACGACGGGCTTATTCGCATCACAAACCCGGGCCACTCGGCATCAAGATAATAATGTGCGTTGTCTCCGGGCGTATTCTGGACTTTCTCCGAGCCCACCCCAACCGTTTTTTGTTACTAGTTACCCCGGATTCGCCCCCTCAGCCATCCTTTCCTCCGTCACTACGGAGCACAGAGTCGAGATAATCTATATATCCTCACGCTATCTGTCCTGAGCTGAGCCCCGTCATACCATCCAATATCGAACAATTCACAGACATCCAGGAGGACGCGCAATGCTAGAATTAAGATCCCATCCGTCAGGCAAACGACCACGGAACATCTCGGAGCACTGGACTATTTTCGGTGATAGGAGAGTATGGCATTCAACTAAATGTCGGAGGTCCACGTCAGTCATAAGGCCAGCCCTTGCTGTTGAACGATAATAGCTTGAAACGTGGTCTGGGAGTGTGACAGGATCGGGGAAACCCTGACTTGTCTTGTCCCAGTGCCGATGATTCCGCAGGGCTATTATTAGTCTTTTCTGTCATGCAGCAACAAGCCTTGCAGCCCACATGCAAGCGTATGCCTCCAGAATGTCCTCGTGGCCCTGTGCCTTGTTGATAATGGATGAGACCACCAGGGCGCATTGTATGGGAGACCATTTGCATGGCGCTCGTTAACTCTGTATGTAGTCTTCTTGCTCCAGTCATGTCATGTCATTCATAGACTGCCTCGTTGTCGAGATGCTGGACAAGAAGTTCCACATCCGGTTCAACTTGGTTGGACGGCGTTCTGGAGCCGATCGATATCATTTCGTCGACGTCGAACTCGCTCTCGCTATCTGGAACTTCGTAGTCTTCCTCGGTGGCACCTGGTAATGGATCGAGGATTTCGTCATCGTCATCGTCCGCATCCGGACTGACGATCTCGATCGTCGGCTCCAGCTTAGGTCTATGACTCGGAGTACTATCGAACTCGTCAAGTTTCCGCTTTTCCATGCCACCATGGGGCGTACTCTGTTTCATAGAGGACGGTATGGAAATAGATTCCTCGTCCAGAAACTCCTGGAGACCGGTCTGGATAATGTCATCGTCAGCAGAAGCGCCCCCCCTCCCACTTCATTCAGCTGAATTCAATAATCAGGACTCGCCTTTCCAACTACAAAGGGAACAATCCGCTTCGCCGATCTCCCCATAAGTGTCATTCCACCAACCTTCTGTACCTCCGCAATCCGAACGCCCTTTCCTTTTGTTGTCTCTCGCATCTCCCACGGCAGCCAATGCCAGTATAAAAGAACTCTTGTCGTAACGCCAGCGTCCCAGGTAAACCCCGAAATAACCTCGTGGAGCATGGGTCTCGTCGATGGTTTGAACCGTGAGGCCATCTCGTTGATAACAACAACAGCACAGTTGAAGCGAACGGCGAGTCTTCGTAGATCAGACACTAGGCTTCCAATAAGGTTGAAGTACAGTCTCGACTCCTTATCCAGCTTGGCCTGCTCCGTGCGGGATAATTTCGTCTCGCGGAGTCGTTTGGGGAGTCTGGGTCGGAATTCAGCTGCAAAGAGGCAAGAAATCGAATCGATCACAATCAGACCTGTGTTCTCAGGCGGAAACCCACGGGGTGGATGGGAGACCAGGGCCACGAGATGCGCCAGGGAGAGCGGATGGAAGTGTAAGAGCCTTTGAAGAAGATGGCTTTTCCTGCCCGTCGCTTGGGATGGTCCGTCCTCAGTGACGTTCTCCTTGCCGTGCAGCAACGACTCCAGGCGAGAGACACACATTGGGCCCGCGGTATCTGCATAATAAAGTCTCAGCAAAAAGCAAAAAAAAAACTGTAGAACTAAAACACATAACGCGTAGAAAGACGAAAACCTACCGACCCACACAACGCTCCGCTGCGATCGCAACACCTCCGCGGCCAAACTCATCCTATCAACAATCCCCATATGTCAACACAGATCTTCTAACGGGGCCGCAAAACAATCCAAAAGGGTTAAGTGATAGAAAGAACAATAGCAACTCACGCTAGTACCGTCTTCCCCGACGCTCTAGGTCCCACAAGCTCCGTCACCTCTCCGCGCTGAACTCCCCCCGCAGGCCCATCTCCGCCGGCGGAATCGTAGAGACACCGCTGGCTCAAACCAAGTCCGAAAGGTGAGGGTTGCGGCTCCGTCGGCAGGGCCAAGGCGACATCTAAGCGCTGAAGGCCGGTCGACACACTCCCGCCACTACCCAGGGACACGGGGGGGAGACCAAACTTGGTGCACGACGCGTCGCCAAGTGGGCGCAAACGGGCTGGTTACAGCAGTTAGCTCGTGATGAAGGGAAAAAAAAAAAAAAAAAAAAGAGGCTGCATAAGAGATCGCGAAGTCGGATACGTACGGCTTTCGGGACTGGAGAAATGGGCGGTGTCTTCGATGGTCATGGTATGATGTGCTATACCCATCCAGGGCATGTACTTTTGAACTGATTCTACACTCGGATTTGACGCGTCTCTGCAAAAGGGCGACAACACAACTACATTGTTGGGCTCAACTGCAGTCACAAAAATAGTACGAATCGATATGCAAAGGCCATATGTAGCTAAAGTTTAATGCTCCTGAGAAGCCTGCGAGTGTCTTGAGGAATCCTTCCCGTCGCGCGTCTGTGCTTGGATGTCCTCCGTAGAAAGACTAATAAATTAAGCTACGTTAACTACCAGAATGATGGACCAAAGATGGAGATCAGGGCTCTTGCAGATCCTCGGCGCCACCACCCAAAGTACTGTACTTCGCTCACTCCTGAACGAACCAAAGTCGTTCATGTCGGCTCTGTCGCACAGAAAAAGGGCGGATGCTGACCTGACGAGCTTTTCGGCCTGCGACGGCGCCGCCAATTCTTCTGAGACAACTCTCTGCTCTTCATACTTTTCATGGGCGCCATGTGGCGCCGGTCATCCGCAAGGACTTGCCTTTAACCGGCACCAGGCGGATCAGATCCCGAGAGCTGATGGTCGCAAATTCAATTCGCTTGAGGCTGCCGAGCTTCCCTAGCTGGCCGTGACACCGCGCCCTTCACAACAGCTCGTCTTGTCGATGTTTGGAATCATCGCATGGACGAGTGACGAGCACATTACGGAGTACATATATTATTAATCACGATGGCGAGCTTTTTGAGAGAAACTCCGGCTTCGGTTGGCCTTGAAAGTTCGTTCCATTGGGTTGCACCGCTGTCGAATTCGGCGACATCGACTACTTAATACGAGTCGGCCCCGGGGTTGGCAAAAACTATTCACGGTCAAGGCCCTCCCTTCTCCAACGAATTCTGGGAACCATGACTCCTCGAGAGACTAACACATACAGATACTCATTCACCTTTCTCACGTTCTGTCCCTCTGAGCCACTGAAATCACGCTTTTGCACAAAGCAAAGCTAACAAAGCAAGCCGCGCCAAAGTGTCTTACGGAGAAACTCTGGCCGGGGCTCTCCAAGGGTCACTTGCTGTTGAAAGTGCCAGCAAAGCCCTTGAAACCTCTCAAAGGATTCCTGCCTCAAGATTAACATATAGCTCTCTAGTTTAGATCTCGCCTTTTCTTTTCTTTTTTTTTTTTTCTCCCGGGCCTCCAACAATCGATATGCTACGGTTGACGGGGGTTATACCTCGCTTCGGCCTCACCGTTTCCGTTTCCCTCCCCATCGTTTACTTTATCTGCGTCGCACCCCTCGCTTTCCTTCTTTACATCGAACTCACCGATCGCCGGTCTCGATCTCGACAGCCGAGAGGATGCCGGAAACTAGGACTGAAATCCTGTTCCAACTTAGCCGATGAACATTCCTACAACACGCGGGGGGTACATAAACGCTCCAAGGATGATGCGGGGAAGAAGATCAGAGTCAAGGCTCTCATCGTTTATCCTATTAAGAGCTGCGCCGGGGTGGAGTTCAACTTCATTGATGGCACCGACACGGGCTTGATGTACGATCGCCAGTTCGCCTTCGCGGAGTACGTTGAGACCCGGAACGCCGAAGGAGAGCCAAAGACGAATGGGTCAGCTGAAAAGAATGCCACCACCGGCCGTTGGGACTGCCGCACCCTTCGCGACGGCAAATTCAGCAGAATGGCCCTTGTCCGACCGGAGATCTGGATTCCAGATCCTTCATTGCCGTCGTACTCTCCCAAGGCTCCTGCGGTCCGTTCGAAGGGTGTCCTGGTGATCAACTACCCCAGAATCGCGACGAGTTTCTTGACCAAACTTGGCATGAAGCTCAATCTCTGCTCGCGAGAGGAATCGTTTCAAGTACCACTCTACCCGCCGGATGGCGAGTACCCTTCCATTCCATTCCGCATATTCAGAGACACACCCAACGCCTACAATTATGGCGACCACATCCCTTCTTCCCTGGCTACCTTCCTCGGAAGCACCAAGCCACTCTCGCTATTTCGCGTTGATCCGGATCACTACCGCCCCGTGCGCGGGAACGCGCCACCCGCAGCGGACCTCGGATTCGAGCCAACGATGGGTTTTCCGGATGAGTACCCGGTTCAAATGCAAAACCTAGCCAGTATCAGGAACATCGCGGAACAGGTTCAGTACGCAATTCCCAAGTTTTCTGTCCGCAGGTTCCGGCCGAATATCGTGCTTGAAGGATTAGAAGCGTACGATGAGGATGACTGGAAGCGCATTCGCATCGTGCAGGGTCCGCGGAGCAGGAAAGCGCCTCCTTCATCTGCCGAAGGCGATCAAGACGATGAACACAAAGACGAAGGAAAAGGTGTTGATGTCATAGTTGCGTGTCGCACCGTGAGATGTCGGCTCCCGAATGTTGACCCAGACACGGGCGAGAGACATCAGGTCGAGCCGGATAAGACGCTGAGGTCGATGAGGAACATCGACGCGGGGGCGGGGAAGAGTGGGTGTTTGGGAATGATGCTTGTGCCTGTTGCTCGAAGTAAGTACATACATACATACATACATACTTTGTATGGTCCTGGAAAAATGGAAGCTTACCTGCTGTTTAGAATTCACTCTCCATGTCGGTGATGAGATCGAGGTCCGAGAGAGAGGAGAGCATTTCTACGTCAAAGGTTGAAATGGGCCTGATCTATTTTTCTTCGAGGTCAACCGGCAAAAGGGCGTTCTCATTTGCCGGCATTATATTATTGTTACATGCCGGGGCATTTACGTATTTATTCCAGACGGCACTGTAGAGGCACGTTTTGCATGAGTTTGTGCCATTTTAACGACGCATCTCCAGCGCTCTACGGTTTCTTTGCACAGTACACGCTGCACATACGTACGGTTTTCAACAATATTACCCTCAACCAAGTACTGTACATAAGGCACTTCAAAGGGTACCCTCAAGAGAACAGGATCGTACTTTATGTCTCAGACGAATCATGATTTTTTTAGGAGGAATTTGACCAGTCAAAGACACTGCCGGTACATTTTGACTTGATCGACAGCCCTCGTTATCACCATTCCATGTCACTTCTCTCTCTTTTTTGGACGTATGCATATGAAAGCATGCCTATCGCTGGACAACAGGGTGCCGATTTCAGGCGACGTTTTAGTTCCAGCCAGGTAGTATCGATCGCTGGGTCAGTAGGTTTCCCCGTAAAATACGCCTGGCTGATAGTTAATTCTTCGAAAACGGTCGGGGAAATACTGCGATACGCCTTGCCTGATTGTTCCGGGGGGGTTAGGTTATCAGTGGTTATCAGCGATAGCAGAAAAAGAAAAGAAAAACAGAAAAATTCCCTGGATTGGCGAGCTGAACCTGGTCACATAACATCAGCAAAGCGAGGCAGATTCGCGAAAAGTTGGTTCCCGCTGCAGTGATATGAAAGGCCAGATAAAGATTTCGCCAAGCTCTCCTCGAGTTCTGCAGGGTTGTACGGAGTACGGAGTAGACTAACTGGTTAACTAAATCCCCGGATATTCAATTCGAACCTTGCAGACCAAATTTCCTAGGTGTAACCCCGTGTACAATGGCCTCTTGTGATACACCTTTTAACTCTTATCCCCCTTGGGTTTCATCTGTCTCAGATAAGATCTCCATGGAGTGAATGGCGAGTTACCGTTCGGCAAAGGGGCCTTTGAAAGCCGCCCATCATTTAGCCGGCGCGGCGTGGGGTAGATAGAGTCCGCACACAGCATGACGGGAGCTTGGTCAGGCGTCAAACTATCATTCTCAGACTCGATTTTGCTTCTCGCTCCATCCCCCCTACTGGTGCTCAGCATGTGAAGCACGGACGATTTGACGTTGCAGGCATGCAGATGCGTCCGGTGGTGATCAGGAAGTTAGCTTTTGTTAGCTTTGCACGGGGACTGAGAATCAGCGGCAATCCGCCGACAACCGCGGCCATCCCACCACCACATCCTTCTCCGAGGGCGCGTGCGCCACCAGACAAGCAGACAAACACGAACCGAAAAAAAGATAAACTAAAATAAATGGGGGAAGAGGAGCCATGAGAGGACTTAACCGCTCCACAGGAGGTGGGGAATTCCGCTTGGGCGAGCTGCGTACAGTATGTATCCTGCTGCATGCGGAGACCCGTGGAGAAAAGAAAGGAGATGGGCGCGCATTAGCGCGCATTACCCCATAGCCGCCCACTCCCGGCGCCTCCATGTGATGCCCGATGAAGCATGGATCCGTGGTTATCTCGGATTCTCCCCAGCTCGACGCCTGTTTGCTCGGCGATCGGGGTAGACCTTCTCCATACGGCGCTCTCTCCCCCCCCCTTTTTTTCGATATGCGCGTGGAGCACGCGGCAGGTGGACTGTGTGGTTGAGCCTTGGGAGTTGCTGTCCGGGATGTCTCATCAGTCGTGCGCCGATAAGCTTCCACCCCCGGGATGTCTGACATCTCAGTTACATGCCGATCCCCCGGAGTGAAGTGCAACAGTGCCGCGGTTGCAAACCGAGGCCCATCCAATTCTGACCTTGGTCTCCGGCCGTGATGAAGAGAGATCATCGGAATATTTGCCGAAAAGCCGTTCGCACCTCTTCGACATCGTTACCCCTGCAGATTCAATAAGAGGCGATTTAGAAGAATATATTTCGGATCTTGCATCGAGTTTCGTATCACTGAAGAAACCGGGCAGCCAAACTTTGCCCGGTCCTTTACCTTTCTCCAGCTCATCTGACCATTGATTAATCCATTTTCGAGCAAGATTGTGGAGATCGCAGTTTTGAATAGCAATATCAGGATAAGCCTGCTTTCTGCTGCTAGTGTGCATTCCCAGTCAACAATGCCTTGAAGTTCTCAATCATCATCAACCAGAATATTGTTCCAACGAGAGATCATCGTCGTAGTAACACTGTCGGAACCTTGGCATCTGTGCATCTTTGGTGCCACTCTGCTTCGTCATCTGCAAATATCAAACTCGAAGTCTTGAATAAATGTTTAACAACTAGCAATATCATCTTCTCTGCTTCTTTGATATCATCCTCATCATTAGAGTCTCTTCTTGTCTTCGCGCAGTCAATCTGATTGAACTGTAATCTAGCTTGAAGCCACTCAGTGCTCGAATTGAAGGGCCCCCGATGGACATAGTAGTAGAAGTGATTGTTTCAAAAGAACTGCATTGAAACAATTCTGCCCAATTGCCATACTGCTTTGCAAAGAAGTGATTTCCAGTCCCAGAAACCTTTCTAAAGAACAACTCAGCAGAGCAGTATGCTATTTTTGCGGATAGCTTCTCCTTGTGCTCCCATGTCATGGATCTCCAGAGTCATCTGCCAGTGGTCTTCCAGGTATCTTCTCCATTAAAATACATTCAAATCCAAGCTCATTTTCATGCGAACAGTTGTATGCCACAATTCTCAGGGCTGGTATTGATGTATGCCGTTAAAGGATCTAAGACAGAGTAACAACCTTACTCAAAGTCGAATTTGGGATCCACAGGTAACTGAGGCGCGCATTAGATAGCTGTTTTCGCACTTCAGATGGGTATAGTTCATCGAATGCGCTTTGACAAAAGAAAGAAGTACTGCATGTCCGACCTAGTGTCTTGCTGGCAATGTGTTCGATAAATTTGCTGTCAGGTGTCCAGCGAGGCTCAGCTCGAAATGAGCCATCCTCCCATTCAAGGCCGATATGATATAGACGCTTCTCTGCATATAAAACTCTCGCCTTTCCGTTGGGAGCTTGGAGGATTCAAAGCGATTCGTCCGCAATCTCAGAGATCTTTCATAATTAACTAGTGTTTGGCTATGGAGATATTACCTTTGTGCAGTTAGGATTCTTCCCTCACCATCAACCTCTGGTAAAACTCTTTCGTCCATCCGAGATTCAACATCTTGGCATCTTGCCAAAGGGCTATGGAGTGCCGACCCGTTTCGAGGTTCTTCAAATCAGCATACAGAAAATTTCCAGCACTCCATCAACGCCCTTAATGCAACCAACTCTCTAAGCCCTCTAACAATTCTCCTATGCATCTTATTCCTCAAATTAGGTTTCTTTTTCAATAGGTCGATTGTGCAAAGAATGAAGCCATTGTTTTGGGCCAGTAACACAGAAAGCACATTCCGCTGCCGCCCACTCCGAGTTCTAGCTACTATTTCACCGCATGCAGAGGCTTCTCAAGGTCAGGGCCATACTGAATCGAACTACGACTGTTAATTGCAGCCGTCAAAATTCTGGCGTCTCACCAATTCTTGATGTGGATGACACTACCGTCGATATGACGAACCGTGAACTTCTCCGCGGTACGCAATTATGCGAGCTGTTGTTAGATGTCTGCAAGGTCCCCCTTTCTCCATGGCTTGACCCCTAAGTCATACAATTCTGCTGCGCTCTGGCTGCTAGTTTTCCAATGCGAGCGCACGTAGTCAAGCAATGGTTCTAAGAGCTGGCCCGGTCCATCTTGTAGACCTCGGCGTAGTTAACTATTGGGGCGATTTAATCGCCCAACAACACTCAATATAGTGAAGTTACGGGAGCATTTTGACGTTCAGACAAGAGCCGGAATCAGGCCATAAAATGGGATATTGTGGAACCCCTAAACAACGTAACAGGCCCGAAACGGTTGAAATCAAAATCTCTGTTTATCTGTTAGCCAGGAACGTGATCTATCCATTATTCGAGTGACTGGGCTTGTTGACTGGGGGCTAGGTGGAGCTTTTGCAGGATATTTGGGGGTTTGTACGGGGTAAAGTCTCTTAATACAATGCTACCTGTACGCACGGGCGACTGGACCTTCTTCTTTCCAAAGTGGCACGGGGGCGTACTTTTGCTGAGTTTGCTATGATTGATCAACTTATTGAGAGACTTGTGTCTCATAGATAAGACTTCTTTTGGAACTTACTATGTGAAGCCAGCCTAAAGCATCAATCTTGCCAAAATCTGTTTTTGACTAGTAGCTGAGAATCCTATGCTGAAATATTTATTTCGACTAGGCTAACCATGGGTATTGGGACCTGATTTCCCAGTCCGAAGGTGATCTTGGCAAGACCTGACTCTTTTTTTGTTTATCACCAAAATGGTGCACACGCCCAAATACTCCGACGGAAATGTTGATTGGCCACCAAGGAACTCAAGCCTTTTTAAGCTTGCGCTAGCGCCCCGTAAATCCGGCCTTCGAGGGGGATCCGAGGGTGTACATGATGCTGACTTGGAACTTTCGTCTCGATGGTTAGAACAGCCTCACATTCAAAACTGTCTTATTCTTGCTCCCTGTTTAGCATATAAGGGATCCTACAGTCCCCGCCGATACGACCATGCGGCCGTCAACCCGAGCACGATGAAGTTCCCTTACTTTTTCATTAGTAATTGTCACCGATTAAGTGTTTCTAGGCCGCCTCTTATTGTGGCCCTTGAGAATACCGAATTTGGACCGGTTAAGACATAACTGAGAAAGTCAAATATGTGAATAACCCTCCGGGCATAAGGGGCCTTCTCGTCAGAAGTAAAAGTTGTGGAAAGAGGCCCCGTGAATCACATTGCTGGCATCATGAGCTGCGGAGCATTGCTCAAAATGTGGCAACCGCCAGTAAGGAAATGGCAATAAGATAGACATAAGAAGAAGCGTCTAAGAGGGGCTTCATATATGTAGCTCGACAGGCTAAAAAAGCCCGATGAAAAGCATTGGTGCCTTCTCATATCACAATTTTGTGAGGACGCAAAATCCTCAATTTCGCCACGCGAAAGGCTGCAGGCAAGAAAGTCGAGCTTGTAACATCAACCTAGATCCGGTAAGACTCATGGAAAGAAAAAAATATGTGCTTAGGGCCGGGCCACGGGAAGTGGCTGTCCCTTGGTGGTTATGGTATCTCTATTGCCTCCCCTCGAGATCACCTCTGAGAGAAGAGGATCATTCACAAATGTGATTAACTCCAAAAAGCTCAGCGTATGTGCGGAGTATGCTTTGGCGGTTCTTCTGTCCATATTCTGCGGAAGCAAGTGAATGAAAGGGGGTCTGTGCAGGTATGACGAAGTCAGAGCCCAACCGGCATTGGAATCGTGGAGTGTGTGGAATTGAGGTCTCACGTTTTTGACTTCGTTAATTCATCTCGCTTCGTCTAACTCGTGGGGCAGAAAGGGTGCACTTTGTCAGTCCAACATTTCGTGAAGTTCTCCGGAGTCCGGAGACACTTCCAGTTGGTTAGTCAACTGCGGATGCGAAAGAAATTTCTCTTGAAACAACCATTCGAACCAATGAAACCGAGTATATGCACGTTGACCCTGGGGAACTCTTCGCGCGGGGAAACCGGGCGACCAAGGATGCTCATTGCTTTTTGTTTATCCAACCTCGTAAAACTTGGATTAGTTGACCGCCCCATTCACCGGTCTTGTCACACTGTGCGTCATATGCAGGGCGAATCGCGCCATACGAGCCTCGTATCGCTCCAGATTTTTTTTTTTTTTTTTAACGCCGATGGATGTGCGTGAATTGGGAACCTATGGCTTCGATCACGTCAACTTCACGACCTCGCTTCGCTCACAAGGTTGTTTCGGCTTTGGTTCAGCAGCGCAGGCCAAGTTGATCGCCAAGGACAGAATGCGACCGCCGGTCTGTCGCGTGCTGGTGTGGTCCTCTTGGATCAAGACCGCCTCTTGGCTCCCCAGTGTTCCGATGAATAGGAGCGAGGGCAGTCCTCGGACCAAATCTCGAGTCAGAGATGAAGGAGATTTGGAGTGCTGGAGCACATATCTCTTGAGAGCGTGACTTTTGATTACTGCTCCGCACGGATGTACGGAGTACAGAGGGGATAATCACCCATACTCTCCACGTCTCGGTGGGAGTCAGGCCGCCTTGAAAGGAATATCTCAGAATCCTTCACCAGGTGCGTGTGCGACTTTCAGTTTCTCTGAACAACGCCTTATCAGGATATGTTATATTCTGTCCATTCGAGATGAGCATTGTTCTCAAGGCCAATGCTTGAGGGAGTTGAGGGTCTTCTGCTTCACGGTCAATAAGCTCACGACCGGCTATGCCAAGTGAAATCCGGAATGGTTTTACGGGGTAAATGGGCCTTGTTCGACACCATGATGCTCATGGCATGTGAGGTCTTGTTCAGCACCGACCACGTCGCTGCGTTCTTAAGTCATTCTCCTATCTATCTACATAACTCCCCGGAATTCCGGCCATCACACCTGGGAGTGCATGAAAGGCCCAAAGGGGGAAATCAGCAGAAAGGCATGGCTAAGTGCACCCTCTCCTTGTTCGCTTGGCTGCCTCCGGGATTGCGGTTGTCTCCCTGATAGCCGCCAGCCTCGGCCAATTCTGTGTTCTTATCGCCCAAATGGCCCGATCTGAACCAGCACTAAAGTATCATCCAGGCCTAGGCCTTGCTGGTCAGAGTTACAAAGTCCCTGACAATGTCTTCCAAGGCCAATCGCTTAAGGCTTCTCGTCGCGACTGTCCATTCTCCACCGCCATTTGTATCCCTTTTATGCCAACGCGGTGTCCAGGATGTACGATCAGTAAACGCCCAGAGATAAGAGGTGATATCTTTATGCATCCAGCGGAGTGCCATATTCTGCCCCACCCCTATCTCAGCTTGAGCTGAAGCTATCGATGCTGGCATAATTCAACTCTACACTCTTTCCTTGGGCTGCGTGATTCAGGATGAATATCCTTCCTTTGGAGGATTTGGCTTTATCACTCTATAATGCACCTGGAAGGATTGTATCGGGGACATTCCGATAATTTTTATATGTCTTTTGACTGACGATATATGCGTTCGATTCGGTCTTCTTTTCGGCGATCCAAAGGTCATCCTGCCAGGACTTACTGGTTGCATACAAGAAGGCTCTTTTCCTTCAACCATAATTTCAACATGCTCCCGTGAGCCATTCTTTACGGCACTGCCTGCCTGTATTCGCCACGACGGGTGCATGCTATGCATGTATTGTTGAGAGAGACCACAGATGTTGGTGCCTGGCTTGAAACAGTTGAAAGTAAATACAGTCCCCGATCGGCAAAGTGAACGTGTATCAAGATGGTATTCAGATTTAACACCCCCCAACTTTATCGACGTTGGAAGTTTTGCTCACCCTTTTATCAGACATGGAGATAAGGTCCAAAGGCCTTCTTGCTCACTACGACTTGGACGACTTTGGGCGAGCAGCCTCTTCAAGACACTGAAGCCAGGGGATTTCAATGAAAACACCTTTGATATAGCTGACAACCAACCTCTCAGTCGATGGTGTGATTCAGTGCGTGGCGCACTTGCTGCCAAGGTCAAGACCGCCGGGGACATTTACAGGCGCAGCTCGTTCGATGAGAACTGCACCAGGGGCGACGAGGACATGCTCACGAGAGCTTTGAGTGCTGCAAGGACTTACGCTGAAGCTGGTGCTCGAGTAGCCAGAAATGCACACCCTGCACAAGTTTGAAGGTCAAGGCTGCCAGCTCCAGGGCCCGCACAGTCGTTGTCCAGCGATATCAAGGCATCCATCGTTCAGGATTGTCTGCAAAAGAGAGCCGGGGAACTGTGGCGGGTTGGTCGGTGCGTTCGCGGATCCGTGGAGCAGCCGGTTTTCACGATCTGCCTGGCCTTCCGTAGATAACGTATTTCCTCCGAGAAACTGCCATACCGCGAACAAGGATCACATCCTTTTCCACGAGATGGGCACCGAGGATTACGCCTACGGTTCTGCCACTTCCCCGAGGCAGGAATTCAACCACGGAACCAGGTAGGGAGCCACCGAGTGGAACCGTCTTCTCGAGACGCTACAGTAGTACTCGAGATAAGGTATATCAAAAGAATTACTGTATATGGATTAATCGTGTATCCTGTATATAAATACATATAATAATACAAACTACGCCCCGTATTCGTGTAACCTAAAGAATACTCCGAAAAACGCAGAGGCGGCAGCTGGAAGATCACAGCTCTCTCACCAGGCAGCCACTTTCAAACCCGCTATCGTCTGCGCTGGGGCCCAACAGAACAATCATAGTAAACGCCACATGGCGCCGCTGTATTGGCAGCGCGGTTTTATTGGGTTGAACTCACAGCTCGTAAAGTGACAACGCCCTTTTTCCCAGCCACCACACATCACCAGCGCCTCACTGTCGAAAGCTTTGCCATTTGAAACATGCAAAAAAAGTATGGGTGCCTGTTCTAGGTAAAAATTATCAGCCATGGGGGGTGAAAGGATTGGAGGTTTCCCCCCCGGGCCGGGGAGAGAGAGAGAGAGAGAAGCTGAAAATGACCTCACTCGAGAGAGAAGCTGAAGATGACCTCACTCGGGGCGGTGAGGCGAAAAAAAAAGAAAGAAAGAAAGAAATGGAAAACCAATACTCCGTCCGGAGCACCCCGTATGATGAAGAAAAATTTTTATATTCGTCTTGGCGTTCAGGTCGAAAGACATTAAAAAAAAAAAAAATTGGTCCGCGCTTAGACAAGGCATTAAATGAATTTTTTTTTTTTTAAAAAAAAAGGTAAATAATATGTAGTTCCATATATATCTGATATTTTATTATTGATTATCTTTTTTTTTTTTTATTTTTTTTTTGACGCCTCTCATTTTTATCTGATTCTGGAGGCGGCGGGGGCGGTTTTTCGGCTCAGGGGCCCCGGTGACTAACATTTATCCCACCGGTTCAAAACATACATACGGAGTACATATCCTCAAACTTCGAACGCCCGTTTTTCCAAGCAAGGGGAGGAAATCCGGAGAAAGTTCCAGCCTATGAACATGCATCTGCAGGCCACGCTTGTGGGGAAGCGCGCAGTGCTGTTGGGGCCGGTGGAACGGTCGAGACTAGTGAAAAGGGTATCTCTGGGCGGGGCCCTTTTTTGTTTGTCGGAGCTTTATATTTTATTTTATTTTTTTTCTTGGGTTTGTATTTTCTTACACATCAAGAAAAGGTAGGAGAACATGGGGGGTATCGATTTTGATACGGAGCAGCACAGTCTATCTCTCTCTCTCTCTCTCTCTCACTCTACCCCTGGGTTAGCGAGGGAGTTTCCCTTTTCTTTTTTAGAGGCACGGAGAAAGGACTGGAGGCGGCGGCGGCGGCGGCGGCGGTGGGGTGGGAGACGAAAAGGCCACATTGACGTAATGTGATCTGAGGCTCATGCAAAATTTCTTTTCTGCACGGAGAACGGGGCTGTCCTGAAATTTTTCTTCTTTCAGCGCGGGAGGTGGTATGAGCACATGCGGGAGAAAATGCGACGTGCTCCATACGCGATCACACTTCAACTTGCGGGGAGCATTTAATGCTCATATGACTTGCGAGAGGGAAATAAGTGATCTAATAATATGTTACTCCGTATTATGACAACGGAATATGGAGGTAAAATGTCCTTCAGGTCAGCCACCTTGTGGGCAAGCAAAAAAAAATTAAAAATAAAATAAAATAAAATAAAAGGAGAGGAGAAGGCGACGAAGAAGAAGAAAATATCTAAAAATTCACTCTTGTATTCCGGACTCCGTACTTTTTTCTTTTTCATCCACACCGCACTCCTTGCTTGCATACGGAGTACGGAGTACAATCTGGGTATGGATGTGTCTATCTCTTTTTTCCTTTTTGTCGCGCGGATCCCCCGAGTTCCCCACATCATGCGAGGACCACAAGCTCGCACCACACGCACACACACACAGAGACACACCACAAGGTCCCCTGAACAGGGGGGAGGGGAAGAAGAAAAAAGAACAAGAAAAAAAAAAAAAAAAAGAAAAGAACTTGTGACAGGTGAAACCTGTTACATACATCCGGCATGATTGGGGTGGTTCTTTTTCCCCGGTAAGAAAAAATAGTATGAGTACATAATGACGACTGGTACGGGTTATTTCTCCGAAGGTTCTTGGGCAAAAAAAAAAAGAGAAACTGTTGGGGAGAATGGGGAGAGAGGGTTCACATCAAAGTCATCGGTTTCGCGGCCGCCAGGTTAATGCTCTCGGACTGGATCCTGAAAGATATTTTCTCCGTATCGGATATGACATGATCTCGGGGTAAGAGAGAGATTTACGAGGTTCAAAAAGAAAAAAAAAATGCCCCGTCCCTGTTTCGTTATGTAAGAACCTGTTCTAACGTTCTCGAATTTCCATCGTTTTCTGTGGTCGCCGCCGTCCATCGCCTCCTGTCTTTTGCCCCCCCCCGGCATCGCCCGACAATTCCAGCAGCCACCGCGCCGACTTATTATCGTGCCGTTCTCCCCGGAAAAAGGGCCAGGCGGATAAAAGAGCGCCGGCAGAGCTTAGCGCCGAATCAGCCAATCGCAGGTGGCGTAGGGCTCGCCCGTTGTTCTTTTTTTTTTGCCCACTGAAATCCCTTTCCTTCACTTTCTTGCTTCTTGGGACAAAGGGCAAAAAAAAAAAAAAAAAAAAAAAAAAAAAAAAAGAATACGCCGGCGGGGAAACTCGGGGAAAGTGAGGAAAATCTATGGAAGGCAAAATTCTTACCGCCCGTGTCTCTGGCTCTCCGCGAGCTAAATTAATACTTCTCAATCGCGGCCTCGTTTTACAATATGGTATGTCGTAGCAATGGAGGAACGATAGAAAGGAATGTTCTTTTTTTAAAAACCGCGGTCCAGCTTTGTTAGAAATTAATGATTACTCTTCCGACGTGCGGACTTCGCCGTGAGTATGTGTTGGTAACGTTCGGGGCTTGTCTCGTCCAGTACGTACTGTACATACTCCGTACATACTCCGTACTTCCATCCAAGCGCTGATGGATGGGGAAAGGAGTTCAGGGGCAAAAAAGACCAGGCCTGGCTCGCCGATATCCCGGGTCCGTGAGAAAGTATGGCGGTTGTGCTGGCAGTGGACTGGACGGATGATGTGATGGGATGATGATTGTCCTACAGAACGCCGCGCGCCGCCCCCCTTCTCCCCACATCCCATTACTTTAAATTTTCTTGAATCTCGGCAGATGTAATCGAGTCGCTGAGAACTTGACAGCGAAACGGTTTCTCACATGATAAATTTCATTATGTACTGTGACCTCACCTTGTAAAGCGTGTGTACGGAACCAAGAGGATCTCTTCCCAAATGCCTTTTTTCCCACACGGGGTAAACGAGGCGATCCCTCCCAAGTTATCTGAATATCATCACGGAAAATTTTTTTTTTTTTTTTTTTTTTTTTTTTCTCAATATGGGAAAGAAAGGGAAAGAGAAGGGAAAGGATGCCATAGACAACTAATCCATGTGTTGCCTTCGCTTTCCGACTCGAGCACGAGCTGAAGAAAGCAGCAATACAAGAGCAACCTTGGAGAGAAAAAAAAAAAAAATACTAAAAAAAGAGATGATGACATGGGGTTTAGGCACGGAAAAAAACAAAGTAAAAAAGATAGGTAACAGCCTTTTTTTTCAACGTCGCATCTCTCTCAAACATGGAACCAACTTCATGATTCCACTGCAACAGTAATTTATTGCTTTTTTTCTTTTTCTTTTTCTGTGAATCCTTCTGCCCTATGCCCTTGTTTTCCTTTTTGATGCCTGGCCTGCAACCAATGTCACTTAGCTCCACCTCTGCACTTCTATATTTAAATATATATATATATATATATATATATATCAAAAAAAAAAATTCATGATAGTGCCAGCCACACAAATCACCATGTGGCCGTTGTAGTTTTCGTGCCTTTGGAGAAAGGGGGACCCTGTGAAAAAAACTAGCAGAAGTCAAAAAGCTCCCTCGTGGGCATGAAGGTACCGTATGTATGGATGATGCGATTCGATCGCATATCCTTTATTTATTTATTTTTTTTTTTGCTCTCCCGAAAATTTGCCCAGGAAGCAGAGTTTACGCCAATCAGAACGTGCAGCAGGGCTCTGTGGTTGACGGCCTTCCTGGATGTTCGACACGGGGTGCCGAGAACCGTGTGAAAATGTGTCTTGTGGCCTTACCAAGGCGTGGCCCCGAGGGATGGGGCAAAGAATGAACTGTTCAGGCCGGGCATCTTCCCCATCCATCTGCTATTATTAATAATTCTTTTTCTTTTTTATTCTTCTTTATTTATTAAAGCGGCCAATGAGGTTGGGCAGACGCGAAAGGTACTCGGGGGTCTAGATGGGGAGGGTTTCGACGTGATCTGAGCTGGGACATCATCTCAGAAACTATTACTTGCTGCCGGGAGGATTTGAATGTGGACGAAAGGCAGAATGAGGAGGAGAAAGGGTTTTGCGCCCATTTTGCTGACAACGTGTACGGGGTATTGAGTTTTCAGATGAACTGGCCCGAGTGATGGACGGTCGTTCCTTTTCTTTCCTTTCCTTTTCTTTTTTTTCTTTTTTTTTTTTCCTTTTCTTTTTCTCCCTAGGCATGAAAAATATGATTCACAGGTTCGGCTGGTTGAAAGGGAAGTTTAATTTTATAAAAGAGGATCGAAAGTTGGACGCCACGCCGGTTAAGTCATAGGTTCTGGGTTGTCGGGGGGGAGAGTGGGCAGTTTCGGAGCTGATGCCGGGCGGAGGACGCCCACAAAGCGTAGCATCGTCGATTGTCGGATACGCTAGCGAACTCACTTCAGCTCAAGTCCGGGGGTTGATTGTGTCATTGGCGCCCAGTGCGATACAGAACTAGTCTGGGTGTGTGAGGGTTGAGCGACAATCAATCAATGACAATGCCGTGTCGCAAGAAGGACCTGCTTGCTGGGCCCCACGGGCGTCGACCGCCATGGCTGATGCGCAACAGGGGACCGCGGTGGCTATGTGGTGGAGGGTTCGGTACTTGGGGTCGCCATACAGTTCTGAGGCAGTGGCCCGGTACCTTTCCCCGGTTAATTGGCTCCGGCCGGATCTGCCCTACGAAAGTCTGGAGAGAGGAGGAGACTCGTCATCGTTGTATTGGTACTTTTTCGCTGCCCCGGCGTAACTTACTCCACATCCCACCACGACCACGAACCACCACATTTTTTCCATTCTGCTCGTGTGGAAAATCTTTTTTTTTATCATATTTTTTTTTTTTTTTCCCTCTTTTTGCTCTCCCTTAACCTTGTCGGGCCTCAGAACCTTCTTTTTTTTTTTTTTTTTTTTTTTGCCTTTTTTTTCCTTTTTCTTCCTTAAACCCTCGACAAGCCCGCCTTTTTCTTTTGTTCCTTGCGGAGCAGCTCAGGTTCTGTTCGTTTCTTTATATTGACTAAGCCTCCTCCTCCCAACCCCGGAACCCTCGCTTTTCCCTTTGATATTATTTCTCTTCTCTCCCTTGCTCACTCTTTCTCCCTCCCCCGGTCTCTTCCTTCGCACGTCATCCAAGCTAAACACCGATCATAAGTCGACCTCCCATCACATGTGTTATATGTCTGGGGCGACAATCCTATATCCTCGAACCGAAACTCACTCTACCCCAGACAAAATCCATCCATTCTCCGGTATGTGCTGATATTCCTTAACCCTTGCTCTCAAACCCTGCCTGGCCCCGTTCCTGCCTTGCTGCTGTTGTTGCTCTCTCTCTCTCTCTCTCTCTTTCTTTTGTTTCTCCGCCCGTCCCTTATCTCCTGAAATTTCTCAACTCTCGACCCGGCTCCACTCCGTGCTCCATCCGCAAGATCCCTGTGGTCCGGCTTTTTTCCCTCCAGCCTGGCGCCGGCCCCCCGGCCCTCCCCTTAGCCTGCTGTCCCCCTTATTAAGCTGATCTCCGCCCCGAACGCTCACCCTGCTTTTCTCTCTCCCGCCTGAATGAAAAGAAAAAAAAATTTAGCACGCACCGGATTCTCCACACTTGCACATGCAACATTCTCACTGTCTCACAAAAACACACACACATACACACAAAACATCCTCACACAACTTCGGCTTACCTTTCTCTTCCTTTTTAATTTTTTTTTATTTACTTAATCTCTCTTTGCTTGTTTGATCTACAGGAGCATTGATCAACTGATCCCTCATTCAGACTCACAGTCACTTTCACCCCATCTTGAACACTTCACACACACACACACACACACACATATCGTCCGATCACCTGTCACCGGCATTCTACCCGAAACCCTCAACAGAAAAGTTCCTGAGCATACCCACGTCCGTCAACTCAGGTGACACGGATCACACACCATCCGATTCTTCAGCACATTGCTTTTGTTCTCTCCGCCATTCCACTTTCAACGGCCACTCGTCTGAAGAATCTCCGCTTTTCTCGAATCCCTAGCGGGACCTTGGAAGTCATTCGATCGATCTCAATCCCGCAATTCTAGACCACGTCATACACCCTTCCCTCCGTCCGTGCACACAACAAACTCCCTTCATTAACCGCGCCCAGCGATCATCTTACCAAAAAAAAAAAAAAAAAAAAATAAAGTGTAAATGCCACGTTCCTCAGCGGTGCCCTTTTCAGATTTATTAAACCCGCAGAGTCAACCTGGTGACGGTCCATCAGCTCCCCGGACGACCCCTTCAAACCAACCCGCTAAATCTGCCACGTCCAATCCAGCAATGTCTTCTGCTTCAGTTAGTCTCCTGCCTCCCCTGGCCAAGGGCCAACGCTCGACTACAGACGAGCCCCGTCAAGAGCTGCCCCGTCCCTACAAATGTCCCCTCTGTGACCGTGCCTTCCACCGTCTGGAGCACCAGACGAGACATATCCGCACACATACCGGAGAGAAGCCACATGCCTGCCAGTTCCCCGGCTGCTCGAAGAGATTCAGTCGATCAGACGAGCTTACCCGACATTCCCGAATCCACAACAACCCAAACTCGAGAAGAGGGAACAAGGCCCAGCAGCTGGCGGCAGCTGCTTCCATGAACAACATGGTCGATGCCAACGCGGCCGCTGCCGCCGGTATGATGCCACCTCCCAGCAAGCCAATTACGAGATCAGCTCCTGTCTCCCAAGTCACCTCTCCAAACGTATCTCCCCCACATTCTTACGTCACCTATGCCACCCATCTGCCCTCGAATCTTGGTCCTTATGGACGGGCAGCCGGTGAGCGCCCGCCTTCTGCAATGGATATGAACATGCTCGCAACTGCTGCATATCACGTTGAGAGAGATGATCTTGCTTCCTACCACTACTCCTCAAACACCGCTCCTCATCGGCCGCAGTACAGCAGTGGACTTCGCCCGGCATCTCACCATTCGCATCATTCACTCCACCCCGGCACCCGACTTCCCTCCCTGTCCGCCTATGCGCTATCCCACTCTATGTCTCGGTCCCACTCGCAGGAGGAAGATGATTACGGCCACAGAGTCAAGCGATCGCGACCAAATTCACCAAACTCGACAGCTCCCTCGTCTCCTACCTTTTCTCATAACTCACTCTCGCCTACTCCCGACCATACTCCTCTCGCGACGCCAGCTCACTCTCCACGCCTGAGACCATTTGTTGCCAACGATTTGCATCTGCCGGCGCTCCGACACCTCTCTCTCCACCACACCCCCGCCCTGGCTCCAATGGAACCGGCCACGGAACCACCGAAGCACTACTCTCCAACACAGCCCCATGTCGGTCCTTCTATCTCCGACATCATGTCCCGTCCGGATGGTACTCAGCGGAAGCTGCCTGTGCCGCAGATCCCCAAGGTTGCCGTGCAGGAAGTTTTGAATCCGGGCAGTGGCATCTCCTCCGGTAACTCTTCCGTCGCCGGTGGTGATCTCGCAGAACGCTACTAGTTACCGGACTTCGAAAACAGAAAAAAAAAAAAAATAAATAAATAAAAAGAAGATCCTCAATATGCTACAAACTTTTTGATCCTCACTGCATTTCTTGGCGACCATAGCGATAAATTACACGGAGTTTTCTAAAGAACATAGACGGAACTGGGTTGTCGGTGTTGTTGTTTTTCTTTGTCCTTACCTTTTTTTTTTTTTTCTTTTATCAGACTTGATCGTTCGAATCAGGAAAAAGCGATATTATTTCCTAACTTGTTAGACATCTTTCCCCCTGCTTCATATTTTCCTTGCCCACAAAAAGCAAACTTCTTCAGGCTCTGCTACCTGCCTTGGGAGAAACTCTCTACTCTCGACTCTCATTTGTTGGAGTCTCGGGTAAACGGTTGACCAAGGAACCGCAGCGCCTATCTGGCCACTTTTCCCGAGACGTCCCTTATATCTTCCGAGCATGTATTCATCGCGAGGACTTCTGCTGTCCGGCACTCCCTTTCCTTTTTTTTTTTCCCCTTCGTTTGCTCATCGGTTTCCTTTGCCTTTTCCTTGCCTCCTTCAAATGTCAGAAAGTTGTATTACGAAACCAAAGATAGATCTGGGACTATGAAAATAGGCTGAAAGGAGAAGCACAGTCTATATTAAAACAACACCAGTTACCGGGCAACCGAGATGATATTATAACTAATCAAGAAACAATTCACTTTTTCTTTTTTGACATGTTTCTTTTTCTTTTTACTTGCTTTCTTTCCTATGGCTCTTTGTACTCTACAAGCTGTTTAGGCCCCTTAGACACGGGGTGATAAAATGGATTTCCTAGGCTTTTTCGTCCCTCCTGTTTTCTTCAGAACCCCGCCCTGTTCCTCGTTGTCAGATCCTATCAAAATGGATTAAAAAGATAAGAGAAATGAAAAGGAAGAGTTTAAACTAATAATAGCAGAAAGTCTAACATCCATTAACCACAAGAATACAGAGAACAAGGTACATTTATACTTAACCTCCACACTGATACAACTGAGCAAGCCTAAATGTGAAACAAATCCTGTTGAACGATGACGTGCGGGTTGGATCCCGGCCATCGAAGGAAAGCCACCAAAAAAAAAAAAAAAAAAAAAAAAAAGGGAAAAAGAAAAAGGAGCAGAGCCAGCCCTCCAGCGGCGTCGGCCTTTCAAGAAACTTTTGTAGGAAACTTCTAAATGAAGCGGCGAGGCTTAATTCTTCTTCCCTTGGTCGAGGAGCACGGGGGTTTGATTCGGGGGTGATTTCAGTGCGTGATGATGGCCGGTCGAGTTGAACTCTCCCAAGGTTTATCGGCACAAAAATTGACTTTTTTGTTGCGAACAGCAAAAAGTCAATATGTACTCCGTATGGACGGAGTGCTTCTGTACTCTGCATGTGTGTTATGTTTCATCCAACAATATCTCCATGCCTTTCGAACCTTGTGTGTGTGCGCGGGGGGCGCAAGTCATTTTTGAAATTGGGATGAGGTTTGTTTTGCTTGTGAATTTTGTCTAGACCCTTTTCTCGGCGCAACCCCGGGGGGGGGGGGGGGGGAGGAGACCAGGGGGCGTGGAGCGGGTGGGTGAAGGAACTCTGCCAGTTGAACAACCTCAACGCTTACGCTGACTAAACGTCGATCAGTGCATATGTACGGAGTATGCTTCTATGGAGTATGTTGGAATGTTGGATGATAATGTTGTTTAGATGCCGCACTTTGGATACCCGGTATGCATACATGCATGCTCCGTACAGCTGTAGTGTCCTCCGGACGTAATTTTGTACTAGAAGAAGCGGGAAGAGAAGAGAAGAGGATAGCAAGTTCTGCCCCCTCCCCTGATAAGCTTGCGCTTTGGCCTTGCAAGGGGGGATTGAGTTTGAAGTAACAACATACATACATCTATGTGGGGATCGAGAGCGTTGAGGGTGGTTTGGATCAGAACGTGCCAAGGGGGATTCCGGCGATGTATCGGATGGCAAGGGAAGAGACTGGGGAGGGCGGTCAAAGGGAAAAAAAATAAAAATTATACGTGTCTCCTCCTATTGAGATGGTTATTCCGTGCCTCTCGAATGTACAGAGTAGTTTGTACGTAAAATTTGACGTAGGCTATCTAACTGCGGAGGATCCTCTTGGACAAACAACAAGGCAGCAATCGAAAGCCCCTTGCCGCCAAAATACTCCGCAGAGGCTGGGTGGTGCGGCCAGGGACCGGGGGTGATTTGTGGTGGAGGCCTCGGAGGAAAAAAAAATTTGGGATGCTGGCATCTTTGTTCTCGTCCCTTTTTTCGACCCCCTAACCCTCCCTAACTATTTCCCCCCTTGAAAGCCTTAAAAACGGACTACCCCTGCCCCATGCTGAGAGGTTGCATCGCTGGGGCCCTGAGAGAGAAAAAGACACCAAGTATACGTACACTCTCCGCATGGGCATGGAGAATCGGCGATCGAAAGGTTACACAGAGAGGGATCTCGCCCTGAAAAAGTGGGTTAAGGCAAAAAAAAATAAAATAAAATAAAAAAAGATGGAAGGGAAGAAGAAGAAACACGGGACAAGGAAGAGCGATATTGGTGCATCTACTTGTATCTTCGATTTCATCTTCTTCTCTCCTCCGTGGAGACAAAGCCGCTCATAGATTTCAAACACGGCGGACTTCTACTTCCCTTGTTACATTCTCCTCGCTCCTCTTCCTCCTGGGGTGGAGCAGATTGCACGACCTCAAGATCTGACGATCAAATCCTTCTAGCAAAAGCTAAAAGCAGACGGAAGAAACTGCGCTGATGAAGTACATCATACGGAGTGCTCCGGAAACCACCAGCCTTTACTTTGGTTTTCGTCCTCTTTTCACCCCTCTCCTTCCTTGGCCGGACAAAAGGTGGCGAATTCGACGCAATCCGACCAATTCGCAAGCCAGCCGAAGAATGAGGGGAAAAAGAAATCAAATCCAAGGATCAAATGGATGAGACATTGGGTTGGCAAGAATCCCTCTTTTTTTTTTTTTTGGTTCTTGCCTCTCGGTAAATGACATGTCCGTTGATCCTTTGGTGTACATATAACGCGAGTATGGAAGTACTCCGTATGGGGTACGGAGTACATTGAGAGCACAGATATGCAAAAATCATGCAATGCATGGAAGTTTAATTTTTGGGCTTCTTTTCTTTTCTTTTTTCTTTTTTTTTTTTGTTTTCCTTCTTTCTAGAAGTTCTAGAAATTCAATTCCGGACTTGGATGTTCGGTGCCCTACCCAGAACCCCCTGCACGCCCCTCCCTTCCCCTTTCCACACTTCGTCCTTCTGTCCCGCGGTGCTGCGAGGGGACGTGTCTTGGGTGGGGACGGAGGAGTGAGGGAGGGATCGTGCGATCGGATATCATAGGAGGTATTATTATGCATGAGCTGGTCCATGTCAGAAACTGTGACTCGGGGGTCCATTCTGGGTCTCTTGTTTGTTGGGCATGAGCTGAGTGTGGAACCAGGAGAATCATGCTGGCTCAGGGTTGCTGAGGTGGAGAGTTGACGACGAAAGTGAAGATTAAGAAGAGGGATATTTGCAGTATAGCTACCGGGAAGGACGGCCTGAAAACAGGATTCGTGTCTGCTGTGCCCTCCCAGGCGCCGAGACAAGGTCTTTGTACGTCCATCCTTGTTCTGCGCGGATTCCACAAACTTCTAGCGAGGCTTTTCCCTCGAGGTCTTTCTTGGCGTTCTTGGCGCGAGGGAAGAGATGAGATGAGATTGAGATAAGATAAGGAAAATGATCGAGACACGGTCTGTGATTGGCTGTTATTTATCCTCCAATCAGAGTAAGAAGAATATCCGAAATGCGAACGCGAAGCGACGAATGCACGCTTTGCAGTGGATGCTCCAGAACTGTCAACCGTCGCCGGAGTTTGCATGAAGCCTGGCGGTTAGTTCCGGGTCCGAGTTATGTGCTTAGTTAACTGGTAAGCTTGTTAACGGCATGTTCGCTGGGCCTCGGTCTAATTCATCCAGCCAAGTCGCATCAAAGCCATCCATCTAATTCGCCCGCCCAACTGCAAATGTAACGAGGCCATTGGGATGCAACCAGACTGGGTACGTTGACAGCATAGCGTATGGATATCCTCCATTGGCGCAATGAGAATTGAGAGCGTGGGCCCTCCGATGGTTTCTACTCAGGTCGAGAGGTTTTATCCTAGCTGTGACTTTGAATTTGTGCCCTCTCACATCACTTCTATAGGCTCAAGCCTCAACTCCGTTGCGGTCGAGGCAACGAAAGACACATGGATAAAGAAACAACTCCTTACCATCGAAGCAATTGAGACACTGCCTTTTCAAACGCTGACCTGCAACGCCCGACGGCTCTCTAAAGTTGCTGGCAGGCCCATCGCCGGTACTCATCCTCAGGATTGTGTCGCACCGGAATCTGTGTCATCAAAAGTTCTTCTGTTTGGAATGCCGGTGTCAAACCCCACATGGGTGAGACAAAGATCACCGCCTTTGCTCTCCTTCAATTTCATGGGGTCAATTAGGATGCACAACCGGAGTTTCGCCCCTGGTATACCTTCATATCAGAAGCCTGTGTGAAGACACTCAGGCCTCTCTGAACAGTCGGGAATAGTGTGTGTATACAGGAAGAGCCAAATATATGTGTACCTCCCATATTTGATTTTGTCAGAGAGCAAAGGGATAGAAAGGAAGATAGAACTTTGTGGCACAGAGTGCTTCAAAGCATTTGCATTTTGTTTTCCTGCAATGGCTATCAAATGACAATCAGTGGGAGTGTGCGGGATTACTGCGTGGATGTAATTAGTCTTGCTGAGTCTATGATGGTTGCTTTCGCGTCACTGTGTATGATATGTTTGATGGCATAGACATAACATATACCAATTAGGCTTTGGACCCATTGAGATTGTAAATCCACCAATAAATATCTGAGTTTATTGCCAGTGCATTCTGGAGGTCAGCTTCTCATATTCTTAAGAATTTAGTAGGGGACAGGAGACTACAGTGGTTTTGTTGTTGGTCATGGTCTGAGAGAGCAAGGAAGCGGCAGGACAAAGAGCTGCCACACGGAGACAAAAATTAAGGATTAATCTATTATTGGGTGGATTGTTACTCTGTATTTTGTAGAGTGTGTAAGAGAAGCCTGAACTGTGCTGGGTGAAGTTCTAAATCTGATATACAAAAAAGTTATAAGTTTTCGTTCATCGCGTTCTGGCTGATGGCGCGGTGTGGTCGTGACGTCACGGGGGACCTCCAGCTCGGCCGCGGATTGATTGGCCAGCGGGATTAACTCTGGGCGGGTTCGACAGCGCTAAGGGCTCCAGCTAAGGGCGGTTAGGGCCGACAAACAAAATCCGAGCCGCGTCCACGCTAACTCGTTTTAGGTCTTAGTGTCGGCTTTGCGGGTTAAGAGCGGCGCGTCGATATATCGGTGTGTGGGCACCTCGTCACCAAGCGCGATGACATCCCTCTTTTGCTCGTTGCATTGAACTGCCCTGACTGCTCTCGCCGCCTGCTGCTCAGTGGATTTTCACGCTCCTGGTGCTTATTAATAGAATACTCCGTCATGGCACCACCAAGGCAGCGCGGAACAGCCGCTGGCGGCCTTGACGATTCGAGATCAGAAGCGTCTACTGGCCAGCGAGAACGACAAACTGGAGCCACCAAGGGTCGCAGGGCAGGAAATACTGCTGCTTCTGCTGCTGCTACAGCAAGCAAAGATGCGAGACAACCACAGCCAGCAGCAGTTGTGGGTGATCCTGAACAGGGCACAGCGGAAAATCCAGGTGTAAGTGCGCCTCTAGCAATTCTTTTTTTTTCCCCTCCACTTCAATTCGCGCGCGTTGTAATTAGTACAATTTTTTTTTTTTTTCTCGAGTTCTACGTTATGCTGCTGTCCTTTCCTCCCCAAATTCCCATGACTAACGGACAATCCCTCTTTTGTTTTTTTCAGATAAACTGGTCTAGCATGCCCCTCTCCGTCCTCCATCAATATCGGTACGTCCACAAGCTCCAATGCCCCAGCGCATTCTCCTCACGCATCAACCCCATCCTCCTCTCACGAGGCATTGGCTACCGTTCCCCCACCGCCATCGCAATGCGCAACGCTCAGAAGGTCGCGAAAAAAAACGGCGACAAGGGCAAAAACTCTCAACCTTCTTCCTCCAAAAACCCGAAAGACTTTAAATCCACGACAGGCGAGGGCCTTCAACGCAGTCGTATAGGTACCGCTTACGGGCGAGTGTCCAAGGAACATCTAGCGTCGGCGGTGAGGAAACACTTCAATAACACCGCGATATCGGAGCAGGACGCCATCGCCAAGTTTGTCTACAAGGTTTCTGAAGAGAGGAAAGGCAGAGAATTTCGGTATAGGTTTCAACCGTCATAGTTGGATGAATCTGTTAACGCGATGGGCCTTGGTATGGTATTTTTTTTTTTTTTTTTTTTTTGGGGGGGGGGGGGGGGGGGGTTATTGGTGAAGTATGGAGTTTCTGTGATTATGGGAAGGATTTATGATTCAGGATTCTCTTCACTGTGTTCTGGCGTTATCAATGGTGCCATATTATGGTGTGCTTAAAATACCCTCAGTCATTTGTGATGTCTTCTCCTTCTAAGCCCTTTTACAAGGCTTGATTCTATAGTACAACAATTCTAGATATAACTACAGGACGCTCCCATATATGTGATGTTCAATGGAGAAAGTCTGAAAGTTTTTGATGGCCTTTGAACATTGATAGCTAGTATGAAGAGCAAAGGTGGGTATCATTTGTCTCAGGACGTTATAAACAAACTGCAACTAGACCTTGAGGACCCTGAACCTTGAAAATACAAACAGGCATACTAGGCAGTCTTTGAATGACACAAAAGCAAGATGACATTTACACACTCCCTAGTAAAGACCTAGGTCGGCACAATTATCACACGGCCAAATACGGAGTACATTTGGAAATTTTATACGACAAAGCGACAAACAATTGGCGTATACCACCCAGTTCTATTTCCTACCCGGTATTCTCAAATCCAATTTCGTGCATAGTTGATATTTTCAGCACTCATGTATATATAAGTTCATGTTATTCCATAGTCCTCATCATGTCGTTCCCGGAGAGTGGGAAAAATGGTACCCTGCCCCTAAATGAAGAACCGAGATCCCTCTCTCACGACTGACTTGATTTGCACAAACCAGCCAATAGCAGGCTATTTTAGGGGTAAATTAATTGGATCTATTCCTATCTTCTGTTAAGCGAAGGGATAATCATGGGCCACGAAGCTCACTTCCACGCATTTAATCCGGCCCATGGATCATTATGCGCCGAGGTTGAGCCGGGTTGGCCACCTTGAGGTTGGCTTGGAGGCCGCCCTGGACCTTGTTGATAAGCTACAACACCGGGATTCGTCATGTACGAGCCCGTCTGAGCATTATATCCCGAGGAACGATGAGGTCGGGGGGGAGGTGGGGGAGGAACATACCCCTGGGGCATGTAAGGCGATTGACCTGGATATCCACCATATGGAGAAGGGCCCGGGCTAAAGTATTGTTGGCCTGGTGGTGGTGAAGTCGGTGTCTGGTAGAAGTAGGCCATGGGGTTGTAAACTTCTGACGTGTGCTGTTGGTAAGGTTGAGCTGGGTTATAGACTTCGGGAGGAGGGGGGTTGCTGGCTGAGTAAGAAGGATATGATATGGAGGAAGGTTTCTGATTGTGGGGACTGGGTATCTGTCCTCCAGCGGCAGCGGACCCGCCATGATGGGGAGAAATGGGAGAGGATTTCGTAGCTGAGGATGATACCTTGATTGCACTGGGTCTCGGCTTAGAGGATGATGGTGACGTGGAAGCAGGTTCCATCGATAATCGTTCCATCAGTTGTTTCAATTTTTCTCGCTCTCGGTCTTCGTGGCCTGTGGAACTCTTATCGCGCTCGATCTGGTTTAACAGCTGTGCTCCTTCAGACCGACGGTTGTTAAGGAAAGTATCCACGTTCTTCTTCAGGCTATCGACCGTATCTTTCATCTGCATATAAAACGTCTGCGCTTGGTCCAGACCCGACAGAAGCTCCTTAAATGCTTTATGGACTTTCCGATATTTTGATATCACGCTATTTCGTTGTCGTGATAGGGTCTCATATTTAGATTGCTCTGCTCGCACCCGTTTATCCTGCAACAGGTCTCCGTATACCTTGGCTAGCTCCTTCATTAGAGCGGTTTGCTTGTGATTTGCCTGAAGTAACCGAGTTTGATGTGGTCTAAACTTCTCCAACTCCGCCTGGAAGAGTTGCTCTTCTTGGTTGGCTATAGATTTCTTATTTAAAATGAGCACGTTGGAGATGTCATCGTTATGAACCTTCGTTCTGTGTCAGTATTGACTCCTTTCTTTATTGTTAAAGCAGACGACATTACCTTGTCTTTCAGATCCTTTAACGTCTGCATTCGGTCCCTCTTAACAAGATTCAACTTTCGCAGCAGCTCTTCCACTCTTGTGATTTGTTCTGACACTGACACAGTTCCTTCTCCGAAGTCCTCATCCAATAGACTACCTTCAGGTGCAGCAGGATAAGGACTGCTGGTCCCGCCCTTGCCCTGTTTTGACCCGGCCTTAATCATTGCCTGCTGGAATAGAACGTCTGCTTCTCCTGATTCACCAGCTGCATGCATGTCCTCGAAATCTCCTTCGTATTGTCTGAGAGTGACCAGGAGTTGGGAATCGCTTGCGCTTGCTTCATCAATAGTCCCACGATAAGTCCTAATATCGCTTCTCAAAGTCGCAGTAAGTCGTGAGCTTGGTTGCTGGGTCCAATCCGCCCCGTATTTTGACCGCATCTTCTCGCAGACACTTTCTTCCATATCAAGCTGCTTGGAGCACTGTTCCAACGTGCTGAGCAGAGTAATCTTGTCTTCTTGTAGATCATCCAGTGTTCCACGGAAAGGTTGGTGGCTTGCAACTTCTGCGCACCACGATCTAAAATCTTCATCGCAAGCCAGTTCTTGATCTATGCTTCCCTTCAGGATATTTAGACTTCCCGGTAGTTTCAGGAAGTCAAGGCCAGCAGCCATTTCTCCGTTGGCAGCTTCAACCTTTTCCACTTCAGCACGAACAAGCTTCGCCTTTTCTTCATCATATAAGCTTGCAGACTCCGTGACAGACATTGGCACTATCTTCTGGAAAATATCTGGACCTATGATCCGCTGGATGTCCTGACCTTGATAAAGCTCACTAACGGGAATGGCTTTAGCGGCAGGGAGCTTGGCGATCATCGACAAGGACGCCTCACTGGGGACTGGCTGGTGGTAAATATAATCGTTATCCCGCGTAAAGGAGACAAGCTTCTCCTGGACGTTTACGAGATGCCGCCGAACGATCTCTACCATGGTCGGGCCTGTGTCTGAGTTTAGATTCGACCCTGCCGGAACAGAAGAAGGGAACGATTTGGCTAAGCCAAGGGCGGTGTTCGACTGCTTTTCTGCTAGTTTCAGCCGGCCAATCGAGACGCCATGAATTCCGGTGCCATCATCAGCAATGGCTTGATAATATCCGGCGACTGATGATAAATGCGACGCTTTTATCAGAACTAAGGTGGCCCACACTTTTTCAAAGGTTCCTTTAGTAACATTCTCCTGGACTCCTTCGCTGGCCTGAGAGTAAAGGTGAGCTGCCTGGCTGGCGAGTTTAGCTAGGAAACCTGGCTTCTTCTCATCCCGTACTTGCTTCTCGAGAAAGACTTCTTGCGCCTGGGCTAAGGTAATTGCTATCAAAGTCTTGACCGTGTCACGGCTCAAATCGGTGGAAGGGGCGTGGAGGAAATTGTCATTGATGTACGTGAACATGCCGGCTGAAGCCTGGAACGAATGATAGGCCGTTTTTAAGCCAGTATCGTCTGAACGACTCTGGTTCGCAGCGTGACAGGACAGGACAGCGGAGATATTGAAAATTATGGATGCCTTCTCGTACGCTAACGAGTACTGAGAGGTAGCCTTGCGAGTAAAAGCATCGTACCTGGTTGATCCAAATGAGTTTTAGCCTATGCGCAATTTCACCAGTGAAGTCAAGCCAAAACCACCCATACCATGTGAAAGATATTTTGATATGATTCTCATCAACTGGGAACCGCAAATCCAGCAATTCCAGTTGCCCGTAATACCGGTATAGCAGGTCGCGTCCAGTAGCACTGTCTCTCCCCGCTCCCCGCATGTCTTGCCGTAGCCTATTTAACGTCGCGCATTCTTCGGAATATCTCTCCGGGTCATCGCCGTATGTGTGGCGGATATATGATTTCAATGGCTGAATCCAGTCGATTTCGTTCGTATCCTTGAGGGGACATGATATCATGGGTGACTGCACCATGTTGCCTGAGGGGTGTGGAAAATGCTTGCCGACACGAGGCACAGCAATATCACCACGTTATAGGTACTAAAGAGATCGCAAGATGGGTTAGAAGGATAAAACGGTATTCACTGTGGTGATTTGGTTTCGGCCTGGGACGATGACCTAATGTTCGCACAAGGTGGGCGGTGGATGGGTCGGGTATAACTCGTGGAGTTTGAGATCGGTGAGGCGGGCGCTCTGAAGGAACGATGCTTTATATGATTAATGCCTGTAGATACGGGTAGATGAAACAGTCGAGAGGCGTCAAATAAGCAATCATAAGTTGAATCGGCAACCTGATGTTGTTGGGGTTTAGATGTAGGGTGACGAATTGCGAGGGGCTTTCCAGACCGTGGTTATATATGACGCTGCAAGAGGCAAAGCTGAGGATTGATGTAACTAAATAAGTACGGCGTTAAGGTGACTTCGAGCCTATCGTACTCAGCGCCATTGAGACGATGCAGTATCCATGGCCATTCTGCAAGTTTTTACAACATTAAAATTTACTCTTGTTGCCTTGTCGCCCTGCAAGTCTGATGAATCAATAATTTTTTTTTTTTTCCAAATTAAATCCTCTTTTCCAAAGGCACTATTCGGCTACCATACATAAGCGCATGCACCGCTGCAAGGATCAATGCGAAACACCTGAACATTAATTCAACCTCAGAGCAAGTGGAGATGAGCTTGCCAAATAATAATACAGCGGAAGGAAATCCCTGAATCTATAAGTCAAATCATGAATGTATGTATTCCCGGTATGCAGATCCAAAAAGGGAAACGGGCTTTTTCAGCAGAATATACATGGAAGAAACTCAAGCAATGCAAGAACGCTATGAGCAAAAGCAAAAGCAAAATCAAAAAAGAGGCTCGGGTAGTATTGATTTAACCGGAGCCCGAAGCCTTCTTGGACTCGTCGTGATTATCAGAGTTGTCCTGGTTCGAGCCCTTCTTTTGGCTGGCGTCGGACTTGCCCTCGGTGCTTGAATCGGTTGGCTTATGGTGCTGGTTCATTAATTTGTGCCAAGCAGCTTTAAGGAAACCCTCGCCCTTGTGAGGATCAGCCGACTTTTCGGACTTTGAATCGGGGCTGGAAGCGGATCTAGGAAAGCTAGTGTCAGCCGGAGAACAGAGAACACTAGCTTCGACATGGTTGGTTACCTGTCGTCTTTCACGTTCATGACCCTCTTAGCGGTTTTATCACCCATCTCATCGGCGAGGACCTCCAGGATGGTCCGTTGATTTGCAGTGAGATACTTCGGCATCGCGACCTTGAACTGAACCTTGAGGTCACCATTTCCTCCGCGGCGGCCACCCAGTTTCCGCATTCCCATTCCAGATAGAGTGATCTGGTCACCAGTACCAGTTCCGGTGGCCACTTTCACCTTGACTTCGCCGTCAAGCGTTGGAACAGTGACCTCGCCACCCAGCAGGGCTGTCGTCAATGGGATTGACGCAGTATAAAGGACGTCGGCACCGGATCGGCTGAACCTTTGGTCAGGAGCAACCCTGATGAAAACAAACAGGTCGCCTCGTTGTTTACGGGTGCCAGGCTCTCCAGGTGGCACGTCACCTTCTCCAGCGATCCGCAATCTCATGCCATCTTCCACACCCCCGGGGATATCAACTTGAACGGTGCGTCGTTCTCTAACGACTCCGTTTCCATGGCAGCTTGAGCACTCAGCGCCTCTAGGAATCGAGCTACCTGTGCCATCACAGGCTCCGCAGGTACTCGCCATTTGGAACCCGCCCATAATATGGACCGTTGTTCCTGATCCTCCACAGGCGGAGCATTGTGATCTCTTTCTTCCAGGTTTTAAACCCTCTCCTTGACAAGAATTGCACTTGACTAGAGGGGTGATAAAAATATCTTTTTTGGTTCCTTTTGCCGCATCCATGAACGAAACGTTCGTTTGAACTTCGATATCTTCACCGACAAGCACGGTTGACTGGAACGGTGAACCTCTTGCAGTTCGACGCCGGCCTGCGCCGCCAAATGCATGCGCAAAGAGGTCCTCAAAGTTAACCTCGCCGCCAAATCCACCGAAGCCATGGAAGCCGCCGGCCGAGGCACCTCCGAACGGGCCACCGCCAGCAGCGTGAGGATTAAAGCCGCCATTCTGATCAAATGCTCGCGCTCCGAATTGGTCATAAGCCTTCTTTTTCTCTGGGTCCGACAACATTTCGTAGGCGGACTGGGCCTCCGCAAACTTGTCTTTGGCACTGGGGTCCTTGTTTGTATCGGGATGGTACTTTTTAGCTAGCCCGTAGTACGCACGTTTGATATCGGAGGCAGAGGCATTTTTGTTCACCCCAAGGACATTATAAGGATCTTTGACGGTCGCCTGGGCAGGAGCAGATGAATGAAAGGACTAGCCATGTCCCCAATCAGTATACAAGCTCAAATGTGGTAAATATGGTTGGCCGACTTTACCCTTGCATGGCTATTAGAGCGCTTTCTCGGTGATTGGATATATGATTTGCGTTCATAACATGATTTGCTGGCACAATGAAACGATCGCGATTGTATTTGCCGGGAGATTCCCGTGCATTGGTTTGCGCAGCATCGAGACGAACGCAGAAGTTGTGAAGGGAATGTGGCCGCCATCGGCATGGCTCGAACCACACCACTTATCGCAAGTAATAGATCACGGATAATACGTAATATCAGACTGTAACTGGGTATAAAACAAATATGCGACGAGGTGACGGGTGAGAAGACGAGAGAAGGGAGAAAAAAAAGCTGAAGGCGGCCTTGATCTACATCCATCGTGAAGATTCCATGAAGGCAAAAGTTTCATCGGGAAAAGTGTTTCGCCGAGGCCGCCGCGCCGGGTTGAGCTTCACCTCCGTTGATTCATCGTTCTCGACTGGCAGCAACTCCAACGCGACGGAATTGCCTTCTCCTCGTTCCTCTGACACCGTTGTTGAATTCCTCCCTGTGAGAGCTCGCCTGTTTTTTGAAGCGATTTCTCATCTAGGCCACCTACACCCCGTCCCGCCGAGCTTTTATCAGATCCCCAGCTGGGAGCATGCTTCGAAGTTCAAGCCTCCCCTGGAGGGCTGTGTTCCGCAAAACACCTCGAAATATACTATGTAGATCCCACCTTGCTCCGGTTAGGCTTAACGCCCCTGTATCATCAGAGTTCCGCGCGGCGATTGCCTCGAGATCTTTTCCCTCACTTGCACATTCTTTCTCTTCGAGCCCAACCAGACGAAAAGAAAAGCCGACACCTTCACAACAGAAGAAAGAGCGCGAAGAAGGAACTGAAACGGACGTTGACCGTGAAGAGCTGCCCAAGCCCGAAGATTCTGGAAAGGATGGGAGGTCGTCAGACAACCCTGCACCTATACCACCGTCGGGCGGACCAGCGGAGTCACGGCCGAGTGGCGCTGGTGCGGGAGGCAGTGCGGGCTCATCCGGGAGTGGAGAAGGGGGAGGAAAGAGAGGGAGAAAGAGTGCAGCGGAGCGCGCGCTCTCCAAACCCTCAATTCCCGATGTATATCCGCAGGTGATGGCGATTCCGATAGCGCGGAGGCCGTTGTTTCCTGGATTCTACAAGGCAATCACAATCAAAGACCCCAACGTTGTTGCAGCAGTCCAAGAGATGATGAAGCGAGGTCAGCCATATGTCGGTGCATTTCTGTTCAAAGATGAAAATGCGGACAAGGACATTATCGAGAGCATGGACGATGTTCATGACGTTGGAGTTTTTGCGCAAATAACAAGTGCATTTCCGGTTCATGGCGATGAGAATGGCTTGACAGCAGTTCTATATCCCCACCGCAGGATCAAGATGTCTTCGCTGCTACCGCCACAAGAGAAAGCAGCCAAGGAGGAACCCGAGTCACAAGCTCAAAAGGAGGCACCGCTGGATAAACAAGGGGATGTTGTCGCCAGCTTCGAAGAGGCTACGATGGAGCAGGCGCCGAAGGATGTCCTTAACTATGAGCCAACATCATTTCTACACAAGTACCCGGTTAGCATAGTTAACGTTGACAACCTTGCGGAAGAGCCTGTCGATAAGAAGAGTCCCGTTATCCGTGCTGTCACGAGCGAAATAGTCAACGTCTTCAAGGACGTAGCGAATTTGAATCCATTATTCCGCGATCAAATATCCACCTTTTCTATGAGCCAATCCGCTGGGAATGTGATCGAGGAACCAGCTAAACTCGCCGATTTTGCGGCAGCTGTTTCTGCTGGTGAAATTAAAGAGCTACAGGACGTTCTGGAAACGATGAACGTTGAAGAGCGCTTATCTAAAGCTCTTGTGGTACTCAAGAAGGAACTTATGAACGCTCAGCTACAATCGAAGATCTCCAAAGATGTCGAGGCCAAGATCCAAAAACGACAGCGAGAGTACTGGCTGATGGAGCAAATGAAAGGTATTAGGAGAGAACTTGGCATTGAGTCCGACGGAAAGGACAAGCTAGTCGAGAAGTTCAAGGAGAAAGCAGAAAAGTTGGCGATGCCGGAAGCTGTCAAGAAAGTATTCGATGAGGAGTTGAACAAGCTTGCGCACCTGGAGCCAGCTGCGTCTGAATTCAACGTAACTCGAAACTATCTTGACTGGATAACACAGATCCCATGGGGTAAACGAAGCGCCGAGAACTTTGGGATTAAAAATGCGATGACGGTCTTGGATGAAGACCACTACGGCCTCAAAGATGTCAAAGATCGCATCTTGGAATTTATCGCAGTAGGGAAGCTTCGTGGAACTGTGGAGGGCAAAATCCTCTGCTTCGTTGGTCCACCTGGTGTGGGTAAGACCAGCATCGGCAAATCTATTGCTCGTGCCCTCAACAGACAATACTATCGATTTAGCGTTGGCGGCCTGACGGATGTAGCGGAGATCAAAGGTCACCGACGAACCTATGTGGGTGCCTTGCCTGGACGTATCATTCAGGCCCTTAAAAAGTGTCAGACAGAGAACCCGCTCATTCTTATCGATGAGGTCGATAAGATTGGCCGTGGACACCAAGGTGATCCGTCTTCGGCGCTGCTTGAACTTCTGGATCCGGAGCAGAACTCGTCTTTCTTGGACCACTACATGGATGTTCCCGTGGACCTATCGAAGGTCCTCTTTGTTTGCACAGCAAATATGACGGACACCATTCCACGGCCTTTGTTGGATCGTATGGAGATTATCGAACTATCTGGGTACGTTGCCGATGAAAAGATGGCGATTGCTGAACGTTATCTCGCTCCTGCTGCAAAGGAATTAAGCGGACTGAAGGAAGTTGATGTGAAGCTGGACAAGAATGCCATTGAGGAGCTTATCAAGTCTTACTGCAGAGAAAGTGGAGTTCGGAACTTGAAAAAGCAGATCGAAAAGGTCTATAGAAAGGCAGCCTTGAAGATTATTCAAAATCTGCGCGAAGAGGAACCTACGGAAGAGGATGTGGTGAGAGAAGAAGTTAGGGCAGCACAGGAGGCCGTGAAGAATGGAAAGGAAGCAGAGGACTTGAATCGGGAGACTCCCTTACTTCCAGCAAATGTCCCAGATGATGTCCATGTGGTCATCACGAAGGATAACCTGAAGGATTATGTCGGCCCACCAGTCTTCACCTCCGATCGACTCTATGAGGTCACTCCCCCTGGTGTCGCCATGGGTCTGGCGTGGACGAGTATGGGCGGTGCAGCACTTTATGTCGAATCGATCTTGCAGTCTGCCCTGACACCATCGTCGCAACCGGGATTTGAACAGACGGGTAATCTCATGACTGTTATGAAGGAATCGACTGTTATTGCGTACTCTTTCGCCAAGTCTGTTGTAGCCAAGGACTTCCCAGGGAACAAATTTTTCGAGAAGGCCAGACTCCACCTACATTGCCCTGAAGGTGCAGTTCAGAAAGACGGTATGTCTCTGCCACCTTGAGGTTGCGCCTTTTTCCAATTAAGAGGTTTGCTGACTGACTTCGCCTTCCAGGCCCGTCCGCCGGAATAACCATGGCCACCTCATTGTTATCTCTAGCCCTCGATCAGCCCATCGATCCGACTATTGCCATGACGGGAGAGCTTACTGTTACAGGTAAAGTTCTCCGGATTGGTGGACTCAGAGAAAAAACCGTCGCCGCCCGCCGTGCAGGAGCCAAAACTATCATTTTCCCTTCGGATAATATCTCCGATTGGCTTGAACTCCCACAGGTATTCTTCCCTCAATAATCATTATCAACCTTAAAGTCAGTTAACAAGCTAACCGAGTTCCGTTGAATGAAATATAGAATATCAAGGAAGGAATCGATGGACATGCTGTTAGCTGGTACTCCGAAGTCTTTGACCTCGTCTTCAAGGACCTTGATTCCAAGAGAGCCAACAACGCATGGCAAGCTCAGCTGAGCGATTCGGAGAAAGCTGATGAAATTAAATGAATGAATGCCACATTGACAGCAGTATGCAGTGACGTCTAATCTGTTTACAGTTACACTGGGGCTCTGTTGTCATCCTAATGATTTCCCTGGCTTTCGCGCATATCCATGCTACACAAAATCTTCCTATTTGTTGTCTAACCAGCATATACACATGCATCTCTCCCACCTCTTTTGCATGCTCTGGAGTTTTTCTGTTTTCTTTTTGTATAGTGTGGGCAATTGATCATATGTATGTACAGTACCCACACCCGTGTTGTGATGCTTGTCCCCCCTTTTTCCTGCGAAAAGAACTGCACAGCCTTGGACTATTATGCTGTTTGCATGATGGATAGATTTTTGGTATTCTTTTTGTATTTTCTTATTCTGTGCTTTCTGCTCCCTTGCCGCCTCAGGTGATGATGTCGGGCGTATGCAGTGGAAGAATCGTACGCTTCCATAGGGCCGAGAAAAAAAAAACTCTAAAGACACTCCACTCGTTCACTGGGCTGCGCTTTTTTGGCTTATTACTGTTTTTTTTGGGGCATTGTTTGTTTACTAGCAAGCTTTGGCATCCTTGTATATTACCTTAGTGATTATTTTGTCTACGAAGAGATGATCTGATTGAAGAACAAAGTCTGGGGCACAGGCAGAGTGCATGCAGCGAGGTGCATTGATGTAGAGACTGAAGTGCATGCATGTTGGGGACGTACAGACACTCGAACAGTGTGTGCATACCAAGAACGGGGAGACGCAAAGCCGCAATTGACCGGCTCCGGGATTTTCAGTTGGACGGGATACCGTGAAAAATATCCCTGCGAATTGGCGGTGCAGCCTCCAAAACGCTCAAGTTAAAGATTTATTTTCTACAAATTCCTTTGGATGGGTCCGAGCTTGATGTTCTTTTTTGATGTATGGCTTTGTTCCAACCTGTGATAGCCACATCTGGGATTTGGGGTTCCATGGGATATCCTTCGCTTTCCATCCAATGGTCTTTGAACTACAGGATGGCGATGAAGAAATTTAAGTCGGCTAAAGCGCATGTGAATGATTGACATGGAGGAGTCAAGGGGTCTCATGGGTGTTTTAAAAAGGATGAAGATGAGACGAAGCAGGGTAACCATCTCTAAAACAGGGCCACCTGTCAGGATTTATTGATCTGACTCTACACACCGAAATCCCAGAAGAATCCGCAGAAGGCAAAATTGCACACGAGATGGCAACGATGACGGAATGAAAGGAGGAGAAGGAGGCTCGGAAGAGTACCGCGTCGGTAGCTTGGTACTATATGCGTTGGTCAATTGGAGCCAGCGCAGCTTGCTGGCATTGAACGTGATCGGTGCTGAGCACGCTTTGCCCTAAAGTGACCTAAGTTGGCAAACAAACAGGGCTTGCGAACAAACTCCGACTAATGCAGAAAATGCAGATGCCTTGGTGTGTATGTAAGGCAGTGGAGGGCTGCGGACGCCTTACCAATGCGAATGCCCAACAGATAACGGGAAACGCTCTTCGAATGATATTTCCTTGCTGGGATATTTCGAGTTGAGAAAGCCGGGCAAATCAGGGTAGAGAGGGGGGGAACCTGGATCTGTACTCAGTGCAGCGGACATGTAACTAGGAATGTCGGCGAGTGTCTCCACTGTGCATTATCCCGGGCGTGGGCTTAAATGAAAATGGGAACCGCTGCAAAGTCTGGGTCTGGAGAGCGAGAGAACCACAGTACGACCACGGAAGCCAACCCATGGGTCCCGATATGAGATCACTAGAGTTTCTGCATCCAACAAATCGGCGATGCAAGAGGTTTTTATATCCTGGGAGGCCTTGGAGAGCGGGAAGGCCTCGTCGGGAATTTCTAGAAAAATCACGCAGGGAGAGTTGCTTCACTTTGCAGTGTGTCCGGGGGCAGGCCTACAAGGGGTGTTTCTCCCCTGGCGTCGCCTTTATTGCTGTTGAGAGACGGACGGTTATTCGAGCGAGGTTCTTTGTATGTAGGGTCCGGCATGTTTCTCTCGACAAATCGCGGCTCTGGACCGAATAAATCATTATCTGGCACCCTAGTTTGAGACCTTATTGCTGTTTGTTTATTTGACGAAATTGCGATCTTATTATTGAGGAATTTTTCCGTTGGCGGTGAGACCTTGGTGAAAAAAAAAAGGGCTCGAAATTTTCATCCCAGGCTATTTTCCTGAAAAGCCGATCATCACCACCGCCCATCAGCCTCATTCTGGTGCTGATTTTCTCGCTCTTCACGCTGCCGCTCGACTCAGCAGGCCAATTCCTTGCCGCCAAAGTTACATTGAAGAAAGCAAGTACTGCAATAGAATGTACTATCTACCCTCAACCTATCCGCCAACAGAATCAAAGAGAACAACGCAGCGTCACCACGGCCTCCCCGTCCCGCACCAAGTGAAAGCTCCTCCTCATTTCTTTCCATTGATGCCCACTTGATCTAGAGAAGCAAATCTATTCGATTGCCTTGCTGCTATCTTGTTTCTACATCCCCGTTTTCTGGTGCTGCCATCCTGGGTGGGCGATATCAACCGACGTCGGTGCTTAGCGAGGAACACTTTCGCCTCCACGCTCGTACTCATACTGCCTGTTTGCGTGATCGTGTTACACCGAAGGAAGAGCAATACCCCTCTCAGCGTCCGCGAAACCCAATGCACCTGGAAGCTATTTAAATAGGCTAATCGACAGTAGCGACTCCTAGTTCTCCAACCTTCACCTCGTTGCTGTCCCCTCCCCGAAACGCCTTTCGCACGCTCGCAGGGAGAGGTGATCCGGACTCGATTGGCCCCCTCATTACACTTCTTTTCATATGGACGTCCCGACCGTCTTGAGCCGGTTGTCGTCCTGGTCAGTTGTAACGCGGCGGTCGAGCCAGAGCTCGTGTCAAGTCGTGCTGCATGGCCATCTCAATTGCGGACACTTCCGGCCCGTTTCTGGACCCCATATTACCCATGCCTAACCTCAAGAAATCCGCCCCTATTAAACAGAGCTTCCTGCATCGATTGGGTTTGCGAAAATGGCTGGCAAAGGAAAGCAAAGGCCCGCAGAACACTCCCGCCCCCAGACCTCCCTCTCCCGTGCCGCCTCCTCTCCCTCTCCCTCTTGCCGCGCCACCACCACCCATTGAACCGCGTCGGCCTGTCAAGCGGCCCGACCACGAGAGTAGCGATATTAAAGACAATAGCGATGACAAATATGGCATATCTCCTCCTCAGAGACGATCTGTGAATAACGTAAACCTTAGTTTTGCTGCAGAAGGGGATTTGGAGACCCAAAAAGCTGAACGTAGAGAGCTTTTGACCCCCAGCGAAAAAACTGAAAAGAGTCACCGTCGCGCTATTTCTGCCGACTATCGCAGGCCGCTCAGCTCCGTTCGAACGAGATCTTCACGCGCTCTTTCCGCTCCTCGGTCTTCGGCGCCAGACTTCTCTTGGGACGATAATTCCTACCTTACCACTCGCGCAAGTTTCAGGAACTGTTCTCCTATTCTCGACAATTGCGACACCCCAACTTATGCCGATACTGCATCTGGCTATGGAGAAGACTTTGAGCACGTGTTGCAATTGGAATTGGACAAAAAATGGATTTTGAACTTGAGTTTGCGCTTTCGGGACAGGTCGGACCGCGAAAAATTTTTCATCACCTATGCGGAAGCTCCTAACCGCTGGCGGAGAGTGACTGTGACCTGTGATTATCGGGACGCGGAGCCAGACTCTCTCGAACAGGATCTCAAGGAACTACGTTTCCACCGCGACAAAAATGCCCGAATATACGAAGCCATCAGGGATTCTATTGACGAGATCGAATTCTATGATACCGTGACGAATCTAAAATTGCAGACCCATGAGGGACGTTTGCATGTTCATGTCACCGAAGATATCAACGAGGTTATTCCTTATCCGCCAATTTCAAGCATTGCCCATCTAAGTCCGCCACTAATCCCGGAAAGTCACATCGCTTTTCATAGCCATCTGTCTGGTTTCGTCTACCATGTGAAGCTGAATGGAGAAAACTACGTCAAAAAAGAGATAACCGGCCCAGATACGGTTGAAGAATTTTTATATGAGATCAACGCTTTGCATGCTTTACTAGATTCTGATTGTGTGATCAAGTTTAAAGGCATCTTAGTGGATGATTCTGTGACGGTGGTCAAAGGGCTTCTGCTTGACTTCGCATCCCAGGGCTCATTGGCCGACTTATTCTTTGACTACAAAGGCAAGATAGAATGGATTCGGCGAGAGCGCTGGGCTCGACAAATTATCAAGGGCCTTGCCGATATCCATGAAGCTGGGTTTGTTCAAGGAGATTTCACAGTGTCAAATGTGGTTGTTGATACAAATGATGATGCCAAAATCATTGATATCAATCGGCGCGGATGCCCGATTGGCTGGGAACCTCCAGAATTCACCAAAAAGATTGAAAGCAAGCAAAGAATATCAATGTACATTGGCGTGAAATCGGATCTCTTCCAACTAGGCATGACCCTCTGGGCCATGGCTATGGAAGAAGATGAGCCTGGAGCGCAGCCTCGTCCCTTGAATATCCCAGGTGATTTAAAGATACCTGATTATTTCCGAAACATAGTCCATATTTGTCTGAACCCAAGGCCCCAGAATCGTCTTTCTGCCAAGGAATTGTTGACACTATTTCCACAGGATCTGCCTAACCACGCTCTGGAAAAGTTCTTAGAGTACCCTGAACAGGATTCTGGCAATTTCATCACTACCCAGAGATGTGACGTTGCGGATTCAGATGTTTGCCATCATAATCACCAGCCGGATGGCTTTTGGGAGCAACCAGCTGACAGCATCCATATCCACAGTTTGCCCAATTCTAACCGGAGCTTGGACAGTGATGTGCACAGCAATGTGGCGCTCCACCTGACAACAACGCGTCGAACAAGCGCGAATTCGACACAGTATGACACCACGAGGTTGCAAGATGAAGTACTAGATGACCACGTCTTGCCTTTTCCTGTCGGTGATCTGTACTGCCCAGACGAAGCCAGCCTATCAGTGGAGCCCACTGACAACCACCCTAACCTTGAAGACTTCACGCAATGTGAACTAGACCCAAATAATTCTAGGAATCCTTTTTCCTGCCAATCTGTTTTGAACACGGGTGTCTTTCCAATTCAGCAGGAAACGCAGTTCGATTCACTGGAACCTGGAAGCCAGGCTACTTGTCCCAAAATAATCGTCTCTGAAACGAAGGAACTTCCGGAAGTGCTTACCGGTGTTGGGGGACATATTCCATATTCTTTCGAAAACCCTTTCATTCTAAGCAACGGGAAATCCAAGGCGCGACGAGTATATTCTGACCCTGACCTACTTTCTAAGACATACCCAGCGGGGGCAACTTCTAGCAGTGAAGAAGCCACTGCTGATAGTGGGGATTTGAGCAGTGCTGCTTGTCACAAACCTACCCCACAAGTATTGTACGCATCAGACTTCAACAATTTGCTTTTGTCAAAGCTACCCATTAACCCGGCTTTTACGGCGTATTCGACTGCGAAGGCAGACCTGGGGCTGTCGGCTCACAGGCTCGCCACCCGCATTTCTTTCGTGGATAAAGACAGTATTTCTGCGATGCAACTTGATACCCCCTCGATACCTTCCGATGACCTT